TGCACTCGCCAACAGGGGGCTGCTTGTCGGCAAGAGACGAGTCCATCCGGACAGCCTTGGCCCAGCTGTTCTGGATAGCCTGGCGGAAGAGCTCAGGGAAGTCATAGACGTACTGGGTGCCCATGAGGTGAGCCTTGTAACGCTTAGGCTGGAGCCAGTTCTTGGTGGGGTAAGGCGTGTTGACCGGCAGCAAGTGCATGGAGCCGATCTTGGTGGTGCCACCGATGGAATGGAACACCCACTCGCCCTTCTCAGACTTGCGCTCGGCGTAAAGCTCGACCTGGATGACATAGCCGGAGGTGTTGGTGATGATAACACGCAACGGGTAGGGCATGCCAGTAGCAGGGTCAGTGCAGATGATGCGAATCTCGACCTGGGCAACACGGAGGCGCCAGCCGCGAGGGCCGAAGCGGTCAAGGAAGCCCTGAAGGGAGTGCTCAACTTCCTCGGGCTGAAGCTGGAAGACCGGAGTGAAGTTCAAGAACATGTGGTTGAGATCGGAATTGTTATTGCCGATAATCTCAAGAGCATCGAAAATGTCGTTGATGACGCGATCGGCCTCCGAGATGAGGTATTCGGCAGTAGGAATCTCGTCCCTCAGACGGCCAGGACGAATGACAGCGCGAGTGAAGTAGCGCTTGTCGGTCTCGACACCCTTGCCAATCGCCTCGTACACATGAATGTTCTTGTTCTCGGTGAAGACAGGCTTGATCTTGAACTTGGACAGACGTCCGAGCTCGAGCTGGAACGCAAGAGCAGGCTCGCTGTGACGGATGCTATCGTCCTCAACGTACTCAGGGCCACGGAAAGTGAAGTAGCCAGGGTAGGAGCCATCGTTGCGACCACAGACGAATGTGATGCGGCGGACCCGGCGGGCAAACAGGTCCTCCCTGTGTTGGTGCACAAGAGGAAGAATATCCTTAAGAATCTCCTCGTCGCTGCGACCCTCGGCATCACGGACGGCAACGTTGACGACAGCGGAGAGCTCGTCAAAGGTCTCCAGGCGCTGAAGAGGAGGTCTGCGCTTCTCGTTGAGATCGGGAATCACGCTGTTTCTCTTGCGGGCTCCGAGCACGGGCAGCTTCTCGAGAGCCCTACTGAGGAGCTCATCCGCATCATCCAAGAACTTGCAGGGAATGATCACACCCTTGCGGGTAGGCTCATCCTGAGTCTTGTGGGAAAGGTAGGACATATCGCTGATAGAGCTGATGCGCTTGAAGGTGCTGTCCACAGGTGTACCCGGGGTGGAGGGGGCAGCGGACTGGATGGGCAGGCCGAACTCGGAGTGGCCAAGCTTGCGCAGAGAGAAATCCCAGGACAAGAAGGAAGGAGTCTCGGTCTCATCGGTGTGGTACTCAATCTTCTTCAGAACGTAAGCACGGTAGGCGCGGCGCACATAGACCTCAAGGGCAGCGAGGGACACCCAAGGATCCTCGTGGGCAAAGAAGAGGGTCAAGACATCGAAGACGGTGTACTTGGAGTCCACAACCTCCTTGATGATGTCCAAGCTAGGCTCACGGTGATCCCAGCCAGTCTCACCGTAGCGAGACTCGACAACAGAGGAGCGAAGAATGTGCTCCATCTGAGCGGTTCTCTCCTCGAGAGAGGGCAGGGCGCACTGGATCAAGATCTCACGAGCCTTGAGGGAAACCTTGGCAGTCTGACGAGACTCGAGCTCGGCAAGCTTGCGAAGGACGGGACGGAGGTACTTGCTGACGTTGCCAACGTTGGGCTTGTTCGGGCGGTACTCGTCCAGAATCGCGAGGATGAGCGAGTTCTTGGCCGCTACCCTGCTGTGAGAGAGAACAGTCTGGGTGACCTTCTTGATGTCCTCCTTGTTCTCATCACGCAGCTTGAGGATAACCTCTTCATCCTGCAGACGACGGCCAGAAAAGAGACGCTCGACCTCGACGTAAGAAGTAAGGAGATCGCGAATGACATTGAGCTCATGGACCTTCTGGCCCTCAGAGTACTGGTCGATGACGGTGGTGAGAGGGGCCAAAGTGGTCTTCAGCAGCTCAGCGTCGACCTTGGAGGCAACGTTCTCGTCCAGGAACTTCTGGAAGACCTTGCCGAGATTGCGGGCAGGGAACTCGGCTGAACGCGAAGAAGCCTTTTCGAGGACCTGAGTAAGTTGGGCGTCGAGCTTCTGAGGCATACGAGCATGAAGGGCTGAGAATTGAGCGGTGAACTCGCTGTAAGGGAGCTTGGGGTCACGAAGAACCTCAATCAGATCCTTCAGGGTCTGTTGCATGATGATCTGGTTGTCGTAGCCCATGAGGATGTTCTGGAGAGTGTCATAGAGAAGGCGGAACCTCTGAGCGGGCTTGCTGCCGACAATAACAGGGGCACCAAACTCGGGAAGCTGGCCGAGGAAAGGCTGGGCCTGCTTGACACGGCTAGGATCATCGAGAGCAAGGATACCAAGGATGTCACCGGCCTCGAGAGTAGCGCCGGGCTGCTTGATAAGCTGGACGATACCATCCTCCTGGGCAATGAGAGGCATGTACATCTTCATGACCTCGACCTCAGCGAAGGTCTGGCCGGCGCTCACGTGTTCGCCGTTCTCGACGGTGTACTTGACGAGCTTACCGGGGGAGGGGGTGCGCAACTGGGTGGGATCGTTCTCCTGCTCCAGCAGACAGGTCTTGCTATCGACCGACATGCGGGTAGCAGCGACCTCTTCCTTCCAGTAAACATTGTGACTGCGACCGTTAAGAAGGATGAGGAGTCCACCATCGCTCAGAGCACGAACGCCGACGGTACACTTGGAGCCGTTGATGAAGAGATGGTAGCTATCGGCGCTCGACCTGGTGACGGTGAACTTATAGCGGTAACCTTCGTAGATAAAGTCGACGGGGAAGACAGTCTTGAGGATGTCCTTGGAGGGGACCTGACCCTTCTCAAGACCAGCACGGTACTCGGTCATGCAGCCTTCGCTCGCAATGTGGGCCTTGGTGACGGCACCGCAAACAACGGCCAGAATGGGGTCGGGACGCTCAGCAGTGAGCTTCTTGGAAATAAGCTCATCGAGCCAGCCGGTAGTGATGGTGTTCTCCTCGAAGGCCTCAGTCTCCAAAAGCTTGATGAGGTACTCGACGGTGGTACGGAAGTCACCGCGGATGCTCAATTCCTTGAGGGCAACGACCATGTGCTTTCGCGAGGCGGCACGGTTCTCGCCATAGGCAAAGATGTGACCGAACTGCGAGTCGGAGAAACTGTGAATACCACCGGCAGAACCGACGGAGAAGTAACCCCAGACGTTGGAGCTCGAACGGAAGTTGAGATCGTGCAACACACCGTTGGATGGCTTGAAGCCCTCACCGGGATCCTCGGAGGTGATACGGCAGGCAGTGGTGTGGCCCTTGGGGGTAGGCCTGCGCTGGGTCTTCTCGGACTCGGGGTTCTTGAACTCGAAGTCGATCTCGCTAGCAGTCCTGGGGTCGACGCCGTAGAGCAGTCTGATGTCGCGGATGCGGTGGAGGGGAATACCCATGGCAACCTGGAGCTGAGCAGCCGGAAGGTTGACACCACTGACCATTTCAGTGGTAGGATGCTCGACCTGCAGACGGGGGTTCAACTCGAGGAAGTAGAACTTGTCATCGGCGTGGGAGTAGAGGTACTCGACGGTACCGGCCGAGACGTAACCGACGAGACGACCAAGACGAACAGCAGCCTCCTCCATGGCCTTGAAGGTCATGGGCTTGGCGATGGTGACGGGGGCCTCTTCGATAATCTTTTGATGTCTGCGCTGGACCGAGCAATCTCTGCCGAAGAGGGAGATGTTGTTGCCGTACTGATCAGCAAGAAGCTGAACCTCCAAATGCCTGGCGCTGTCGGCGAGCTTCATGATAAAGATGGGCGAGCCGGGAATTTCGCTAGCGGCAGCGTTGTAGAGCGACTCGAAGTTGTCCTCGTTGAGGACCTTGCGGATACCCTTGCCACCACCACCTTCGGAGGCCTTGATCATTACTGGGAAACCAATCTCCCTGGCCTTTTCCAGACCCTCCTGCCACGAGCTGACGCAGCCCTTGAGGTAAACGTCATCAGGAACCGTAACAATGCCATTGTCGTCGACCGTGACCTCGCTAACACCGGTACCAGACCAAGGGATACAAGGAACGTCGGCGTGCTGGGCAACAATTGTCGAGGAAATCTTGTCACCAAGGGAGCGCATGGCAGAACCCGGAGGACCAATGAAAACAATCTTTTTGGGGGAAGCCGCAAGGGACTCGGGAAGCTTGGGGTTTTCGGAGGCGTGACCCCTATTCGAACAGTCAGTATTTTCATGCCATCAACCCCAAAAGCAGGACTCTTGTCTACGCACCAACCAGCCCACACAGCGTGGACATCCATACGCTCGGCAATATCCACGATCAGCTCGACGTTGGCATAGTTGTGGTTATTTGTGCCGCCGGGGACTTCAACGTAGTGATCGGCCATCCTGATGTAGTCGGCGTTGGCCTGCAGATCTTCGGGGGTGGCCATGACGGTGAACTTGATGGCGCGCTCGTCGCCGAATGTTTCGTAAGCCCATTTCCTTACTGAGCGAATCTCCTTGACAGCAGCAATACCGTTGTTGGCAATAAGGACCTGGAAAACAAGCAAATGTCAGCAAAATGTGCGTTGGACCGCCGGGAGAGCGAGGAAACGTACGTTGGTGATGACAGTGTGACCATCGTGGGAGGCCACAAAGTCCTTGACCTTGGAGGGGGGGGCATTCTCGAGCCTGTTACCGCCAATGAAATGGGGGGCCAGGTTGTGCTTGGCGGCATATGAAGCCTGGACGACGGCGTCACTCGCTGTTGTGTCCGCCATTTTGTCTGTAAATATGTGGTGTTGTTTTGTCGAGTCGGAGGAGTCGTCGTCGTCGTCGTCGTGGATCGAATGCGGAGAGGAGGAAGCCGCTTTCAAAGTTACACTCGGTCGATGTATACCTGTTTTCCGAAACAGCCGAATTCAAGTATCGGTCAGTGGAGTGTTTCGGTTATTCAGCTCGGCTCAGCTAACAAATCGCCTGCAAAAAAAGAATGCTGCTGTCAGTTTCCAGCTCCTCGTCGGCAAAGCAAAGATGTGGTGTGGCAGAATGTCGTGAGGCGGGGCAGCTGGTGGTAATTAAGGGTTATGGTAGTGGAAAGAGACTGGAGTGGCAGGGTGGTGGATGCGGTGGTCGCATCAGCTTTGGTTTGTTGGGTATCGGGAATTGGGGGTAGAGCGAGTCGAATTGTGTCCAGTCCAGGCACAAGCAGGAGGGGACTGGGAACATGCTGGCTGTGCTGATGGGCCGGTGCTCTGGGAGGGGGAGTGAAGGGAGCTGCCTGCAGGTGCAGTGAATGCAGAGGAACACTCACCGAGTCAAGTTGTCGTGGAGAAGCTGGAAAGTGGGTGGAAAATTACGACAGAAGCCGCACGGGGTATCTCTGCAGGGATGTAAGGGGAAAGTGTGTGTCGTGCGATTGCTCGATCAATGTCGACGTCAACAATAAACAATCGAGGCTGCGTAGCAAGAGGCTGAGCAAGAAGGAGGAGGTGCAGCAAGAAAACTGAAGATCTTGAGCAAAGATGGATGGAGTGGTGCTGGCTGGAGGAGGGGGGATTTGCCGCACGCGATTGCCTTGGTCAAAAAGGTCTTGGTAGGTCAGGTAGAGAAGAGTGGGAGGAAGGAGGAGGAAGACGACGTGGAGGGACGACGAAATTCCTGAAGCTAAATTGGACGAGGACGGCAAGACCAGGCCACAGGACCAGAGGGAGCGAGGAGGAGTGAAGGGACGAAGCAACCTGGAAGGAGGCGACCGGAAGAGGGCGACAGGAACCTTTTGATACTTGAAGCTGGAGGGGCAAGAGCGAGCAGACGGCCGTGAAAGATTCGTTGTAATGCCGCGGTATTGCATCCGAACTTTCCAAATGGGCGACTTCGAGACACAACTTTGCGGGTTTGATGGGAAAATCGCAGCCACAAGTGGGGCAATTGGGTACAGGTACACTACATGTACTTCCACTTCGATTGCGCCCACTCAACCTCAACTCCAAAACAATACTTACAAGGACCGAGAGCGAAACGGGATGAACTCGGACAACTAAAGCCAGCCCGTTCTCTTTCGAAAATGCATAAATACTTGATACCCCCCATCTCTTCCTTCTGGCTTCATCTTTCTGGTCTCTTGGAGTGAGTGAGTTGGTCGCTGCTCTGATGTCCCCCACTGCGACATTTCAACCCCGCCAAATGGTATCGCTATCGAGGCCAATCTTGCCATTTGCTCCCGCCTGCCTATCCAAGGCGGTGGATGGCATCAAGGTGGGATTCGCCCTTCAGATTCGGCAAGGTTTGGGAACCTTTGGGGTTCAGTTCGTCAATTGGAGAAGCCAGGGGCAAGTGCCAAGCCGGTTCGCCCAAAAAAAAGGCGGAAAGGGAGGGAGGGGTGGATTTAGCCAAGGCGAAGCCGATTGTGGGTTCCAATTGAAAAGTGTCAGAAATCACCCAATCACGGACGTCGATTCTCACCCGAACGGGATCGTTGGGGAAGGCCCACTGCTCCAATCACAATGTCAGGAACCGAGGCGACTGCCCAACCACACCTTTGCCAATCGTCAGCTTCGTACGCCGAATACACACGACCTCCGTCGTTCTTACAGCTTTTTGCGGTGTCCACAAGTTCTCATGTAGCAATTGATTTGATTATTCTCGACGTCTACACTACTTTGATAGACAAAAGACATTGATGTTGCTGCTTGGACTAACCCCGCTACGTACCGATGGATGGTCCAGTCTTGTCTCACGAAGCATGGCGCAAAGTCCGGATGCAGTCATTTTCACGCCGCAGACGGACGTGATTCAGAGTTGCTGTAGTCATGACATTTGTGGCGGTCTGTTTTTTTCTACATTATTAGATGCCCTTCTGCTCTTGTCCTTCCATTGACTTCCATCTTCGTTTATATCAGCATGATGGCCCGCCTGTTTCTTGTCTTACGCCATATCGCAGCTCAGATGATGTCTCCATCACAACGCTTGCAGTCTTCCACACCCAACCTCCAGCCCACATCGCAATTTAAAAACGGATCCAGCACAACACAACAACCGAACCATGGGAATCATGGACCTTAACTTCCCAAGTTGTCATTAGCTTGTCCGTGGGGCTCCGGTGTTCAAGAGACTGGCCGACCGAAAGCTGACGTCTGGTGCGACATGGGCGCATGTAACCTCCGGTCGATACCCCGGTGGAACGTGGGGAAATTGGCAAGACAATGGTTTGAAGAGGCCAACACAAGGACAACACTGGCGATGACAGGCTTCCAAAACGAACATTGGCGGCTGACTGAATGATATGCCCGTCCTCCCAATGAAGCTAACAGACATCGGCTTAGTCTCGTACATACGGCGCGCCAAAGTCAATGTCCGATGATGAAAAGTCACCGAAAGTGGTCACATAGGGTACGTGCTTATGTAGTCCATCTCCTCCATTCCGGGCTGTCAGGGACTCGGGGGGCACCTCCACCCCAAACCGAAGTGGCGTCGGTGGGTCACATGGTAACGGCATGTATGAAAATTACGATGAGATCTTCGGTACGTACCCCCAAGATTTGTTGGGTTCGCAAAAACCTTGTACGGAAACCCCCCGACAAGGCCGAACCTCCCCGCGTGAGACGGAGGGTTGAGCAGGGAACAATTGAACGAGCCTCGCCTTGAAAACAACCAAAATATCTTCACCCACTGAGGGGTTGAACGGGACGACCAAGGATGTTCGGCTGGCGAGGTTCAGCGCCTTTTCAGGGGATCGGCACAGCAGCAAACGAAAATGTTAGTGCGGGCGCTGGGCCCCGCAGATCCCCAACATGTTGTCCGCGCCCGCGGGAACGGCACCCTTACATGGCCCTAACAACGAAGTCTGCTTTTGCTGCCTTAAAATCAACCCTTTGGCCCGAGCGCACATTCGCTTCTTTTGTTGACGGCAAAGAGATCGAGTTTTTTCCTTGATATCGAAAATGGTTCTGACTCGCCAAAATGAGGGTATTGACAACTCAGTATATTTGCACCCCCACAGCCATAGGCGCCTCCTCCGCAAAAGGGGGCGGTGTTTTTAATCCATCGATGCGCGGCTTGCTTTCTGATCGTGTGATCCGTGCGCAATAAGGTACCATACAGGCCAGAAAATTGATGCGGCAGGGGGGCTCCCGGACGTGCAGATTCGCCAACAGTTTCCTGGACCTGGGGACGTTGTTCAAAGCCCGCGGAATCCGAGGAAGAGACGAACGGTCTGTTCCACGAGCTTGATATTGACTTCACGGCTTTGGTTCGGTACTTGCCGAATTCCCTCAACAGCTCAACTCCTGGCCATACTTCCGAACGAGATAACAATATCCGTGCGACAACCACATCGGCGGCTTTTTGAGACTGGTGCGCCCAGCAAAAGAGCCCAGCAGATTGTGGATGGGAGACGCCCCCATGTCGGGCCGCCCCGTGATCCCTTGCATGTTCGTACCGTTCGCTCCCATCGAACACAGGGAGTAGAGGGATTTGCCGTTATGACACTCCACGACCTCGTCATCCATCTTTATCACAGACAAATGAGCCAGAAAACAGCCATCATCCATCGACAGCTTCAAATATCAAACGTCTCCAAAAATCATATGTACCTATTCCAGATCTTCTTCCCACACAGAGACTAAGTAACAAGGCCCGTCCCGACTTTGCGATGATGTCGTGTCGTCCATCCATCCCCTGGTCCCCCGGATTTTTAGGTTCGTCGTGACCCACTTTGCGTCTCTGACCTTGACATCAAAATCGTACGATTTTTTTTCTGTTTCACTTCTGGCCCAGCCAGCCCTACCAACTACATACCTACAACCGCCCTCCCGGGACTTTCACATGCTGTTGAATGTGCAACACGCACGCGCGCGCGCGCGCGGGGGACAATGAATGGACAGAATCACGGTGAGAGTGTGGTTAGTTCAGCCCTACGCAAAAGTAGGTAAGTAAACGTCGTCGAATAATGTGCAGTCGTCCGTCTCGGACTAAAAAAAAAATGTCACAATGACGAGCGACGATTGATTGAAGGTGACAAAGCCATGCGTTCGTACACGTACACATACACTAGACTACCTAGTGCTACTGGTCGTTGTGGCTCGTGGCATGTGATAAGCGTTGGTAGTGTACGTACTTGTCACTCTCTACACTAGTAACGACACTGCAGTCTTTGACACGGAGGTTCTTCTATCTTCTGTCAGGGAATCATCATGGTGTACACGACAAATGTTGCTTTTCAGGAGTCAGTAAAGGGCGCTGTTTAGGTACCGCTCACTCATATTATCAATCATTATACAGGCACAGTCGCAGTGACGATCTTGGGCGTCGACTTTTCTCTCCTAATTGTCTCCGACATTGTGGATCCATATCATAGTAAAAAGTATTTTGTACAATCTGTGATCCCCTTAACTGCGATCGTAAAGCATTCACGACGAGGTTTATCCCACGCCACCACTCAACCAACCAAAACACTGTTTCGTCTTGCACAATCCAGTCCAACAACATATATAAGTAGCTAATCTGAACAGCACAAGTACATACGACCATACCCACTGGAAAACTCGGGATCCCGTCCGCTCTCCCATAGATAAGCCAGTGAGGGCCAGACTAGTAGTTGGGTCGGTGACGACCAGCGAATCCCTGGTGTTGTATGTTTTTTTTTTCTCCTAGTTTTCTTTTCATCTATTGTACAATCACTTCCACCTTACCTATTCTCTTGCGTCTCGCATTCTCCATCCGAGCTGTCCTCTTCCTCCGCCCGTGTGTCCTGCGAAGTAGGTAGCGATGTACTTGGCTATAGCTAGAGGTATCAAGCCAATCGCCCTCTCTGCGTCAGGCTGGAGCTCCTCCTCATCTAAATGGTGGCCCGCTTCTTGCAATATGGCCACTAACACCCACATTCTCTTGTCGATTTAGTCCTTCAGGACTTCCTCGGGCTTCCTCCTATTTCTGTGATCCCAGGCTTTTTTTTTCAAAATGGCTGAGACGTAGAGGAAGTAAAGATAGCGAGCTCTCGGGCGGTGGTCGAAAGTTGGACGGAAGTGTAGCGGCTTGCCGTCGCCCGGCCGAGGTTGACCCGCGTCGTGCGCTGTGATGAGCGCCTTCTTGAAGTGTGTTGCTCTGTGCGCTTCTTGCCCTCTTGTCCGCACCGGCCTTAGGTTGTCAGCGTTGATGCCGATATAGCTGGTGTTGAACAAGGCCATGAAGCATCGACGAATCGGTCCGGCCTTTTCGATCCGCTTCTCCTGCTGCTTGTAGAGATGGATCTTTTTCTCATATTACCTCTTGCATTTTGGCCTTGAGAATTGTCGCCGCTTCTTCAGTTCGCCACCATGACAACATACCTATTCTCTTTGGGCTGCAACGCCACTATCGCGTAGTGGCGGGAGTCTCGGATTGGGCAGCGTTGAACTTCGCATCCAATACATCCATTCACCGCCGAGTTCCAATAATGTTGATTGAAGGACGTCGAGAGAAGCGCATCCCGCGGGAAAGTAGTGATCCTTGGGATCCTGGTAGTAGGAGAGGACATCCCCATTTGGACGGAACCGATAGCGGTTGTACTTTGGATTTCCTTTGCCGCTCTTGGACAGGTAACCGGACTTTGCGACCTCCTCCACGTTCTCGTATGCCTTCGTCATTTCGTTTTGCTTATTCTCCGCATTATCCTCTTCTGACATGGAACGTGTAAGGGGTCGCTTTCTGGATGCCTGCGCAGGGCTTTCCGGCTTCGAGTTTGGCGACATTGTTGTCCGTATCGAGAATGAGTGGTAGAGGTGGATGTGGTTCTCGCCGAAGTCAATAGTCGGGATTCAGAGTGTGTAGAAACAAGGCATAAAAAATAGGGGAAGGGGTGTTGAACCATACGGAAGGGAGTGATCACGGTGAACGACATTGTGGTGGTGAAAGTCTTGATTGATTGAAGAGAAGGAAAGAAAAGGTGAGAAGGAGGATGAAATCCGACTTCTATACAGGATAGCCATATGTGGATCGTATCCAATTTTGCCAAGAGAATGCCAAGAATTGGTGATGGCTTCAACAAGGGGGAAATGGGTACTCTAAGGGAGGAGAAGAGAAAGTGTACTGTTGAAGATGGGAGGGGGACAAGATATACTCAATAGGACTTCGCATGGAGTCAGAGGAAGTTCAAGTGCTGACGAGCAGATGGATGGTAGCTGCTTCATTCCGGGAATATACCTTACCTACCTTATGCTGGTAATGCTAAATTTGGTAAAGGAAGGAGTATATGGGAGGTTGAGCCAGTACGAAATGAACATGAGGTAGGTACCTTCTAGGTGGTTGGGAAGGAAGAGGGTAAGAGGAAAGAGTACCTAGAGGTACCTACCTCTACTCGACTTAACTAATACGGTCCCTCTTGCCAGTCAAGACCGACAAGTCGGTCCTGTCTCTGAGTCTAACCTGTAACCACATGTAGTTCATCCTCCAACATTTCTCATCAGATCATCCTCTTTACAAGCAGAAGTCCCAAGAACTGTCGTCATCATCGCTCCCCTCTTCCTCCTCCTCGTCATCATCATCACCATCATCTACTCTTTCTTCTCCCCCCATCACCTTCTCCATCACCTTCCCCATCATCTTCTCCACCATCTCGTCATTACTAAATTCCCAGTAGGGTAAACGACGACTGTTCCAATCGAATTCGTCTTCTTCATCTCTCAGCTCTTCCTCTCCTACTTCTTCCGCCGCTTCTTCTTCCAATCTTGTTTGCCGGATCTCAATCGCTCTCGCAAGCGCCAGCAAAGCAATCTCTACCATTTCTTGGGTTTTTTCAATGTCGATACCCAGCGTGAGCCACGATGGGGTGTTCATGTTGAACTTGAAATCCTCCTTGCCGGGGGTGAGGAGTTCTCTTCCTAATAAAGCCACAAACAGTGCCTGATGTAGGTACAAGAACCGTAATTCCCTAGTCCAAAGGGTCTTTGGCATAAATTTGTGGAGGATTCCTATTATTCCAAGTTCTGCCCGGCCACTACTTTGACACCGCCGCCACCCCGCCCTGAGCACAGAAAGTATAAAAGCAAAAAAGAGCAACCGCGAGCTTGGACGATGATTCGCACCCGGCCGGAAGTGCAATTGCTTCCCGTCCAGTTCTCGGACTGTCATCCATGTCCTTTGATCGTTAGGCTGGGACCGATTCGGTGTAAAAGGCGCATCCAGAAAATGTTCGGCCTGTTCGTCGATGACTATCCACTTGTATTCTTTTGGCTCATTCTCTTTCCATTTCGTCAGCGCCTCGGGGCTGTCATACGCTTCGTCTTGGATATTTGGCACAATCGCCAGGGCCCCGTGGTCGAGAGCTTGCGCGACTGGGCGGGGGAGGAGAAGGCCGTTGTCAGGGGAGAAGGGGTTTGGCGGGGTGCTGCCCTGGAATAGCGCGGATAGCGTTTCGTGGCCTAGCTTGCGTGGTACAATATGTACCGCAACCATGTAGCAAGATTGTTGATAGGTGCCGGTGGCGGGATCGAAGATGAGGTTGACGTCTTTGCTTCTTCCGGCGTCGTATGCGGCGAGAAGGGACTGTCTGAACTTGACACGTTCTGCTCGGGTCATTTGTTGGCCTTTTCCCTGGTTTTCTGTGGTAACATGAACCCCGAGGTAACTTGTCGCCAGGGATACAAATTCCCTCGAAACCACGCCCCCGCACGCGATCCTGTCGGCTTGCATGTGGTAAAGCTGCTTCTCGAGGCTAGCGGCCCTCATTCTCCCCGTAATGGCCTCGGTCCACCGTATCCGGTCGGCCTCGTCCGGATCATCGTCGATGATGGCATGATCGGCTTTCTTGCTGGTGTTGGTTGGGATGAGGTGTCTGACAGTGTGCTAGGTCGTATGGTCTGACCCTGGTTTGGGTATTAGCTTGGTTCGTCTGTCAAAGGAGGTGTGTAGTACTGTAGTACATACTGATTCTCGCGTCGAGAATAGCCTGAAGGAATGCTAAAAGATGTTGCTAGCGTTTCCGGCCGTTATATACCTGCTCCCTAGATGTAGGGTACCTCTATGAGTGTGGACTGCAATAGCGGATGGTATCAAGAGAAGAAAAACGAGGAGGGGGATAAGGTAGCTTTAAATAAGAGCGAATGGAAGATGGTTGAGTCATGTGTGTTTTCTGTTGCGTGGCCCAGACGCATCTTCCTGCATTTTCTGGATTGTGGTACCTCTCATGCAGACTTTAAGAATATTAAATCATACTCGGAGGCCGAAGGACTACGGACGGAGGTTCGTACGTAGGTAGAGTATGGATGGTCGTTTGTCGCGCTAATGCGTGGAGATGGAATCTGATCAGCAAGACTGTTTTAATTCCGGTGTGCAAGATAATGGGATAGATAATGTCCCGGGTAATGGGTGGATTGGATCTTTATGTGTTGATTTTTGCAATATGTCAAGGCAAGAAATGGCGACATGGCTCTTTCCCGTTGCCGTCTCCATGTTCCGGGTGCATAGAATAAGACAGATGTGTCCTTATCATCGAGGTACAGGTAACATCACACCACCATCCGCCCGCACCGGAAGTCACTACTGAGACGAAGAACTTCAACACCATTATGGTAGGGCATTCCGTGGATCACGAAGTTTGTATGTTTTTGTTCCTGGTTTTTTTTTATCTATCTGGCAATCATTTTGTCGGCTTCTTGTCGCTTGCATTCACACACCTTTTTGCGTTCTGCTCACGGTTGCCATAGAAAACATACCTAATCACTTGGTGATGCCGGGGCAAGCCGGCAATTGTGGTCGAGCTGTTTCATGGTAGTAAGTAGCTATTACAGTAAACATCTACAAACCGAGCCTACAGTCCTTGTTGTTGTTGTTGTTGTTGTTGTTGTTGTTGGTGTTGTTGTTGTTGTAAACCCATAGGAGTCAAGTATAGAAGAGCATGTTTCCTGGCATTGTGATAACGGTCGACCATACATAAATTCTTGATTCGGTACATTATTCGTTGTCTGACTGGAACATTAACTCGTGCCAATTATCACGCCCATATATACCTACCAAAGTTCTCAAAATCTTTTGTTCTCTCCGAGTGTGGCTCGGATTTCACGGCGCAACCAAGCGAATAAAAGGTCAAAGGGTTGACAGTGAAACTACCTCTACCTACTAAGAACGGGGAGCCCCGGTTCAGGGTACCTACCCGTCGACCTTCGTGACGGTCACTATCATGATATCTAGGACGTCATCTATCATCATGTCAACTAGGTACTTAGGTACATGTATCCTACCTACGCTTGGATTGAGGTACTTGCCGAGATGTTGAGGTCTGAATGAATCAGCTGTTCATTCGTGTTCCTGTGGACAATGTCAACCTGTGTTCTATTCCTCACGCCAACCACCATCATGAACAGTGATGCTGTTCAGGCAAGCAATAACACCCGTCGCCGTGACGACCATCATGTACCACCGAAGAGCACTATGAATCTCAAGCGACCGTTGACTTCTCGATGAAGACCTTGTCGTACATACGGGTAGAAGGACCCGGACTGTTTCGAGTTTTAGTTCGCTCCCACTTGCATCCTCACAACAACACACCTAATACTCCACATCAACATAGTCGCACCCGCACCTGAAACTCCATCATCCTCGCAGTAAGTCCGGGCACGTGTAGACAACATCAAAAGTCTCACCACGGCGCAACCTACGAAGAACAATCACTAATAACTCCCTTCTTCCAGCAACTTGCTATTCAGCAGTCAGCTCCGTGAAGGTGAAAAATCTCGAGGCGAGAACAAGATGTGCAACCGCCTCAAAACCCTGCACTCAGTCTGTGGGCACATAGTAGCCCAACCCATCAACGCCTGTGATACCGATGTCGCCGCAACTGGCCATGTCAATGTCAACGTCTCAGAGAATAGCAATTCTTCCATCAAGAGTCCTCCTCCTCCTACAACACCTCCCTGGCGTCCCAGTTCCTTTGTCCGCTACTTCCTCTCCGACTCCGAAATCCAGCGCCTCAGGGCCCCAGTGGAAGAGAAGCGACGCAATGCCCGTGCACCAGTAAAACGGCAACGACAACAATCTGCAGCTACAACTGCTGCTGCACATCGTGAGTCTCCCGCATCAGCATCAAAGGCCGCCCAGGAGCACAAAGGCAACCGAGAAGCGATTTCACCTCCTTCCGGAGTCATCAAGACCCTGCTGCACCGACAACAAATCCAAATCGTCTCCTCTAGGGAAAACGACAACGTCCACGATTTGATCGACATCTATGTTTACGGCCCCGCTTCGTCCAAGGCAACATAAAGACAAAATGCCGCCATGGCAAGGAATACATGATCGTTGTACAAATTCAGTACGGGCTCTGCCCTCCTTGTCGGGAACATTACGAGAAGTATGCAGCATCCCTTGGGGCCGAGATGGTGGAAGCGACGAGATCCGTCAGCGTGGTTCGGCAGTACTAGAGGTACAAGAACCTGCGAGGCTGGGTGGAGGCGGTAGAGGCTGGTCAAGTGCCGGCCGAGTACGTTTTCTTTGGCGTTGTTGATGTTGATGATGATGTGGCAACAAAGGTTGGAGAGGGTGATGAAATGGACGACTTCATGTTGGACCGGGGAGAGTTGGGCATGATATACCGTGCTTTGGGCTGGAAGGGGCCTACTAAGGATAGGATTATTGGAAAGGATGGCGTGGTTGAAGAAGATGAGATTGCGAGACAGCTGGACGAGGTGCAGAGGATTAGGAGAAGGACTATGGAGTGGGCGGCGAACGGGGATGAGAGGAGAAAGGAGCGGAAGTTGAGAGAGATGAAGAAGATGGAGGAGAAGAAGGAAGAAGTGGAGGCCAGGGAGGAGAGAAAGCTTCGGCGGGTGGAGAAGAGGCGGAAGAGAAGAAGAGAAGCGGAGAAGGAGTTGAGGAGAGCGAATCGTCAAATCGAGAAAGACAAAAAGGAAATGAGGCAGAAAAGACGGGATATAACGAAGCGCAGGAAGAAAGCGATGGAGGAAGCGGACCCGACAGAGTACGAGATCGAGGAAGACAGTGACAACGAGAGTGCCGAGGAGGACAGTGACAACGAGATCGCCGAAAAGGATGCAAACAAGAAGATCAACAAGAAGGATGACAAGAAAAACGCCAAGGCACAGAGAATTGAGATGATCCAGAAACTCGAGAAAGTCGAGGAAGAGAAAGCAAAACCTAGCCTGGAGGTATCATACAACCAAGTACCTGGGAGTGCAAAGGATCAGCGCACAAGAAAGCCGGAAACCACCAGACCGCTGGGTACCTTATATATATGCCCCCGCCGAAGCACGACCGCACAACGGGCGAGATACACATCCACAGCAACAAAGACACGCCTCTCAGCATCTTTCCTTCGCCAAATGAAAAACCAGTGGAGGGGTGCTCGCCACTGCCTTGTGCTTCGCCACAATCCAGCAGCGGAGTAACTCGAGGTAGCGAACCCAAGAAAAAGCAAAGACGTGTCTCGTGGGCGTCCCCTGTCCTGACTCGGGTCAAGATAATCGAGGCCAGAGAAGTCCCGGAGCCAAAGGAAGGCCAAAGCAAAAGCGAGTACAGGCCTCCCTTTGTTTCGGAGGACGGCGGCCGTGAGAGGTCCGTAACCGAAACCCCTTCCCAAAGAAGACGCTCAAATCCACCTTCGCTTACGGTTGAGCCCCCTTTGAGTCCTCGGAGTCCGGTTCTTTCCGAGAAAGAGCCGTGGATTCCATCTTCACTGACGGTCGAACCACCTTTAAGTCCTCGGAGCCCTTCCTTTATTCAAAACAAACCCGCGAGTCCATCCTCTCTCGTCGTTGAACCACCTTCAAGTCCTCGAAGCCTTTCCCCTCTCCAAGAAGGATGCTCAAGTCAACCCTCACTTACTGTCGAGCCTCCGTCAAGTCCTCCGAATCCACTCCCTCATCGGAAAGACAAAGAGCCCTCGAGATACTCCTCAGTAACTGTTGAGCCACCTTCGAGTCCTCGAAGCCCTCTTCTTCAGGTATGGAAGTCCTTTTCGCCATTCCTAGCCTCTCCGGCCCCAAAACATAGCCTGGATCAACATGGAACGCAGACCCGCGCAGAAGAAGTCCTTTCGGCGTCGCTGAAACGACATGGAGCAATCAAAGTCAGGAACACACCATCTGGCAGAATCTGCATACCAAATGGAAGGAAGGACCATCAAACGTTCAATAGCCAGCAGAGGCCATCGGCAGCACGCAATCACAAGTCGCAGCCGACTTTCGGGGCCAAGACCAATTCGCCCAGATTAGCTCAGCCCATACCTATCCGACCACAAACCGTCGTATCCTTCAAGGAGCGACTAGCCTTCTTTGAGAGCCAACTAGCCCCGCGAGGTTCCTCGTCAACAGCTTCCTTCCACACAGCAAGGACGCACCAGCCCAAGTCTGGAAGTGGCGGTATCCCGTCAGATACGTCATCGACCCCGTCGTCGTCGTCGTCGTCGTCGTCGTTCTTTACTGCTAGAACCCATCAGAGCGACAGCGACACGAGCCCAGAGGGAGGTGCTTCAACAGTCTCGTCTTCTTTGAGCAGCACAAAGGCGCAATACTTGCGGAGTGCCTACTCGGAACGATGGGACGAATTCCTCGCGCACAGTTCGTTGGGTCTGCCGTCGAAGTACACGGGGCCGGGAATCAGGTATCGCTTTTGTGGATGTTCGAGCTGTGTATGGGCGAAGACGAGCGAGTGGAAGAGGGGTGAGTAGGTGTTATCCACCTTGCAAAGGGTTAGGTCGGTTGTTACCTCTAGTCTAGGATGATGGAAGTGAAGAAAAAGTTTGGTGCCGGATTGGTGGTGCCTGTGCCTGGAAACTGGATGAACGCTGGGGCACGTTAAGGAAGGGACGATGCGCCGTAGGTACTGATCCCTTCGTTCTACTTCTGCCCTTCTCTCACCTAATCTTCCCCCCCTCCGCCACGCACAATCTGCCCGAGCAATAGCATCTTCCATCCTGACCATCAACAGTGAAAAGCCATTGTTCTCTAGGTAGGTATCTACCCTATGTCCAATCCCAACGACTCAACCGCTGACGCAGTCGACTTTACCGCCGTCAATGTTGACGGAAGGCCAACGTCTGGACTGATAAGCGGCACGCCGGTTGTTGTTCTGGCTTCTCTCTGTCACTGCCGGGCATGAGGCCAACGTGTGGATTGGTCTGCGACTCTTTGTCGCGTGAGCTGAACGCCTTTCGTAAACGATCGAACATCTTGCGGGGTTTGATATGATGATGTCGAGTTGGGGCTTTGATGTGTTAGCAGTAGTAGTGTTGCCGTTTGGTGATGTTGATGAGCGATGGGTTCATCGACAGGACTTCTCTTGTGTTGTGGTGGTGGTGATGATGATGCAGAGAGAGGATTTGAGAAGCTTGCACACCTACAAAAACGACGGGATATACTATATTTTAAGATTCTACTATAGTCGCTGATGTGCCTGATAGTCGTCGCCCGTGGTGACTGGTGTTGCTGTGTGCCTAAAGGCGTGAACACCCGTGAATATGAGCATTGCTGTCTATGATCCGTACACCTATTGAGGGCCTGGGATGTCGATCACACCAACTGATGATGAAAGGTGCACCCTCCCCTCCCCTTCAATTGGTAAAAATTTGAGCCGCCTTGATTTCGATTTTGCTGCTGCTGCGCTTGGCGGTGGGCAAGCTTGAACTTGCCCGGCGACCCGGCGTTTGGGGAAGCTGGGAATGATACCTCCCCTACGATAGAGTTTAGTTGTCCTTGATGAGACGGATGTAATGTGAGATAAACTCGGAATTACTTCTAGGTACCTCTAGGGACGATCGCATGTAATGTTTGGTTCAGTTAGATAGGTAGAGGTAGTTTGAAAACAAGCCCCATATAGACAAGTTGGCTTTTTCCTTTCCCTTTTTCCTTCCCATTTCCTATCCCCTTATCCTCTCCCATTTCCTATTTCTTTTCTTATTTCTTTTCCTTTCCCATTCCCATAGAATTGCAGCTTCAACCCTCACGATCCCATACTTCTACTAATACATTGAAACCAAGCGAGTCGGCACTCAAACATCAAAATGCTCACCAATATCCCACCCCATCCTCTCCCCCCTTCTCTGCTCCTGCAAACTCGGCTGCCGATGCTCATACCTTCCATGCGACTGCATCCCCATTCCCACTCCTTCAACAATACCAGAAGAAGAATCTGCAGACCCAGATGATCCCACCGATCCAACACTACCCCTGTGCAAACCACCAAGCTGAGGTTCAGTCCCGCTGTAGCATGGTTGGGTACCAGGGCCGTAGCCCATATCGCGTGCATGTTGGTTTGCTGCTCGACGGTCTTTTTGTTCGGTCGTATCATGTTTTTGATGGTTGGGGGATTGGTCAGTTACTGTCCTTTTTCTTCTTCTTCTTCATCTGGCCGATTGTTGTTTTGAAAGAAGAACAAAAAAAAAAATCAATACGTAGGTGTAGACATCAGCGAATCGTTCGCCCAAAGGGAGCTCAAAAGGAATGAAAAGAAAATGGAAGAAAGAAGAAGAAGAAGAAGAAGACGAAGGGAAAGAAGGAAGTAATCCAAAACACATAAAGCGTATACGGCATCATTTTATTTTATTTTTTTTTTCTTCCTGGGGGATGAGCATCATCCCCATCCCCATCTCCTCCGCTCCCCTCCCTTCTCCCTTTTTCTTTTTTCTCCCGTTCTTCCAATCCCCCTCCCCCTCCCCTTCACTCTAAACCCAAAATCCGAAACAACTTCACCCGCTACGAAAGAGAAAGTCATCGCCCGCCAAGGATCATGTATCGCTCGCTCGCTCAAAGCATAACCATTGCAATTGATGCTCAAAGACCTGCACCTGTAGCTGTAGGGGCTTTCATACCAGAAGTATTTATCCCCGCCCCCGTCGACCCCACGCTCCTCTGGCCCGATCCCGGCTGCGGCATTTCCCCGACGACGTGGTGGTGCTGCTGATCGAAGCCGCCGCCGCCGCTGCCTGTCAGAGAAGGATGGCGGTCGGTGAGGTTGGGGTTGATGTTGAGTGCGTGGGATTGGGATTGTGAAGAGGAGGAGGATTTGTTGGGGACTTGGGCTATTGCGTCCATTTTTTGTGTGTTAGTTTTTGCTTTTTTGTTTAGATTGGTTTGAGGTTTTGGTTTGGGTTGTTCGGACTATGTGTTGGTATGGGGGGTTTGGGGAATGGGGATCTGGAAAATTAGAAGATGGTGGATGGATATTGAAAGTGATGTGGGCGTGATGGGAAATAGTGATCACGGAGAAGAGGGGAAGGTCAGGAGGGGGAGGGCACGGATAGGAGGAGGGGGAGAGGGGCAAAGAGGAAAGGAGAGGAGAGAAAAAGAAAAACGTACGCTCATCCTTGGGGTTAGTAGCCTTGTCCATACCCTTGTCGAGAGCTCTCTTCACGGAGTTCATTTTCGGTCGTAGGTCTGGATGATGTTTTGTTGCTGTGGTTGTTTATCTTGACAAAGCAAGTTATGTCGTAGGTTGACGCCGCGAATGGAGGGAGGTCTTGTTAATGTTGGGTGATTCGGTATGCAAGATTTATCCAATACTACCGAACCATCCAGAAAGGATCGAAGAAATATATATGCAGGAACCATTAAGTCGATCCTACGTTGAAAAGCAGGAACATGCCATCGGGCATCGGCTATGAAGAAACAGTGATATCATCGTCATCGGCACTTGGCGCAAGTGCCGTGATCGTGGATCCACCCAGGCTTGGCCCAAACACAACCCACGAGCTGCCAATGACAGCCACTAATAACACAAGATGCGCAAGTCCCGATTCGCATGATGAGAATAATGCCCATCTTGGCTTGAATCTTATCGTCGTCTTGGCCTACCGACGCCCAGATGTCGACCGCTTTGAGTCATGATGTATGTTGTGGGCAAGCTCAGACAATAAATCTCTTGACGTGCTTTGCTAACGCCACGACAAGGCAGTGCAAGATGATTTGCAGTTCATCGTGAACACCACCAACTCCGTTTGTTTGAATGAATATTGGCTGACTTTATCGTGTCTATCAACGTATCAACCGTAAACAACCCTATCGCCATCATTGCAATAGAAAATCATCATATCATTACATTCGTGACATACCAGTTTGTTGTTCATGTCATGCCCATCAAGCCATCCCCCCTGAAACAATCATAGCCTCTCCCCCCATCTTTCCAAAAATTGCTCCCTCCTTTCGTCAGTATTGGAAGCCTTGACAGCCCCATCAATATCTGCCTTCCACTCTTCTATCTTTTCCAGCTCCTGTCGTATAACCTCCACACTCCCCTCCAACTCCTCATCGACCAACCTCACCGCTCCCCACGGACTGTCCGCCAACACCGAGTCCCTCAGCATAGCAAGTGCAGCCTTCGCATCACCTATGTGCTTCGTTACCGCGTCTTCAAAGCTTGATTGCGCATTGGACAAGAGTTCGTCGCGCTTTTGTTGGCGGTCTGTTAGGGTGGAGTCGAGAGCTGATTGAAGAGCGGAAAGGTGGGATTGGAGTGATGGATCTGCTGGAGGAATGGAGATGCCGAGGGGTTGGAGGATGGATTTAAGTTCCGGGGATAGTGAGTCAGCAGGGAGTTGGCGGGGAAACGAGGAGTGTCGGCGGTGATGGGATGCTGATGTTGAGTCCGGCGACTCTTTGGGGAGGAGGCCATTGGTGTTAAGTTCTGGTCGTGCGAGTTTGGCAAACTCGGCGACGGCTTGTTGATGAGACAGATACTCTTGGAGACACGCGCGGATGGTGGTGATGCGGTCGAGCAGGTAATCGAGGCATTCGTCGATCTGGACATGTTAGCTTGACTTGACAAGAGGTAAGTACGGATAACCCACGTAATGCGCTGCTTGTGTCGACTGCTCAAGTCTGCGACCGTTCTTGGCTGCTAGATCATCAAGAGCAGGTCGCAAGAACTGGTGCTCGATTGACATCTGACCGACTGGAAGGATCTCGGTGTAGAGTTCCTCCAACTCTCGCTGGACAGCAGCGACATCCTCCACCGTGACGGTACTACCATCATGCCCAGCCCCCGACTCTACCGCGGCATGAAGGGTCTCGAGGTAGATTCTATCCAACCTCGTTCTGATCCCTTCCACGTGGAACTTGATCATTCTATCTCGCAGCAGATTAGCTTCCCTGCTGTGCCAGACCCTGATGTATCACGTCAAGGACAAGTGTACTCACCTGGCGCAAATGTCACGCAAACTCTTGACCATGTCTTCCTCCGCCTTGCTGACGTCCTCGCCAGAACAAGACCTACTCAACTGGTCCCCTAATTTCTGGAGACTTGACAAGACATGGTCATCCGAGTGAAACATGCCATCGATCAGCGTTTCGACGTCGGCTTTCCGGTCTTCATTCTGGGCCTCCAGTTCATCAACCTTGTCGCTTAGGAACAGGGCTAGTTCCACCACCTGTTACTCAGTTAGTCGGTGATTGGCGGAGTCAACCCGATGGACGGAAGATAGTTAAAAGTAGTTAGGACCCTGAAGATCTCGGATGGATCGAAATGTGTTTGTGGTGACATCACGATAAAAAGAAAAACTCACCGACTGGACCAAGTCCCTCTGTCGCTCCTCCAGCCCCTTGAGCTGCTGAACCTCCAAGGCGGCCCTGGCTTGGGTATCCCTCTTGTGCTCGGCAACGAGCCGGTCGAGGTGGTCCTGTTGCTCGCGCAGGGCCTCGGTCTGGCGGGTGATGAGACTAGTTGATCGCATGAGTTCCTGGGTGGCCGCTCTGATCTGGTGATCGCCGAGGGGAGGGATTTTGGACGGATCGCTGAGTTTCAGACCAGACTGGGCAAGGGTGGCTTCCAAGTGTGGCAGGAGCCCGGCCCGTTCGAGGGCGGCGTACCTGGATGTCGGTGTTAGTGGTGTTGGATACAGTATCTGGGACTGTGGCGTCCAGGATAAGGCGCCTTACTGGTCCATCTCGTCGACAGAGAGCAACGTGTCTGAGCTGATATGGGTGGTAACCCAGTCGACGAGGGCGTTCCCCGTGAGGCCGCGACTGAAGGTGGCTTGACTGTGGTCATGGTCATCGGTGTCATCCAGATCATGGTCCATCATGTCATTGTGGTGCCGAACAAGAGCGTCCTCGTAGGCAGCTCTCACCGCCTGGGCGCCATCAAAGGCAGGGTCGTAGGCGCGCAGGAGACGGATGAGAGACTCAGGGTCCGAAACCACGTCGTCCACGATGGCCGGGAACGAGGTTGTTGGTGATTGCTGTTGTGAGGCCATGATCTTGATGGGGAAGGATGGAGTCTCGGAGTGTATGGTGTAGACGAAGGGGGCTTGGACGATAGTCAGGGAAGCCTGGTGTTGTATACAATGTAAAAGGCTGATCGGCATCAAGGGTCTGTCTGAATCGTGGTGTGGAAGTGAGTGGTGATGGAAGGTGAATCTGATCGTGGAGGTGTGACAGGAGGCCCGATCATCGGCTTGCTAACAAAAAAAAAAAAAAAAAAACTGTCATGGAATGTCAAGTGTTTTCCATGTCTGTCTTGGAATGGTCGAGATGATATTGACCTTGACACGAGACATCGATGGGTGATTGTTCGATCATGAAAGCGGTTCCTGCATTTGGGGGAATAAAGTTGACTTGCTCCAAAAAGAGAAGCTCAGTCCAGGAACAGCCTCCATCTTTTGTCCCGCTTCTGAGCGGATCTCTTCCCCGCTTTACGTACAAGGTACGGGCTACACAAAATGCTAGGAAAATCCGCGAGCAACTCTCTCATTGTGATATTTTCCTGTAGGCATTCGTTCATACTCCACCACAAAGGTCGGGGAAAACCCCACCATGACCCCACCACAGCCCGTCGAAGCCCCATTAAGATCACCTCACCCCAAGTCAGTGGATGTCCTCGACTTGCACGCGAGTCATGATGCCCGTCATTTTGCGATTTGATGATCTGAGAATCGGTTTGGATATGCCGGGCATTGCAACCCCAAACGTCCCGTCTCCTGAAAAGGAAAGGCCGCGGCGCCGTTTCGGCGGAGATGGAGAGACAGTGAACGGCTGACGGCGGTAGACAGCGGCATATGGGAATCATGTTGTCGGAGGACGGCAGTTGGAGGCCGGTATTGGATTTTGGAAGAATTCAATTTGGCAGTGGCAGTGAGTGACAGGCGCCAGACATCCTGCAGCGAGTTTGGTGTGCATATTTCTAGGTAGGTAGACGCTCTCTCACTTGGTTGACAGCTGGACGATGACCTTGTTTCAACAGGACAGTTGAACGGGTGACGGGTGGCTGGTTCTCACCATTTGCTCTCTTAACTGTACCGACATGTGTACCTCTAGGTACCTTACCTTTGTGTGTGCAAGTTCTTTGTACTCCCCCAATCCTCTTTCCTCTTTCCCTTCCCCTTCCCCATCCCCGGCCCTTGCTACTTCCCCAAATGTGGATGCTTACTCCACACGGGGAAGGAGAGACGACGTGCCGGGGGGGGGGGGGAGTCCGGCATTGTGGCTTTCTTTTACGCCCGTAGACCAACGTAGACCATCTGAGAAAATACGCCAAATGATTCCGACCTCCCCCTCTTCAGTTCTCTCTTTCCCCGGGACCCTCCTTCCATGACGGCGGGTTCGCTTCGACCTAGAACTGTTGACCTCGCTGTCTTCTTGTTTTCTGATTGACGATCCCTACCTAATTTTTTTATTCCAAAGTCGCTGTTCTGTCCTCGGATGCGCCTCAAAAAACAAGGGCCAAGAAGACCCTGTCAACCGCTCGAGCCATCATCTCAACTATACACCAAAGTAAGAACATCCATCCATCCTGTTCACTTACCTAGGGTAGTCGAGCAATGTCTCGAAACCTAACTGTTCGTTGGCAATGCGAACCAGGGACGATGAAGAACGAAGGAGTGCACAACATGGCGCTTACGCAGCAGCACTCTCGCAGCACTCTCGCAGCACATCTGACGCATGAACCGGGGTTTTCGCGAATTGAAACTTGCCTTCATTGGACATGTCCATGTCTGCAAAACCTCAACTCGGCCGTGAAGATAACTCTTGCGACGAATTCGGTCTAGCTCGTTTGTTTACCTAGATACCTTCTGCCCTTCTCAGCGGCGTATTTTCATCATGAGTTCGAGGCACCACGGCATAAACCGAGGTGCATACGCGGGGTGGACGAAAGGGATCTGATCTGTCTCATCTTCTCCTTGAAAACACCAACATGTCAAGTAGTTGTAGATAGTGCTTGCACTTGTCAAGACTTTTGGGGATTATCGCGATTAAAGTCGTCCGTTCGTTGCCACTCCCGCTAGGTTATCAACAAAAGAGAAAAAGGGAAAAGCCATCCTCCGTTTCGCCAGCTTCGTTGCCCTCACCAGCGTGGGTCAACTGGCGCGGCTTGATCCGCGGGCAACCGTTACTTTCGGCGTCCGGCCAGCGGGCACATGCATGTCATGTCTTTCCATTTGCCACAGGCAGGTTGATAGACGAAGTAGTACTGGAAGTCATGGGTCATCTATGCGTATTGTATGGAAATTATGCTTTCGTTCTGCTTGCCTGCTTGCTTGTCATTGAAATGTTTTACATTTCAAGCATGGTGACTGGCGGGTATAAGTAAGATGCACCCAATCATGCAATGCATCTTTGGGCCTGCATACATACATGATACATACCGACCGACTGCAGCAACGCGCCTATAGTATGTATGTAGTATGCAACCGGTAGATGATGACGGTAAGAGGTAGCTAATTGACCGATATTACCAAGGTACCTTTTCAGGCCCTCAATTTAACAGTTGCCTGATTTGGCTTGAGTGTGTGTTTCGCTTGGACCCTGAAGTTTTTGGTGATTACAGGTGACGCGGCGCCTCATACCCCCCTTTTTTTGATATGGAAATGGAGAGTTTTTTGATTTGAGGGTTCGAAACCTGTGTCGCCGGTTCACGGCCATGGCGCCGATGGTGGTGGCGGTGGCGCGGCCGCGGCTTCGTTTGACTGAGAGCGAGAGATGGGCTTGCCGGTTGCAACATACTGTTGGCTTTGAGAGAGTTCTCCATATATTACAACCCGTTACGAACGACGCCAGCTGAGCCGCAATCCCACATCCGCATCTACTACTAGGTACCGTGACATCTTCTTGGGTACGTAGTGGGAGTGACGAACACACAAAGTTTGACACTTTAGCCCCTCGCGGCTTTCGTCCAAGCAGAACTTCCGGTAACCCATCACGAGGATCACAAGGTTGACAAACCTCGGGTCTTTCATGAAAAACATCCCCCCTTGAAGAAGAATGTATGGACAAGAGAGTAACTACCTACCCCTTACCCCCCTTGAGTTACTCTTCCCCGTAGTCCTGCCGAGATACCTGATACCTAATCAAGTCGGACAATGTACAACTCGGACGACAATTTTAGGTTGTGTGTCCAACAATTTTCATGATTTCTTTCCACACAGAGAGATACACTGCTTTCGGACACTTTTGATCCCGATATCTTTTTGCCGTCCCCCAGAAACCCCGTTCCGGTTGGACCACGACAGGAACAATTGGAGACTGAAGAAAAAAAAAGCGGAGTGGTTGAGTAACTGACTGCGTTGTGCCGCGTCCCAAGACCTAGGCCTCGGGAATTTGTCCAGGCTCCTTGATGATATTCCCTGGTCGGTCATATAAGCGGCAACACGGAGAGATAAGTGGTGGAGAACTATGGTAGACGGAGCCGGGAAGAGGGACGGGGAAACGGGGAGGCGGAGAGAATGCTTGAAGGGACGGGGAAGAAGTGGATAACGGGCAATAAGACGGGCCTTTCCAACATGGTCTATGCTGGCTTGGGGATCCCGTCTGCTTCAGTTCTATTTCCGTACAATATATGAAGACCGTGGTACTGAAGTGGGTGGAGGAGTGGGAGGATTATGGAGACGCGGACGGCTTCCAGCTGCTGTCAAGTTTATAAGTTTCCTACCTATTCTCATCCCGTTGCTTGATTGCGAGACTCCGAAGACCGGATGGACCCCCACACAATTACATCTGAGAGCAAACAATGTATGCCCGATATTGGAAAGAAATCCGTGATGAACAACATCAGCTCCCGTTGAAGAAAATGGTGATGGGATTATGGAATTCCAAGTCAACGGGGAGAAGGTGATGACAATGCAAGGCACATGAACCGACCTGAGACCGACATCGAGAGACCAACTCGTTTCCCCATGTTAATGTTTGGAATCATGCCTGAGCTTGAGACAAGCAGGACGGCGATGATAGTAACCTGGCAGTCTGGATCTGGTCGAATGCATCGATCCCTGAATGAGGGGTCAGAGGCCTAAAGGGTACCTACAATTCGGGCAGTTCAGGCTACTGGTGTGAGCGGCAAGAGAAATGGACATGACCTAGGAAATGCAGAAGACTGTTTGGCGGATGACAGGGGCCTTCTTCCCCGCGTTAACAGATGAAAGGTGGAAACAGGGGCATCTCTGTTAGTGCATCCTATCCATGTGGATGTCTCCTTCCCGCTTTCTCTTCTCCACAGCCCAGAAATGATCGGCCGCCAGTCCAGGGCAGTGGTGGCTGCGGCGCTAAGCCCGATTGAGGAAGAGAAGGGAAGGGAGCGCCTCATGACGCCTCCAGTACGATCCAGGAACCGATCCAACGGCGGAAGGCACGGGAAGACTGAGTGGAAACTCAACTCGGATCAAACAGGAAGGGACAATGTTCAATCACTGAGTGCTGAGAGAAAATCTCATCAAACGCTTTGACCAAGAAAAAGAAAAGAAACTACGAACAACAAAAAAAGGCAAGTTCAATCATGGCGAGAACAAAATCCAATCCAATCCAATCCAATGGACGATAAGGACCGTTCAGCCAAGAAAACGCCGCGCATCCACGGATCTGACTTCAGTCCTCTCCCCTGGGCTGCCTGCCTCCCGCTCCCGGGCCGTTCCCAATGCCGTCCAAGAGATGACGGGACCCAAATGATGAATCGGGACAATATTTCCGACGACGAGCAGATACGGACACTGAGTGACATGGACAACGGCAGAGGCGACGCCCCCCCCCAAGAATGACCTAAGAAACGCCCCAAGACGCCCTGGACTTTGACGCTCCAAAATCTAGTGGCCATGGCGTGATTTTGTCCCTCCTTCGTTTGACCTCAAATCTGCAGGCCATCGCAGGCGGGCCGCGGCTAGATGCTCGTTTTTAATCGCAGACCTAAGCCAGCAACAACCAAGTATTGTTGAACATGGGATGGTACAACCAGGCAAGCCTCCTCTCACTCATTCCGTCTCTGCTGTCAACAAGTGCCATACGAGTGTCAACTAGGAAAACAATCCACACACCGACTTGTTGACGTGTCGCTCCTTTGCATCACCCACAACACTGGCCTCCCGGGATTGCACGCAAGAAGCAAGCAAGCAAGTAGTAATTGTACCAAAGGTCACCACGGTGACAGGGTGCAATATGATAACGGTGCGTATCAAGATGGACATGGATATGGATGGACATGATGGAAATGGACGGGACTGGAAACGGGTATGGCTCGCGGTGACTTGGACAGATTCGTCGTCAAGGTTCACGTACCTGCCTTGGATTTTTCATCCACTCAGTCATGAAAACCTTGAAGGATACTATTCACAGAAGGAGCAACAGGGCCCGAGTATCAAGTGGAAGTGGGTGGACAAGTACTCCCATCACACGTTCGTTCCCTTCACCCTTCTGGCACATCTTCCAGGTTCCCATCCCATCATAGATGCCCCCTTCACTATTCACCGGCATGGCCTATTCGTTCGATCGTAAAGGGGATGGGCTCTCGTGGATCCTGCCGTGCAACTATCGCGGCGAGGATTCTTTCGCCTAACTCGTCTACCCTTTCCCTTTTTTCCATCAACCACAGGGATCCCTTCCTTCTTTCCCTCTTCACCATTTACTTCAGGGATCTGTATCGCCGTCAAGATTCCGTCTCCTGATTGTTGGATCAAGGCTGAGCTCTGCCAGCTTGTTGACTTGGTTCCTCCTCTGTGATTCTCACTGTCTGGCACGACGTCACTACTTACCTCTACAGTATCCCTAGCACCGGCATATCTTATTCCGAACCCAAGGACCCTCCGTCCAAACCATTCACTCAGCCAGCCCCTGCAAACCCGGGACCACATCCACAGAAAGTCTTCGCGGAAAGCAAGAGATCCATAACCAAGCGATACCAAACACCATCCGTGCCAAGTGGCTTTCTTGACCGCCGCCGCCGAACCACATGGCGTGGGGGAGGACAAACGATAGACCCGTCCTCTATCTTTCCCATGTACTCCACGCCTTGTCCATAGGAAAACCCTACTGTTGCTCCAGGCCTATTCTTGCAGTCGTTGTTCTAGACACCACGAGGTGTCTGCAAATGTCAAGAGCGAACCCCGAAAAAGCCTTTTATCAAGACCAACGCCGCCTACCACTTCCTCTCCTTTTTGGCCCATGTCTCACACCACCTGACATATGCTCAGGTTGACTTTCCCTATAACCCTTCACACGACTCTTCACGCGACTCCACACCCTGGGTCTACCATGGCTTCTACTTTACCATCGGCACTTCCTTCGGCAACACCTACATTCGCCATGTACCTATTCACTTCAACAACAGCGAGGCAGCGTTACGCCAGGCTGCGGCACTACATGTACAAGCACACACAGCTATGGGACGGCGTGGTAGCAACTCTGTTGATATGTATGGCACAGCTTATCATAGCTGGTATCAATCTGATGCTGGACAACCATGGCGTGGACTTTCCCCCTTCGATATTGGCAATGGTCGCCGTCTTCGTCGTCTTATCCGCTTGTGGGTGTGTTATGCCCAGACTGGAGGAGTTTTATCAAAAGCACCTGAGCCGCGCGGTAAGTGTCTTACCCCCGAATGAACGCTTTGGCCTCCCCATACTGACATGAGCAGACCAACCTCCTCAACCGACACATGTCCATCGGCTTCACCATCCCTTTTGTCATGATCTGTCGCGGACCACTTGCTGATGCCCGCACCGTGGGGCTTGTTATTGCTTGCTTCGGTAAGACGCTCGCATTGGACATAATGTGGGGGATATGCTAACACAGACAAGTGCTCACGGGAATCATCAACGCTGTCACAACGTATCTCCTGGCTTTACCGATTCACTCGTTGATGGTCCGCTGGAAACGATCATGCACTCTCCCCCGCGAGTCGGATAACATGGAAGTGATTGAAGGCCGCAGGGAACGGTGGAGCTGGATGTCGTCAAAGCTGATATTCGAGCCCAATTCCATGGCCAGCAGCTTCAACTTCGGTGTGTCTTGTTCCGGCGAAGAGAGCGCTTGTGAAGGGACCCGACCCCCGACTTCCCTCGAAAATACCCCGCCTACAGTGGTACATGAGACACCGAGGACAGGATTTCGAGGATGGCTTAGCCGAAACCCGGTGTTGGTTCTGTGTTGGTTCCTGACTTTCACCGTTGGGATTCCCCTACGATATGCGGTGCATCGTGACGCCCCTCTTGCGACCTTTCTCCTCTTCGCCACTTGGTTCACTATGCTGGAAGTTCAAAGAGCCGTCAAAAGTGCCCAAGGGCTCGCTCCCTGGATACGAATCACCCTGACCGGTTCTCTCAACGCGGTACTATGGACTTCGTTTGTCATGATGTCGTATATCTACGTTGACGCTGCGATTAGTGATCGAGCCTTGGGCAAGATGCTGGACACCTTGCAGACCAAGACAACCCTCTCCCACCTCCTCCTACATAGTGTCAACGGCGGAGTCGATGCCGAGGGAAACAAGCTCAACGTATCCATGGCCGCAGGCGATATCGCCCAGTCCATCTTGAATGCCGGTTTGGTGGCCTGGGGCCTAAAACTTTATGAATACCGCCGCCAGTTACTCTCCCGCGCCGGGTTGACCGTTCTCATAGTCTCCTCCATTCTCGCCATCGGCAACGTCGCGTTGGGTCCTCTCTTCACTCGCGCCATTGGCCTCGGCCCCGCCTCCCGCAACATCGCCTACACTGCTCGCAGCGTCACCATTGCGATGGGTACCCCGGTCATGATTACCATGGGAGGCGATGCTAGCCTCAACGCGACCATGGTGGTTATTAGTGGGATCATCTTCCAGATGGGACTGGGGTTTGGGCTTGGTAGCTGGTTGGAACGGACGATTTTCTCGTGCTTCGTCAAGCAGCAAGAGGCAACTGAGAATACCTCACCCGAACAGTCCGAGGAGAAGCCAGAAGGAGAAGCTAAGACTGAACCTAAGGCGAGCCAGGCTGAGCTGCTCACTGTGCCCGTTCGGCGGTCATTCGACCTCGAGGCTCAACAGGCACCTACGACAGCACCTACCATAACTCCACCCGCACAAGGCGAGGGAATGAACGACCCGCATACGGTAGCGGCTGGTCTGACAATCGGTATCAACTCAGCCGCCATGGGAACTGCATACTTGTATGAGGTCGGAAGTGAGGCGGCGCCATACTCGGCTCTGGCAATGATGGCATTGGGAGTCATGACGGTCGCGTTCGCAAGTATCAAGCCGTTGGCGGAGTGGGTGGTGGCAAGCGTGGGCGGGACTATGCCATGATCTTACTACCTACACGACCTAGAACTCGACAACTACATACCGACACGATACCTAAGAACACATTAATACCCATGGACACGACCCTACAATATGGCCAGCAACAACGACACCAGATACACGGAAATAAGCGAACAAAAGGATTCCATCGATTGAACTCAAATTACCCTACATACAAAAGCTCCTCGTTGAGCGAGTAGAGCACCCTCGTCTCACTTTCCCGCACATTTCTCTCTATGTTTTCCTAGTTGTACATACCTACCAACACACATTGCATGATTCGGATGAGAGCAAGAGCATCATCAAACGGGGTGGAAGCACGGGTTTAACAGGACAGTCACCGCCGCCGCATAGGACAATGAGAGGGACAGAAAAGCAACCAGCGAGGCAACCTGGCCAGCTTAGAACTGCACAAAAGATCATTCGGCAAAAGCCAACACCATATCGATTCACAACGGACAATGGGAACAGAAAAGAATGTAAAGGGTATGACAAGGAACGAAAGTCATGGTTATGAATCATGCTCTGATGCTCACGATAACGACTATGGCCGGATCACATTTTCCTTTCACTTGGTTTCGGGGACAGAACTGGCGTATTGGTTCGCTTTTTCTCTTTTTCTTTGGTCTTTCGGTCAGTCGGTCGGCACGGTTTCTAGGTGTGCGTTTGACTATCGTATCATATACCCCATTTCTTAGAACTCTTTGCGGTCGAGCACTGGCTCCCGCGGTTTTTTTTCGTTCGGGTCGTTTCTCATCATCATTTTCCTTTATTCCTACACTTGGCAGACACCATCAAATGGGTCAAAGTCAAGAGTCAAGGGCCATTGGGGGTTCAGGGTTCAACCCGAGTTCGGGCTGACGACATCAAAATCTGGACTGGTGCGCCGTGGTATTCTGGAGTTTGTCAAGGCAGCTACAGTTCTACCCATTTCGCTGCCCTGGATACTGGATCTGGGGGTGAACACACACAGATGCAGATCTTCTTCTCGGTGATGGCTGCTGTCCTCCCCTGAATCTCTGGAATCTCTATCTCGATCAAAACTCAAGAAAGGTTTCATGAAGAGAAAGACACACACACACACATACACAATATTTCAGCTTATTAGAGTATAGAAATAAACCAAGTATCCTAGCTTTTTAATCACCATCGATGGGGCATATCATGCATGTCATGCATGCATGCATGGACAAGGCAGTCCTCCGCGAGATAGTATTCACTTGAGATCAGTTAGTTCTCTGCTAAATATGGACGGACTTGATGAGGGCGAAACCTGCTAGCTACTACTTGGCTCTTTTCCCTCGGAGCCTCATTTTTTTTTTTTTTTAGGAGAATTCCAGTAAGAGGAAAATAATAATTAAAAAAAAAAAAAAAAAAAAAAGAAAAAGAAAAAGAAGACAATCATCCAGATATTAAAGTAGCGGGAATGAAGAAGGTAAGACTTGGCCACTTACCTCTAGCTAATAAAAAGCCCTAATGTAATCATATGTAGGACTTGGTAGCCAGCATGGGCATAATGTAGGTAGGTAGGTAGGTAGAGACTTAGGTAGGTAGGTAGGTAGGTAGGTAGAGAGAGGTACGGATCACGCACGCACGCACGCATACATATATACATGCACGCTGCTTGCTCAGGTAGACTAGTAGGTAAGTATGGTAGGTACGTAGTCAGTTAGTTGCTCATTCATTGATTGATATTCTCACTTTTTCACACTTTTACACTCTTAAAATTCTACCTTGGTTAATGATAGTGTGTAAGTTTTGGTTGTCGTCAATAGCCAGCGTCAGACATGGCGATGGATGGATGGATGGATGGAAGGATCAATGGAAATGGTTCATGGAAATTGAAATTGGTTTCTTTCCAATTTTGGTTTGGGAGTTTGATGACCTAACTAACGAAGTACATACATACCTCTCGCTTCTTATCTGGTGGTTCGGTTCGGTTAGTTAGGTTCCATTCAGTATAAGTTCTGTCTTTTCTTCCTCTCGAACCCTATTAGTTATATTAGAGGTATGCAAGTAGCTAAGTAGGTAGGTACTTAGGAACCACTTGGGTGCTTGCTTGTCTGGCCGTCTTATTTACTTGGCATTGGACCATGTTTCCGTTGTGCATCGATAGGTACCTACCTCTAAGTCGGATGTGGGAGTGTGTGTATCTGAAAATGTGGAAAATGTTTTATTTTGTCTGCTTTTTTTTTTTTTTTTCGTTTTCCAACCCCTATCCGGCTGTTTTCTTTTGGGTCAGTCCCCCCCCCCCCCCCCAATCAGCACTTGAACCATTGAGAAAATTGGAATCAGCGTTCCCTGGCTGGCCCTCGTTGCCTTCTTCGTACTGCGTACAATAATCCGACATTATCAAAGTTCCAGTGACCGCATAATGGCGTAATGCATCATCGCGGCCATCATCTTTTGGTCTTCGGTATAAAGAGTCGTGCTCCCGGTCTCATCCCTCGAATTCCTCCTCTCCTTCGTACCATCGCAAAGCGCCGCGCTAGAAGCGGAACCCCTAATATGTCTTGTTTCCTACACTGTCATGCACGCTCTCAGCGCCCTTTGAAGTTCCTCTTCATCAGAGGTAGTGGTCATGATTTGTTGTCGTGGCGTGTCGGGATCCTACTCGAGCCTGTACCATTCCCCAATGTCGTTGTCAGCAACTTTTGTTCGTTTACGATGATGTCCGTCTCGCGATGTACTGGTGTCACTTGGTAGTAGCGGCGGCCGTCACCACACACCACCAGATAACCGCAACACATGTCCACCTCCAATATACTCTCCGTGCCCTCCTTCTCCTCCTTCTTCTTCTGATTCTTCGAGGATAAGAAATGCCGACTAACCGTTCAATCAAATGCAACCCACTAGCCGTGTCCACGATGCCGCTGATCTCGCCGGGCTTCAACGCAAAAGCGGCATCCTCAAACTCCTTTTGCATGTCGCCGCGTCCAAAGTAGCCGAGGTCGCCCCGCTTCCGAGCAGAGGAGCAGTCGGACTCGGTCAGGGCCAGCTCGCCGAGGGAAATGGAGCCGGACTTGATGCGCTGTTCGAAACCTTGCAGGGTAGTGAGGGCTTCTTGCTTGGTGCGGGTAATCTCGGACTGTCATTGGTGGTTAGCGACGGTCAAAAAGAGAGAAAGAAAAACAAAACGAGCGCAGCGAGCAGCCCTCGGCAGGAGCCTCCCCGGAGGGGCCGCCGGAGGCAACAACAAACACCAGACACTTGGCCGCAACTTGAAATGGACAACGGGGAGGGGACTCACCTCGCGCCAAGAACTGGGCCTCCTGCTCTGGTTGTGCTTGACCAGCAAATGCGCACACCTGATCTTTCCTTGTGGTTGTTGTTGCTGTTGTTGTTGTTGCTGCTGCTGACTCGTAGGCGAGTGGTACTTGGCCATGTAGATCTTGAGCTTGTCGACATCGGTGCCCGAGGGCGGCTCCCAGCGAGAGGTCTTGGTGGCGCTGTTGAAGTAGTAGGGCAGGTTCTTGGATTGCGAGTGGCGGACTTCCCAGTCTTCGGGGAGACCGGTTTCGATGGTCTGGGAGGGGGGAAGGGGGGGGTCAGCTCTGTTGTTCTGGATGTTGCGAGTGGTGGGTTGACTTGCGTTGGACATTATGACGGTTTTGGTGGTGGTGGTGGTGGTGGTTGTAGTGGTGATTGGTTCGGAGGTCGGTTCTGCAAGAGTACGATGTGGTTTGCGGTCAGTAAGTGCCTTAGTCGTCGAGTACTGTAGGCCGGTAGCCTTGTTGCGGTCGCGATGTCAACGGGGAGAAGGAGGTTCGGGCGCAATTGCGACTCGCGTGATCAACCAGTGACTGCCCGGCGTCGTGACGTACCTTGAACTGCGCAAGTAGAGCTTCAAGGCTGAGAATTGGAAAGATTGAAGATGGGAGGAGAAATGGGCAAAGGGAGAATTGAACTTTTCAGATGACCTGGCGGCGGGGGGGGAGGAGGAACAGGCAGAGAAACATGCAGCACTCCGGCCAAGACTCTCCCGGTTCTAGGCAATGGAGCTCTCCGTCGTCAGGGACGTCAGCTTGTCGGCGGCTCCACACCTCACAAGGCACAAAAAGCGGGGACTTTCTCTGGGGGAGCGGGGTCGGGCAAGGGGACAGGTACATACCGTACCGCCCGTTGTGTTTTCCGCGATTGGGGATTCGTTGGCGGGGACGGAGCTGTCAGGGGCACCATTTTGTTAGTGTGGTGTGGCAAGCCGGGCCAACAGGTTCTTGTCCTTGTCGACATGTTTGTTTTCATCGAAAAGGTCACAGCTCATAAAACATGAAAGAATTCTCGAGTATCCAAGTACCGGCCCGTTGGTTCTCGACAACAGGAACCGAAGCTGCGAACCTGCAGCCCGGTCGTGTGCTGTGTAGCATCGGATGAGCACCATGATCCTCGTCGCCCTCTCATGAGCCATCCACACACTTGTCCATCCGTCGTCTGCATCGGGACACCCCACGCAACAGTTCCTTGGGGCCTCGTGATTCTCCGTGCATAGAGTGGGTGCCACACGGACTTGTATTTGGGTCACGGGTGGGCGGGAGGAAGGAGAGGATTTGGCACATGGAGATGGATTTTTCAATCAAAGACGATATTACATACTATGTATGATATTTACAAAGGCGTCCATCCCTTCTGAAGCCTCATGATATTTGACAGACAGGTGCTCGTGGTCGACTCAATGACGTCGTTGTGGATTCCAGTAGTGTGTACACTCTTGTCATTTTGTGTGAGACCTGAAGCCCCTGATGCGCTGTAATGGTGTATCGGTCCCTGTTGACTGCGTCTTGTCCTCGCCCGTTTACTCGAGACATGACACCAAAGAACAAGACACTCGCTCCAGTGAATTGAACTCGACAAGTTTGGATCGAGGCTGTTTGATACACTCGAGTCTCCGTCGGCAATAAGAAACAACGAATCATGGCTCATGCAAAACCGGGCATCTGAATGGAGGCTTTGCCAAATAATGGTCCGTCTGCAACAAGCAACACTTTTCGGTCAGACTGCCTGCCTGGCCTGTTACTCGCAGCCTGGAGTCCAGTCCAGTGTTCTGCCCCTGACCGTGACCTCTCCCAAAGCGGCAAGGCGGTGAAGGGTTTTGGCAGTAGCAGCCATCCCTGTCACAATCCGTGGGCCCCGATTTTCCAAGGTCCCAGGGCTGTTTTGCTCCGGCCGGCAGGGCAATTGTTGTTGGGCGGCAGTTGGCACGATGGATCCCTCCCCGACCGAACGTGACTGCAGCACTCAGGGCGGGCATTGCAGTGGAGGGAGGAGGGAGTTGTCGTGCCTCACGCCTTTCTTGCTCATTTCCTAGGCTGGCCTTCCACTTCACCTGCAGTGCCTCTTTTTTTTCATTTTCCATTTTACATTTTCCACCTCCGGCTTTCCAGCATCTTTTTAACCCATCTTGGGACTCTCATTCTTCCACGGACGAACTTCTTCCTCTTTAGCAACAATCGTTCGAACTGCTGAGAAGTATCCAACTGCTGTTACTACCTAGCTTACTTACACTATTCAACTTCCACTTGACTACACTAGCAGTTTTTTGCATCCTTCCGCCACCCGACAAGGAAAGCCAACCAAGCCAATCCTTGAGATCGTCAAGCATTCAATTAGCGATCCGTCCATCCGTTCATCCATCCATTTCTACCATTCACCCAACAACAACTACCACCACCACCAGCAGCACCCACACAAAGAAACGGGCACAACAACATTTCTACTTCATCCCGCCTTTCAACTTTTACATCCACACAAGAAACACACACACACACAACACATCAACCAAAATGTCGTCGCCCGCCCCTTCTAGCACCGGTGGCGCCAAGGAGAAGAAGCCCCTTGAGCAGATCACGTTCCGCTTCTGCTCCGAATGCAGCAACATGCTGTACCCCCGCGAGGCCGAGGACGAGAACAAGCTGCTCTTCACCTGCCGCACCTGCAACTTTTCCGAGCCCGCCACGTCGACGTGCATCTACCGCAACATCCTCAACAACGCTGCCGGCGAGACGGCTGGTGTCACGCAAGATGTCGCCTCTGATCCCACGGTGGGTGTTGTCTCTTCTGTTTCTTCTGCTGCTGTTGGTGATGGTGTCGCCTCGCCTGCGTCGACCTTGCCCCGACCCGCGGACGGATCGACCTACATCTACTGCCAGTGCTGTGGCGTCATTGAGCTGTGTTCGAACCACTTTGCCGCCCCTCCCTCCGACTCCGAAGCCGGCAGCGATTGCGAGTCCCTGTACGACCAGATGGCCGCTACCACGATCGACATGAACGACAACAGCCATGTCTGGGCCTCCAACAACAGCAGCGAGAGGGAGGCCATGGCCAGGGTCCGTGCCGAAGAGTACTTTTACAACTTGGTCGCCTTTGAGGACTACGAAGAAGAGGAGGGCTCCATCGAGTTTGAAAACATGGAGCTCGACGACACCGACATGGACATGACAGCATCAAGCCAACGGCCTGTTCAAGTCCCGGCAGCTTAGGAAACGACCGGCAGACGACACATGTCCCGCTCTCACGAGGTTACGACTTTTTGATTTTACGGTCACAGCGATTACGGTTGCGGCATATCCATTACATCAGGATTATAATACATCTATAATCATGGCGGCGCGGTTGTTCGCCCACCTTTGGGATCACAGCACCCGACACACGACTGGCACACAGCACAGCATAGTACAGCGCATACCCAAAAGTCTCCGTCCGTCTGGTGGCGGGGTCTGGTCCGAGAGGCGATGACCTGGATTTGGCTTAATCTTGTCATTTGCTCTGGCTTGCATCGAGACTAATCTTTTCTTTTCTTCTTTCGTTTGCTATCTAGCTCCCAAGAGCCATCAAGGAATGCCCTGCCTGCCACCACCCGGAAGCTGTCTTCTTCCAGTCACAGCAGCGTACTTCGGAAACCGGAATGGTAAGACTCACTCACCTGTCTGGGAGGGGCTCACCAGAGTCATGGGTTAACAACGTTACTCTTAGAAACTTTTCTACGTCTGCTGCGATTGTGGTAATATTTACCAGTAAAGGGGGATTCACTCCTTCACTCGGGAGGAATAGGGCCAGATCGATCCTTTCCATAGGCGGACAGGCGGGCGGTAGGAAAAACACAGGTTAATTATGGGAGGTCATGATGAGTTGCATTACAGCGGCGTTTGTACACGGTTAAGTAAAAAGGACCGCGGTTCAGGGCGTTTGGTTTTTCTTTTTTCAAGTTTTGGCAGGACACTAGTTTAGAGATGGTCTCCTCAACAATCTTGTGGATAACTTGAACGTTATAAACATGTATACAGCTATCTTGTGACGTGGAACAGTGATGTTGCTTTGCTTGACATGACATGTAATGTACAGTAGTATACACAGATTGGGACGGCATGCTTCATGTCCCGAACTGAAGTGACCCGTAGACTTGATCGACTGGTGTGATGTTGGCTGCTGCTAGCTGTTTGTTATCCGAAATGGCGCTTGAATAGAGGCCGTCGATGAGACCATATTCTGATGTGATGTCCGGTGTGTGAAGCCGTCATAACTCCAGAACATTGTTGTAGTTTCAGTCGTATAGACCGGGCCATCCTAAGTCCATCCAGGCAAGCAGACCACAGCTCCGTCAGATATCAATAAAGTGATGTGCCGTAGCGTCCTTTGTCAGTCATCACCACGGCACAACCCGACCAAACCGACACATGGCCCTCCACGAGAGTCACCAGGTCACTACCATGACACATCCCACCCAGCACACTCCTCTTCACTTCAAGGAGCGTCACGCCACATCCCACCCAGCACACTCAACTCTTTTCTTCACGGGTATTCATATTCATTCCATCTTGATTCTCGCTCATCCATCGTACATATATCCTTCCCCCATGATCGATCAATCAAGCCTAAGCCTGCATAGGCGCCATACTCAATATCTTGCTCCACTTTTTCTTTCGCAGTTCCTGGCCCACAACACCATTGATGCGCGATCCGATCGGGTCGCCGGCCTTGTTGATCAAGACACAGGCGTTATCGTCGAAACGGACGACCGAACCATCGCGTCGCTGGACTTTTTGCTTGGTGCGCACTACCACGGCGTGGCGGATGTCGCCGCGCTTCACTTTGGTGGCGGCCGAAGAGGCGGCCATACCGGCCGAGTCGGCGCCGCGCTGTTTTTGGACGACTACTACTATGCGGTCGCCTGGGGGGTGTTAGTACTTTGTGAAAAGGGGGGGAGGAGAAAACACAAAAGGAGGGGGGGGGACAGGAGGGCAGAAAGGGGAGGGGGGATAAGAGGGGGAGGGAAAATGAGAGGGGGGAAACAAGAGGGAGAGGAGGCAAGTATAATATGTGTAGGGCCAGAGGTTCCTTGGTCGGACGAGAAGAATCGGACGGGATGGGACGGGTATAACGGCGACGACGGTGTTGGGGTATGAAAGAGGGATCGGGTAGTTCGTGTAGATATAATATGCTCGAGTCGACGACGGGTTCGTGGGTATATAATGGAATTCAAAAGCATACCAATAGAAGCATGCCTCTTTTGGCCGACAACCATGGCGCATTCCACCAGGGCAGCACCCGAGTTGTCGATGCAGTTGAGCATCGTCTGTTTACAGTTCGCCTGGTTAGCAACAGCACTTTTCCCTCTGTTTCGGTACAAACACAACAAATGAAAGAACTAACCTTTAGTTGAATCATCTTGGGCAACCGGTTACTCTGTCCCTGTTACCGAGCGAGTGGTGGCTGAAGTTGGCTGTCGAGAGGACCGAAACCCGGCAACTGAATGGGGATTCCACGGACGCCGCGTATCGATTGATGGATTGATTGATTGATGACCGGCCGGCCGGCTGCTGTCCGTCGTGCCCGCCGGACGCGGGGACCCCATCGAAAATTGTTTGCGGGATTCCTTCCAGGTGAGAGGTACGTACCTTGCATTAGGTAAGCAGGCTAACGCGAGAAAGAGAACTGAAGGGGACGTAGCGAGGCGCGCCAAAACTTGGACGAAGAGTCAGTGGAGCCAATCGGGAGGGGTGTCTCATGCATGCTCTCTAGTGTAGCTGCTTTTTGACTAACGCTTTGGGGAAGTAGTTGGTCTGAAAGTGTGTGTGAGAATCTGAGGCAACAGAACATGTGAGGACTCAATGACCGTAGTTGATGTGAAGATAAACCTGAGAATGAACACATTTTATAAGAAATCATTGTTGGACAAAGAACTGTCGAATCGTCTGTATTTGTCCAGGAAGATAATGAGTGCGGCCATTCTGGACATAATCAGACAGCTAGCCCATGTACCACCTCAGCCAGCTTGCAAACAGCACTGCAGATTCTGAACTCGATATTTGCTAAGATTCAACCAACTGAGACTACATTGATTACCTGTTAGATTTCTACCCAGCAACTTTCAAGACAAGTTACATGTCTAGACAGCGATATATCCATCTCTTGAAAGCGTACTCAAGATGATCGTAGTGAGTCAAGTCCATTGCCAGCAACATCCCCATCTGGTTAGAAACATTCCATCAGCCCTGACCCAACCACCAATGACAACCTCGGCGCAACCAAGCTCCAGCCGGGATGGTGTCTCCCCCAAGTCCCCGCTCCCCCGTCGGCTGTTTCTCCAATTGTGTCTTTTGGAATTTGGCTAGACCACCGCTACCACGGCAACAGGTGGGATCGTGAAAAGAGGAGTAAAGAGGCGAAGATTTGCAATAACGGGCCCCTTTTGTTTTGTTTCTTCTCGTCCCCTTTTTCCCTGTGTTTTGTGACCATGTTTCATATTTCTCCATCGACTTGAGCAGTTTTATCTTGAGCTTCAGCTTATCCTCACCCCAGCTTCACCACCAAACGGTTTGTTGCTGTTCTTCCTGTTACAGCTCTGGGTAGAATAGCAAGGCCCTCAAACAAGGCTATTGCCTCATCCCTGCAGCCAAAAGCAAGAAGAAGCCCGCACCACCTTGCAGTTTGCTCGCATTTTCACACTTCGTTCAGTTCTCGCACAGCTCGCTCGGCCGAATCCATAGACAAGAAGTACAAGAATACATATGACGGCAACCCGCCTCGCCGGACCACTCCAACTCCATTTCCTCCCGAGTCCGACCAACCACCAACAAGACGACCGCAAAAGGACCCTCACCCAAGCTTGACCTCCATCCCCAGTCATTCCCAGCTCTTCAGCTTTCTCAAGGTTTCGGCCACCCGCCCTTCTTTGCAACCTCATTCGCGACCACGTCCTTGTCCTCCCGTCAACGACCACCACCAACAACAAGTCTGTCCCTTTCGATCAAAGCTGCAGCTTCAGCTTGAATTTCAATACTTTGTGACCTTGGCTGTCACCACCACCACCACCACCATCACTTGACTGCGCCTGTCATTGTCAGCCACTGTCGAGTCGCATTGGCTGCAATTGGCTTCGTTGCAGACACACATCGTGAGACCTGAGGCCGCATTCACTCCCTTTGAGGTCAGCCTCAGCTCTCAATTGCTGACAGAACGAGAGTGTGCCTTTGTTCGCTCCTTCTTCGATTCGACACCCATTGATCTGACCACTTTGGCGTATATCGCATCCGCTCTTTCTGTTTGCAGAGGTGGACCGGGAACTTGCCTTTTCCCCTCCTCACTCAACCAACACCACATCATTTTAACAAACCAACAAACCGAGCACTTTCATCCGCGGACACAATCACTGTCCTTGTCGCAGCAGTCGGTGGCCGACCTTGCACCATGACGAAACCCCAGGGTACGGGTGGGAAGAAGAAGAACCAGTTGACGCTGGCTCAGCTGGCGGCTTACGATGATATCTTGACGGACGCGCTCGTTGACCATGTGAGTATTTTGCGGTGTCGGTGTTGGTGATCGGATTTTTGGTGGTTGCTGGCTGCCGTGCGCGTGCGAACTGATCACTAACCTGGCTCCCCGAATGCAGGCGTACTACTGGACCACCATCCCCAAGAACCGCACATCCTACCACCCATCTAGAGGCATCAAGGAGGAGGAGATTACGAAAATCATCCAGAACCACCTAATCGTCGATCCCGACATTGCGACCGCTGAAGAGAAACTGCTTGCCACCGACGGACTCAAGAGGTTCTGCAACACGCTCAAGACCCCCCGAGAACAAAATGACTTCAAAGCGCACCTCCGCCGATACATGTCCATCTACCTCCCCGACTGCCCCTTTGAGGTCAACGCGACCAACCGCTACACCATTGTCACGTACGAGGCCAGCATCACGGCCCGCCGCTTCATTCAGCGCAACGAGACCATCAAGTATCTGGCTGGCATTCAGGTGGTGATCACGCCCGAGGAGGAATTGGAAATGTCGTTGCGCAAAAAGGACTTTAGTCTGATTGTGAGCAGCAGGAGCAAGTCCACCAGCTTGTTCATGGGCCCGGCGCGGTTTGCCAACCATGACTGCAATGCCAATGCCAGGCTCATTACCAGAGGGCAGGCAGGCATTGAGATCATTGCGTGCAGGAACATTGAGGTGGGCGAGGAGATTACGGTGACGTACAGCGAGAGCTACTTTGGCGAGAACAACTGCGACTGCTTGTGTGCGACATGTGAGAGCAACCTGAGGAACGGCTGGAGGCCGGTGGACGGAGAAGCGGCGGTCCAGAAGAGTATCGAGGACGAGCAGCCGACCGAGTCATCAACGCCTTATTCATTCCGGAGGAAGAGGCGATATGGGAGTACCGCTCTTCAGGCTTCGCGCACTCCTTCAGTGACGCCCGATATGCGCCCGCGCGTTTTGCGCAAGTCACAGAGCCAGATGATGCTGGATGAGAGGACATCGACCACGGATTCAGGACAAGGAGCAGATGGTCAGAGCCGCAAGCGAGCGTTGGAAATGGGTACGCCCCCTTTTACGCCCACCAAGAAGCAAAAAACCACGCAGTATCCGGTTGTCCCGATTGCTCTTTCGACAGCGCCCTCTAGAGGAAGTTCGGACAATGAGACGAGCAAAAGTCCTCTCTCATTCAGCACGACCAACGATAACGTTACGGACGCCACGTCCCAGGGCAGTGAAAGCCCGGGACCCATCATTCTCTCACCAGAACCCACTCCTATTAAGCAGGCGACAGGTCTGTTGAAGCAGGAAGAGGGCGTCAACGAGGTGGCCGTTCAGCAGGTCCCGGAAGCTTTCACTCCGCCACCTAGTCAACCAACTGAGGAAGAGCCGCCGATGGTCCGTCCTGCATTTGAGCGTTTGGCTGCGCGAGATAGGATGAGCATAGCCAACCTCATTTCAGGCCCCTCGAGTCCCGCTCCGCCTTTGGTTTTCTCGGTAGCAGAGGTGACCACGCATAGGCCAAAGCCTCAGACTCTGCAAGTTCAAAAGACAGATCAGACAGCTACGACCAGCACTTTACCGACGGTTACAGCGGCCGTACAAAAGGAGGCCCCGGTTGTCAAGACCGAGAGCCCCGTCAAGCCTATCGTTGGCCAAGACGAGAAAATCACACAGGTTCAAACTACAACAAAATCATGCACCGCATCGAAACCCAAGGCGCAAGCCGCCGCCTTGCCACAACACCACATGCCCGTACCAACAGCGCCCCGCGGTCGCGTCCCCCGCGATTATACCCTCACGCCCCTCCTGCTCTCTGAGCCCGAAACGGCCTGGATCATGTGCACCCACTGCGCCTCGGCCTTTGTCCAAAAGAACGCCTACCTGACCAAGTCCACCTGCCCCCGGTGCGAGCGACACTCCAAGCTGTACGGCTACATGTGGCCCAAGACGGAGAAATACGGGCCCAACGACAAGGAGGAGCGCATCCTGGATCATAGAATGATCAATCGGTTCCTAACTGCGGAGGAGGAGGCGAGGGCTAGAGGGAGGGTGTATTGGAGAGAAAGGATGGGAAGCAAAGGCAAGCAGGGCTCTTCGGCCCCTTCTATGAAGGGGACTCCTGCTGGGGAAAAGAATGAGCAGTCAGCAAAGAAGGAGCAGAGTCAAGGACAATACGTCCAGGAACGGTTTGCTGTTCGCAAAAAGGTCAAGGTCCAGGTTAGAAGTACGGTGCCGACGCCTGTGATTATGACTAAGAAGGACGAGGTGGCGGAGGCGGCTGCGTTGGGATTGAGGCGGAGTGGAAGGGCGAGGAGGGTTAGTGCCAAGCTTGCGGATTGTGAGTTGGACTTTTGATGGTATGGCGATATGAGAGACGAGTAATGGGTTATTTGATTGCGATGGACAAAGTGGGTGCAGTCGGCGGGATGAAAAGATGAAAGCCAGTGCTTGGTGGTAATCGTGGTGCGATGAATTAGATATATATGGGTAACAGCATATTTAGCGTAGGCGTCAATCGAGCTGTGTTCAAGCATGCCATAGGTACTCTCCACGAAACATGTCAACACAATTGTGGAATATTGACCGTGGACTTGTTGACGCCGATGTTTCCAGCGAGCACTCACTCATCTCCAGAGCATCTCCAGAGTGTCTTTCCGGTCAACGCACAGACCACTTCCGTATTAGTACAGTATGTCTACATTTCTTGCTGTTCTCACGTTCTTGTCGTTTGAAACTTTCGAAAACAGCGGGAGCATCGATGTTTGCGGATGGAAAGAACTGAGACTGTCTCATCCCAAGCTTAGCTCGAGTTTCCGCATGCGATGGATATTCTCTGTATCTCTTCTCTGCTACCCTCAGCTTCACCAATTGTGTAGGAAATTGAAATGGTACGGTTGTACGTAACGCCTGTGTAACCAATTACAAGCTTGGAAAGCCCGCCGTGGACCTGCAGCTACAAGGTACCTTAAGTAGTACTCCACAGGCGACACGAACCGGGAGCGCGACGGACTCAACTGTCAAAGCTTCCACTTCCCCGTCCAACCACCCATTTTTACCAGCTGCCTCTCGTGTCTCTGCCATCTGCCCGTCCGGTCCAACATCTCTCTTCTCCCCACAACGGAGCTGGAGTGCGTCGTTATCTATTGGCTTGTCGTCTTTTCTCTTATTCCCAATTCATCGTCAGTTCTGATACGCAGCATAGTACGTATTGTTTACCATTGTGATAGCTTGTGGGAGTTGCATCGCGCGCCTGGTCCCAAAATCCACACTCCCACACACACACACACACACACCCTCGACGCGCGCGCGCAAGGTCAACCGGCAGTCCCCAAACTGACGTCTTTCTCACCACCCTCTCTCTCTTAGATTTATATCATTAACGGCACCTCCCGTATCGTTAGCCTACCATGTCTGAGAGCTTCAACGAAGACATCATCGAGGACTCTCCCGCCGCTCCCTCTGGCGATGTCGAGATGACCGAGAGTGGTGCTGTTGCCGAGGGCGCCAGCGCGGAGGACGCGCCCGCCAACAAGGACGAGCTCCCCTTTGCTGAGGAGTCGGCCGATTCGCCCCCGCCTCCTCGCGTCACCTTTTTGCAGTACCTTTCGAGCCCCATCGTCACCTTGATCGTCGGCACCGGAGACCAGGAGACCGTCCTCACGGCTCATCAGTCCCTCCTCGTCCAGAGCCCCTGGTTCGCCGAGGCCTGCGCCGACTTTACCGATGATGGCAGCGTATGTTTTCCCACACCCTGAGTCGGACAGACAGTCAAGCTAACCAAGTGGAATGAATTGATACAAACTAGCCCCGCCAGATCGAGCTCCCTAACGACGACATCGACGCCATGGGCTGCTTCCTCGAGTTTTTGTATACGGGCGACTACTTCCCCAAAAAGGTTCCCGGCCAGCGCGCGCTCGAGAAGGACCCGTCGATCCCCGAGGTCGACCTGACGGGCGAGCAGCTGCTCAAGCACGCGCGCGTCTACACGATTGCCGAGAAGTTCGGCCTCACCAACCTCAAGAACCTGGCCTCGTCCAAGATCCACTGCGTCAACTCGACAGCCAAGGGCGAGATTGCGTACGCGCGCTACGTGTACGAGTTCACGTCCAAGGACGACACCACCATTCGCGCGCCCGTGGCCAACTTTTGGGCGACGCGGTCGCATACCCTCCGCGCCGAGGCCGAGGACGAGTTCAGGAACTTGTGCTTGGAGTTTCCCCAGTTCGGTTACGATGTGCTTAGTACGTTTTGTCCGGTGGTGGTGGTGGACGCTACCAGTTTGGGAGGAATGACAGCTGACAAAGAAAATAGCCCGCGTCCTCGACGAGAAGCTCAAGCGCGAGCGCAACGAAAAGATGCACCCTGGTACTGGCAGCGCTCGCAAGCGCCCCAGACACAGCAGCCAGGCTTAAGCAGCGGCGGCGACGACGTCTGTTGTTTGAAGCGTGGGATCTACTATCGAGATCATCATCAGCCAAGTGGTGGAGGATATCATTTGATGGGAGGACAACGCGTAGGAGAGAACATGGAGGACGAGGACGGGAAAAAAAAGAAAACCGAAATGGTTTGGTTTATCATCACAACACACAGACAGACAGACAGACAGACAGACACACACGAAACGAAGTTTGGTTGCCGCGACAAAGGAAATTCGCAATGGGGGGCGGCGGCGGCGTTGGCGTTGGCGCAGACAGGGAACAATCAAACAAACAAAGCGATATCAATCCATCGATCAATCAACCACCGGCTTTTTCCGTTCGATCATTCCATTGTTATCTCTGCTATCTTTAGTCTGCTGCCGCGGATGGTACCTATGTTGCGACTGGCTTGGATGTGACGTCGTTGGATGGCGTCGCGTCTCGTTTTTGAGGTGGTTCGTTCACTTTCATCGCCGCATTGTATCATATTTGGCAAAAGTCAACAAGGGAATCAAAATACGCGTAAATGGTAGGTTCTCCTCGTAGTAGATGCTGCAAGAGGTAGGTAGGGGCTTGGTAGCAGAAGACTTGATAAGCTTACTATTGGAAGCGTCAAAATCAAGTTAGACCATCCCTCGTGGCGCAATTGGCTAGCGCGTCAGACTGTTAATCTGGAGGCTGTAAGTTCGATCCTTACCGAGGGAGGTGGTTCTCTTTTTTTTTTCCTCGCCTTTTCGTATGTTTTTTACAGATGCTATTTGCCTGCTAACTTTCTTTTCTTTGTTAAGATAACCGGGCTGGTGAATTAATCAGGGGAGTAAGTAAGTACGTACTTGAAGTAGAACAATACTACGACTGGAGTGTACTGTTGTACGTACGATACCTTACTCGTGTCTTTCTTTGTACTGCATGCACTGGATTATATGAAAACACTACTAGTCAGCTTTCCATACAATGACCTTAACTTACCTATGTAAGCCGAGATAGGCGGCCACATTAAAGGTCACGCAGATTATAAGTACTTACCTATACTCGGTACCCCGACGGGAAAAGAAGTTTCCATCTCAAACGAAAGGGGAAAGAAGGGATATATAGTACCATAATGCCAATAGTCGGGATAATATATCTTCTCTCTTGATTTAAATTACTGTCCACAGCCGTCAGCCCCTATTCATGTATCTGCTGCACACAAACATCTTCACAGTGTTGTACCTAGGTGGCTTCAAGAAAGGCAGACACGGAAGCTGGGCCTCCAAGGGTTCCTTCCGAATTGGCGCCAAAGCTGCTTTCCGAGACTTACAACAAAGTAGAGCTATTTTTGTTTTTACCTGCAACTCTGATCCCGAAGCGGACTGGCAGCGACTGTAAATTGATGATGCCATGCGAATATGTAGCGATGCTCGGGTTACTCGAGTAGCTTGATTAGATTATCAAGTGTTTATAAACAACAGGACGGAACTCTACGAGTTTTCACAGAGACCAAGTCAGCTGCCAACCGCTGGGGGGGGAAGATGAATGAGCAGGACTAGTTTGCAATGAACTGGATTGATGGCCTTGCCTACCTCCAGCAACAGCCAAAATGTTAACCTTGAAAGTCGAATGCCGCCGGCGGTTCACGATCACTCAGCGGAAATACAACCCAACCATCATGAATGACGAAGCTCGGAGCCATCGCCGAGTTGATAGTAATGTTAAATTCATTATTCATAACCGTATTATCACAGCTTACTTCCCGACTGCAGTCACTCCTTCTCCTCGTGCTTCCACCCCAACACCCGCTCAATCTTTTCCACACTCCAGAACGCCTTGTTCCCCGACATATCCCCCTTGATCTTTGTGCCCGGCCAATACTTGTTGACCAGCTCCTCATTGCTCAACTTGGCATCCTCGCCCACCACACACCTCTCGGGACTAACCACGTTGAAAATCTCGGCTCCCTCAAACTTATCCGCGTTCTGCACAGCGGCCAAGCACGCCCTCGCCGTCGCCTGCGGATGCACCCAGCCCCAAAGCTGCTTAACGGCCTTCTCGTTGTTCCCCGCATAATCCTCCTCCACCTCCTTCTTGGGCGCCACCTGGTGAATCCTCAAGCACGCAATCTTCATGCCGGGGAACCACCTCGCCATCGTCCTAGCCTGCATCTCGGCCTCCTCCTTGGCGAGCGCGTACGCGTCCGTCGGCTTCTGGGTGATTTCCTCGTCAATGGGGAAATAGTCGAATTCCAGCGGCTGGTTCGAGTAGACGAGTCCGATGGCGTTGACGGAAGAAGCATAGCAGAACTTTTGGATGCCCAGCTCGGCGGCGGCGCGCATCCCGTTGAAGGCGGCACAGACGTTGTTGGAGTGCACTTTGTGGTCGTCCTTGTCGACGGGGTCGGGGATGGCGGCCAGGTGGATGACGGCGTCACACCCCGCAAAGGCCTTGAGCACGGCGTCGTAGTCGCTGGCGGCGTCGGCGGTGCGCATTTCGGTCTTGGGGGTGGAGGGGTCGGGGTCTTGGGGGGTGCGGTTGATTTGTACGGTTGCGTGGCCTTGGTTGGCGCAGAGGCGGACGACTTCCTGGCCCACGGTGCCGCGGGCTCCGGTGATGGCGATCTTCATGGTGGAGGAGAGAGGACGGGGGGGTTATTTGGGTGTGATTTGGTGTGGTGACTGTGAGCTGGGTCTTGCTGTGTGGTGTGGTGTGGTGCTTGTTGATGGAGGATCGGGAGGTCTAGGATGGGTGGTTTCCAGAGACGGAGAGGAGGAGGAAGGCTTTATGGGCCATTTTTAGGGGAAAAGGCGTATGACGTTTACGTGGGGCTCGCCTCATCGAGATGTGTGTGGACAACGAATTCACAGGAGGATTCGTTCCTGTCGAGCTGCAATGACGGACCGTTGGATTCGGCAAGAAAGAGAAAAGTGACGTGTAAACATTGGTGACATCATCGATGTTGGACTGCCCCACTCGTGATGGGAAAGAATACTTTGGTTGCTTCAACGTCGCAACAAGGAAAAGACAGTGAGCCTTTTGTGATGTTTATTAATCAACTCGAAGAATGACTATCAGTCAAGGGGGCTCGAGGGGGGCTGCGGATTGAAGAGCACAGTGTGAGGGGGGTTTCCCTTTGTAGACAACAATCTTCCGACCCCTCCCACGACATGGCCATCAAGGTTCTCACCACTCCGACTCCAACAACTGGAAAGCGCAATCTTGGCATCAATTGGGGATTTGGACGCGCAAAATGAACACTGAAGCTAGGTACCTAATGTTGGCAATGGCGAGCAGAGGGCATGTTCATTACCGCAGCAGAGGTACAAACAAGTTCATCAAGTTCTATTGTATTTCTGGCCTCTTGAATGGTCAAGATTTGACCCTCCCCGTTCTGGCCCCCTTCCAGTTTCTGTTCTCGTTGCCTGCCCAGCCCCAGCCCCAGCCCCAGCTCCCCCTCCAGATCCTCCCCCTCCTCCCTCAATCACAACCCCAGCATCACCACCAGAACCCAAACTCAAACTCAACCTTGAACTGGAACTCGAACTTGGATCCACACCCGTAGTCATTGCACTATTACCATGCGCCCAATAACTATCAGGCAAACCTACCGAAACGACGGGGGGCGCTACGTTGTTATTTGGTCCTGGTCCGCCTCTACTGGTACGTGTACCGCGACCTGCAGTAGTAGCAGCGGCGGCAGCAGCCATGGCGCGTTGAGTGAAGATGGAGTAGGATGGGGGTCTTATTGCTGTTTCTCCTTCATTTGCGGTTATCCTTGGCCTTCCCCTAGGAACACCTCGTGATGAACGGCCGTGATGAGTTAAGCCCGAGCCGTACAGGTGGTTTATAAGGGGGTAGTTATTGTAGTAGTGTTCACTATCCCCACCACTACCAAAGACTGGGGGTAAACCATTATGTGATTCGTACCCACCTCTGGGAGTCCCTCTGGCACCTCTCATGTTCGCATTCGTTATTACCCTACCTCTAGAGGTACCTCTACTTCTACTACTACCTCTAGCATCATCGCTACCTCTAGCACTACTTCTACCGCTACCACTACCTCCAACATAATCGCTTCCTCTACTGCTCCCCCTACTTCTACTTCTGGTCGGCGACATCGGCTGCAAGGCAGGTGATCCCAGACTTAGGGGACTGGGACTGGGCCCAGTGATTACCGGACCGCGCGGGATGGGTGTCAGAGGGGAATTGGCGTTGCGCGTGGTGGTGGTTGTGGTGGTGGTTACTAGGATGCCGCCTAGAGTGCTGGTGCCGTTACTGGTGCCGTTGGTGGTAGAGGAGGTGGTAGAAGAGGTGGTGAAGGGGTCGTTGGGGCTAGTAGAAGTGAACAAGTCGGAGGCGGATGAGGAAGATAAGGAGGAGGGAGGAGGGTTACCGTTTGTACCGTTTGTGCCGTTGGTAGAGGCATGAGGGTTACGCCGTTGGGAGACGGAAGAGAGGCATTGGTCGTGGTCGGTTGAGGTGGTGTAGGCTTGGAAGGGTGCCATTTTTAACTTCTACCTATTGGTTTGAGGTCGGGGGTAGATGGAAGGGGAAGTAGTGGTGTAATGGGCGAGTTCCCAATGGTGCTGGTCATGCAGGGCTGGAGTGTTGAGGGACGAAGGGTTGAGCTGTTACTTAGTATCGGTGGAGGTAAAGTAGCTGTCCTTTTAAGCTTTGGTGTACATGGTGTCACTTGCTGTTGATACATTTGGACATGGAGGAGTCATGAGCACAGGTGAGTCAAGTCAAGATGCTGTTTGTATTGAGGACGTGTTCACGAGAATCAGGGAGAGCAATCACTGTTAGATGACCGTCACATTACTACCTTCAACCTTATCCTGCTTCCAATTTTTCTTTTCTGTTCCCTTCGCAAGCTTAGGTAGTGAGAGTAACGAGCTTTTACATAGAAGAGTCATCACTCCATATCACAAACCAGACGACTGCCAATTCAGCGCCTCCATTACTACTGCGGACTCAAGAGGCAGGCTTGCGGGAGCTTGGGAGTGATTGTGAGTGATTGGGGAGTGCTGGAATGAGGTTTGACAGGAGGACATGTTTTCCTTTTTGACTAATAAAGGGAGATGACACCGATTGGGGATTATTTTGTGGATTGCCAGTGTTCGTTTGGTCAGCTCGATCAGATTGTGGAGGGCAGGTAGGTACCTAGCTGGAGGTCTTTCCCAATACAGTATCTTTCAATTCCAATGCCGGCCGCAAATGTCCCCGTTTTGCAAGTTTCTCCGGTCCGCGGCGTCCGCCTTCCCCTCCAACTGCGCTCCATATCCTTCTTCTTTCATATTTTCAATCCAGCCAACTAGGTTACAAAACACCACTTCACCTAGTTTTGACACTCTGCGCCGCCCAAGATCCGCGAATTTCGAGCAGGGTACAGCAACTGGCGGCGTCGAATGCCTGGGAACAGGCGGAGCCAACACCGCCCGCTTGAGCCCGAAGCGCGGTTGCCTAACCGGGCAGTGGAAGGCGTTGAGATTTCGAACTTCGATCGCCTTGGCCCGGCGGAGGACGACCGTGTTTACGGCTGAATTCGCGACGATCAAGGCTTGGGAATCGGGCTCCTCCGGAATGGGCGGTAGTCTGTGAAAGCTGTGTTGGGTGAGGACCTTCAGCTTTGCCGACTTGGTCAGAGTTGGAGGTTCGGGACATGGCAGGGGCGGGATGGACTGGCTTGTTGACTCCTTTTCACGGAAAACGGGAGGCTGTGGTCTTGCTGTGTGTTCGCTGTTGCCGTTGATGGCCTGAATCATGGACCGGACTCGACCCTTTGCCGCAAGGAGATCCCGACGGACCTTGGTCGCCGAGTGCGAGAGTGGGTGTGTGCTGGAGCGGGAAGGGAGCAGGTGAGTTGCTGCTTGCTTTGCATGTCGTGGTTGTTCTGGCTTCTTGGGTTCGATGCTGGTGGGTGGAAGTTCGACATTGTCGCTGATTCCTGCCAGATGATGTTCTCCTTCATTGTTGAGGGCCTCCAACATGCGACTAACCTGACACTGCGCGGTCTGGTACTCCTCACGTATTTGGCGACATTCCTCTATCGCCTCCTTGATCTCCGACTTGAACAGGATCCAATCCTTCGTAACGTCTGCGGTAACCATATCGACCTTATCAGTCTTCGCGCCATGCTTGGTCTCTTCGATACAGCGATTCAGAAAATCTACCATCAGCAACTCTTCGATGTTGGCATAGTTATCGTTTCTTCCACCCCTCGGCAAGAAGGATTGGATCATTAGCTGCTCGGGGTCATCCTTGGACTTGTTGGCATCCGACTTCTCCACAAACACCATCAACAAATCGAGAGTATTGGCAAAGTTATCGTCCCTTCCACTTACCGGTACAGAGATTTGAAGCCCTGGCTGTTGGTGGTATTGTTCTATTTCAAGAACCTCGCTCTTCCGCTGCGCCCCTTTACCCTGGCCCCTTAATTTACGGCAGCGACCGCAGACGCCTCGCTCGAGATCGTTAAAGTGTTGCGGCTGCTCGCCACAAGCGAAGCGGCTCTTGATGTACACCTTGCCATCGCGATGAACATCCGACTGGGTGCTATCTTTGTTGGTGGGCGCCGAATTGCACATAAACCGGCGGAATTCTGTGTGCCCACAGGCCTTGTACAACTTCGTCCTGTAGAAGCACATCTGCAATGGGAGAACGGTGGACACTCACGAAGTTTTGCTGACACGAAAGAGATGGCTTAAGATGGGTGCTATCAGAAATATGATTGCAAGATTTGTGGTTGGGGAATATCACTGCTGGCGTGCGTGGACGAGTCCGGCTCGAATGATGATATGTGATGATGATGGAAGTTAAGAGGAGGGTCAAGTCTATCTCGATGCCTGATGCGATATATCTAAGGTGCTTCAGGTCGACTGTTGCCTGGTGGTGACCGTGGACTATTCCATGATGGTAAACATATGGTTGCCATCTTTACGGTGTTGTCGTTCTCCGCGATGAACAATATCATTGTTCGGAACCTGGATGGCCGCCAACGTCAACTGACATTATATACCAGAAGACTGACTTTGTTCAGCGACATTCGATAGCGACAGGCCCAGGACTTCAGCATGAATAGAATGGCATCCGTACGATTCATCCACCCTGCATCAACTTCACAACACGGCAACCACAGCATCATCTACCAACACATCATATCAGCCATAACCTGCTTTCCCATTGCAACCAAACTTGTCAGGACCGTGAAAACAAACACCAGCAAGCCATTGCCAAACTTTGCGCCTCCATTTACGCCTTCTAGCCAACATGTGTACATTTACCCGAACAGCATTCAGGATGTGCGGGCACACAGAGTACCGACGGGCTCATTGCAATTCACCCATCAACAACAGACATGAGCTTTGCAAGAAGACCCCGATTCATCTTCAGAGTTCAAAGAATGGAATCTGCACACAATGCAGGACGAGGGATTGGGAGGCGAGCATGGCTAAAACTAGCAAAGTACCGGATGCAGAGCAGCAACATGGCAACAAGGCCACACACCCTGGCCTAGCTGTCGGCTCCAGAGGCGAGGTGTCCCTTCATGTTAGCACATCTACAACCCAAAACGATAACTTCCAAGCTAATACAAAGAAGCAGAACAATGCAACAAAGTCAAACAGCGTTGGCACTGAACTCAAGGGTCGAGCCAGGCCCTTGCGTCAGTCGACCGAGCATATCACTCCGCCTCCTAAGAAGTCCGCCCCAAAACGCCAGGAGCCAAAGATCATCAGAGATAAGAGAACAATCATCGCAGATTATGAGTGCAAAACAAGCGAACGAAGGGAGGCATTGCATGGCCCGAGGGCCCTACCGGGAGCGCATTCAACCATGAAAGAGAGCCCGAACCTCATCGATGTCACCAAGCCTATGCACAAAGACGACGAAGAAAGAGTGGCCTTGCATGGACCGAGAGACATGCCGACAACACATCACATCATCCGAGAGAATTGGAAGCTCATGACTGTCGCCAACCCTGTGCGTAGAGGTGACAGAGGAAGGTTACGCCGACGTGGACTTCGTCCCTTTCCAAACCCGAACTCCTTCCCGACAGCAAACCCAGCTGTCAATAGTCTTGATGCTCGCGGACAAACAGCCTGCGCACCTCTTGTCCTCCAGGAAGTCAATAAACCCACAAACCGAAAGGTCCGAGAAGCAGCTGGAGAGCAGTTCCTCCACCGGCTCCAAGATGCGATACCTCCTCTACCAATGTCCTATAAGCCGATCCTCACCGGCCGACACCCGCTGCACCGCCCGTTGCCGCCAATCCCAGACGAAAACTGTCCCAAGCCAGATGCCGACGACTCACCACCTCCGGTCCCGCCGCACGTGGTGCTACATCGAAGGAAAGCCATCACTTTGCACGCACATGACGAGTCTGGATCACTATTGAACGGTACTCACCGGCTCCAGACGCTCCAGTAGGTACCTACTTCGGCCGAGAAACTGTGTACTACGGCTGGCAACCTGCGAGATGTGATACTGTTTGCAGCTCGTTCACAGAGTAATCAGGCATACGAGAACTCCTCCATACCTGGTGTCCTGCTTAGCTGTCAGTCAGTGTTCTGAGCGTTGGCGCATGTCGTGAGGGGAATGGAGGCGTGAGTGGGAGTATGACAGCGACTCGACGGGGCTTGTGAATACCTAGCGACCACAGTGAGTGCGACAGGGACATGGAATCATCACAAAGCTTGGGTGGAAGGAGCAGATAAAAAGAAGTGCCAGATACTGAAACGGAAAGGGCGGGGGATGGAGGTTCAGTGTCGAATTCGAGAGATGGAAAGCATCATGTACGCGATGACTGGCATCTGCAAGGCACGAGGGAAGAAGGAGCTTGGTGACGTTTGCACTACAATTCAAGCGTGTTGGCATTTACACCCTGCTTTGGTGACCAATACGCATTCGACGGGCATTGAGAGCCTGATCTTCGCCATGAACCACGCAGAATGCGACTCCGTGTGATTGAGACTAGATACAACTTTCTGGCCTTGCACATGCTCATCGAAATATAACTTTCCCAACTTTTGATAATCTCTTTGTTCCTATTCTACAGTCCCTTTTTTTTTTACAGATGTTACAATAATGGTTACAAAACTCGAGTGTCCCTCCCATTCTCGGCAGCCCGTAGTATGTAATCCCGGAATAACCGCCCTCTGACAAACATGGAACCCACATAATCCTCCCCTTCCTTTCCGAGTCCCTTCCCACACTCTTACCTAATCATAGGTAGTAGGTATCCAAATAATCCGCTTCCCTCGACTTATCCCTCCTTCAGGTAGTATTCCCTCGTATCATCCCCTCAATTAGTCCTAACCCGCTCCAACAACCTCCACGCCCTCGAACCTTGATTCCCTAGCTCCTCCTCCTCCTCCCCTTTCCGTTTATCCCCCTCCCCTCCACCGCACTGAGTCCGTCCCAACCCCGACCCCGATCCCGGCCTGCCATTACCACTACCCGTAAGCGCATCACAATCCCCCGCCATAGACAACGACATGCTCCTCGACATGCTCCTCCGCATCCTCACCCGCGGCCTGCGCTTCAACGGACACGGCTCTTCAGGGATGGGCGTAAGCGGACGAAGTTTGAGTTTGTTTTTAAAGTTTGACACGGAGCGGTGGTAGGTTGGTCTGCTTGGGGGTCTGTTGGCGCTGTTGGGAGGATGAGGAGAGTGGGGGATGCAGAAGGAGGGGTTGGTGGGGGTTGTTGTTGTTGTTGGTGATGGTGATGTCGGTGTTGGGGGGAATGTGGGGGATGTGGATAACAAAGGTGGTGAAAGAGGGGATAGAGAAGGTGTCCCTGGTGAGGAGAGAGGGGATCGCAGACTGGGTCGTACAACAGGGATGATGGCGCGGGCGTCGGTGGGGAGGAGTGGAAGGGGTTTATGTTTTTTTGGCCCACGTGTTGCAGTTGTTGTTGTTGTTTTAACTGAAGATGGGGTGGGTTCATGTTTGAGACTTTGGAGGACAAAGGATTGAGGGCTTTTGGTTATGGGATCCAGAAAGTTGGCGGTCTTGGTGGTGGGAAGTTGTTGTCTTTTGTAAGGAGGGTTGAGACTGGCAGCTGGCTTTGGTGAGGGGATATTGAAAGTGACTGCTATGGGACTGGGTGTCCTGCTGTTGTCGTCGCTGTTGTCGATGACAATGTCCTCGTGATGAAGGTGGTGTCGCTGTTCTGGAAATTTGTTCACTTGGGGCTTGTGGCTGTTGACGGTCAAAACCCGATAACGGAAGTGCGGTTCATCACCAGAGAAACAGGGGAGCGGACCTTTTGAAGAGTTGCCATGCAGCTGTCTAAAGTGTGGCCCGGATTCGCGCCCGCCGGCTGCGATGGACTCGTTGTCCCATGTTTTGGTGCCGGTTTCTGTTTGGACTTCTTCATCATCATCCTGTTCGCCGCCGGTTGCAGTTGCTGTGAAGCCCGAGGCAAGTTGGCGTTCCAGATCGCGGATCCTGTCGAGAGCGGCTTGGATCTTTTGTTCTTGTTGGCGAAAGATCTTTTCGGTGTTGGCGAGACGTTGGGCGAGTTCGGCGTCGGATTCTTGCTTGCTGTCGTCACGGATTGACCAGTGGGAGTGAGAGAAGTAGTCGTCGGCAACGGGGTTGATGTTTTTCTTCTCTTCTGTTGTTGGTGGGCTGACAGGGGGTGGAGGTGTGTTGAGCTTCTCCTCGGTGGGTAAGTGGAGGAAAGTGCGGTGCGTAGAGGTAGAGGTAGAGGTCAAAGGTTGAATCTCAACTTGTAGGGGTATGTCCTTCTTTGGGTTGGGCATGTCCTCTGCTTTCTTCGTGCTGCCGAACTTGGTGGCAAGTCCAGCGACAAAGCCCCCCTTCTTTTCGTCGTCCTTCCGGATCGGCGCGCTGAAACGGATTTCCTCGACGTGGGTGGCCTTCTCCGCCCGCTCGGCCTTCTTCTTCTCTGTCTGGTGGAAGCTGAAAGCACGTCTGGGTCGCACCTCTTCGACCTCGGGCCCCTTCTGTGCTGCGAGGTCCTCCACTTCCTTGGCAGGCCGCTTCGTGTTGGTGGTAGTGGTGGCCTCCTTCTTGGTTTCAATCCAGCTTGGTCTTTCGAGCTTTTGCTTCTCAGCCTTTGTGCCCTTTTCTTCCTTCTTGGAAGTGACCGATGCCGTAGTAGGTTGGGCCTCTTGCCAAGTCACCGACCCATCCGGGTTGATAACCTTTTCCCATCGAATGATTCCGGTTCCGAGGACCTCTCTCCTCCGCGGCATGCCCGTAAAGACCAAACCTCCGCCACGACCCATCGCGAAGGCCGGATGACCGTGGGTTGCCGGGATTGTTGTTGTTGTTGTTGTTGTGGTATAGTTGTAGAGGAATGTGTTATTGTGTTGTTGGTGTTCCGTTGTTGGGTATGTGTTCGACAGTTATCTTCATGGTGGCAAACAAAGTAGTATGGTCGCCGGTATGACTGCCTCTGTGACGGTCGTTTCTGTCGCTATCATGTTCTCGTTGTCCCTGTCGTGGTGCTTGGTGATAGCATTCCTCCTGTTGTTGGGCGCCCGTGTGGTGATAGTTGCAGCGGCAGCAGTAGCAGTAGCAGTAGCAGTAGCAGTAGCAAGTCGGGTTGGCATTGCACCGGCAGCTCGAGACATGAGGTGATCAGCGGGAATATGTAGGGCTGCCGGACCGGAGATAACGGGCAGGCATAGGGGGCATGTACACATTTGTAGGGCGAGATCATGAAATGGGGACGGGCCAGGTGTAATATAACGACAGGCGAGATATTTTGGGAGGCTGAGGGGACGTCTACCGAGTTACCGAGATCACGGTCGGGATAAGCGAGCGGGAAGCCGGGAGCCAAAAATAGAGGAGACTGGAAGCGGAAATGACCCCTGTCGATCCGGCCAATTTGCCTGATCAATAGTACGGGGAACGTCGGCATAGCAACACATCCTCCAGTTCTTGACCTGTGGGGGGTTCGTTGGCTGCTTCCATGGGTTGTGGAAAGTTCCATGCCGGTGTGGGGAGGTGGACGGTTGGAGTCGTCGATCGATCTTTTTGGACGTTATTTGGGCAAATCACCGCGTCGACAACGATAGAAGGTTTAACCGAAAGAGGACGATGAGGTGATTTCTTGAGTGATACGATTCCTGCATTAGGATCATTACTCATCAAAGAGACATCTTACGATTCGTCAGAAATGAAGAGTGTCTGTCAAAGTCCAACGGCTCGCTTACATGAAGAAAGCAGATCCTCACAAGGCATTCTTCTTCAGCTACCTAGGTAAGTAGGTAACAACACGGCGATGCTTGGACTCCCACAACGCATTGACTTTTCTGAAACCCGTGTCAGACTATAACGAGGACTTGCAGAATATCTAACTCGAGTCAGTCTGGTGGTGTTACCAGTGTTTGGAGTCGGGTCCTGGACCTGGTGAGAGAACCAACTTTTTTTGTGGGAAGCGAGACCGATAAGGCAAGTGAAGTCAGGGGGAAAACACAGTGCGATTCCAGACCCACCATGCAATTTCGGCCACAGTACGCTAGAGAGATGGGCCTCTTGAAAGAACATGATTTCCGCAAATGGAATAGAATACTTAATCCATGGGGGCGAGGATACACATTGGGGAAAAGCCCGTACCCACCCTTGGTTACTACGGGGCGCAACAACAATGCGGACGACGACGACGACATCCACTTTGGCTTGGGTGTCGATGTCGATTTGACATGGTGTCTACTGCTACGTGGGATCGAAGGGTGTTTGGACTTTGGAAGGCCGAGGTACGTAGTACTGTACTGTACTGTACTGTATGATACTAGGAACGATGAACAATGCAGCACAGTGCGATACTATCGTGCCTAGGTAGGTAGTAATCTCCATCCACTACTACCTTACCACTTACCGTACATTGTACACTAGCATTTTACAACGGCACCCAGGACTCGAAAGAAACATAGGGGAAATAATAAAGACGTCCCGTTGAATGACAATGATGACACATGATGACGAAATCCTGTCCGCAAGCCATAATGGGTAGTTGAACCGGACTCGATCGAACTCGCTTCAATTCATTCTCGTTCGTTTTTTTTCCCTCTTTTTTTTCTTCTCCCGTCCAGTACCGCAACCCAGCGCTATAACTACATACTACCATACCCTGTGCTACTACTACGACATTGTATGCCGAAAAAGCCACGCAGCAGCAGCAGATCCGAAAATACCACCAATCCTTGCTACCTTACCCTACCTACACCAAGTCACCAACCGGCCCAAATAACCTTTTTCGTTGCTTCTTCCTCCCCCTCGGTACACCTTATCCTTTCTGCAACCCCAACATGGAATACCTAATCCATCAAGCAACTTCCCTCCTATCGCTGAGCATTTTCGGTAACGGTACCCCGTACTCCGAAACCCTCCGAAGGGTCAAATGCCGAGGCATCCGCGTCTTCCATCTCCCAAAGTTTATGCACCGACGCCATCTGGCTCGGAAACCCTTCAAACTTTCAAGCGGGCGGGTTTCACCGAGGGGATCGCATTGTTGGACTATGGCTCAAAAGAGATTGGCCTGACCTTGGGTGTCGCTGGTGAAACTACCCCTGAGGACACGGACGCTTTGAAAGCCCAGGTTAGGTATGTGACCTCTTGAGCTCGCGCTTGGTCGGAGGATTGACCGGCGGCACTTTGGGCACGCACGGCTGGCTTGGTAGCCACCTGGCTATGACCAAACTGACTTGACTTGTGGGAAGTCGGCGATGGTTGTCTCGTCGGCTTCATCGTCCTTACTGTCGATGAACACCAATCGGGACCACAGGCTCTAGCGACGCAGGGTCGGTTTGATTCGAGACTTGACTGGCAATTTAAAGGTAATCGGTCCTTCAGCGCTTGATCGGCACTTTGGGCACGGCCGGTTTGGCTGCTACTTGCGACCACGAGAGTGTCTTGGTCGGAGTTGGGGCTGATTTCTCGATATCGACTGATTTGGAGCCCTGCCGACTGGGGGTCGAGTCGACGGACGACTTTGGCAGCTTGGGTGTTGCGGGTGACACTGCCTTCGGAGATACCTGGGTTGCCGGACGCTGGGCTTGAGGCTGGGCCTTCTTCTCCTTCTTGAGCGTGACGGGTGCCTTGGCCGCCGGGACCTCGGGCACGGCCGGCTTGGTCACGGGTGGCGTAACCGATACTCTTGTGAAGGATGACTTAACCGGCGATTTGGGCACGGCTGGCACGACTGGCACCACTGGCACGACTGACACGACTGGCCTGGTAGCCACCTGTGACCACGAGAGTGTCTTGGCCTGAATGGGCGCAGGGACAACCGCCACGGGACCCAGTCGCTGGTGTGGGATCGGGTCGACCCTGGGCAACCTGAGCTTCAGTAGCAAGAGCTCGCCGTTCTCGTCGATCGACTCCAGTCCATGCTGTGGGTGGAATCGGTGGCCGCCGATGATGCGACGCTTTGTGCCCTTGGATAAGGCCTTGGTGTCCTGGTAGACCTGGAAGTCCTTGGGCAAGGGGGTGTAGGTGTACACCCGCTGCTTCTTGTGCTTCCACTCTGTCCTTGCCTTCATTACCTCCCTGGTATTCCAGCTCACGGGTTTCTCGAAGGAGCCGCAGATTGAAAAGGAAGCAGACTATTTGCCGTGTCGAGGTTAGTCGGCTGTGGAGGCCGCGGATTACGATATCCACTTGGCGATAGGATGCCCACTGACCTTGGCGGGTGAATCCCTGATGCTGACATTGTTCTTGCCCTTTTTCTTGCCCTTCTTTCCCTTCTTTCTCACAACAACCGACCAGGGAATCTCGTCGGCATCTGTCGAGGATGACGTCGTAAAGGGCAACGCGGCCTGCTTGGGGGAACTGGGGAGGGTGAATGTCTGTTTCTCTCGGCGTTAGTTTCCCTTCACTACTGACAAACGACGAGGGGTCTGGGATGCTCGCTGACCTCGCCTGACAGTATTTCAAGCTCAAGGCGGGCTTCCTGCAGAATAGCAGCCCAGCGGGCGCTCGGTTGTGATTTCTCGGGAGGCGACATCGTTGGCGAGGATGGGGTTTTTTTTTTTTTTTGGATAGAGAAATGGTTCAATGTGTTGGGAAAAGAAGGGTTGGTTCCAATGTTCCAGAGGCAGGTAAGTTGTGGTTAAGAAAAGGATGAAGTAAGAAGCTCGAGTGGAGGTTCCGACTTTAAATCGTCGTCGCCAGATTTATCTTGTCAGGTTAGCTGTCGCCTGTCGGTGAATGGAATAAATGGACTAAATTCCAGGTCGCATATTTGCTCAGCACAGGAAAGTGCAGAATCAAGGTTCTGTTTTCGCCTTCTCCGCTTAAACACCGAACAGTATTACTTTTCGCGAGTCAGAGGGCCCAGCTCGTAGGTAGTTGTTTCCGATCTCAGCATGGAAGTCTGACAGCGGCATGGACTTCAACACCGAAGGGCGTCGTAGGAAGTCCGTCTAACGAAAATTTGCGGAAGTGGATGCAGGTGGAAAAATGCAATGAATGCTTTTAAAAGCGGAACTGCGGAAGGAGGAAAATCTAGCAGCTTCCGGTGATCTAACCAGCTGCGCGTGCCTATATGTAGACGCATGTAGTGTAGAGATATCTAGGTACATATCTGCATGCCGGAGTCGGACATATGCCTGATGATAAAGGAATCTTTTCTCCATCTTCCCGTCTGAATTTCTCAGGATTCTACTGTGAGTGCGTCAGAAAGGAAAAATGTCTGCGTCGTTTGAGGACTCGGATGTGAATGAAGGTATCCCATCATCTTCATACGCCATGTCGTCCGCGATTTTTTCTTGAATGTCTGTTTTCTTCTAGAGATCTCTTGATATATCTCCTATCATGATCTTCTTTCCATTTTCTATTCACGGAAATACCATCCCAGCTGAAATGCTTCCTTTTTGTTCCCACCTTCCATAACTCCCGTCAGTAACCGAGAATTTCTGCTCCTACCAATCCTTTACCAACCCCGTAGGCGTCACCATCAGCTTCTTTCTCGGGCACTATACAGCTCTTCCCAAGCCATGAACAGGAACCGTGGGCTTAGACGACATTCCGCACCAGGGTGTTTGGAAGTAGTCGCCCTAAACCCCAGCCACCGTGCACCGAGAGGTAGTTTCAATCATCCGGCAATATGTCCTCGTGTATATGGTCCAGCTGGTAGAACTCGTAGCCAACGACAGTACAGCACTTTTTTTGTTCAAAAATCTTCAGCAGGTCCTGTAGGGGCAAAAGTTCCTCGTGAGCGCCTGAATGTCTTTTTCCAAGGTTATGGTTTGGTATTGGGGTCAAGCCTGCGATTGTGTTTGGAGTTGCGCTTGATCTCGATGTTAAACCCCCGTTTTTGTTGGGCCTTGATGGCCATGGGCACGAGCGACGAGCGAGTTGCGTAAAGAGAGGGAGCACATCCGACAATGTCTGGAGGGCTTGTTGAGGGTGTCTTACTTTCGTGTATATGGTTGCCTGCGACGAGGTGGCTTCTGGGCACTGCTGCAATCAAAATGAGGGGATGCAGGTACCCAATCCAGGTCAGGTTCTTCCGGGTTTATTCTTCGAGCTTTGGCCCGTGATGGTGAGTTTCTCAGCGTCCGCCTAATTCGTCTGTCATTGTGGTTAGAAGCTTCTTGATAAGAGGCAATAGTGGAGGAAGCTTCGAGGATGAAACTCACAATGTCCTCAGCACGTGCCTTCTCCACGGCCTTTCGATGTTCCACGCAACGATGGCAGAAGCCGAACTCAATCCTCTTTTTGTCCTTCTTTGGTCTTGGACAAGTAATGATCCGGTTAAGATGGGCAGGCTTGATGAACCCAAACTTGCGTTTGAACTTTTTCTGGGCACCGACCCTGCAGAGCCACTCTTGGGATGTGCTATGGCCACAAATTGTGAAGGTTTTGTGGATGTAAAAGCACATCTCCAAGAAGATCGTAGTCAGAGATAGGCCACTTGAATCCTTACTGAATACTGATGGGTGAAAAATGTGCTGGTTGCAGGCCGTCGGCTAGAAGCACTGCTTCCAAGTCAACAAAATTCGTTTTGATAGTCGGATGTGTTGGATTTATAGCAGGAGGATTGAAGTCGGGTCCCAGAATATTGCACCTTGGTGCCCCGCGCCATACTCCCATCCTGTTGAAAGGCTGACCTTCACCAGCGAGTGAATTATCTTGAGCCTCTGTGCATGATTGCAAACGCATTGTTGCCAGTTTGACCGCTCCTCTTACGCCCGTTGCCGCCGTCAGTGTTCCGATGTTGATGAACCTTGAGCATCGCCGTCACTTCAGATGATACACCGGCGGCATATTGAGTCGTTGACCCACGATAGGCGGGCAATCAACTGCTGAACTGAAAGACTTGAGCAGGCTGTTGTTGTTCGTGGACCAATTAGTCAAAACACTCGGCATGATCTTGAAGATCAGCAGACTTACTGGGGATTTGTGACAAGCACGGGGTATATATGATTCCAGAATCCAGAGCAACGAAGTCTGCAGTGCTTCATCTCACATCCACCCCCTCCTACCTCCTCCCAAACAACCCCACACATTCCCAACATCTTCTGTCTCTTGAGTGCCCTCCCACTGCCTCTCTTTATACGTCAACAAAAAGTTGATTTTGACATCCCTCCCCTCCAACTTCCCCTGGCACAACGAGCAATAGCCAAACTCGATCCGGTCGACAATCTTCAGGTTCCAATTACAAGCCCCGGGAGTGCGGAAACAGGCCACGATGTCCTTGGGAGCTTCGGGAACGGTAATCGTTTCGACCCAGGGACCCGAGGCGAAAACGCAGGGCTCGCGGCGGCGGGTGTGGTGGGTGCAGATTGTGTGGAGGGTCATTATTATGGTGCACATTTTGGTGGTGGGTGGGTTGAATGAGAAGGAAAAGAGTTGTAGATGGTGTAGATCCGTGGGCTTATAAACCTCGGGGCCTGAAAACATGGGTGAGTCTACCGACCACGTCAGTCGGAGTCACAAATGTATTGGACCTGGAAATTGTCATGGAGGTTCCCCCCAAGTTCGAGATGGAGGAGATTGAATGATGTAGGCAGAATCGGGTGCTATGTTGGTCATGATGGCAAATAGCAAATGTAGATCAATACAGCCGAGAGAAAGGTGATGTGTCAATGTAAGTTGGGGAACAACCGCCATTCGTGTATTTGATCGTGACGGCCATTGTCGGTCCCTCGCTGGACGCATGGGAGGAGGTACGTGGGGTCCATTGAGCAGGATACGGTGGAATAAGATGCAATACTATCAGCATCAGGGCACTTTTCGGCGAGGATCTGTTAGTGGAGTAACAGTATGCTGAAGCAAGCGATCACATCAAATCACATTCCATACTACCATGGGCATATTCCGAACTTCAAGATCTGCAGGCTTCAGAACTCTCCTCTTTCTCGTCCAGATTTCACCCAAGGCCCCGCCCACGCCACTTTGGTCGTGTACTGTTGCCGGACCGTGCCGCCTGGAGATCCTTCCTTCTCGGCCCCTCGTCATCACCGGCAGGCATTCCTGCATTTTATTCTCTCCGCTCAATGTAAGTACCTTACACAACTTTACACTTCCGTTCCCAATTCTCCTTTCTTCCCCTCTACATCTCCAAATCGCTGACATTTGCCCATTCCCAGACAAACTTGAATCCTCCAACGCTGCCGTCCTCTACTCGCGCGACCAACTTCCTAGCCACCCAACGAACGAAACGTCGGACCATGATTCCACGTACCACGACCGACCGGCATTCTACGCTACCGGTTCGCGCTCTTTCCGACTCTGTCTCCTTCTACCGTCGGCCATTTTGTCTTTCATTCCTCAACCGTTTACCGCTCACGAGACTCCCCGTCGTCCACATGTGCCACAGTGCTGCAGCGATCAAGATCATCCTGGCGAGACCAGATACAATCGTCGCAGTCGCAGTCTGGCAGACAAGAAGAGGACTCCGAAGAACAGAGCTTTAACACGTCGTGCCACAACTGCTGTTGAAGGGAGGGAGTGTTTTCGTGTTGGACCGAGTCGTTGCTTGGAATGACGGTGGCAGTGATGGCTGTGCTCTTGGCCTTGGGGCTAGCACTGTCACTGCCGACGCTGGGATGGCTTTGTGCTGTCCGATAGGATAAAGAGCTGGCAGAGCCACTCATGGTCGAACCACCACCAGCAGGAGACTTCAAGCTCGACTGGAACCGGGAAGCAGCTACGCCACTAACAGCACGAAGGGGAACATATCGGCTCTGCTGAGTCTTTGTTACATGATACGACAGAGTGGAAGGGACTGGTATCCTGGATTTGGGTCGATCACGACCAACGCAGCCACTCTCGGAGCGCGAGATGGGAATCCTGAAGATGCTGTTTCGGACATTCCCCATCACGGGTCCATTGACCGTGTACCGCGACAACTCCGCCACCTTCGACGTCCTGCACACCTCCGTACGACCAGAAATAGCAGATGGACCACAGGGAAATTTCGCATCCTTAGCGCCGTCAATAATGGCACCACAACTACTACTGCTGCTAATCTCGCTCCAAAAGCTCTTGACGGCGTCGAAGGTCGAGTTCGACGCTGAGCTTGGGCTCGGGATCTTAGAAATGACGGCCTTGGATGGGCTTCTCGAAGCATGACCAACCGCAAGAGTCACATCACTTGAACCTGAGGGACACTTGGAAGTAGACGAATCGCGATCCTTGCTACTATCGCTGATTTCACTCCAGAAACTCTTCGCAGTATGGAATGAAGATGTCGAGGAAGAGGAGGAGAGCGATGGTGTGTTGCTCTCGGTCTTGCCTGCAGCGGAAGCGGGCTTGGCATCGGACTGGGTTGGGCGGACGGTACCTCGACGCTTGGGCTTTTCTTTCAAAAAGGTGGTTGCAGGCTGAGAGGAGGAAAGCTTTTCTTGGATGCTCGAGGGGGCATGTTTCTGGTAGGAGGGGCAACGACCTGGACTGAGGGTAATGACCTCGGGTTGGTCCTCGAAGGAAAAACTCCTGGTTGGTGGCTTGGCCTGGTATCTGGAAGTCAGCGTGGTCAGTTATCTTCTTCGATCAGTGATATCTTACCTGGAATTCTCGAGCGGAAACAGAAGGGGGAATGGTGTTTGCGGTACGGCGTGTTGACGACTTGAGAGGCGAAATTCGCAATGGCGCCGGCATTGCCTGTGGGATGAGGGGACTCAGGGGGCGTCGAGGAGACTGGCCAGCTTGAGGCGCTAGTACCAACTGGATGGTGAAGCTTGGGGTTTGGCGACGGTCGGAACAGGATGGCTTGGTGAGTTGAGCACCTGAACCTCTGCGCTTGGGCCGCGGGATGCTTGAAGCCCGGTACCGGCGGAGAGTACAAGGCTGGCCCTCTGCCGGAGTTTGTGTCTCATTGTTCTTGGGTTTCTCTGAGTCCCTCCTCTTCTCTGATCTTATCCTTTGCGGAGTTGGTTGTTCAAGCGGATCGGCCCAGCGTACCGTCTTCTTCGTTATCCGCGGCGCCGAAGCACTAGGATGTGATGTCGGCCCCCGTGTCCAGGGAGGCGGAGAGGATCTGACTCTCCTTCTCAGGTCGTCGACTAAGGGGCTGTCACCTTTTGGGTACAGCTCGGCGACTCCTTCGGGGCGATGATACTCGACTTGGTGCGGAATTGGACGTCTGTATCGGGATCTAGGATGCGTCTCTTCGGTCGTGCCGTCTCTTTTCTTTGAGATGTTCGGCTGTTGCAGGAGTCCGCCTTCCCTTCGCGCGGTCCGAAGCTCGAGAAAGCGATCGGGATTCTTGTTCGAGGTGTTCGACAAGTGCTGGGGTCGGCCCTCTTTACGCGCGGTGCGCAGCTCGTCAAGGTGATTGGACATCTGGTAGTTCTTAGCATCTCATGGACTTTACACTATCTTGATACTGAGAAGGAGACTACCTTGTTGTGGTGCAATATTGTGGCGAGGTTGTGGTTGAGAGAGGTTCATTCGATCACTTGTCGGATTGCGATGAGGATGCAAGAAGAGAACAATCACCGTCCCTCCCTCCCACGAAATCCATGAGATATCCCCCATGGCCAAGGTTGACTGTCACCACCGTTCACGATGGTCGCCTCCTCTGAACAACATTCGTCTCCATGGCGACTGGTGGTTTTGTTTGCCTGAAATAGTGAACAGCTGTGAACAGCAACACGGTTCATGAACACCAGATTCGCGGACAACAGTGACCGTCGACTCCCATCACTGTTCAAGGATAGGCAGTACCGCGAACATGACGGTGTTGCTAGTATCACTGAGTGATGAAATTACAGGAAAGATCAGAACGATGCTCAAAAAGTGTTCAATAAACCTGTTATACAGTCGCGAAGGGAATAGACACGGGAGGAGACACTCGTTGAGAAAAAGACTTTGGCTTAAAGTGTGACGGATATATAAGACACAAAATGTTCTATTCGATTTATACATCCCATCTCCGCCGTCATCAATGTTCGTCTCCATTTTTCGGGCAGTGAAAATGGTTGTCGCGACGGCATGGATGGTCAGACAACCAAAGCGATTCAGATGCACATCTATTGTAGGCGTCACAATCCCCGGTGGCTTCCTGTTAGTGCCGTAACAGGCCGCCAAGGGCATGCGATTGGATTACCCCTGAACGGGACCGACAGCCTCACTGTTATCACTACGCCCATTAGATTACTCGATCGACAAGTCTAATGGAAAAATAGGAGAGCATCACAAGCTTCATCATTGACAGCTGCATCGAGGACTATAAATCTCTCCTCCCGTCCTGATGACGGCTTCATCTGTAGAAGAGGTATGCACAGCGGCCGGAGCCTTTGTGTTCTAGCGCTAACCCCGGCAGGCATTCTGCGCATCTTATATCCCCTTCCGGTTCTCGGCCTGCTCTAGAGGTATTTCCCTTTCTTCCTTTACCATGGGTACCTCTATCCTGTGCTCGAATCTTTCGAGGTGCCAATTCCGCCTACACCCTCCTCGCCCTACAATTTCCTTCTTCGACCCTAGCGACCGTGCTGCAGCCCGCAACATCCCTCTCCTCGCCCCAGACGCAATCGTCGCAGTCACAGTATCGCTCCCCTGGCAGCACTGAAGAGGAATCGGAGCGGCAAAAGTTCGTGATCGTGTTCCAGAGCTCGGATTGCAGGGATGGGATGTATTCGGTCTCCATAGAGGTAGAGCTGGCGGCCATTGAGCTTGGGGTGTTGGCATTGGTGTCGCTGCTGTTGGTAGTGCTGAGGTAGCTTTTTGCGGTGACATAGCTCGAGGTGCTACTTGCTGCAAGACCAGTGGCAGTGTTGGGATAATTCCGGCCCTGAAACAGAGAGGTCGAAGCCGTGCTGTTGCCATTCTCACCATAGACAGTCACGTCATCACTCTTTGCTGAGCGGTACGACGACGACGACGACGACGTGGACGAGCTCAAGATCGCAGATGACTGGCGACGATTGCCACCACTCACACGTGCGGTATACCCCGGCAGATCCGATACCATCTTTGAGGTCTTGGGCAAATTATCGCGATTGCGAGACAAAGCCGCCGGCTGAGGAGTCTTGGAACTGTCGCCGGACACGAGAGCGATACAACTACTAGAGGCGTCAAGGTCACCCCAAGAAGATTTGGCCGAAGGGAATGATGAGAAAGAAGCGGACGATGGCAGCGGCAACTTGGGCAGAGAAGCAGCGGGCTTGATCTCCCTGGTTTGAACAGGAGAGGCCGAGGAACATTTCTTGATATTGCCGCTATCTTCATCGCAGATCGGTCGGCGCTCGGTCTTGACCGTTGGAGGGAGTATGGTGCCGTTGCGCTTAGGTTTCGGCTGCAGGTATGAGGTTGACGGAGGCGGCGAGAAACTGTCCTTGGTCACGCTAGTGTGACGGCTTTTGTGGGCTGAGTGGGAGTGGACGGTAAAAATTTCGGGCTTGCTGTCCAACGAGAAGTCCCTTGCTGCCGTGGGGATGTGACTCTCTGATGACTGTTTCTGGTCAGCGTGGTCCGCCATAAGGGATTTTGCGATATCTTACCGTAGCTGAAGGTGCTAAAGCAGAAGCGGAGAAGGTCGGGACTCGACTCCGGCGCTGGGAGAGGCGCAATGAGGCCGGGACGGCTTGGGGCATGAGAGGGCTTGGTGGGCGCTCTTGACCGATGATCGACCTTGATGATGTGTACGACCTCGAGACGGCGAACTTCGGTCTTGGGACGGAGGAGCGTCTGCCAGTATCGCGGCGCAAAGTACAGGACTGAACATCATTCGGCGTCACTGCCACCCTAATATGGTGCGTAGCATGAGCTTCTGACGATTTTCCAGCCCGACCCTTCTCTTTCTCAATCGGCTTTTCTTCCCTCTTCTGGCTCTCTGGATCTCTCTTCATAGCAGACTTCCTTTTGGGCGGCGCGGTTGCTGTCTCGCCTTTCTGTACGAGGGACTGCGGCTCCAATGGATCTGTGAAACGGACTGTTTTGTTGGTTTCTGTCTTCTGAGACTTGTGTGCATGGGCATGTGGATGAGGAGTTGGGGCTCGGGTCCGGGTTGGCGTAAATGTTGACGACCGAGACCTGCCTCTCGGCGAGTCGTCGGAAGACTTGTCATTTTCGGCTCCCGAGGCTCCCTCATGTCGATAATGCTCGACTGAGTATGGGGTCGGACGGCGGTACCGAAATTGATTGGCTTGCGGCTTCTTTCCTTCTCTATGCTTTGTCTTCTCGGCACCATCACGGTGAAGCTGGACCTCCAAGCTTGCCCCGTCGATGTCGACATCAAGCTCGCTGAGGTGACAATTGGGCTGCTTGTACATCTTGTATGACGATCAAATTCGGAATCGATAGAGGTAGGCTTGTTGATATCAGATGTTTTCGGCGTTGCAATGCTTTGTACGCCGGCTGTTGATAGTTGCGTGGGATAGGTTGGGTCGTCACTGTTGTGATGATGCGAGAAGAGGACCATCACCATCCCTCTCCCCAACAAAATACATAGGATATAACCTCATGGTCAAGGTCGACGGTCGCAGTGAGCTGTCGCTATGGTGACTGTTGTTGCTATTTACTTCATAACCTGTCTTTCTGCCGAACGTCAGCACTGTTCATGAACATAGCTCCAAGGCAGCAAGGCTGAAGATGGAGACAGTACCTAGGTATGTTCAACGCCGGTCTTCATTCAAGTACGGGTCTAATATGATGGACGTAGAGGTAGCGGCCAGGTCCAAACAGTTCATAAGTATATGTATATACGGTTGTAGACGATACCTCATGCTATCATTGACTGTGCGGGCCGAGTTGAGGCAGGAATGAACAGACTACCATGGACCGTCGACCCAAATAACAGGCTAGGGGAGAAACATCACGGCGATATCGGACCGTCAAGTCAAGATGGTAAGAGCAACACTGAGGATCGATCCCACACTTGATACATGAAATTCCGAAGAGACCCAAAAGAAACAATTACGGTGACAACATCTTCTATTGAAGTCAACCGAGACACTCGACGATAGAAATAGATTAGCCGACAAATGATATATACAGATGATACCGAATGGGCTTTAAGATCCATATGCTATAGGCTAGCCCATCTGTACCTATTCTCGTAGTCCGATATCAGGAAGTGACACCTGGTGTCCCCGAAGGCATCTCGCCAATCGAGCATACGGCGGTCACTCGACATGGGCCGAGCGAGATACGACCCTATCGCAGACACTGCATTTTTCAGCGATGCCAAGTTAGTGAAGTAACGTTATTGAATCGAGGCTGTTCCCGTACCATCGTTTGATGTTACCTACCTACCGTAGGTACCTGAATTGAATAGTACCTACTTCTAGAGGTACTGAAGCTGGTAAATCGTGTCAGACCCGAAACCGAAGCCGAAACCGAATGTCGCGAGGGTGGTGAAGACCTCTAGCAGATCTCAACCGACGATTACCTCTGTGATCCGACGTGTACTTACCTACCTACCTTATGATGCTGACCTAGAGGTGCACGATGTTCTCTCGCTTTCACAAATTGTCTTTCTCCTGACGTAGGTGTGTTTGTTATCTAGGTACTACCTACTGCCTATAGTAGCCCTTCTTAGAGGTACCATTACCCACGGTCTTTGCATCTTGTTCATTCATGAGGTCTTGACAAAACTAGTAAAATTTGTTTCTGCTGTGATGTGATCTCAACGCTGCTTATCCCCACAACCAAATTGTGTGGCCTATGCAGGTATTCTTGTTGTCTATAGTTCTTGCTGCCCTTTCTCCTTGTTGCCGTGAATTAGTGTGTCCAAGTGTTCCGCTACCTCTATCCAGATCCCTTCTCGTACCACTACTGAGGTGAATATTCCAAATTTAGAGGTACATGAATACCGTGACAATAATAATGATACTTCGCTGGCCTTTCAATCAATGATCATGAACGCTTTTTCCTTCAAAATTGCCATAGCATGTCAGGTATCCAACCCCAGAGCAACCAACCTATGTGCTACTTCCCTTTTTTCAACAAAAATCTGCGCATTCCCTCGGGCTTCTGGACCCCTCTAGTCCCCTGCTGCGTAGAGGTAGAGGTAGCAGGTTTCTGAGCACTAGCCGTTCTCATTTTTTCCGTGTTTACCTCCGTTTTCGGTCTCTTCTCCGGTCTGGTTTCCGTCCCTGGGCCGGCGGTGGCGGCGGCCGCCTTTCGCTTGCTGCTTCCGTTGTTGATCCACTCACTAGCAACACGCGGAGGACCGAAACTTGTGCCGATTCCCGCCATCTTTGCTGCTGTCGCCGGCGCTCTTCCTCCTAGATTTGCGGCCGTAGCTCCTCCTCTCATATCTCCACTCCCTGTTCCACTGGAAGTGACACTGACACCGGCACTGGCACTCCTTCCGGTAGCACTACCTCCTCTTCCACTGCCATCAGCAGCAGCACTCCCACCAACTCTAGGTGTGGCAGCACCCTGCCCCTGCCCCTGACCTTGCCCCTTCCCCCTAGAGCTACTCACCCCCCTCTTCTCTTTTTCTTTTTCTCTCTCCCTCCTCATCTCCTCCCTCCTCATTTCCTCCCTCCTCATCTCCTCCCTCCTCTCCCTCTCCGCCACCCACTCCTCCCGACTCAGCGGCCGTCTCTGCACCTCCCGCCCACTCACAAACCGCTTCGGCGGTCGACTATCCGGCAACAGTCTTTGCAGCTCCATGCGCGTATTGAACTCGTCATGGAAAGCCAAAGCAAGAGCGGGGTCGGTCCGGAAGATGTGCTGGAAATGGAGGTTATGTACTAATATCCGGTAGCGGTCGTAGTTCTCGGGGCTGAGGTGGATGCCGGGGAGGAGGTGGGGGATTGCGGTACTGGGGAGGGTGGCACCGGGGATGGTGGTACCGGGGATGGGGACACTGGGGATTGCGGTACTGGGGAGGGTGGCACCGGGGATGGTGGTACCGGGGAAGGGGACACCGGGGAGGGTGGCGGTATCGGGGAAGACGGTACCGGACAAGGTAATACCGGGGATGGCGGTAGCGGAGAAGGGGGAGGGATTGGGATTCGGGGTTTTGGTGGAGGTAGAGCTGGAGCGTTGGGTTTGGGTTTGGGATGAGATATGGGATGGGAGGGGGGACCAAAAGGCAGGGGCGGAGAAGGAAGAAGGGGGATGCAGTTGTGGTGGTCGTAGTTGCTGTAGTAGGTTCTGCAACTGTTGCTGTTGCGGTAGTTCTAGTTTTTTGTCTTGTTGTAAGAGTGCTACGAGTTCTTGTATTTGGTGCATTAGGTGCAGTTGTTGCTGTTGTTCTTGATCTTCTTGCTGCTCTTGGGATTCTTGCTGTTGAGGCTGTTCTTTTTCTCCAGGTTCTCCTTGTTGTCCTTGCTGCCCTTGCTTTTCTTCCTGTTGAGGCTGGTTTTGCTGTTGTTCTTGTTGTCCTTGATGTTGATGTTGAGGCTCTACCGGCTGTACCTGCTGTACCTGCTGCACTTGCTGTTCTGGCTGTCCTTGCTGTCGAGGTTGTTCTGTCTGTGCTTTCGGCTGAGGCTGTACCTGCTGTTGCTTCTGTTGAGCATGTGGGCGTGGTGGTTGTTGCCGTTGCGGGCCTTGCCCTTGCCCTTGTTGTAGCAGTGATAGTAAGCCGAGTTGTTGTAGGCGGTAAAAGTAATGCAGTTGCTGTTGTGCCAATAGTTGATGTTGTTCCTGCTGTTGGCCATGTGCGTGTCGTGGTTGTGACGGCAGTTGTCCCTGCTGTAGCGGTGGTGGCAGCCAGAGTTGTCCAAGTTGGCGCATGTGCTCCAGTTGTTGCTGCCTTATCTGTTGTAACAGTAGTTCCTGCTGGTGATGTAGGGTACGTTCGTGTAGTTGCTGTTGTTGTGGTGCTGGTAGTAAGGTAGGTGGTGGTTCAAGCGCTGAGCGGTTGGTACTCGCGGGGAGAGCGGTGGTGTTGACTGTGTAGACCATGGGGTTGGTACCAACGGGGAGAATGGATGTGTTGGCCAGAGGTCTCGAAGAAACGGTCGAGCTGGTGTTGCGTGGAGGTGCCAATATGCTGACTGGGGTTGGATATGGAGGCACATGTGCAATGTTTGAAGGCGTGTCGGTGCTTGTCAAAGGCCTCATTGGTGAAGCAATTACCGGCGTCTTGCTGGCGTCGGTCTCAAGCTTATTGGAGTGGGAGGAGCCGGGGACAGCGGTTGAGCGAGGGGCTGCTCCGAGTCCGCCCGCGTTTCTGTTCGCTCGTGCGTCCATCTTGGTCTTCTTGTCTGTGAGTAAGCAGAAGCGATAGCGACGGTATGTCGAATACTCACATGTATTTCAATTGCAAGCTATGTGGTCGATAAAGCTGGTAGGTAGCTGATGTGGAAGGCTGAGGAGAGGTCAAGGCGATGGCTTATGTTGGAGGTTCCGGTTGACCTTGTCGGAAATGCAAAGTACACAACAACCTGCCTGCTCCTCCTCCTTGCTGAGTAAGTGAATGGGGGTTTCTAAACCTGACCAATCTTCGTGTCAAGGTTCGGTGCCAGTTGAGGCCAGGTGAAGAGAGTGACACATTGGAGAACTGAAAGCTCGATGGGTGGTCGGGTTGAAGAAGGCAACGGCAAAGGCAGCTTTAGCGACTAGCATTGCATGTGCAGATGAGGTCTACGCCCCAAGACCATGTGTTCGGGTCCTGACTAACGAAGTAGACGCACGTTCTGTGCATGTAATGTCTTGCACTACAAGTACTGTATTGCATCAGGAAATCCGGATTCCAGGCCAGGCATTGAACGCAGGGCTTTGAGTCTGCCAGTTGCATTGAGAAGGATGTGTGTGGTTTTGAACCAGACCTGTAACCCTGCGTTGCCAGCTGTGCTGTAATCTGGGTGCCCGAGATTGTACGGTACTCATGCTGTCTGCCTCTGCTACATAACGATGGGAGCAGTTTACGGGGCATTCAGTGACGAAGAGGAAAACCTTGCATGGACGAGTCCCATACCTATGATGACCTCCGGTCCTCGCTTACCTCCATTCAGCATCAGATTCACTCATGAAACACATATAGGGAAAGGCAAAGGGAATCTGGGTTTTCAAGTCTTGGAACGAGCTTGTGACTTGCGAAGGAAAAAGAGAAGATCGAGGAATCAAGCCGAGGACGTGGGAGAAGGAAAGAGGCCGAGCAAGAAGTATCGCGGCTACACTTGGATTCAAATAAAACCGCTGGTAGCCATGACCGCTACCTCCACCATCTCAGATATACATCATTCACTCGCGGTTTTGTACCCAAATCTTCCTCCGACGTGTGCCATCTACCATCTACCATCTGCCCGCCACGCCCGCTGTCGCATCTCGAAGCAAGTAGGAGTTAAAGGAAATCATGGTAGGTAGGTAGATAGGTAGGTAGGTAGCTGAAACACATCCTCAACAGAAGATGCAACAAAAGCCTCCATCGTGTAATCCTCCCTGAAGCAGGCACTGCTGCCCAAGACAAAGCTTCATCGCTCTGTCTGTGATGGTTCATGCTCGGTATTTGACAAGGGGATTTTACTTTGTCTTGCGACCACCGTAGCGCACAGCTCAGAGCTCTTGGTAAGATGGTACAAACGACAAAAGATGGGATTTCCAGGGCATAGACAGACAATGAAGAAGAGACGTGGGGACGGGGAACGAGGACAATGGATCCTTTTCCTGGTGGAAACTGAACAAGGACAGGACAGGACAGGGAGGTAGGTAAACAATGGAGATTGTTAGGTACTTACCTCCCTATAATGAAAGCGTTGTCGAGGACAAGAGGCCGAGCCGAGTGGGTGGCGCTCAATGATCATGGCATGATTCATTGTTTTCTTCTTTGATGGCACTCGCTACCAGAGACCCAAGTGAACTATGTTTGGATTTTCGATTCTTCTTCGTCGTCGCCGAAAGACGGGTTTAATACCGCGAGTCCGCGACCATGGCCGTCATGGCGCGAGCGACTGAAGTTTGTTTCTGTTTCCTATATTCGGTAAACATCAGTAGCAGCAGCTGAGTGTCGACTCGGACAGAACGAAGACGGGTGTAAACGACGACGAGAAAATAAGAGAAGCAAGAAACAAACCCAGCGAGAGAAAACAAGCAAACAAGCAAGCTGTGAATAGTCATCTCCAGCCTCGCCCATTCTCGTGACAGCGACCACCTATAGCAACCCAACCTAGCAAGGATTCCCGTTTCCTTGAACCTCACGCAAGCATCATGGAACCCAACATCCCCAGCCACGACGACCCCAAGTCAAAGTATCCGGCCCAAGCCCAAGCCGTTGACTTGTGGTCTTTGGGCAACGGTGATGAAATGGATATAGATCTGATAGATCCGGCCTTGGACGACTTATACCCTTTCGACAACCCTAATCCCGACGACCCTAATCCCTCTCCTTCCCTTCCTCCTCCTCCTCCTTCTGCTCCCCCTGCAACACAACCTCTGCAACCGCCGCAGGACCAACCTCGTATACCCCTTGAGGTTATGCAGCGTATTGAAGCCAACATCGCCAGGGTGCAGGCTGCACTCAATGCCATGGGCGCAGCCCAATCCCAGCACCAGAACCAAGATGCCCCTAAAAACGCCCCTTCCACGCCACCCAACAACCGGTCCGTTGGTCCCAAAACCCCCGTGGAAGGAGAACAAGGCAGCAAGAACAAAGTTCAGTCCAGTTCCGTCGTTGACTTTGATGGCCTTTTGGAAAGTCTCAAGAAGACTCTTGACAACCTGCCCGACGACGACACCGACGACACTTGTTCTCTCACTCTTCCACGTCCGAGACCCAATGATATGTTGACGGTCCATGATCTCTTCACCCTCCTTCGTGCTGCTCCACCCAAGGTAGGATGCGTCATTCCCAACTCCGAGAGACAGATCTGGTACCGGCCGACTCAAGCGGATTATGTGGAGCTGAACCAAGCCGGCAGTGTGGCGGATATTGTACATAATTATCTCCTCAAGCCATCGTACTTGACGACCTACTTGAGCGATGCATGTGGGTGGATGTTATGGTTCATGTATGACAAGACTCAGTGGTGTACTTGCCGGTATGACCCCGTGAACACAAGGTTCGTGAGAGGCGATGAACCGCCGGGCGGCAATGGAAGTGGCGCCTTGGTCGTCGGATACAGGACGCCTTGGGCTCCAATCTGTAATGGGTGTCGAGGAGATATAAGTGTGGAGGTCAGGGTTTTGGATTATCTGGCTAGGTGGTTCAGTTTCCCGGTTCCTGAGGGGAGCAATATTTTGGATGTGATAGAGGCCAGGGTGCAGGCAGAACGGTTCCAACAAGCTGATGTTGCCGGGCCATGGACGCCGAATGGGCCTCCGCCGGAGCCAGAAGGTCGGGCTGAGATTGAGCTGTCGGCTAATTCCAAAGCCTTGTCTCGCAAGTTCCAAAGTCTGCTTCAGGGGTTTTCGGGCGGGGCGTTGGATGAAGCGAATGCTGCAAGAAAGCCGAAGCGCCGACGTTATGAGGAAGAGGATGAGACGGGCGAGAGCAACAAGCGTCAACGTGTTGAGGAGAAGCGCCATCGTCTTCCTGATGGATCCTTTCTCTATGATCCCTTTGTTGATGATACATCGGCTGACGTCCCTCTTTCCGGTGGTGATCCTTTCGGTGGTACTGGAGATGCCATGATGCTCGATAATGATGATGATGATTGGCCTTCTGTTGCTGCTGCTCCTCCTCCTCCCAACAGTCCCAACGCACCTCACGTCGCCACCGCCAACAACCAAACTAACAACAACCCGCAGCCTCCCCAGCGACCACAACAGCTCCAGCGATCCCAACGATCTCGGCGACCTCGAGTTGCGAATCCCGAGGGCATCCCACCCAGAGCCACGGCTGCGGATGCCCATGCACGCCTTGCCGCGGAAGGGAAAGAGTATCCTCCGTGGCCTGTGGACCTTTTGCCGGGGCAGCATTGCAATAATTGCAAGAGCGTCAGAATGAAGCCAGCCAAGGAAAACACGAGAAAATGTCAGAAATGCATAGACACGCACGCCAAGATACGTGAAATCAACCGAGAGCGCGGCTACTGTACGAACATGGGGTGCAAGCAGCATCAAGGGATCCCCAGACCATTGAAGGAAAACGGAGAGCCGTTTGCCTACTGTCCGCAGTGCAGGGAGAAAAGCAACCAGAAACATGCTGCTAAGCTGAAGAAGGCCAAGAAGGGTCAAGATGGGGGTGGAGGAGGAGGAAGTGAGCAGGGAGGTGGTCAAGCACAGGCAGCTTGAGTTGGTCAACCGTGAAGTAGAGGTACATGGAGTCCAAATGTGAATAGGTTCGGAAACAGGTAGGTATGTGGCTGGGTTGGCAAGTAGAGATATCCTTGAAGAAAATGGACAAAAGTATCAAATTGATGGTCGGGTGCCATGATGCCCTTTTTGCGAGCGTATGTGAAGTCTGAAGGCCACGACTTGGATTGACGGAATGGCCATGTAAACAAAACCCCTGAAAGCCCTGGTAATGGATCCCACTTGGGTCTCCTGTTGCCTGCTAGTCAGGTCTTCAAACCCGAGCCTCAGACTAGCGGGCGAGTTTGGGCTAGTAAAGAGCTGCCGTAGAGGTCCGAAGGTGTCGGGGATTGTTCAGTCAGGCCTACCGTGGGATGATTGGACTGGATCTTTGGTGTCAGCAAACATACATGACCCTTCTCTGAGGATGTCTTGCACCGTAACTGACGGCTTCCACTTACATATCTCACAGCAAAGGCATGGCCTGTTTCTGAAAGTAAATGTGAAAAAGCAAATCAAATAATGTAAAAATAAAGAATCACCTTTGGATGAGACACTCGACAGGCACTCCTTCATTTTAAATATCACGAAATGTCGTGGATTGTCACTGCCTGGTTGATACTGCCGATGTTGACGAGGAACAAAGAAAGTCTCAGATGAGGTCGGTCATGGCACTGCAGTGAGTTAGTACCGCAGCACAGACCACTGCAGCCCAGTTGCCTCCATCCCGGCAGGCAAGCACCGTGCTTTGGAGGTACGTACCGCAGCAGTATCCACTTTTGTGTTTGCTGCCCACTCATAACTTCATGTCTTTCATCGCCATCAAGATCATTATCATCGTCAATCTCAACATTATCCTCACTTCCCGCGCGCTGTCGGTCATCGAATTGTTTTCCTCGGGCCGCCATATTCATACATTTCACTATCGGTTGCGGGACGGCATTGTTTGCCCCTTCTATCCAGCAGCTCTTATCGGTATCGCAGTCGCAAATTTCAGTGGCACTTTTCACTTTCATCATCAAAACCAGCCATGTCAACATCACCCGGCTCGGCCAAGAAGCGCAAGGCGTCCGACATGGCCGACACAGATTCCGACCCTCACCGGCGGCCGGAAAAGATCCCTGCCTCGCCCAAGCCAAGATCCATCATGGACTTGCCCCCCGAACTTGTCAACCAGATCCTCGACCATCTCATCCCCAACCTGCCCGAGATCGACGAACCGGCGCCAGAAGCCTTCGACAAGCTTGTCCGCGAAGACCCATGGTACGACTTTACTCGCCGTCGCAGCGCCTTGCGCAACCTCTGTCTTGTCTCGCACTTCTTTGCCGACCTTGCCCGCCCATATCTCTACCACACCATCGCCATCACCAGCGAAGAGGTTTTGGTCTTGCTCTTTCGCACCATCACCGAGAATCCAGACTACTGCGGTTGGACCCGCTCCCTCAGCTGCCACCTCACCCTGACCAACAGCCGAGTGGTTCGCAAGACCAAGCGCTGTCTCAACAAGCTTCTTCCCACCTGGCGGGAAGGCAAGGGGCTGGTATTCATCACCGGCTATCTCGAGAGCCTCCAAATGCGGCGGGCCAGCACAGATCCGGACGAATACTACGAAATGGCCCAAGGGATTCTCGGCATGACCATGACCGCCCTGTACTCACTCGAGACCCTGCTGCTGCAGCTGCCTGCCATTGACCATGACCGCGACTACTTTGAACTGATCAGCTGTCTCCGAATCACAATGTCCTACTTCAACACGGAAGCGGGCGAAAAGTGCCGTCGTAGCTATCTCTCCATCCTTCCCGAAGATGTCAGGTCCATGATCCCCGACCGGCTCGAGTCCGCGGCCCTCACCCCCTTCCAGCACCTCACCACTCTGCTCCTCCAAGGCGACCCGTCCGTCGAGGACCCTACCACGCTCGACGACGACGATACCGACGACGGCGACCCTCCCGAAGTCTTTGGTGTCCAGACCCGCCACTACCACCCGCTTTTCGAGCTTCTCCCCGCTCTCACCACCCTCGAAGTATCCACTGACGACGGCCTATTTACCTTTTTGGACGGCGAGGAGGGCTTGACCGATGTCTTTGCCCGACCCACCAACTCCTTCCACCTGAGCCCCACCAGGCACATCTACCTCCACTCTTCCGTCGCCGACCCGCGCAACATCGGCAGGATCCTCCGACATGCGCCCGACCTCGAGACGCTCTACATGAACCCCCGCAGGGTCGACAGCTTCCACAGGATCCCCCCGCAGGACGCAGCCCAAGCAGACGAGGACTGCCTAGACCAAGCGCTCTCCAAATACGGCAAGAAGCTCAAACATTTAGACCTCAACTGGTTCGACTGCCAGGGTTCCGAGGCCAGCATCGGCGTGGGCGGCCGGCTGTCCACGCTTCCCCAACTGAAAGAAGTAGAAAGGCTGTGCATCCAGCTGGTCATGCTGTACGGGGACCTGCCAGCCGGCGAGCACATGATGCACCAAGGACGGCCCGTGGCGGATCTGTTGCCGCCCAATCTGGTCGAGCTGACGTTGGAGGACTGGTGGTGGGACAGCCTCGATGATTTCGACACGTTTTACCGCTGGTCGGACAAGCAAAAGAAGGAGCATTTTCGGGAAAAGGAAGGGTACAGGGAGACGGTGCTGGAGATGATGAAGGGCTTGGCTTTGGTGGCGGGGAGGAACGCAAAACCACCCGGTCATGGCGAAAGCAAGATGCAGAAGCTGAAGCGGTTCCGGTTCTTTATTAGGACGTTGCCTACGTGGGTATTACCAGGTGATGAAAGGGGCCCGGATGCGGATGTGCAAGAGCTGTTTGAAGGCGTCCGGGAGTTGTTTGAGAAGGCGGGGGTGGAGTTTGTCGTTGAGGTTGACCAGCCGCTGGAAATGGAAGAGGAGATGCAGTAGGGTATGTAGGTGTAGTTTGCACAAGCTCACGTGCAAGTTGTATACCTACTACCCATCTCTTTGCCCCATGGCGATAACTTTGCTATGCCTACCTAGGTACGGCTTGCTTCCTTCACTGCTCTTTTCAACGTAGGCCCTTCGCAACCTACCCTATCCCGCCTTGAAATTTCCCAAGCTATCATTGATAGCCAAGTAATACCATACATACTAGTAGTACAGCAGCAGCATCTCAGCAGCAGCTCAAAAAGGGACGAAATATTCCAATGACCAAAATAAAAGTGAATTGAAAGCGCAGTCATACATACATATTGGTCTCTCAACCGTCGATTAGGTAGGTAGGTAGGTAGGTTGTAGGGTATCCATAGACAGAATAGATAGGTAGGTAGGTAGGTGGGTAGGTAAAGATGGAAAGGCTTAGATGTCCACTTAACGCTAAGAAGCAACGCACTAACACACCTCAAACCTAAATTGCTAGGGTGTCTGATAAAGCAGCTTGACGCCCCCGCTTGTGAACCATCCATCCATCCATCTCCATCCGGCATCGGGATTTTACCCTGCCCGACTTTTTTCCTTATTTACAAATTCGCTTACTGCGTGCCTACCTATTCGGCGCAATTGATCACCATATCGATATATATCTACACTACCTACTACCTACGTAGGGTGTGCCCATTTCCTCCAGTGTAATTTCGACTCACTCAAGTCGGAGGCGATGTCCGATTTAACCAAACCACGCTGTACGTCGTGTACGTGTAGTGTAGTGTACCTGGCGGCGGTGACTTGAAAGCGGTCTAGGTTTTTTTAGTAGAGGACGGTAGGTGCCTAGTTGGCGCGGTGCCTAAAGTATCACACCGGACCCCCCCCCCCTCGACTCCCGACCGTCAACAACAACAACAACAACAATACTACAAGATCATTATTTAACCTGTCATTAGACTTGATACTCGAAATTGTACTAGTATATATATATATAATGTCCACCCTTGGTTTCTTTCACAGGGGTTTATTTTTCCCTTTTAGAATGGCTACCTACGTAAGGCGCGTTTGCTGTGTGAATGGTTCTTGACTTTGGCTTTGTAAAATAGCTGAGATCTGGGGGGATTTCATTCTATGTTATGGCTACCTAGTTCAATTCACTGACACGTTAGAAAAGAAAAAGGGAGGCGAGACATGGGAGGCATGCTTTGGCAAAGCGTGGCATGGCAAAGCGTGGCATCCATCCATCCATCCCGCACATGGATGGCATGGCATGTTTATGGTTGGTCGCGTGCCTAATTGCCTGTTTGCCTGTTCGTGGTGTGCTGACTGCTTATATGTAGTAAGCGCCAAGGGTACAAATGATATGCTGTATGCTTCCCCGGCGGCGGCTGTTTTGTTTTGGTCGTTGGTGTAGTGTAGTAGTGTAGTAGTGTTGTTGGTGGCAAAGCCAAGCGCCAGCTTTGTTGTTTTTCATCTCTGGGTTGTGTGTGTGTGTGTGTGTGTGTGTGTGTGTGTGTGTGTGTGTGTGTGTGTCGTGCAAGATAAAAAAAAAAAAAATGATAATTCCTTGCACACGGGCGAAAATTGAAATCTCCGGACCGGTTTTATGTTGTTGAAGTGGGACTTGCCGGCTTTGTGGACTTTTTTACCTCTTTGGGGAATTATTTTACCGCACGTCATTTGGATTCCCGTCTGGGAGATGTTCTGTGAGGACTCCGCATCTCTGGTGTATACAAGTCCGACGCACCGCCCGTAGTTAAACCCACCAAAAGAATGAGGAACAAACTCCCGGACAATTCTTTACAAAAAAGGGGTAGAAAATCAGTGAGTGGTTCCTGAATTGGAAGATTGGCTGTAACCTTGATGAGCTACTTGGTGGGGTCGGTTACGCGGCCCGGACGGGGGGTCAGTTCACATTCCATCCATCCTGGGGTTTGGATGGAGTCCCTTTTGGAGACGACATGGCGCCAAGCGGACTGAGATCGACCAGAATGCCAACGATAATGCAGTAAAGCGGTCAGCTGAGTGAATTTCTGCCCAGCGATGATCGATAGTCCTGAGATATTTCCTCCTCCGCTTCCATTGTCCATTTGAGGAAAACAGAAAATGATGGGCAAATTATTCACAGCTGACAGATTATCCAGGGTTTTGGCTGGTTTGATGATGGATCCAATTGCGCCTGTCGATGCGGTGCTGTTAATGAGAAAGCGATTGCTGGTCGAGATACATGTACAAAGTGGAATGATACATTAGATTGAAATCCGGGGTTGGGAGACTCCCTCCCGTCAACGTGGAACGATGGAACCCCCACGAATAGCAACAGTGAGTCTTGAGCAGCATTATGCTCCCCTGGTGAAACCGGCAAGGACGGCATCCTGTCGACTTTTGTGATTGATGGAAGGCTTCCCGAAGCCCAAAAGGCTGACGAATCCCCAAGCCAAGCATTCGTCGTCTGAAATGATGAAGTCGAAGGCCGGGGGGTGCGACACTGTGTGAGCCCAGGCCGCCACTCGAACAGAGCACTGTGGTAATTATTCGCAATTTCTCAGGGCAGCTGCATCCCCGTAGTGTAGTGTAGGTACTACTGCAAGGAACACAACACTCAGACCTCCCCTCGTTGTTGCCTGCCGGGACTTGTATTCCATTCGGTGCCTGGCACAATCCAAGGCGGAATTCTATGAGAGATTTCAACAGTGAAATGCCCCTTCTTTCCCCCCTCCAAAAACTGAACATCAAACAACAAAGTCGCCAGTCATATCCAGTCGGTGAGAAAACCACCACATCACCAGCACCCTCATCATCGAATCGACAACAACTACTAGCGACCCCAAGCCCTGCTGCCATGGCCTGGCCAAGATGCAACCGACCATGCCCAGCAACCGCGGTGGCCAAGACTGGGTGGGTAAATGATGCTTGGACTCTTGGCAGCCGTCTTGGCTCGCAGAAATTCGACCAAGTCCCCTCTCTTGGCATACACTGTATCCCTTCCGCCAAGTCAGCACAAGCAAACCCAACTGAACTGAAGCAGGCGACAGTGATACACAGGCAGGAAGGACTCTCAGGCCTTCAAAAAGTGTCCCCTGGATCCGCCACCGTCTCGCTTGACATGTCGACCGCTTCATGACGGCGTAAGATTACGATTGATACTGACCTAGGTAGGTAGGTATTCATCCCTTTTTTCTTCTCGACCTGGACAGCTTGTCAACTCCAGTCTCGTCACACAACGACAGCAACAACATCATCAACAACAACGAGGTTGTACAACCAAGTACATACAAGGGGAACTGAAGCATCACGGCCACCGCACGGAGCGACATTCAACCAACATCGAAACCCCCGTCCCCCGTCTCCCCGTACCCCCGGCAAACTCCCCCAAAACTCCCGATTCCCAAAAAAGGTTCAACGGCGGTCGGTCGGTCCCCGGTCCACACACAGTCCCTTCCTCTCCACACACCAAGCAGTCCCTGTCCAGGACCCTCCTTGTGGACACCCATACACCCCCCCGGACATTATCCATCCCTCCTTGCTTGCTCACTTGATTTCCTGTTCCTGTCCAACTTTCTCACTCTCCAGTTGTGACGCGACCACGCTTTCCTTTTTGCAACCACTTCGACCTTGTTCGGTTCGGCCACTCCTTCGACAGAAACAAACGAGATCAACTGACCGACGACAACAACGACAACGACGACGACTTGTACAGACGGCAGTACCTAAAAAGACGGACACACCAGAGAGACCGCCTGTCGATGCCCCGCCTACGCCTACAGCACCGTCCTCGATAGCGCCCACCCCCCCCCCCTATCCCTAGCCCGTTGGTTCCCAGGTAGCTCCGCCAGGCCGCGTGTACCTCGCTCGATCCGCAACATTTTATGCTCTGCCGGTCCCGTCTCTCCGCTCACAACCACTCCCGACTTTGACTTTTCCGTCTCACCTCTTTTAATCTCCGGCCGTGATTCTTTCTTCTTCATCTTCCATTATATTTTATTTTGTTTCTGTCTCTGGCCTCACGTTTGGCTGGTTTGGCACACTCGGCATCGGACACATAGGTACCCCAGGAATCCGAAACAAGCCTGACGACGCCGCTGTCTTGTGCTTCCGAACCTACATACATCGGAGCTGGTCACCACATTACCGTTCCAGCTTCCAGACACACAAACACCGCCTCTTAATATTTAGTAGGATCAGCCACTTGCGTCTCTGGACGTTCATCCCTCAAGATGAGCGCTCAGAGCAAAAAGAACATCAAATGGGTCGAGGTAAGTAGTAGGCATGGCCGTTCCCGTTCCCTCGGCTGCAAGTACCTTGCTGACCACCCTTCTTTCTTTGGACAGGGCCTCCGCGGCATCACCTCGGCCCTCGTTATCTCGACACATCTTGCCCGAGCGCTGGACTTCCCACTCTTCTGGCCGGCCGATGAAAAGGACGGGCCCCCGAGGTTGCTGCAGATTCCATACCTCCGAATTCCCTGGCAGGGCCGTCTCGGTGTTCCCATCTTCGCCTTCCTTACCGGCTTCGTCTGCGCCGCCAAGCCCTTGAAGCTCGCATACCAACAAGGGAACCAGTCGGCCTCCCTCATGACCGTCGCCCGGTCCGCCTTCCGACGACCCCCTAGGCTGGTCCTTCCGGCCGTCATCGCCACCCTCATCAGCTTCGTGCTCTCCATCTTGGGCGCCTACACAGCCTCCAACCGTTGCGACAGCTTTTGGGTTCGCTTCGACGCCCCCGATCCCCTACCTCTGGGCGCCAACTTTCGCCGGCTGTTCAGAGCCCTGCTGGATACTTGGACCACTACCGAGAATGTTTACGACAGACATCAGTGGGCTATGCGCCCCTTGCTGATTGGAGCCTTCCAGGTCTACATTGTCCTCGCCGCCACCATTGGCATGCGCTTCCGCTACCGCATCCTCGTCCACATCCTCTTGGTCGCCTATTGGTTGTTGAACACTGGACCCTTGACTGGTACGCACACTTAACCCCCCTCACATGCAATGTGCGGTGACTAACCCTCCGTCCCTGCATGCAGAAACCTTTGGCGCCAACCTCGCCCTCGGCACCCTTCTCGCCGAGCTCTCCCAGCACCGTCCCACCCAAAACTTTATTGCAAAGTACCAGCGCATCCTCTCGTACGTCATCGTGCCCATCCTCCTCCTCATCGGTGGCTATGTCGGTTCCTACCCGCACGAGCACGAGGACTGGGCGCCCTGGTCTCTGCGCCTGCACAAGTTCCTCGTCGATCCTGCCGGCGATGGCTCGCGCGGCTCCTTCATTGTGCCTAGGGGGTCCAATGCCGGTCGCCGCACCAGCGCCTTCATGATTCAATGCGTTGCCGTCTCCATCTTTTTGTCGCCTAGCCTGCAGAACCTGCTCTCGCACCGCCTGCTCCTCTGGCTCGGCCACCACTCCTTTGCCGTCTACCTCACCCACGGCACCATTCTTAGAACGTTGGGCATGTGGATCGTCTACGGTATCTCGGGTCAGCCTTGGGTGGACCCCGGAAGGAACGAGGATGGCTCGCCCAAGGAACCCAACTGGTTGCACCCCAAGAGCCGGGGCCACAAGGTGGCTTCGATTATCATTTTCACGGCTGTCACGTACGTTGCTGCGTGGGCGTGGATGAAGTGGGTGGATACCGCGTGCGCCAGGGCGACGCAGTGGTTGGAGAAGAAGGTGTTTGATGATGATGAGGGGACTGAGGGAGGAAAGGCCGGTCTGGCGGAGAAGGGATATGCGAATGGCGGACCGAGTAGGGAGCACGCGCAGCCTTTGTTGAACGGCGGAGAGGCGAGGGTGCCTCCTCCTTAGCCCGTATGAGAACATGGCTTGAGTTTTAGATGCGTATGTATCCGTCTGCACAGTCAGAGGAAGTTGAAGGCATGTTTTTGGATATTCTACATGATTGATGCGGAGGTTCCCATTGGCTTGGGTCCATTGGGTGAATAATCTCGGTGGAAAGCCGGGATTGTGAGGAGCGCCATTCCAAGCCCTCGCAGTTCGTGGGCTAGAAGGGAAAGCTGAAGCGAATCGTCGAAAAAAAGACCGCTCGGCATCCCGGCACTCCACATTCGGCAGGGAGTAGTAGATAAAGAGAATATCTACATCACGTACCCGAACCCATGCAGCCAGCCAGCCACACCCGCCCAGCGGTCACGCATCATCATCATCATCATCATACTATACTAAGAAATAGAGCATGGCGGACATGAACGAGGCCTGCTGATCATGTATCATTTCATCTTCTTCTTCTTCTTCTTTTTTTGGGTCTCTTTTCACCGTCGTTTCCTTTTGTGTTGTTGTCTACATAGAGTATGATTCCTGTGTCGGGAGTTGCATTAACATATATTTATACCCAGCCAGCCATCCATATTATTCCGGGGCGACTACCCCAGAAGTCGGTCGGTCGCTGTTGGGGGGAGAGCGGGGATATATTGTTGGATAGGTTTTCAAGTTGGATGGGATGGATGGACAGAGGGAGCAAGCCAGCATGTAGCAGGCAGGCATGGAGGAGGGGGAGGAGGAGATACCAATTGGAAGCTTTTTTTTTTCGTTCGATATTGATTCCCCTATCGTTATACCGTGATATTTTGAACATTTTGAGCGGCTCCGCTTTCCCGATCTTTATTTGCTTCCACTCAGTAGAGGCATATAGTTTGGTTGGATCAGCTGCCTACCTACCTATCTATACAGTACTACCTACCCAAGGATCAAGTCATCCAGTCAGCGGGTGACTGCCGAGTGCCCAGATAAACGCAATGGCCAATGAATGTGGCCTACCTAGGTAGGGAGCAATGGAAAGAGAGGGAGGAGAGAGATATGGGTAGTAGCTACATATCGAACGACGATGATGCCCGATGCATGATGTCCCGCCTCTACCGCTTCCCGATTGACGGATGACGGACAGATGATGGACCGCAGACAAGTGGACAGATGATGATGAGATGGCGTTTCTCTTCTCCCGCCCACGTATGTAGTCCGCCATGCTGTTCGCCAGGCTGCATGGTGTTTGTTGATGTGGATGTGGATGCCGTGTGGGATGTCGTGGAACGTTGGAGATCGGGAACTAGGTAGCGTAGGGATGTAGATCTAACTGAGCTGTCTGTGTGTAGAAAGCAATGAATAGGTGGTTCGTATCACACTTGGAAAGGTTATTTAAAAAAAAAAAAAAAATCGGTTTGGAACCAAGGTTCAGAACAATGGGTGATGAGAGAGACCATGTCGTGGTGGTCTGGTGTCCTGGGTGGATGTGGGGGGGGGTGGAAAGGGGTGAGTGATTCCCGAGAAGGAACTAACGAAAAGAATTGAAGGAAAGGGGAAGGAAAAAATGTTTGTCGTCTGGATTGATGGTATATCTCTTCCAGCTCGCCCGCCTTTTGGGTTACCTACCTAGGTAGGGTGGTAGGGTGGTAGAGGTAGCTAACTATTCTCTCGAACCTTTTAAGACTGGGTGGGATTAGGTAGGTATGTTCTACAACACATAAACCTCACTACATGTACCTCTATTTATTTAAAGATATCAACACAAGCTGCATGTTATTACCTATCTACAGGACCAGTTTTTGGATCTACCTGCTATCAGTGTTGGTATCAGTCTCGGTATCATTATCATTGTCAGTATCATCAGTGTCGTCACCAACGTCAACGTCAACGTCAACGTCAACCTCAATATCAATATCACCCCGGTATCACCGGACGTCCACTCGCGTCATCGTCAAATACCACCGGACAAACTAAATATTTGGTCTGACCCGGCCAGCATTTTCGCTCCCTCCAAAACAACCAATACAAGGATAGATGAGGGGGTTTGTTTTGTTTGCCTCTCACAGAACAAAAAAAAAAAAAAAAAAAAAAAATCATCATCTTGCACCGATCAACACGTCAACACGCGATACTACTCCGGTGCGGCAGTCTTAGGTACCTTATATACCGTATAATTAGGTCGAAAAATCTTACATCAAGTACTACCATGACGCATTTACCTCCTTGTTTCCCCCAATCATCACATTAATCCGGCAAGCCTAGATGCTTCTTGGGCAAAGATGTTCCCCTCTCCTTATGGATCCAGATCCCCATCGTAGCTGCAACGCGATATCTCGCCATAGACCCATAGAAGGTCGATGCTCGTAAGGTAGGTAGCTGGCTGAAACCTGGATGCCATCAAATAAACATCACTACAGTACCTAGTCTTCCACTTTTCTTCTCTCACCACCACTCCCGTCGATGCGGACCTCCAAGCCTCCAAGACTCAAGGTTCAATGTTGTCAAGTTGGATATTGCCCAAGGTGCCAGCAGCCCCTTTCCATTATCGCTGGTTCCGTCAGTTCCCAACACGCAACTCTACTTCAATCCAGTTACCTCCTCTTTTTCCTTCAATAGTACCTAGTTGATATCGGAAACTCGAAAAGATGAGAAATGATGGAGTGAGTAGAGTAGGTACCTAGGTAAGTGATGATTTGCGGTGAAGCTGGGACTTGACTGACCAGACACTTTCCGCATTTTTTTGCCCCTACATTTTTGGCAACCTGCCTTCTGTTACTTAGTTAACACAGTTGTCTTGGATGACGAGCAGTATGTCTTTCCTCCTGAAATTCAATACCTCACTCATGTCATTCGAGTTTGTTTGAAAACTTGGGCAGGGAAGGACTGAACGGCATCGTAAATGTTGCCAGCATTGAACAACATACGTAGGTAGGTAGGTAAGTTGCCCGCGGACAAAGAGGATGGATGATAGGTCACAAACAATTTGAGGTTTATTGATGAGCTAATTTAGATAGTACCCTACCTATCTCAGCTCTCCACGCCAAATCAATCAACCTCTGCTTTGCTCTGCAGCTAATATACCTACCTAGGTAGGTAACTTATGTAATGACCTTCCAGTTAGCACATCTCTCTCTCTCGTACCTCTAAATAGGTAGGTACCTTGGCATAGATCTCAGATACCAATCTTCCCTCACCCCCAGTCGTATGGGGGGCTTGATGAAAAAGTATAGGTAGGCAATGTTAGTCTTGTGAGGTACCTACGTGTTCTCTGTCAACGTTGACACTGTCCGCTTCCGTGCCCGCCTGGATTGTCCGCCTCCATGGTAGGTAGTAATCCATATTCACATCCAAGCTCTTAACCCCAAAACTATGTCCCGTTCAGACCCCTTTGCCCAACTCCGCCTCTTCCCCTTCAAAGTTTCCCCTGGAGGTTTCCAAAGCCTACCTACCTACCTCCCACACTATCACCCGCCACTAGGGTAGTTCTAGGCGCCAAATCCCAGACCCTTCTTCAGTTGATCAAGCCTACGGCAAGGAGGTGGGATGTCTAGGTACCTATAGATAATCGTTGATGGCTTTCTTTTCTTCTTCTTCTTGTTGCTGCTGAAGCCCGTTGATCGTTAAATTTGGAGTACAGTCATTGGCACATTGTAATTCATTCTCATCATTCTGTTTCCACCTCTTTAAATTTTAATTTTTTTTATACATGTGATTTTGTTCTTCCAGTGTTCGTTGAACGACGTCAGGATCCATAGAAACACCTTGCGCCTATCAATCTGTTCAAGACTGTAGACTTTTTATTCCCATCAGACAGTCAGTCCGACCGAGGTGACGCCCTCAATTACTTACCCAACCCATTACACCAAAAACGCAACGGAGGAACAGATGTTTGTCACGAGTTGTACATACATATATATGTACCTGCATATGTCGAGCACAGGGACTTGGACTTTGGACTCCCTGACATCCTACCTAGGTAGTCCATGTTCTTCGCGCCACCTTTCACACCAGCCCAGGCCCTCCTCCTCTTCCACCGACCAATTCTGAACCATCTTGATAGAAGATGCACATTGCAAGAAATCCAAAATGAAAAGAGTTTTCTTCGAATAAAAAGTGTTATTGCAAGAAGACCATCCATCCGTCCATCCATCCCCATCCATACATGCAATGCTAATGCCATGCCATGCAAACAAAAAGACAAGACAAAAAAAGGAAATAGGTAGGAGAAAAAAAAAACCAATCCAAGCCGTTTTTTCTCTAATCCCATCCATCCATCCATGCCTTTTTCTTTCTTCTTCTTCTAAAAAGTCCCCCCCTCTTCCCCGCTTGTACCGCGCCGCGTTCCCGGTCTCGGTCATTCGTCATCTGAATCCTCGTATGTACATGAATATAAAAGCAAGCCCTACCCAAATCGCCCTATCGCCGCGCCGCATAAACTCCGAATAAAAAACGAATTAATAAGGAATGCGCGACGTCGATGATATGGTGGGGGTGCTTGCTGATGTTAGGGATGGCATGGGACTGGACAAGACCACGGCCGTTTTTGCTCATCTGAGCAGTGGTCGTCTCGTGTCTTGGGGGTGGTCCCGTGGTGAGTTGCATCCTGCTGATCGCTATGCTCGTCCTTGCGCTGTGTGTGCTATGTACCCCTATTGTATGTGCGTTTGAATGCGTATATGCAAAGTTGGTTGATGATGATGACGATCGAACTCTGTTGTGTGCATGCGCCGCTGTAATGATGCAATGATGTGTCGTGAAAAAGGAAAAAAAAAAAAAGTTGGAAAAAAGGCTCGTCAATGTCGTGGAATATCAGAGCTTAGAGCTTAGCCTCAGCGGTGCTGTAAATCGTCCAGTTTTAGCCCATGTTCTTTCTCTTCCATCATGTTGCAAAAATGTCAAAAGTTTTCGCGATGCCGGTTCGTCAAGGTAGCAAGCAGAATGCAAAAAGCCAATAAAGCCAAACATCAAAGTAGAATCCACTAGATACCACCCGCAATGCGTCATTGTGGTACGCGCCCCCCGAGCAAAACAGAAGGGTATATACAATCAATCGCCGTGACCAGAGACTTTTCCCCGCCATCACCGACACCATGACCGTCTTTTGACCGAACAGTCCAAGGAAAAACCACATGCAAAAAAGACAAAAAGGGCAAAGCGTAACAAGGGGATGGGGGTGTGGATGTGGGGGAAAACAAGGGGGAACGTGTCCAATCCGCGCATGTGACAGCGCACCAAAGACAACAACGCGCGACAGGGATCCTCGGCTAATGTTCCCAATCGCCTCAACCCATCATCATCATCATCTTCTTTCGTAAAGTCATCACAATCATCGCTTTGTTTTCAATTCGCACAAAATCACTCCTCATACCTTCCACCGGTCAAAGCAGCAGGACCGCTCCGCTCGAGCTTCTGCTTAAGGAACTCGTAGACAGTAAATGTGACGGCCTGACCGGGCGCGACACGCATAATGCGGGGGGTGATGCCCTTGTAGAAGGCGTGGAACCCTTCTTGCCTGTTTGTCGCATTTGCATCAGCAACATGCCCCTGCACGGTAATTGAGAGGCTAAGAGGGAAAGGGAATGGGAGGCTACTCACTTGAACATCTCAGCAGAAATCTTGGTAATTCTCTGGAATGCCGTCTCGCCGGGCTGAGCAACGCTCTTTTGGAGTCTGGTCTTGATGGTATCGATAGGAGCGTTCGAGAGAGGACCCATAGCACCAGAAACGAGACCAATAAGGGTGGTTTGGTAAGAGGGCAGGTTCTGGCCGACATATTCGGGCTGGTAATCATAGAGCCACTTCTTGAAGTAGCTGTAGGCAGTGAAGTTGACGGCCTGGTTGGAACCCTGGCGGAGCGCAGTCAGGGAAACACCGCGGTAAAGCGCACCAAAACCCTCCTCCTTCACGACAGTGTAGAGCGCATGCGCGGCGTTGCGGTACTTGGGAACGTCCAAAGGATCAGCCATGGAGTGGTGCTGCGCCTGCAGACGAATCTTGATGACCTCCATGGGAGTGACAACGGCAACGGCCTCGGTGACACCGGCCGCCAAACCGGCGAAGAAGGTGGCCTGACCCGAGACAACACCGGTCTGCTTGTCGGCCAGGAGCTGCTTGTACCACTCGAACGAGGTGAAACGGATGGCCATCTTGGGGACGATACCCGTCAGGACGGCACCGAGACCCTTGTAAAGACCGAGCGCTGTCTCCTTCTTGACAATCTCGACACCGGTGCGGATGAAGCCACGCTTGGCTTGGCCGGGCACGCGGCCGCGCTTGGAAAGCTGCATGCGAACCTTGATGGTATCTGCGGGAATGCCGAGGTTAGCCGAAGTCGGAGGTATAAGGGGGGCTGTGAGGCCATGCAATGGGAAATTGCTTACCAAGAGGGTGGCAGACGAGAGCCTCCATCATACCGGCACCACCACCAGCTGTATTAGCATAGAAAGGTTAGCCAATTTGTCCTTTGAAGACGCCGTGACCAGACTGCTTGGCGCATTGCGCGCCAGCAGCCCCCCGTCTCATTTCGTCTCCCCCAGTTGTGGGAAGCTCACCGATGAGGTTGGTGGCAGCGGAAGTCCGCTTCTTGGGATCTTGGTTGACTTTGGTTGCCATTGTTGCGGTTGTTGTGTATGTGCGGTGTGTGGTGTTGGTGGATGGTGATGTTCGGTGTAAGTGGTGTTAAGCGGTTCGGCGCAACGGTGACAAGTCGTCGGTATAGGTCCGTCTCTGGCGTGATCAAGTGGTTATTCCCCCGTAAAAGAGAAGAAGGGGGAGCAAAAAGGGACAAATGATCTGGGTGGCCTTGCCGGATATATCAATGGCGTATCCACAGGGAGGGGGTAGGGACCGAGGGATGGAGGTGGGTTGGTTGTGGGCTGGTCTTGGAGACAAGAGAGTCCGCTTCGCGAAGTTCGGCACTCCAGGGAAATCGCCGAAAATGTCTCGGGATAGCTGCTAAAGTTAACAACCCCTGTAACTTGGTACCGGACGTAGCTCGGTATGGGGGGGGATTTCAGCGAGCTGTGTCTAGAAAAGGGCAGAGACAAGGCTGGCCTGAACTGGCTTGGATGGATGAACGTGTTGCCGCGAACCGTGAGAAGAGCAGTCAATACAATATGTACAAGGCGTAGAACAAGAACAGATGAACCCTTTCAGAGATACGTGATGCTGAAGTACAACTTCAGTTCCCGGCAGATATCCGATCTAGATAGACTTGCGGCGAGACACGATGACACTCTGGAGAGTTGCCAAGGACGAGGCCGTTTGGGCGCGAGTCAGTGGTTGGGAGGATTGTTAATTCACTTGGAAACGTAGGCCTTGGTAGATCCGACTCCACTCTCGTGCTCACGACGACGGAGAAAGCCAGAGTATCTCCCAGCAGCGGTTGAGTTTAAAGGAAAATGGTAAGAGGAGGGCAGGCGGAGAATACGGAGCCTGGCATCAACAACGACGGCTAGGTATCAGAATCGCAACGACTTGTAACAAGGGCATGTGTCATTTCTTCTTGACATGTACGACAAAAAAAAGGTTTGGCCCTACCCAACAGGTACCTAGGTGGTGGTGTCTTTGTTCTCTTGCCGTCACTTTGCTCGATACGGTCAGGTCGGACAACTCGGAAGCTTCCATATGACGCAGATCTTGAACAGAGCCGAGCCGAGCACCGTGGTGGCCCGGCGACCTGCAACAAGAGTCTCGAGGAAAAGAAGCGGTGGTGCCCCCGGACCACAGAGGTTGAGAGGTGTGACCTGGCAGGCCTGGAACTGCCAGTGAGCGCTAGAGCTCCCGCGGCTGCATGACGATGGACCAGGGATGGCCGGAGCTGGAGATGGATGTACAGTATGTACCAGTGCTCTCAGTTGGGGCTCGTTGGTAAGTCAGGTACCTGTGGCAGTGACAGAAATGGGATTTGAGGCGGCCGGGGACAGAGAAGACGCGAGAAGGGCTGGTCCACTGCTGCTGTGGATCAGGGACCAGAGCTCACTTCAGGCGGTGGTGAGGCGGACACGCAAGGATCCTTTGGGGATTATGGCGGTTGTGATTCGTCGGTGGTGGTCAAAGTGGTTCCTGGGTGACTCTCGGTTGCTTTCCATCTATCCGCAACCCCGGAATACTTGGCGTGACAGTTCGATGAGGGGGGGGGGGAACAACGTTGCTGGATGGTTGTAAAGAATAGTGTACACTAGATATCTTGGTGGACAGACGACATGAACGATGTGACGCCCAACCATGGACGCAAAAAATGTCTTCTTTTTCTTTGGATATGATGCATTGGCCAATGACAACTTGTGACGGAGAACGTGCATGGTGCGTGCAAAGCAAAGCAAAGGGTCAGATGGCAATGGATTGACACCAGACATGACATGACAGAAATGGACGATACTATGAGTCCGCCAGCGACAGTGACACTATTGATCTTTTCCTCCCATTTCGCTATTTCTTCGAGTGGCGTTGGCGATTGGAGTTGAGTCAACTGCGATGACAAGTCCGGACATACGGGATGAGCCCCAAGCCCCGTCATTCGGAGCAGCGGAGGGCAGCAAACTCGGCGGAGAAGACAGATGACTGGATACAAAGACGCGGCACTTGGACGCACCCTCCCGCCCCGCGCTGCCACGCTTTAACAGCTGCACCCCTGGCACAACCACCACCTTGATCGCATGCCAGTGACCAACTCTGGTCTACAAAGGCTTCTTTTTTAGCCAGCGCCGAGCCCGGGGTAATCAAAGCATGACAAGCAATTCCATGCTCTGGGAGAGGAATGGAATGCCAAGAGAAGAGGCGGAATTGCGTAAAGACAATGTAGAAACACCCATGAAAGGGAACTGGGACAGGCTTTACTTGTTGCCAGGCACAACACAAGTTGACACCAGACACATGGACATGCTAGTACATGCAGTACTGGCTGTTCGAGAGTTATTAAGCAGTATGGTAGTCATCCCCGTAGCCAACTTGGCATGCCACAGAGGAATGAGACTGTCCTCGTGACTTTCATGTCTTGGCTGTCAGCTGAGATGCGAGACGGGCATCACTGGGAGATTTGCTTCAGGGCCTTTTTCAGGCAGTGTTACCGCACTCGACGAGCGAGTCTCGTCCAGCCTGGCGTTGAGACAAACAATTGGCCATGTCGGCTGGCTTGTGATGATTGTGTGACGTAGCTAATAGCCGATTCGAAGAGCGGAAGGCCGACGGAGCTTGTGATTTTGCGGGGGCCGGGGGATTGGCACCATGAAGCTGATCAGGGGAGAGGGGAGAGAGCCGACGATGATGATTGACTTGGAAGGCAGAGAGAGCAGACAGTGCACGAGCCAGGGGGTTGTCTGTGCATCACCTTTGCCGGCCGGCAATAGGCAGTCGTTCGTCACAACAAAATGCCAGCCGCCAATCTGCTAAGGACGAGCGGAATGTCACAGCACCTCAGCACCACCCCACGGCGTCCGAACCCAATCAGCCGAGATTTGTAAGAGTTCGAACCATCCGTCCACCGCCTGAGCGACAGCTTCTTATCAGATCCGAGTCGACCGAACTGATCTGGTGCGGTCCCGCGAGGTGAGAGCTGAAGAGTCGTGGACCGCCATCGTAACAACGGACCGTCGCAGGCGTGGCTGGAGAATGCCGTACCGTGTCTCACTCTGGCTGATCCAGCTTCTGGAAGGAGGCAAGCACGTGCCAGCTTTCCCTTTTGACACTTATGAATGTGCTGTTTGGGCTTCTTTTTCCATTTCCAGTTGCGCGGCTCAGGGTGACAGTGCCGAGGTTGTATCCTACCATTCGTCTTGGTTTGTTTCTCATGAAAGGGTCAGACTCCAATGTCGCCGCCGACAACGGCGGCGACCCACGGCGCTTGCGAACTCCCTACTAGTGCGTTTCTTCGGTATGGCGCTGACTCTGTCTGATATTGAGCGAGAAGGTCAAGAATCAATAACTGCTTGTAAAAGTCAGCGACGGAGAGAGAGAGAGTAGATAATAGAGTCAACAAAACTCACCATGAAGACTAATACCCGCCGACAGCCGTTCGTTCCCGCGCTCCCGGGAGGAGGGAGGCCCGGCAGTGTCGGATCTCGGGGCGATATCAGTCCGCTTTCGGCGGTCATTGATGTTGTCCCTATTGCGTGCTTGGTTGATGCCCTGATGAAATATGGAAAACACGACACGACACGCGATAAGTCGATCGATCACAGAAGGTATGTGCTTGAGGTGTGCCGGCCGGTGCTCAACCAAAAGAGATTCGAGTAGTAAAGAAGTAAGTCGGTTGGTTGATGAGCGTGAGAGGCGGAGGAGGAGGCAGAGAATGAAAACCGAGACTTGAGATGATCTGAGCAGCCAAAAGTTCCTTCCCATACTATCATGAAACATCGAGATGGCACTTTCCACTTGGCCCTCACCCACTTCAATCATCCGGGCCCCGTTCAACGCTCGTTCCTGCCTTTATGATGTGCGTTGCGTAAAATCCAAGTGAAATTGGTCCGCTCATGATCACAAAGGAAGGAGCCATGCGAAATGTCAAGTTGCGCGGAAGGTAGGTACCTATAGTACTTTGTTGCTACGTCGGTAATGAAGAAAGAAGGGACATGTTTTCCGCGCAAATTGATATATTGTAGATACGGAACATGATTCCGTCTTTTCGCTAGGTACCTATCCAAAGTCATTCTCCTGAAAAATGACGAATGAGAATAAGAACTGATACACCAGAGAACAAATACCACACCCATCGACCCGAAGCATCGCCGTCACTGAATGTACATATATTCTGACCACCAACGAAGCGCATGGACATGATCGACACAAGATATCTGTCCCATTCCAAACTACCATCTTATCTTTCATTATTTCAAATCATACTACTATCACACCAAACGAAGCAAGAGGGTATAGAACTAGAACAAAAAAAGTAAACAAAAGCCAAATCATAAACTCCATCCAACCAACCAACCCCCCAAGGATATATCCTTCCAGAACCATGCAAAGTGACGCCCCCCTTCCCTTCCTTTTCTGTATCACTCACTATAAGTGCCTGGCTGCTTTTGAGATCCCATCCCAGATGCCTAACTTGTAAAACACATGACGCTGTAACCTATGCTTGCAAGTTGACCCAAAACTAACCTGCCTTCCTTTGTTCCCTTCTTGGGGAGAGGCAATGTTTTGTTGAAAGCAAAAAAAACACAAAAAGAAAAAGTTGGTTCTGAGATCGCATAGAGGGTGAAGTAATAGAAGAAGAAGAAGAAGAAGAAGAAGAAGAAGAAGAAGAAGAAGAAGAAGAAAAAGAAAAAAAACGCGAGGACGCTGGTAAACGAAGATGGCGTATCTGGAAGTTCCAAAACTGGAGGGAAATGCAAGAGCAGTCAACATGGGTAATTGAAACCCGACATGCTCTCATCGTTCCCAAGTCGAAGAAACTTCAGCCACCACCTCACTGCCGACAAGGCTTGAAGGAATGTAACCGAATCGTTCCATCCTCACTGCCACTGGCCATCAGACTATCGCTCAGCCCGACACAAGTCACGGGTCCGCAGTGGCCCGTATACGTCGCATCGCACTTCCCGCTGCGCGGCTCCCACGTCTTGACCATGCCGTCGTTGGCTCCACTGATCACACGGATCGTATCTCCCGCCAAAGACCAAACGCCCTCGAGGTGGCCAAACAGCGTCCTCAGACACCGACCCGTCGCGCTGTCCCAGAGACGCATGGTGCTGTCGAGCCCGCCCGTCATGAAATAGCGCGGGGGAAGTGGCCGTGACTCGTCGGCCACGAAGGCGGAGCCATAGAGATGGCGCACGTCCTCGTCGCCACTGGGCATGCTGCTCGGTAGCAGGTTGTGGCTGGAGCTATGGCTGCCAGGGCTGCCGGCGCGCTCGATTTGCGCATGCGACATGGAGGGGCTTCCGCTTCCGCCCGATGATACCGACATGGCGTCTTGGTTGTCTTGCGAAGCACCATTGAGCACCTCCTCGTCGGGCTCATACTCGGGCGGGAGAATGAGCACCTGTTGCACATGGCCGACATGTCCTTCGTAGGTCCGGATAACCTGGCGCGTGTCCAGATCCCACAGCTTGATTGTCGTGTCATCCGAGGCCGAGAAGACGGTTCGGCTCTTGATGTCGACATGGGTCGAGTTGACCCAATCGCTATGGCCCTTGAGGCAGTATGTCTCCTTGGAGTTGAAGTCGAAAATCTTGACCGTCTTGTCGCTCGACCCACTGGCAAGTAGGTGGCCATCAAAGTGAACGCTAATCACTGAATCGGTGTGGGCAGCGAACGTGGAGAGGCACTCGCCGGTGTGCCAATTCCAGACCTTGATGGTATCTACGTTTCAATTAGCAAAATTAACATGCTATCATTGGAGGCGGGTTGCGCAACATACGGTCCAGACTGCCACTGATGAGCTTCGAATCGTCAAACTGCAGCGCACGAATGCCAGCCGTATGGCCGACAAGGGTCCGAATGCACTCCTCAGTCTCAATGTTCCCTGTCAGAAATGTGTTAGTTTGAAGCGAGCGCCAATGGCCAAAGAAGAAAGACCACATACAGATCTTGATGGTGGTGTCGTACGATCCAGTCGCAAGGATGTTATCATCGAGCTGGAGACAGGTGACACCATTCTCATGACCCTTGAGAACCGACAACTTGTAGCGGCTGTTTTTCCAGTTGTAGCTGACCTGCCAGCGATCCCGGTAGACGGCCTTCCAGCTTCGGGTCTTGGGTTGCGTTACCGCCTTGGAGGCTTCTGCTGCAGCCATACACTGGCGCTTCTTGATGGGGTCCTCTTCCTCCGCCTCTGCTGCCGGGCGCTTTCCATGTTGATTGACGGATCGATCCTGGCTGTCGTGGGAGTCGGCCAGTTCCGTGGCCCTCCCTTGTGGCCCACCCTTGGCCAGCTGTCTTTGTCTTGTGTAGTTGCGCAGCTTCTTGCGTTCCAGCAAGGGCAATCCCCATCCACACTTTGTGCACTTCCTGTTGACGTGTTGCTCGCACATGCGGACCCAGACGGCATCGGAGTCGGCCAGGGTTCGCCACCTCTGGCTGACCTGGGCGGCCTTGGTCAAGCTGACGGTGTCGAGATAGCACAGGACCTTTTGGGCGAGCTCGACGGGGAGGGCGGAGATGAAGTCGATCTTGAGGGCTTCGTTGACTTCTCTCGAGACGAAGGAGAGCTGGGGGAAGCAGAGCTGAGAGAGGATACCCTGAAGCATCAGGTCGCGATGTCGGGCAGGGGCGGCCGAGAACAGGGACCACACGTGGGTCACAGCTTGCTGATCCTATTATTTCAAGCAAGGTACGAGTCAGTCCACCAAATCTTGAAGACAAGAAGCAATCAATGTTTATGTTGTATGTAGACCCACCGCTGATGTGAGCTTGTCCAGCTCGCTCTGAATCATGACCATCTTGGCCTTGTCGGCAGCCCTTCGGCACTTTGAGTCGGGGTGGTGTCTGTAGCAGTACTTGGAATTGGGGTTCTCTGCTCTGGCGGTCTCTTGGTTCCCCGGCTTGCCAATGGGGGCGTAGAGGCTGGGGATGTGTTCCCGAAGGAAAGGCGTGACAGTCTTGCTCATGAGGACGGACGACATGTTGGTGACGCTGTTGCGGGAGCGCAACCTTGCCTGTTGCTCTGGTCGTTTGCGGTCGCAGTTCTGGTCGGTGGGATCGGTGTCGGTGTCGCGCGAGTGGTTGTTGTGGTGATGAGAGTAGGAGTTCACTAGAGGTCCATGTTGGAGCGGGGCCTCATTATCATGTCCGAAGCTCGCAGTCGGACGAGACGGGGCGAGGTGGTAGGAATCCATTGGGAGAAGGGGAGTTGAGGACCGCCGGGCCCAGAATGACGCTGCGATTATGCGTTTAGAGTGCGTTTGCGGTTGCGTGGTTCTGTTGTTGAATGGCGGCAGAGGCAACACCAAGCATTGGTCGGCTGGAGGGCGATGGATGGCGTGCTGACCAGGGGAGGCAGATTCAGTTGCTGCTGTATCGCAGTGCTGTCCTGTGCTGTCCAGTCCAAGGTATGTACTGTAGGTAGGTACTCCTGTCGGTCAGGCTGGGGCGGGAAAGGGTATGTAGTCTTGCGTGATCTGGCTGATATGAGGTGTATGAATGGATGGTGGTCGATGTTTGGGCGGCGGTCTACCGTCTCGGAGGTCCAATCTCGTTAATGCGGAATCCAGACTCGCTCCACCGTTGGCAGGTCTAGATGAAGCTGGAGGAGGAGCAGAAGGCAGGGTCCCGCAGACAACAAACAGCAGCGATGTGATGCCGGGCAGCCCAACTGGCGATCTTGATGTTTCTGGATGGACACGTGATGGGATCTGGATGTTGTTGGCGGAGGATTGGAGATGGAGCCCCGGGGGAGGAGGCGATCAGGAAGAGCTGAGATGTAAGAGGGACCGTTGAAGGATTGATTCCCTGGAGGTGGGCACGCGGGTTGTTGGACCTGTTGTTATTGGTGCAGTGTAAGTGTTAGTGCACTCTTATCTGGTGTAGCGCAGTATAGCTGCAGTTTGGAGGGCTATCACGTTAAGGAGGAATGTCTGTCGAATGGAGGATGATGACCTGGGAGCAGCGAGGATGTGGACGGGACAAGGTGGCACCTCACGCAATGCACAGCACCTTGGTCGCCATCCGAGTCAAAGTGTTTAAAGGGTCCTTTTTGGTGGTTTACGTACTGTGATGATGATGACCTATTTCAAGGTTGACTTCGTTGTTCCACTTCTGTTGTCTCAAATTTCCAATCTCTCCGGCTTTCGGTGCCTCGCTGTCTCTTTCAGTCTGGGCAGCTAGTACCTAGTATGTAAAACTGCTCTGCTCTTTGAAGCTACCTACTGTAGGTAGGTGTCGGGTACGAGTGCCCGTGCTCCCTCTTTAGTACAGTAGCGTAAACCGGATACCAGGTAAGGTATCTAAGTGACAGCTCTGGAACGGCTGTCGGTGATGGGATGGGATGGATGAGGAATACTACCTTAGATAGTAGAGTACACTCCCGTCTTTCCAAAAAGGCAAAGTCTCAGTAACTAAAGTATCGCAACGGGGTGTTGAACCTCTTGCTTCACACCGCCTGAAATCGGATGTGTCTTGACTTCAGTTGCTCCTTCTCTGTGTGTGACTGTGAAATGTTGCAGACGGAAAGAGACAAGATTGGCCGTCGCTCTTGCAAAGAGAAGGGCAAAATGGCGAAATCAACTGGGGTGGGGCGCGGGAAGCTCCCAGGTACAGAGTGGAGTCACCCATCCTCGTTTTTTTCGCTTTGTTGCTTTGTCGCCAGAATTGCGACATCACCGGGCCCACTGTAAGATGCGGGGATGTACTGGCTGTTATCCACTGCGCCAAGCAGTGCCGCAAGTGTCTAACAGCCAAGACTCGTAGCTCAATTGAATGATGCCGGTGCCGGTCACGTGCCATGGCCGGGTCCCCAATTGGAGGTTCAGCATCAACACCACGACACATGTCTCACGATTATTAAAACAAAATAGTAGACAGTTCTTTCGCCACCAAGGGCATGGATTTCTAATATGGCGACTTTGAATTTTATCCACCTTCTTCCTTCCTCTGTCAACCCGACATATGGCCTCCCGTCGTCGTCTTGAATCACCTGACGAGCCTCAGCTTGACCTTGGAGCGGCTTCATGTCGTCGACAGGAAGGATTCCGAAGACGGACATCAACGTCACTGCGGCCACAGTCCCCAAGGACCACACAATCCCAATCGCACTGTTGACGGCATCTCGATGTGGAGCGTCGTCTCCATTTAACCCAACTTAAATGGACGCTACCCAGTTCTTCCCGTCTTCCCCGTGCATGTCAACATCCAGGCGCCATGTCGTGATATCCACCCGATAAACATCGTGAGACAGTCCGGGCCGTGGTCAGCGACTTGGACATTCCCATTCTGGCTTCAATCTCGATCTCGGTGTTCTCGGAATAGCATCTTCTTCCTCTTCCCACGACGAGGTCATTTTTCTGGGGAATTTTGTGGGGTGACCAAGTCTGACTTCCTTTTTCATCATGATGGAAGCTCTCCAGACCTTGGAGGGAATTTCAAAGGCCTGAGTTTATGTCAGCTTGTGGATATCGAGATAGGCTGACGGAGCTCCAGGAATCATAGGTATCTAGCCATGCCTGATAAGCACTGTAAGTTCAGACCTTGTATCAATGTACTCTTAAATCTCTCCCTCCATGATGCAAACAATTTTGGTTGCTGTGTTTTCTCGTCGCAATGTCTCGATAAACGCACGTCGCGCGACACCAAAAGACATCATTTTATTTACAGCTACACATCACGCTTGTCTTAGATATGGCTCACGTTATGGGACAAAATATCTTGACCACCATCACTTCCCATCATCTTCTTGTGACGAAACATTTCACTGATAAACATCTGACCACATCCTAGACTTTACCACGTCGGCGACTGGAGGCATGGCCCCATCAAGTGGTTATCGGCGCCCAATCGCCTTACTCCGGACCGGTACCTTGACTTCCAGAATGCAACACAACCTTCACATCTTCCTCCGTGGTTACGGTGGCTATCTCGGCACTCCTGAACCTGAACAATACCACTCTGCGACCATCCATCGGGAACTCGCCTGATGACCGCCGCTGCACAGAGTTCCAAGGAACTTTCTGTCCGATCCATGATGCCTTGCATTGTTCCTTCTACATATGGCACCATAGCAAAAGTTTATTTCAACCTTTTGTCATTTCATGCACCAAGGGCCTTGGAAGCTGTCACCTCCCTCGTCCTGGATTCTCGCCATTATGGAGGGCGTCGTGGATGTCGCAAAGCTATTCCACAAGACCTGTCGATGGGAACCGAGGTTCTCTGCCTACTACAAGTCGCCAGCTCAAAGTGCCCTAACCTTTTCGCAGCGTAAGGCTGACCTCGTTCGGCAACACCATAATGTTCCATTGCCATTGACAACGTAGGTATGGAAACACGGCAAAAAGCAAAGAGGCCAACTAATTGGATATGAATTTCAAGACTGTGTTACACAACATTCCGTCTGCTTACGATGCAACGGAGCTTCCATCCATGATCTCGCAAATCATCCTCAATGGCCGACCCCATCTGACTATCGAAAATGGACATTCTCTGTGTCCAGTCGGCGACTGTGGTGCTAGCTGTACTGTACATCACCAACCTCGCCATCAGGAATCATACCTACGTGCCGTCTTCGTATGCCGCATCCGACTGGCTGACCCAGCTTTGGCCAGTATGGACTCGTGGATATCGTCTTCAGAAGACCTTTTATTGGCATCGATTGATCTTCCATGCAGCCTCAACATGGACTGCCCATCTGTGACTGGCAGATGGACGATGCGAATCAACCAAGGCCCCATGACTTTCCTTAACCATGGGCGTAATACCAATCCAGCGCTGAGCCTCGGCGTCAAGACACGGAAATCCTCCATTTAACCTTCTGTGAAGCCTTGTCTCCCGCTAGGCTGCAATCAAAGTAGCGCGACGAGCAGCGTCATTGTACAATGCAACGTACAGGTGATGGAGCCGACTGGCATCGCATTGAGGTGATAGCAATGATGCCAGTAGCCAGAAGGCTTCAGCCCATGAGATGTCAGGGTTTCCAAAAAGAAAGAGAAAAGGTGAGGCCGAGGATAGGTACCCATTGGCTTTTTGAACCAACAGGGCGGCAGTTGAAAAGGTATCTGGCGGTGGCAACATCGACGACTTGGACCACCAACTGGAAGGCTCAAGCTCAAAAGATTCGCTAACCTGGGTCGAATCATTGCAAAGACGAAGGATATCGACTAGCAGGCCAAGAGGCGACTTGTTGAATGACCGACCAAGGCACATACATCAAGTCCCTACTTCTGGGGATTCGTCGACTTCATGATATCGCCGCGCTGATGTTGCAGAGGATCAAACTGACCGCCGTCCTGCCCGTCCAAAATAGCATCATCTCCATGGGTCTAGAAGCCCCCCTGAATGCGCAATCCAGACGCCCAAAAGGAAAGGGCCCATTTCGTTGTACTTGTTTCACGATGGTGCCGATGCATGCAAACTTACGGTGTCAGACGTAGGTGTGTGGTGGACAATTGGCCAAAAGTCCGTCCTTTCGTGGCTCCAACGGCCAGCGACCGGGAGTTTAGCCATTCATTCAGTCATCCGTCCATCGCAGCCACACCACCACCACCACCTTCTTCCTTTCAGCGCCTCACCCGGAGCGACAAAAACTGTAAAGATTGTGGCGCGCATTTTTCCGTTGGATCTTGACGACGACAACAGCCCTGACCATCTTTCTCTCCCCCATCTGGACTGGCCAGCCCTTTTCCCGGGCCTTCTCCAGTCGCCCTCAGCAGCAGTGACCTTGTTCGTCCGTTTGTTCGTTCGCTCGTTCGTCTTCCAGTAAAAATGGATTGTCCAGTAAAAAGGATGATGGGTGCTGCAGGCCCCCTCGTCGCGCGACCAGGCAGGCGGCCAAGGAGAGGGGTCAAGAAAGTGAGGGATGGATTGAAGATTCTTATACGATTCTGTGGGGCTCCACCATTTCGCGGTGCTAGCCTCCGGCGCCAGTGCCAGAGGCGCATAAACGCCGCGTCTTTACTAGTTTTACCTGATATCGCGCATGTGGACGCTGCAGTCGCTGCAGAAGGCGCATCGATTAGTCCGCCGTCGCCGGCCAGCCACCAATCACACGTCCCGATAACACGCTGGATACTCGTGTTGGGCAGCTGGGCACAGCTTTGGCCGGCCGGGTCAAGAGCTGAGAGGTCAGAAGGCGGGCAAGGAACGAGAAGCGCTGCTGCGAGAGGTGCCTGAGTGAGACTGGAGAGTGGACGTGGGCGGGTTTTCGGCCATCGGATCTTTAGAAAGACCATTCCAGCCTTCTTCTCTCTGTCTGCGTCTGGTCTCCTTTTGCCTGGTCTCCCCTCTCTTGCCTGCCTGCCTGTCTGCCTGCCTGCCTGCCTGCGTGCCTGCGCGCCCCTGGTGTTGTACCTTTTTTCAGTTTCATCAATACCTACACAAGAAATCAGTCCACAACCACGACTCAGGACGACATTGAGCCATACACAAACGATACCGATCCGATCCAGTTCATATCTACCTACGCAGCGCTCCGTCAGCTTGTGCCTGGCCCCCTACACCACTACGGCGGATGGATGGCTCCACCAGATGAGGCGGCTCACCACACTCCCATTTCAACCTCATCTCATCATCGTCCTCGGCGTCGTCCGCTGTTGACCTCTCTTCCTAGGCAGTGCCACTACTACTGCTGCTGCTACTGCTGATGTATTTTTCATGATACCCTCATAATTTCTTTTCCTGGCTGGCCTGTCACACTTTCCATACGACTGACCGACCGACCGATTGACGAGTGACGACCCCGCTTTTGAGTCTCGAGTTGACGATAAGCTCGCCTCGGTCTTACTTCTTCGACTTCACCTTATTCAATCTCACTCACCTTCGTTGCCCCTTCTTCAGCTATCTTCAACAACAACATGATGGACCCTTTCACCGCCCTAGGCCTGGCATCGGCCGTCCTTCAGTTCGTTGACTTTGGATCGACCGTGTACGGGGAGTACAAGAGGCTTCGGAACGGCAGCCTGTATGGCAACAATGCTCGTGCCCTTCCCAAATCGTTAGAAGCTGCACTCAATGATCTCACCAATGTAAATCGCATCTTGAAATCCACGCCAAGGCTATACAATCCATCGGAAACAGATAATATCCTAATACAGCATGAAGAAGTCAGTGCCCCCTTCATTTCTCATATGAGCTGACACCTCCTCTTTACTAACACGTGAACAGGCCATCAACTTTCTCCTCGACGAAGCCACTGACATAGCCGAAGACTTCCTGAACCGATTACAGTGTGACCCGAACCGCTCCAGGTGGAACACCCTAGCGGAGGCCATCAACTCCATCAGGACGGAAAGTGAGCTGGACAGGTTCAAGGAGAAGCTCGACGGGTTCAAGCGGGACTTGGGCATCCACGTGCTCGCCATGGTGAACGCTAAAGTGGACCATTACGGCATGCAACACCAGTACGACCTTGCCCAGCAACGAGAGGAGATCATTCAGCTTCGACAGGACATTCACTGCCTGAAGGAGAACATCGTCAAGATTGTAGCCTTCAACCAGAGCGGGATCAAGTCGGGGAGTAGCACGCCAATCTTTGATCAGCATGCAAGATTGGCAGCCGAGGCGAAGCAGAGCGGTGGCCCGAGCCCGGTGATTGTAGCTGCCATGGTCACATTAGCAAGTGGTGAGACGAGGTTCATCCATCCCAGTGGAAACGGAAAGGCCATGGGATTGGGCATGGGGATTATGAGCGGCAGCGGCAACCAGTACCAACAAATCGGGCATTTCAGCCAGCGATCGGGATCGGATTTCTTCCAAGACGGCAAATTCGACACCGTAATGCGACTTCACTCCGATCCCGGGCTTATGGGTCAACCGGCAGGAGCAGAAATGGAATACGTCCCCAGCAAAGACTTTGCGACCCTTAACAGAGCCGTCCTGGACATGCTGCACTTCCGGCAAATCACCGACCGATTTGAGTCCGTCAAGACGCCCTACGAGAGCACCTTTTCCTGGGTATTCGCCAACCCCAACAACCCCAACACCTTTGACAACATTTGTAGGCCCTGGTCAAATTTGTCAGCTTTTCTCGAAAGCAAAGATGAAAAGGACAAGTGCTACTGGATCAGAGGCAAAGCCGGCTCAGGCAAGTCGACGCTCATGAAGTACATCATCAGTGACCGCCGCTTGCGACACCATCTGCAACGATGGGCGGGGCCATCCGACGACTTGATCTTTGCCAACTTCTTCTCCTGGCACTTGGGAGCAGACGACCAGCGGCTCATCTCAGGCCTTATGCGGTCGCTTCTCTATCAAGTGTTCTGTGCCAGGCCAGATCTAATACCCACCATCATGCCCGAGATGTGTCTTGAGGCTGCCAAGAGCCGCAACGGCCAGCTGGAAACACCATCGGGCACGGAGCTGAGGATATGGTTCGAGCGGTTGCTGCACGCCACGGCGACGAATGTCGGAAACTTCCGCCTGTTTATTGCCATTGACGGGATTGATGAATTCCAGGGCGATCCGGAGGAGCTACTCTACTTGATCCGCAACACAAAGGGGGACAGAGTCAAGTACCTCGTCTCGAGCAGGCCGATGCAAGCGTGCACCAAGGCTCTTGGGTCCTTTCCGAGTCTGAGGCTGCAGGACCTGACAGAGGATGATATCCGACGGTACACTGAGGCGATGCTGGGCGAGCAACTGCGCGACAGGGGCGGAGACGACTGGTTTAGGCTGGTGAACGAGATTGTCAAGCGCTCCGAGGGCGTGTTCTTGTGGGTGGCGCTGGTGATACGGTCGCTGCAGAAAGGGTTGCAGAATCATGATACCCTGAAGGAGATGCGGAAGAGGCTGGATCAGCTGCCGAGCGATATCGAGAAGCTGTATGGCCACATGTTGAAAAAGATACCACCAGATTACAAGAAGAACGCGGCCAAGCTGTTCCGGATCGTCATGGCGAGCATCGACATTGAGCAGCAAATCCGGGAGCACCCGATTCTCGCGATCCAGCTGTCGTTGGCCGAAGGCGTATGGGACGAGGTCAAGCTGATCCCGGAAGGATCCCTCACCTGGGACCTGGAAGAGGTGAGAGTGCGCGACATTGAAGCGAGAGTGAGCAGTCGGTGTCTGGGGCTGTTGGAAGTGCACACACGCAGGGACGACAAGACTCACAAACCCTACATCGACTTTATTCACCGCACCGCCGTCGACTTTCTGCGCGATTCCCAGGTCGCAATTGACTTCCTTTACGGCACTCTCAGTTCTGACTTCAACCCCCAAGCCTATCTCGTCCGATCTTGCTTGACCATGGCCAGAATCATGCCCACCACCACGCTCTTCGATGGCGACGTTGTCTGGGACAGCATGCGCACCTGTCTCGAATACGCCCGCATAGCCGAGTACAAGAAACGGCCTGTCTTTGACGGTTATTTGGACCGACTCGACCAGGCCATGAGTCGGCACTGGTTCGCGGCCCTCTCCTCCACCGCGCCCTACAGCTCCTCGGTCGACATCCATCGCCTTCACCACTGGGCGCAAAAAGCGTCCTGGTTCTGGACCGGCCCCAAAGACGTCGACATGGCCCGCGTCCAAGCCGAGTTCAACCAGTTCTGCTACCCTTCGCTTTACGTCAACAACGACCCAACGTCTAGCACCCTGGACGAAGAAAACCAGCGCCTCCTCCGCGAGATCGACCTCGGTTTCCTGGTGGTGGCAGTCATGTACTCCCTGCCCACGTACCTCCGCACTTGTCTCCACCGCCTCAAAGAAACCGAAGAGGAAATTGAAGCGACCATGAAGCGCAAATCCACCCGCAAGACGCTCATCAACAAGATCGACAAGATCAAGGGTGGGAAGCAGACCTATGTCCCGCCCAAGGTCGCACACACGGCTACCAGGCTGCTGTTTCTCTGGGCGCAGCTCACGGCTGCTAGTAGCAACTTTTGCATCGTGCCCTGGACCAAGCCGCATGCGCGCGTGTGTCGGACGCTGCTGGAGTTTGGCGCGAACCCCATGTGCGAGTTTACTTATTCGATAAGCGGCAAGCTGTCGGCGCACAGAAACGCGTGGGAGCTGACGAGCCAGGCGATTCTGGTCTTGGTGCACCCAGCTTTGAGGAAGAAGAACTTGACGGAGCTGCTGCCGAATCAGAAGGTGAGAGCGGTGCTGTGGATTACCAACTTTTTCGTTAAGAACGGGGCCGATAGGGGAAGTAAGGTGCCGAGCGTGCTGCTACACGGTGCCGGCATGAAGAATCTCGTGTTGGAATGCCCTGGCCGAGCGAAGGACGAGGAGGCGACGCTGCTGGAGTGGTTGGAGCCGTACGCCAAGGGCCCCGCGACGAACGAGGTGGGCAAGAAGTTGGGCATGATTATGCGCAAGACGCACAGGGTGCTCAAGGGCGTGCACAAGACGAAGGGGTGGAGGAGGAGAAAGAGCCGCAGGCCGAATGGAGAGGGGGGAGACGACTTTGAAGAGGATAGTGATGATTACGGGAGCGAGGATGATGACGATTATGATGACGATAGCGATGACGATGGGCGGTCGGTCATCATGCCGGCGAGTAGGGATCGAGGCGAGCAGATGATCATCAGGAAGCCGCTACGGAGAGCAGGGTCCGGGGACACGTTGCTGGAGGACGCGATGGACGATAAGCCGTTGCCGCCGATTCCCCGGGAGAACTCGATTCTCAGTACGCAGCCGAGTTTGGGCGAGATTGTTGATGAGGATTACAGCAGGGCGAAGACGCCGGTTATGCATCATCAGGCATTGCCCGACACCCCTCCGCCGTCGGCACCGGATGAGATTTTCTTCCTTCCCACAGCATCCTTTGTCGATCTACCCAACTCGACGCCCCCCAGCCCAACCGGGACCATCTCACCGATTCTGCCCCGGCCCGAACCCGAGCCAGAGGTGGCACCGACCCCTCCTCCACGCCCACATGAACCGACGCCCGAAATGCAACCAACCCCTCGCTTCCCCGACCTCCCTCGCATGCCCCTCTCACCACTATCGCAACGCTTCCCCCTCTCACCACTCTCCCAACGCTTTCCCCTCTCCCCTGTATCCCCCCGCATGCCACTCTCTCCCCTTTCCCCACGAACGCCCGTCGCCCCGTCCCCCGCCGACTTCCTCTTCCCGGCCGCCTTCCGCGCCGTCGCCCACCACCGTCGCCAAACCGAGCCCTTCCCCGGCCTCGGCATCAACCCTTCCCAAGCGACCCTCGTCGACCCCAACTCGGACGACGTCGAAGACCTCTACCCCGACGTCAACCCGTACAACCGCGCACCACCTTCCCCTTCGCTCTCCCGACGCTCCTCCACCGAAACCCTCGTCGAGCCCAAAGCGCCGCATTACACGCGCGAATCGCTCAAGAAGCCCGACATGGAACGCCCCGTGCACCCGCTCGAGCTCGCAATGCAAAGCGGCGACCTCTCCGACGATTCCGATTCCGACTCAGAAGCCGAGACGGTCCGCGGCCGCCAACGGCCCGGGAGACGCGATCGGTCGAATACCATGACGACCAGCACGACGAGCGCAACGACGAGCACGACTGCCACAACAAGCACGACCACGGGTAACAGACATCGCGAGGCGCGGGAGCTGAAGCGCCAGAAGCAAAAAGAGGATAAAGAAAGGCGCGAAAGGGAGGCGAGTCGGGCGGCAAGAAAGTTGCCCGAGCCCAAGAGCGGGAAGCAGGGGTATGCAAAGTATTTGGGCCAGACGGGGGCCAAGGCGGCGGCGGTGGTGCCGCAGAAGTTGTTCAACCTGGCGTTTTGGGTGGGCGATTGGTGCAAGAGGGCGTATGGACGGTGTTCGTGGGTGGTCAAGATTCGGTGGTAGGGAGTGTGGTTCTAGGGGGTGATTATGGCCTCTGTACTTTGGTGCAGGGACGCCGTTGAAGTCTGGAAGCTTGCCTACTTACTTTAACGTTAAAGGTCAGGTGGGTGAAGTGACTTGAGGCTGAGACTGATGGTAGACCCCCCTAGAGCCTGAGGTAGAGAACGTGGAGGACTGGAGGAGATGGTGCAGTAGTAACAGTTCGAAGGATGGAAGGATGCGGCACCTGGGGTTAAAGAGAAGAAGAAGGAAGAGGCGCTAGGAGGAGATGTTTCTCGGTAGTTGGTTTTTTTTTAGAGATTTTATTTTCATTCATAGGTTACTTCAGGACGGTTGGGAAAAAAAAAAAAGCGAACGAACGAACGAACGAACGAAAGAAAAATTCCTGGTTATTTAGTTACCCATCTTCTATTGTTTGATTTTTGGATGAAGATGGATGATGGGTCCGGCTCCAACGCTGGAGATCCAGTCTGGAGGATGAGAGGTCTGGCTGGTTGGGGGTCAAGTCCGCCCCCTAAAAGTGTGTACATTACTACCTACTTTACGTCTGTTTATATACCTCTACCTCTACCTTTAAATACAGGTTAGTTAGTTTCCTTACAGATAGTGTTTATATACCCAGAATTCCATATTTCTCGGTTACATTACTTGGTTAATTGGTTGGTTTTAGTACACAATACCTACTTTTTTACATTAATAGAAGGTTTGAAAATGAGAATGGGACTTCTTTCTCCTTTAAATATTCTCTCCTAGGAGCGATATTAGCATCCAGCGAGGTCTTCTTGGTTGGACATTTCCACCTTTACATAGGTAGTAGTCTTATTAGCATCCCCGACTGTACCTACCTACCTACCTAGGTAGCTATAGGGAAACCACATAACCCGAGCGAGTCCTTCCTTCCTTCCTTCCTTTTATTACCCCCCTCTATACTATAGCTTCCAGTCATCATGTTAATCGATCTCTCTTTTTATTAACGCACTCCAACCCTCCCTCCCTCTACCTTATAATATAGAGTTACTTACAACCCCCCCCCCCCCCGTAACCCTAGCTGGCATTAAGGAATAATCCACCCCTACAATTATAAGGCCGAATAAATAAATCCTACTAACACCTTCCTCTACTATACTGTACAATGGATGAAAAGGGCTAGTTATGTGCCAACGAATACTATATCCGCATTCTAGAAAACACATAACACCCACGTGCCCTCAGGGTGAAACACTAGACACCAAACGACAAACTGAACAACGAAGACTGTAATCTGGTGGGTTGACCTAATTCGATAAGTACCTAGCCACCTAGCTAAACTAAAAAAAGGAAGATGTAGTAACTGTTGTATGTTCTTGTAGTGTAGTGTATGTGTGTATGTGTGTGTGTGTGTTCTTGCGCGTTGCGCAGCACAGCACAGCGCAACAAGCAAGCAAGCAAGCAAGCAAGAAGTCTGAGAGAAAAGCAGTAGAAGAGTAGAGTACAGTAGAAAGGGAAAGAAAGGCGAGATTGAAACCAGCCCAAAACCGCGCAAGCCAACAACAAGCAAGCAAGCAAGCAAGCAAGCAAGCAAGTCCGTACTCCTTCCTGTCTGTCTGTCCATCAGAATTTCACATTTCCCTTTACCCTTTCTCTTTCTTGTCTCTCCTCTTTCTGCTCATTCTCGTCCTCTCTTGGTCCCCACGCTTCTCTTCCCTGCCCTGCCCTTGCCAGATAATATCCATATTCATGCCATATCCATATCATTGATATCCATGTTTCCTCCGCTCCTCCCCTTCAAAAAGTTTCTGTCCCTGGTCAGATCCTCATATCCCTCAATAAGTCTCCCCCAAGTCCACCACCTTTCTCACTGTTGTCCCCCCTGGCACCGTTCCATGTCCATGTCCATAACCCGCATTATGTCCATGCCCATGCCCTAGAGCGGCCGCGTTACTCTGCCTCCTCAGGTTCAAACTGCCTGTAACACTTGACCGACTCGCACTCGAGCTGCCACTCTGCCTCCTGTTTCCCCCACTGCCCGGTATCGGAATACCCGTGTGGTGATGATCCGGGGCATCGCGTGCACTTAGTGTCCCTGTCCTCCTCCTTGCTGGCGTCGTCTTTGACCTCAGTTCCCTCTGTCCATCGTCCGTAAGCTCGTCCTCTTCGGCTGTGCTGTAGCTGATGCTCGCTTGGCTGTGGGCCGGGCCGTGGCCATATGCGCTCAAATTCCCCGAGCTGCGTGGCCACGAGCCTACGGGAGTTCGTGTCCCATGTCCAGGTAGACTGGTTCGGCTGATGGGTCGCGAGGAAGACGAGGGCATGTACCCTGATGCTGCTGTGGAGTGGGAATCGGCTCGGCTGATGGGCCGGCCGTAGCCCGAGGAACTAGCTCGGCTGCTGGGCCGGGAGACTTCCGAGTCGACGTTGGTGGCGGTTGCTGTGCTTGTAGATGTTGTTGAGGCTGCGGCAGAGGCGGGGTGGCGGATCGGTAGAGGCCCAAAGGCTATGCGCGACACTCCTGACGTGCTAAGTCTGGGGATGTGCTTGCTGAGATTCAAGGTGCTGCTGCGGAAGTCGGGGTTGCTGTGCGTGCCTGAAATATCGGACGCGTTGTCATCGTCCAGCAGGTTGAGCGAAGAGGTAGAGGCCCCGACCCCCCGCTGCTTCTTCCCCCGCATGGCTACCGTGGCGGCAAGGCCTCCGATGCCTCCGCTGAAGCGCGGCGACTGCTTAGGTGGCGTCTGCGCTGTGGCCGGAAGCTTGGAGCGAGCCGAGTGAACGCGGGCTTCGAGTTTCTGCATCTGTGCGGTAAGGGTTCGGATATGGGTGAGAGAGTTGGACGGAGGAATCCTGTGTACCGGTGCCCGTGGCCTCTCGGCGGCTCTAGCGCCCGAGGGCCTTGACGATGGCGTGCGCACCATGGGATAGCTGTTGGTGTTGAAGCGGCCGTTGGAGGGACGGTTCGATTGCGAGGAAGTCGACGAGCTGAGCGGCTTCGGCTTGGGCGTGATATTGTTTTCGCTGAAGGACTGGTTAGCCTTGTGGGTTGCCTGGGCTGACGACTTGGCGGCGGCTGACTTGGAGATGGACGTCTTGGGTGTCCGGCACCCGCCTGGTCTAGAAGCCGTCTGCTTGACGGGGGTGCTCCTAGACGCCCTAAGACCCTTGCCCAGCGAGGCATCGGACATGGGCGGCGATGGTGGATCTTGCACTTCGGACAAGGTGTCGATCGTGGACAGGGACTTGGTATCGGGTGGAGTTGAGACCAAGGGCGAGCTGGCGGTCGACAGCGGTGAGGCGGGCGCGGGGGCGATAGTGGTGGTAATTTGTGTGAGATGGCCACGGGCTTGGTGCTTCCTAAGCTTGGACTGCAAGATTTCGGCCTCAATCTTCAGGTCGGACAGTTCTTCGCGCAATCGCTGGGCTTCGACGCGCAACCGTTCTCTTTCCTGCTCCCCGATCTTGATCTCCTCCTCCATCATGACGGCGCGCTCAATCGCGACATTGTACTTGGATTCAAGGTCCTCCAACGAAGACGACGTGTTTCGGGCTTGGCGCTCAAAGTCATCGTTGGCCACTTCGATATCGCGTAGCTTTAGCTGGAGGGTTCTGTTGGTCTCGCGCAGAGCCGTGATTTCCTTCTCAAGCGCACTTTGCGCAGCATTTGCCTCTGATTTTGATTCTTTGTATTTTCTCTGTTACCGAATCCCGGGTCAGCAAAGATTCATTTTTAGCGTATAGCTAAGAGGGGAAGGTCAGATGGGTGGTGGTGGCGGTGGGAGCAGTTGCCGGGTGTGGCGCTAATTGAAATGAAAGGGTGTGTTGGGGGGTCACATCCATGACCGTCACAGGATCATCATCATGGGAGCCCAACGAGAGCCAGACATGCAAACATACCTTCCACTCCTCTACCTCGTAGGATAATCCCTCGGCCTTTTGCTGTAGGGCGCGCTCTCTCTTATCGGCGGCGTCCAGGTCCTTTTCCAGCTCGGCCTCGAGTTCCTTGGACGACTGCTGGAATTCCTTGAGTTCCTGCTCAAGCTCTTCGTACTGAGACTTGTACCAGGCCAGGGCCTCCTCCGTCGTGGCATTTTTGGCGAGCGGTGATCCGGGGACGTCGGCCGCCATTTCGCAAGGTCTATCGTCGTCGTACGATGGGGTGTGGTGGTCTGCAGGTTTTCATGTGATGATTCTGGTGTTGATTTGGTGGTGGTTTGTTGTTGTTGTTGTTGTGGTTATTTCTTTGGAAAACAAAGGAAAAGAAAACAAAAGAAAACTTTGGTCGGTCGTCGCTGTCGTGAAGAAAATGGAGATGCGAGATGCGAGATGCGATAAAGGTATTCGAATGCCAAAGGAAATGCAGGCGCGCGTGACGTGGAAATGAGGGTATATCGCAGAGTTGAAGCCGAGTTTCGCGTTGGAAAAATGGAATGGAAAAAAAGGCCGTTAAAGACTGATGCTTTGTTGAACTGTCGTCGTTTTCCTTGGCGTCTTTTTTTCTTTGCAATAAAAAGGGTTTGTGACAGCGTTAGATGGAGGTGTTCTCGATAGTAGAAGCAGTTTGGGTCATGGCCATGGAGGATGAGGGTGACGCATTACCCGACAGCCAGGAGGAGCCTCGAACCACGCAGGAGGAGAAAAAAAGAAGAGGCCTTGTCGCCGACGTCGTCGAAGAGCCCAGCGAAGCGAAAGCTGGAGGGTGACAGAGGCCGGGAAAGAACCTGCGCGACCGGGCGTAGGTGAGGTCCGGGGGGGGGAGGGTAGGAGAGGAGAAAAGGCGACGGGGCCTCTCCTGTTGTTGTGCCGGGTTTTTGATTGCTTGCTTGATTGATTGATTGATGGTTGGCGTCGCAAGCTGAGTGGGAGGTAGGCAGTAGTGGTGGTTGCTCAAAAACGCAGGACTTTGTCGGGGGGTTTAGAGCTGGTTGGTTGGTTCCCTTGGTTGCAATCGCTACCTAGTACTCTACTGCGGTCGGTCGGTCGGTCGGTCGAATGGTGGTCGTCTAGGTTGTGAAGTGTCTGTAGTGTATCGTGTCGGAGGCAGGCCGCGACAGTCGCAAAGTCGAAACCTACCTGGATTACACGACGCCGTCGGTCTCTCCGGGGTGTCGTGATGGTCGTCGTCGGCGGTTGCCAATGCGTCGTCAGTTGTTGTTGCAGGACAAGAGGAGCAATGAAGGGATTGAATGAACCAGGAATGTCGTCCCGGGCGGTGTCGGTTGGGAAAGATAGCAGAAGGATGGGGGTTCCCAGCCTGGCTGGCTGCCCGTTCCCCCAGGTCGAGGCCCGCTGGGGAGGAGGGGGGGGGGGGGGGGGTGGACTGGGTCTTCTTCGGATTTGTTAGTAATTGCATGTGTTTCCAAGTAGTAAAACTAACAGATGTGAACCGAACAGTCTCTGCCGGCCAACCGTCGCATGCGCGCACTATGTAACAGGGTGGATTACGGATGGGCACGAGTGGAGTCGGTGGGTTCATGGGCACCATGGCACCCGTGCGCACCTCGTCAACAAAGTGCACATGTTCTTTCACTTCTCTTGGTTCGTTGTCCAGTTGCCTGTCGCCAATTGTTTCCCGTATTGACAAGTTGAAACATTCCGCATTGATGGAAAGACGTGGAAAGGACGGTTGGTCAATGGACTGCCAGTTCATACATGTTTACTCATTCTTTCTCTGTCAGATCAAATCACACCTGAATCACACACATTGGACACCCATTTCACTTTATCCATCCCTCCGTATCCATATCTCCAGAGTGCTACACTGACTAGACTGAACAAAGTAAACTGAGCTAAACCAAGTGGGTCACCGCCACTACTACGCTCGCTCTCCAAGGTACCGGTCGGGTGCCTGTCCCTTCCTCCTTCTGTCTGTTTTTTATCCGTCCCCAAAAGAAGACGGGACTCTGATCCTCATCAAGGGGTTTCTATTAAAGCTCGGACTTTTGGGCGGGTGACTGTCCGGCAATCTGCCAATGTTTTTTTTTGGTCCTTTGAATCTAGATCACGTTTTGAGATGAACACCTCATCATCATCATCAACATCGTCATCAATCATCAATCAGCCTTACCTATTGTTAGCAAGTCTTAAAAAGCAAGGCAACCCTCCATTCGCACTTTGCCACGACACTCTCGACTGTATTGTTAGAATATTTCCCTCTAGTGTACACTACCAGAGTAGAGGTAGTAGTCAAGGTAGCCCCTTTTCGGGGGCCCTCCTCCCGAAACAGGAAACAGAGGGGGAGCTCCCTCCATCAGCTTTCCCTATTTGGCCCCAATCAAATCCACACTGGAATGTCCCGCAGGGCTTCCAGCTGTTTACCGCCTCCCTCCCTCCTGGACCTTTGTTCTTTCTGCACGACAGCCAGCACACGGCGGTGTCGTCTTCAGCCCGTCGTATATGGAACCATTGATCATCTTTTTTTTCTGACCAAACATGTTGTTTCTATTTATTTCGAAGCATCGTCGTATCCATCAGAGACCGACAGGTACAGGTACAGGTACAGGTACAGGTACCATGGAATGGAGTATATAGAGGTATGTACCTACTCATCACGATGTAAGGTAGGTAGGTAGTCTGGTACCATAGTGTATGCAAAACCGGGAGAGCAGCATCAGATCTCTGCGCCCCGCCTTGCATCTGCAGGTCCCCGCAATTTCCCACGTCCCACCCACTCAACTGCACGTCGACGGCCGTTTGGGTCTCCAATTCCAAAGGCATTTTCAACCTTGGGTGAGACTGGCGACCGACGGGACTCGAATTCCATTGCGTCACTGAGGGGCTTCATCATCGTCAATGACCGTATCACTTGTCAAGCAAAGCACATGAATGATGAATCAATCGCACTGGCATCACTTAGCACTGACACCTCTTTCCCCCTTGTCTATAATGTCAAGTCGTGTTTCGTGGGAAATTCACAACACGTGGTTATCCATACCTTTTCATATACCATCTTTAATTGCCTAATATGCTTGGCTTTGTCTTCTTTGTTTGTATCCATCTCAAGTGCATCTCAACGGGACGGGCCGTTTGCCATGTCAAAGGCGACAACAATGAGATTCTCAAGTCGTGCACAGTTCATCAATCTCTCTCTAGAGTACTCTAGTCGCAGCCCCTGACCGTCTATCTGATAGAACCACCATACCTCATCGCCGTCTATCAAAGGTCTTTATAGTTATCATCATAATACTCCTTTACCAACAACCCCTTTCACCCTTTCATTCCGGTCCCAGGTACTCACCCTGTACCCAGTGTACCTCCACCATGTCTCCCATCTACTCCCTCTTGCCAAAAACCCCATACCTCTCCGTCGTCGCAAAATGCATCCCCATCGCAAAATGAAACAGTTTCGCCGCCACCACATGTCTCTCCTTCTTACTATACTCCACCAACCGCTCATACAATTCCGCCATCGGCACCACCACCCTTTCGATATGTTCCCCCACCTCCGTCTTCTGCTCCGGCATTTGGTCTTCCCCATCCTCCTCCCCAAGATTCACCTCCACCGTAGCCATCACCATATTGGTATTACTCAGTCCCGGATCCGCCGCCTGGATGGGACTGACATTCTTCACCACACAATCGTACCCCGTTTCCTCCTTGAACTCGCGGACGGCCGCCTGCTCGGGCGTTTCGCCCTGGTCTATGAGGCCTGCAGGCCACTCAACGGTATAAGCGTCCATAGGCGGACGGTATTGGATCACGAGGATGGTCGAGGGTGGGCGGCGAGGGTGCAGCAGGATGTTGCACATGGCTACGGCGTCGATGCCCCCCGCAGAAGAGGCAGTCGGCGTCGAACGCGTCTTGCGCGCCGCGACTTCCCAGAGGCGCGGCTTGCCGGTTTGGTCGACGTAGTGGATCTGTTGCAGGGTGATCCATTTGGAGGATTGCGGGGAGAGGTCCGTGATGGCTGTGATGTGCGGTTCTTGGGTTTTGTGGATGGTCATTTTGAAGGTGCGTTGCTGGGGGGTGACAGTAACGGTCTGGTTGGTGAGGTTGTTGGTGGTGGTGATGAGAGGAAGAGCGCGAGTGCGTGATGCGGTTGCTGATGCGGTTGCGGATGCGGATGCGGATGCGAACAAGGTGGGTGCGGGGTATCGGTATCGGGTGAGGATATTCCGCATCAGCTTCTTGGAGAGTTGTGTCTGGTCAACCAAGTCAAGCGACTTTCTAGAGGAGTTTGAACAGTGGGACGGGAGTCCGATGAACTGGTTTCGCAGACGGAGGGAGGCGATGAGAGCGGTGCCGTGGGCTCGGGCGAACACGACTGGAATCCAAACGGAGGCGACAGGGAAGCGCGGGGCAGAAAAGGGTCTTGGCTGATGACGCACAAGAAAGACCCTGTTGCGCTATGGGACCTGCGAATCAAAAGGGTTAGGGTTACTGGTGATGTTTGGCCCGGAGTTGACGGCGCAATGTCGACAAAAGTGAACAGAAAACACCGACATGCTCATGTCATGTCGATATTAAATGTCAGTGGCATTGGAAAGCTTGATCAGCAACTCTCTGCTTCCTTCTTTTGTTCTTTTTCCCATCATCAACTCGCTGGCGGTCAAACATGGACAAGTGTCAAGGCAGTGTTGACCTCGAATTGCTCACATTGTCAACGGAGTCAATGCCGGATGATCACTGACGAGTGTCACCGCACCGTTGACTCTCACCTTCGACGCTACACCCTCGTTCCCATCATACCATATTGCTTCCGATGAGCGCGCATACATTGTGGTTGTCTCTCAGGAGTCGATCGATCAGATATAGCATTGCAGCCGTGGTCATCTCAAGATATACTAGCAGTCTCTGCCCAAGGTGATGAAGAATAGCCGACCTTATGATTCACCTACATCGGAGGAACCATCCGTTATCGGACCAACCTAGAGAGGGCAAGTGATGTGAAGAAACATCAAGACTCACAACCATATCAGTTCAACTCCTTTCCTTCGCCTTATTTGCGACGGTTTGGCCATTACAGTCACCCATCATGATCCATCGCCAGATGATTCACCAAACAACGACCTCATATCTCCCCTTAAACCCCTTCGACCCTTCGGCATCTGTGACCCCCTTCGTTTCATTCTCACCCGCATCGTGACCTCAAGGTATCTACTCCCCCACCAAGACCTCCCATTTCAGCAGACAGATAGTCAAACCCACACGGGACACCTCAAACGGCCTTCTCAGTAGGTTATCAGAACGTACAAGTAGGTAGGTACCCAATGTGCCAACTAGCCTACGTCCTCTCCCCATGGACCCATTCCCACCACAGCCTCGCACGAGACCAAAGGCGTTCTCAATGCTGCCACCTCGTCTGCATCACCTACTGCTGCGCTGCTACTGCTGCCATCGCCGCCGCTGCCCGACAGTCCGAATCTCCCAACCAACAAGTCCCAAGAAGTCCTTCAGGGGCAAGTTTGTCAAGTTTCAGTTCGTTAATTAACTACGACGACGACGACGACACCAACAGCAACAGCAACAGCAACAGCACCACCACCCCCCCTCTCTCACCTCTCCCCCGAGAAGAGACTCCCCCCCAAGAAAGTACCGCAAGAGGAATGTGCAGCACAACCATAACCTTCAACCGCACCACCACGCCCACCTTCATACTCCACCACGTCCGCCAAGCCCACCAATGTTCACGCTACAATAATGTGCAAATCGAACGGCCACGCGACTGGTACTACTATGGTTCCATGTTGGCCTTTGCAGTGGAAACTTTGCCGAGGGCGAGGGAGGGGTATACGCTTTCTTGGAGGTGGGTGAGCGAGCGGATGATGGGTTCGCATCATGATGGGGGTACCTCTAGGACTGGGGAAATAGAGAGACCCGAGGGATAGGGAGAGAATGGGACATGAGGGAAGAGAAGGGAGGGACATAGAGAGGGACGTAGAGGGGACGGAGGGAAGCGAAGGGGGGTAGTGCGGAATTTGATACTCCCAGTATCTCTAGGTAATAATGGGAACGGACCTCGAGATGGGGAGGGGGGAGGGGAGGGGAGAAAAGAGGGTTACTAGTAACGAAGTAGTCTAGTGCGAGTGAGAGGGACAGCGAGAGGGAGGGGGAGGGGCATCTACGTACTGCGCTGCAGGTGGGTAGGAGTCCGAATTCGAATGGGAAGGAAGGCGGCAAGGAACTTGAGGAAAGAAGGAAGGTACAAGCAAGGTTGGTTGGAAGCCGATCCGTCGCATCGTACCTACCTAGGGAAAGAAGTAGCTACCTACCTAACCAGCTGGTAGATCGGCACACCGGTACGAAATTTCTTAAAAAGAAAATGAAGAATTTGCCGAGTGGGCTGGCATCAGGACGAGCGACTGACTGACTGAGTGAGTGATCCAAGGCGGATTGGTAACTACATACGCCTTCTGGTGCAGCCTGATCATCTACCTGATCATCTACAATCACCATCCATCCCATCCATCCATCTCATTCATGCCATCTCGATCTTCGAGTTTCCCTTCTCTTTTTCTTTTTTTTTTCTTTTTTTTTTTTTCTCTTTCTTTTCTCACTCTTCCGTCCGCTGTGCCACGACATATTGACCCCGCCGGACGACGACAACAACTGACAAACTTTCGTTTTTTTGTTTGGACGAGGATGGAGATGAGGATATAGATAACTAGGTAGGATACACAGTTAAGAACGAGAAAGAAACGCGAGACGGATCAATTAGGTATCCTTCCCTCAAACTCCCCCAGATCTTCGGGTCCCCCCGAAGGGAATGAAACGGTTATAGCCTGTATACATGACATATCATAACCTACGGTAAGCGCCATCATCACGGGAGAGAGGGGTGGCTTGTTGGTGGGCGGGGTCTATTTGTGAGGAGACGGCGAGGGAAGCTACACGGGTAGCGCTAGATAGCATTTTGCATTGACTTCCGCAATATCACAAGCATAGCTTGACCGAGCATACGGCAATCCATTTCATTTGGTCACCACAGCCTTCGAGTACAGATAAACCACCGCCACCAAAGTTGAATGAGCTGAGCGGTGAATTCTGTCTAAAGGTACGAAAGTAACATCTCAATGCTATCGCCATGTCCACATCATCGACCCTCCGCTGTCTCGCTGAGGACTCCCATTTTCTAGTCCACTCTCGAATCAACATTCAATACACCCTAATGACCCAGCACATACTTAATCCATACTCTTGACGCTGCAAATATGTCGATGTCCCTTTCTAAACCCAATCACACCCACTAGCACTCTTCGTCCCGCAGTCCATGTCCCAGATCATACGCAAACCAGCTGCTCCTGGGCAGCTCCATCCATATCAGAGTCATCCTCTCCATCATCTGTAGACTCCCATTCTGAGAACTCCATTCCATCTGCCTCGTCTTGCGCATCCTCCGATTCCGAGTTGGAGGCGTCAGGTTCTGCCACCTCTGTGCCGGCAGCATCCTCTTTGGCCTTCTCTTCCTCTTTTGACCGCTTTTTTTGGTTCCTTTTGTAGTTCCTGTTATATGCAAGGTGTTTTTGACATCTAGTGTGACCCGGTGCGGCGGGCTGTGTGCATTTAACACACACACCATTATCCTTTTTGGCCTGCTTTCTTTTCCTGACCTTTCGCCTACACTCGTCACACCGCGGGGAGGAGTAATTATTGCTTGGAAGCAACTCCCCACATGTCGTACAACGTCCTGAATGTGCATATTTGTTGGTTGTTAATTCCGCGTTTGCTTCGGAAGAAGCCGGTACGGGTGGAGAATTAAAAGCCTTGTTAATAGGGCGGAAAGCGATGGAGCTACCGACACTGGGAGTTGTGACCTTGGCTCTTTGCTGGCGGTCTGGGGAACTCTTGTTTGTCTCCAGGCAACGTTGTTAGATACAAAGTTACTAATATTGAGTGAGGACTTACTGTATTTGCTTCCGCAGAGCCCACATTATCGTCCAGCTCTTTCCTCTTTCTCTTTGATTGTTTGCGTTCGGGAGGATGTGGCCTCGGGGCTCTTTCATTTTCTGCAGGCAGCGCGCTCGGTCCCGTGGATGACGAAGCAGGGTGATCCATTCTTGTGTCTCGTGCCCATGGGCTTGGCGCATTCTGTCGTGCATTGTGCTGCGACATTCGTGGGCTATGGGCTTGGGTGGATGATGAAGAATATGCTCCCGTTGCCCAAGATGAATTACCTCCCGTTCTTCTGTTCGGTGCTGATGTTAAGGGGATATCACCCCTGTGATCACTGTTTGGCCCAGGTGGGTAGCTGGCTGGTAAAGAGACTGTATGTCGCGAACCCCCCCAAAAGAATGCTGATGGTGATGGCGTACGTTCAATGTCTTGGTCTTCGTCCTGTGACCGATGCTGGGACTAGCTGTTGGCTCGGTTCGAAGATGTAGGACGCCGACCCCCCGACGACACTGGGTTGTCATCGGAGTTGTTGCTGTGATTCGACATGTCGCTAAGTTTGTTGGTGGAAGAGGTCTGGATCGTATCACTGTATGAACGAGCAAAACGATGTTGAAAACGGGAGATGTGTGATGATGGGATGGACGAGCGATCTGGGTGGAAAAGAGGAGGTGGACGAGAATGTTTCCTTTGCACAAGATCTATACTACCTCGCGGAACACAGACTTGCAACTTCCTCCATCCCCTTCAGATGATCCAGACGTCATCCTTCCAAAACGGGCGTTGCCCTTTGGTAGCTCTTTCCCCCAACTTAGGTGTAGGAGTTAGTATCGGCGGGTTTTCTCGCCGGGAAGTGAAAATTGGTCTGAACACAATGTTTCAAACACCCATTGGCAGTTTCCAAGAAGGGTATCTGAGAAATGAGAGCCTGGGAGATGGGAGTGGACAACGCACTGGTCCTCTTGAGCAGCCTCGTTTATTCACACTCTCGTGACTCGAATTCAGCACGAAAACAAACATTACACCACCGTGACTATGAAGTACAATAAGACCCATGCCAGATTCTCTCCAACAAAGTGGCAGAGTCTCCCCCTTCCCCTTGATGGCCACAGTCCTCATCATAACTGCAGACGTTCTCTCCTTTCCAATCTGTCGCACCAGTTCCATTCCCCCCTACTGCCCCTTCCCCTTCCCTTTGGCATACCTCACCCTCCCTTTTGCTCTACACTCTCCACACGTCAACTTCCCATCATTACCTCTGTCTCTTCCACAAGTCGTACACAGTCCTTCTTCTTCTCGCTGCTGACGGAGAGACTTCCGCCGAAAGGAACACCCAACACACGTCATCTTACCAGGAAGGCAGGGTTGCGGGTTGTTTTTGTTGTGGCAGCGGGTGCAGGATGCCGTTGGCCGTTCGGTAGGAGCCGATGTAGGAAGAGGATAAGACGAGGAAGCTGGTGGTGGCGGAATGGGATGAGGAGTGGGAGCGGGGATCGGAGAAGGAATTGGAGCGGGAAACGTGGCGGGCAAAGGTGCATGGGCTGAATGAAAATCTGAAGATGCTGCAGCTACGGTTGGAGGCCTTGATTGACTAGGCCGTTGGCGTGCTCGCGTGGGACGGGGTGGGATGGGAGGAACGCGACTTATCGGGGTTGAAGTTGGGAGAGCCTGTGCCGCGACTGTGACAGTAGGTGCAGCGGGTTGCAATGGAAATCCCAGGTGAGAAGCTATCATATCCAAGCGGAGACGTGCTGGAAGTTTTGGGTGGAACTGGGGGGCCTGTGGGCTGTCTTCGGCGATACCGACCTGGTCCTGCGTCCCTACCGAGTCTTTGGCACTGCCGATGCTGGTCGATACAGGTGGCGAGATGGGGTTTGAAAAAGAAGGATCCTATTCCTTGACTTGGATTTCGTTATCGTCCTGATCAATAGAAGGCTTTGGGTCCTGAAGCGCGTAGTTGCTTGCTGGTCCATTATCTTGAAACTCACCAGTCCCCTCGTTGTCGTATGCCGCCGTTGACTGCCAGAGCTCCGGCTCAAAGAAGGCATTAGAGTAGCTTGTCTGGAGGGATACCTCCTCGGAAGACGGAGACTGATGGCCCTCGACAGTCGGGGCCACACATACTGGAGATGATAGGACAGTTAATTCTGTTGTTTGGCTTTCTAGGCTGTTGCGGCCACTCATGAGCCAAGACGAAGAAGTCATATCAGGGCTGAACAAATGTTCGTCGAAAATCTCCACGCCTTTGGTATCATTTGCCTCAAGTCCTGCGATTGTCGCGTCTGAGTCAGGGGGTAAGGGGTAAGGAGTTGTCGGGCATAGCACCGGATCGTCGTCAGCGAACCATTGCATCGGCTCAAAAGGTTGTGGTTCGAACAAGGGATCGAGCATGTAGTCCCAATCAGGGTTGGAGAATAGCTCCTCGATTGTCAGGGTTGTCCAGTCCCGTTCCTCCCAATCACCTGTATTGTTTGGGTCTGCTTGGTTTGCATGATTGGTGGCTGAGTCTGGAAGCAAAAAGGTAGGATTCTCTTCTTCATCGTGGCTTTCGCTTCTGGGGGTATCTTCCTCTGGCTCGGGAACGTCATCTACTCGGAGCCTGTTTGTGAAAGTGTTCTCGGTCTCGTCGCTAACAATAGCAGGTTGATGGCTAGAGGTATTCGGCTCGGTGATGTCTTGATGTGGCTCCACGATGGAAGCCTGTTCATTAAAGTTCTCCGGCTCTTGGACCACTTCGCTGATGATATCATCATGGAATCGCTGCCGCTTGCGGGCTCGATTGGTCTCAGTATCATCAGTCCCGTCGAGGTCGTCATGCTGGCGCTTCGTGGCCCCGGTTGGGCCAGCCGATGACCTTGTCTCCGTCGCGCACAGTTCGTCTCCGGCTGAGTTCATGATCGGCTATACGCTGTGTTTGAGGTGTGTCTGGCCCATCGACATTGGGCTCATGGAGAAGTGGGAACTGCATGGCAAAAACCGAACGCGGATACAGCTGCTTGAAGGAAAGATGTTAGACATGCGGCAAAGAGAAAGCGAGCAGGGCAGGTAACCTCTCGAAGTATCCGACGTGTGGGTTCTCGGCATTTCGCGGAGATGGGTGGCAAGATAGCCATAGCTTCGAGTGTTCGAGGATCGTCGTGGTAGGTGGGTGGATTGCCTGTAAATTGCCCGGCGAGAGTAGAATCACCGGCCGTCATTGAGGGTCATGTCGTGAAGAGACCAGCTGTAACGATGAATGCGTGCATTCGTGTGCCTTTGGTGTACTACCTGGCCTCCCTAACGTGCCGCATTGTCGATGTGTCGCGTTCCTTTGAATCTTGTAGTTTTGGTTCGGGGAGAAAGCCGTTCGTCGGGGAGACCCAACGCGCCAAAATAACGATCAATGAAGCGCCGGGCAAAAGTGTATTGCGTGGACATCCACTCAGACCGTTCAGCGCAAGTTCGGTTCTTTCGCTGGCACAATGGTCGTTATCCATTTGAATGTTTGTGACGCGGATCCTCTCGCTGCCACCATTCCCGTCGCCGAGAGGGAGATCAAAGAACGAGAAAGTGGCGGGCAACATGAGATGACCCACCGTTCTGCGAGGAAAATTCCCGTGCCCGGACGAGCAAGGAAAGAGCACTCGCTCCGTCCAGAATGCTGAAAATTTCTTTCAGTCTCTGAGAGTGCAGGTGCATCCGAGCTGCATCCAGATGCATCATGTGCCGAGGAGCACTGGATGGGGGCACCCACCTCGCGAGAAGCGTCGCGTCTGGATCGATACATGTGCTGTACCATCGCGTTCGAAAGCGGTTTCGCACATTGTGATCTTTGCGCCCTTAACTGTGAAGAATCATTGTGATGTCATCTTTTCGCGCTCGCCATCCTTGGGGAGCTACGTGACCAGATGATCCCTGAGGATGTTCGGATCGGAGTGGTCACCGTGGTATAGGAAGAGGCAGGAAGTCGGGTGTAGCGATGGCGGGGCTTGTTTGCGGCTTTGCGCGTAAGCAAACGGTATATCCTTTGGGAGCACGGTGGGGTGTAGTTTCTTCGAGTGGCTGAGGTAAGGTACATCTGAGCGGAAGCTGATGTGATGTTGACCGCGGGGGGAAGTCGCGATGGATGCCAATGCGCTCGATGAAAGCGACTTGGCGGGGAATCTGCTTTTTTCGACTCTTGGTACATTACACGTGTCTGCTTCTCACCAGGGCGCATTGCGGGATTGTGATCGAGTGGCGGACGGTGTCCGAACTGGAGTCGGCGTGGTAAGTCGCGAGGAGAGCTTCGAAGGGGAGCGGGCGATCACAATCGTAACAATCTTCGGCAACCCTGTGTTTACGAAGCAGGTAAATCTTCGCCCGCAGTTCTATTCTCACCAAGTTTTGCGCATCGTAGACCCGCTGCCTATTCGGAAAATCACGCCTTTGGTCATTCCGGTCCCCGTGTGATGGCGCGCGATCCGCAATCCCCGTAACTGGCACCCAACTTCCTCGATGCAGAGTAATGTCACCTACAAAGCATTTCCAAAATCTCTATGCGTCTCCAGAATTTCTTCCTGCAGCAGTAGATTGCCAACTGCCAAGCCACTCCTTTGTTAGAGTGTTTGGTAGGTACTTCCCGTTCAGGCAACCGGCAACAAAAGATCGCGGCCATCGTGGTTTCCCTTGCTCAGCCTCTCAAACTGCATTGATCTCCAGACCAGCGCTGGATGCAGGGCCTCATTCATGTCATGAAGTTCAAGCTGGGCAGACCCTTCCTTCAAATCCAACCTCCATCGTTCATCATTACAGTACTGCACCTAGGCATATCCAACACAGAGCAGCACCAACCGCGCCGATCCAGGTCCCGCCATCCCGTTGCTCGGTCCCGGCACCGATTAGACTCCGTCACACAATCCGTCGCGGAGTCACCGCAGTTCTCGTTATATCGCAAACATAGATACCTACCTCTCGGTTGCCAATGCGGATACATCTCTCGCCGCAGACATTAATGATCCAATCCATGTAGATACAGCCGTACAAATGACCACTACTAACCAAGCGCGAATATCACAGAACCCCCTTTCGCAGTCTGTGTTTACAACCTGACGAGTCTCTCGCCGTTAGTACCCCTCGCTTAAAGTGCCGAAAAGCTGCGCCTCCTGCGCGTATCGCGTGTCTCCGGAAGCGGAAGGAAGATCATCAGGGGTATAGTAGGGCTTGGCGTGCCTGAACACATGGCTGGACGAAAGAATGGTGCTTTTGGATGTATCGTACAACGGAATGTTGGCTATAGGGGGTCGGCTAGAAAATTGAAAAGGTAACAGAAGTTCACGTCTAGACCCGACTAACAAACGAGGGAATGATGATGGCCACGAGATGCACCCCAGAGAGCCAGAATAGACCTTGGATACAGCTCGTCAAAAGCTTCTTTCACCCCTGATAGTCCACCAGGTGGCACCAGCACGTTCTCCATCACCTTCTTTTATCCCTCTACCGCGATCACCTCCACAATGGCGGATAAACAACGCCTCCCTGGTCCAGTTAAGGAGTCGCAGTAGCCTCACAAGATTGCGTATGCGTGAAAATGCCCCAACCGGTAGTGCACTGCTGGCACGGCGTTGTCGTCGGGCAAAGGGTTACAGTCGTCGTCACGACCGGGACAGATGAGCAGCCGCATGACTGGGTGACGGCAGCTACAAGGGAGATCGAGACCAGTCAGCAGTCAGCCGAGACAGGGAGGTCTCAATGCCAACACTTACCATCCCAAATGCAGAAAATACTCGTGTTGCAGGGGAGATCACACCCGCTGGTGGCCCATTGTGTCTGGGTACCTGTGAAGGTGCAGGATGGAGCGAGGGTAGGTGACGGAGCGGTAGTGGTGGTGGTGGTAGTGATGGCAGCTTTACAGGGGCCGGCGGAGACGGTGCTGTCAAAGGATTTTAGCATCGTTTGGTCGAACAGGCAAGGAATAGGGGAGACAAATACCTCAAAGCCGTTAGGAGAAAGACAAGTTGGCTCTTCATGATGATTGTCGTAAACGTTGGAATAGTGATATTTGTCGCTGAGCGTGTGAGGTGTCAAGGATAAAAAGACAATCACAACATGCAGAGCGGGCTTGTGTGCTCTTAATGAATAATCCTCGTCGCCCGTCTCAAGTCCCGCTGATTGAAGTGGGTTTGACACAAGCTGGTGTCTAAGGCCGTCTTGTCCTCCTTAACCCCGCCTCAGCTGAGAGTCTGGTAGAACAAATCGGGTGATACGAGGGGACGGATGCGGATATGACAGGAACGGGGTGGTAACACCGAGTCGAAAAGGGAAGAGGCGTTTTCCCCGACGGTGTTGTTTGGTCAATGTTTTGATGGGATACAACGGTGGCATACAATAGTCTCGTATTTTGTTAGCCGCTGTTTGGATACGGACGACCGCCAAGATCGTTGGCAAAGCATGGTACACACAGCCGAACCAACAAACGTTATGGGTACCGTGATACAATGGTAATTGGTGATGTCAATAGCCAACAAGGGGGCACTTTGTGGCAAGCTACCTGGCATTCAACTGAAACCACAAACAACGGCGTGAACCAGCTTCCATAGATGGTCAGGGATTTTTTGTCCAATATCGAAGAGGTGCGGTTGCTGAGAGGAAAAGGGACTTTGTCAACTATAAAGCACTCGTTCCATCCGGTCAGTTACCCGTTCACAACTCCTGTCTGGATCAAGAGGAGAAAGAGACCAGACCGCGATTTACCACATTGCACCGATTAACCCAGTCTAGATGTCTAACCCAGCTCCTTCCCATCCTTCTCAGGCTGGTAGCCGTGGAAGAGAGCAAGGCGGCCAAGGCCAATCAAATATTACCAACTACCCTCGTCAACCCGGATGGCGAGAGCCGCACTGTCCTCGGTGCGCATACCGGGCTGCCAATGTAGGAAAGGCTCTGCGGAAGCTTATACCTACAGCCGACAAAGTGCAAGCGTTTGAAATCGTTGGAGAGCTTTCTTGTGCAGTGTCCGTCGGCGAGGAAGAAAGCGGAATCATGTGTGACTACTGTCGTAACGACAAGCGCGCTGTCGAGTTTCATTACCCGCCTGGGAGAGGCTTTGAAGAAACGAGTGGCAGACTATGGAAGAGCTTCCTTGATCTTGCTGGCCACTGCTATAATATTGATGCGCAGCCCAACTCGTGGGAGATTGGACTTGGAGAAGTAGAAGAAGCGTCCAGGCAATTCTTGGCTTGCTGGCATGAGCTCTATAGGCAATACGGCAAGGACCTGTTGCAGATGAGCGCTCATGAGTTGACGGATGTGGGATGTACGTCCGTTGTAACCGTCCCTGGCGTCGAGAAGCCTGTAGCAGCAAGACCAACATCAGCTGGACCCCGTGCTGTCCTCGAAAGTGTCTTGGACCAAGTTCAAAAGATGGGAAAAGACTTCAACAACTTTGCCACCGAGTTCCACAAGCACGCCGAGAACACGAAGACAGAGATCGAGCTGCTCAATGACACTACCGCACAGCTTGAAGCCGACTTTGCACAGCTTCAAATCCAGGATAAAGACCTCGCCATCTCTCTCGAGGATCACTCTGTAAGGCTCATCAGGGAAGTCAAGGACCTGGCGCAGTTTGTGAAAGCCCAGGGTAGAACGCTTACGGCGGTGAAGATAATGGTGGACCGGCTCGCGATCAACTTCAACAAAGTTGCTAATGCGGCCTTGACCCCGGATACTACGGGTGAACAGCGCCAGTAATTCGCCGAGGTGCGAATGGAGGTGGAAGACAACATTATGTCTGATGCAGCGGGTCTTTCACGCGAGGTTCTTAGGATGGGTGGTGTCGTAGATGATGGCTGGTAAACACGAAGGCTTGAGGAAGAAAGGTTGAACAGGGGACGGAAATCAGCGATGAGAGGCTGAGGTCAATCCGTGGAACAGTTTGTAGGAGGGTTCATTGAAGGTGGCTTTGCCGCAGTGTAGATACTTAGCTGACCAGGAAATGGAAATGGAAAGATAATCGTCGGGGCTCCCGATCGCAGTTGAGTAGTTGATGGTTTAGTGGAAGCTGGTTGGGAGAGGGAGAAAATTCGAACAACCAATCCGTTGAACGGAGGAACTTCCCGCCGACATCGGAACTCTCTCAAACTCGCCTTCGCTCACATGACCGTTGACAGATGCAGCTTCCCTTATGCAAGAGATTTGAGCCATTTGGGTTCCAGTTCTTGCATATACGTCTTTCCGTCGACTGTGGAAAATGTGCAGAACAGAGGAGGTGGACGTCCAAAAGTACCTCGCGGCAGTCTTTTGTTGCGGACCGGAGAGAACAAGCCCTGGTTTCTTATGAACTTTGGTTCGCGAAAGTGATCATCTGCTGCTCTTTGCGATCAGAGTACATTGGTCGACTCCAGCCTCACTTCCGCAGCATCCCTGATGGCCGAGTGATCAAAAGGGGAACTGTCTGCTGTTGGAACTGCCAACTTTCATGGCCTGGTTCGTATGGTACGCACTCTGTCAATCCCTCCGCCAAGATGGTGATGGAGGCAAGTACAGTTGATGAAGATGGCGGCAGGAAGGACCGAGTTGTCCACGAACGGCGACTCGGGCGACGTAAAGCGACACTTCGTTACAAGCGGGCAAAAACTCGACTCACCGCCAAAACAATTCATGGGTACTTTCCACTTTTTCGCAATTTTCCTACCTCTACCTACAACACCCTCGACAAGTACGCGCTGGCTACTCATCACAGCTAACCTTCGGGGTCAGCGCCAAGCGCAAGAGCCTGTGCCTTTGATTGGCATCACCACATCGTCGGAACACTCAATCATGCTATCTACTCTCCATTTCTTGCGTTCCGCAGGCCATACTATAGAAGCGATCGCATACATGACAGTCCAAGCGGTGCATAGACAGAACCACCCCCGACGTTGGATTATGGTCCTTGGTGCTCCAAAACCTGACTGCCCCGCGCATGTGTCCCTTTATCGCTTTTTCCATTTCCGGCAACACCTCATGCAGTCATCTCTTCATTGTCTCGGCCAAATTGCTTGCCGTGCTCGTCTCGTTCGCTGCGCCCGATTCTTTGCGCCTGACCTGGCCAACTTTGCTGGTCAGCTTTGCGGCTTGCAACTCCAAACTAAAACACACTTGCTCCAATCCTCGTCTTCAACGATATGGACCGATTCTCGACAAGACCCAGACCCGGCCTCCTTGGACCAATATCCGTCCTCGTCAAATACGAACATCAAAAGAGGAGAGCATAACAGATACCTACCAACCCTTTCCCGTATTGACGTGAGGAATGACTGGGTCGATGAAGACTTGAGTGACACCTCCAACAGGAGCAATGGCTGAAGTGCTGGAGGCAAGTGCTCGTCACGATGACAGGATCGATAACGGACTCCGGACTTTCAAAGTTGTCGTCAGCGAGTAGGTACAAAGAGGCACATCATCATGTCGTCATGACTTCTTTTCTTCATCTTTTTAAGCTTTCTCTAGTAACGATCCCCGCCTTCCCACTTTTTGTGTTGATTTCTACCCCAGCTTTCGCCTAACGAAAACCATGTGGCGCCCAATCAAGGGACTCCCAGCTTCCGTTAGTTGTCTCTTGTCACGGTCAACAAGGAATGAGGATGTCACGAGGTGAATATATAGCCTTTGCTTTACGCAGGGATACTAGGGTATGACTGAGGAGAGAGTCGGAAAGTATAATCGAGTATCTAGTCCTCGGCTGCAATCTATATGCCTAAGCCAGTTTCTCCGAACTCCTTCCCTCTTTGCTTCTGGCATCCACCACCAGAACCCCAATTCCACGCCTTTCCCTGATACCTCGATCTACTTCCCTTTGATTCTCCAGTCCGCTGCGCCATCACATGACATGCCTCCAGCCGAAGAAGCAGCACCGCCGCCAGTAGGCGGGGCGCCATTGCCAACGAGAGCCAGCTTCTTGCGCAGACGATGAGCCCTGAGGCGCTGCCTACAGGCGGCGCAGCTGGTGTTGGGAGCAGCCACAGGGCCGCAGTACTTTCCTGAGCATGTGTACTGGCCATTTCTGAGACGTTGAGCCATCAAGCGTTCGGTTTCCCTGGACATGTGGAACTTCAAGTTCTGCCTGCAAGTGCGGGCTCCGGGCTGCTAAGCCAGAGCGCCACATGCGGTCGCCATAGTTTTGGTCTTGAAGGAGCAGGTGTCGGTAACGACGATGGGCGCACCAGACACTGGTGCGGGGCCAGGAGCCGTGGCATTGCCGGGGGTGAGGCTGAATGCCGGAGCAGGTTCGTAGTAGTAGGCAGTATTACCGATTGCAGAGTCGGTGGCAGGTGTCGGGTTGTCGACTAGCATAACTGGCGAGTTGGTGGTGGTGGTAGTACCGCTGGCCATGTTAACGGCAGGATCCGTCTCCTGACTGTAAAGCTCGAAGTCGAAAAAATCGAGCCAGTCGTCGTTTTCGATGGTGCCGCTGTTGGCGACGCCGCGCATGGTGTTAAAGTACAAGGTCATGTTGTCTTTAGCGGAAAGGCCGTTGATTGTTTCGTCAGCCATATGTGGCCATTGCAGCTTGACACCGCTGTTATTTCATCACGGGCCATACAAGGCCTCTTCATGATCATTTCATGGACTGTTTACGAAAAAAAAAAAAAAAAAAAAAAAAAAAAAAAAAAAGAAAAAAAAAAGAAAAGCGGAATATCTTCGAGTTTCAATACTTGTGTTTTGTTTTCTGAAGTTTTGGTCCTGGAGGCTCCTAGTCCTTTTTTTCTTTTCGATGTTTCCTTGACCCTGCCTGACTTGTAGTACCACCGGAGGCAGTGCCTTTACCTATATGTATGCCCTATTTTTCTCCTTTTGCAAATGGAAATGTCAAAGTCGAGGATGAATGGATCGGCAACTGGAACTGCACCTTCCTCCGGAATGGGATCGGTACCTTCATGAGTTGGTGAGTCCATAAACGGACTGGCGGCCTGAGCTGGGATATCATTGAAGACTGGACCGGTGGGGAGTGGTGGTATTGGCGGACGGAATGAAATTGCCCGCCTGACCTTCGATGGGATTCAAAAATGAACCGGTACCCTGGTGGATGATGCTGCCGATGACCTGGCCAGAAGCTGGAGACGCAGCCGCCATGATGTGATGAGGTGTGGTCTCGATTGCGTTACCGTGGTTAATGATAGAGGCATCAATAAGGTGACTGGCACTGGCACCTTCGCCCTCGTCGCCGCTCGTGGTTGAAAGGTGTGGCGCCATTTTGATCTTGTTGATATTATTTTCAATGGACTTTGTTTCTCCCGAGCTGCTCGAGATGACTTTTTGGGTGTGTCACGAAGATACCTCTACGGACTTGGGGTAGAATCGTAGACGAAGGAAAGGTCAACAGCAACGTCTGCACAGTTCAAATTATACCTCTAGAGGTAGGCAATCCATAGGTGGGTTCGTAATACATTCGAGGCTCAAGAACATTGAATTTAACTGGGACATTTGCAATTTCGTCCCGCTATTCAGCTCGAGCTCCTATTGTTCCTATTATGGGTATGTTTGATCGCCGACCTCCTTGACTGGGATGAGACGGCGGCCAAGTTTATACAGAACGGAATATTAGAAGATGAAAGTCCTTGTAACACCCCAACCATAAGGCTATTTTTCTATCTGACGGGCCTGCTGCAGGTTTTTTTTCTCAGTCTTCTTATAGACCTCGCCAGACAAAATGCCACCAGCAGCTGGAATGTCCTTGATCCCGTATAGGTAACCTCCATCCTTACCAGCCTTGTAGCTACTTCCCTCCAGATCGTTCAGACCGCTCTTGCTCTTCGTCTCCTGGACTCACAATAGCCCCTTCCCCTCTGCCTGCAATCGGCACGGACCGTATGAGGCGTATCCACCACGCAGCAGTATCCGCCGCTGCAAGTCCATTCCCCTCTCATCAAGCGCTCAGTGATCAAGGCGCGCTTCGCGTTGCTCATCGAGGACCTTTTTGCAAGTGGATATGTCGTTGAGGTCGATATCGGCAACGGGAGTTGCGATGGTGTCTGCAACTGGACCCGGGTCATGGATGGGTGGAACAGCAGGAGGCTGCGTGGTAGGGATAAGAAGCTGGTCAGCGGGATGGAGGTTGGTACCGAGCTGCAGGTTGGTCTGAAAGTCGTTGATGGAACTGTACCCGGCCTTGTAACGAGGAATCTTGGGATCTCATCATCCCGCTGTTCGAATCCCATTCTTCCTATTGTGTGGTTGCTGGCTACCTTGACTGAGATGAGACGGGAGCTCATAATCCACCTTGATCGGGATAACTCGTGATTTTGTTTTGTTTATTGACAAGAACCTGCAGCCCATCGGAGAATATGAAGAATTCCCGGACTGCTCGTTTCATCTGCTAGTCGGGTCTTTGTTGTTTATCAGTATAGAAGCTTCCTGCTGCGCCAAGGATCCCATTGTGAGAGTTGATCCCGCTGTATTCGCTATGTGGTGGCAGCCAAGCTGTTGACTTGACAAGTCAAGCATTGACCACCTTCGAGATGACTTCGGACGAAGCGCTGCAGCAAGGCCTTGCCTTCGACAAATAAGAGCCAGTCTTGCATTGAGACATCGTACAGTCTCCGATAGTTAAATGCTAGTGATGGGGAGCGGAGAGATCGTTTCATGTGTGGCATAAGGGTGTTGCAAATGTAGACGAGTTGGACGAAGTCAGGCAGGGAGGAGAAACTTACCTAAGCACGGACAGATAGATCCAAACCTGATCTCTTGATATATACGCTAGACTCTTCTCGACAAGATCAACTATCATCGGTTTGACGTGACCATTGCTTCCACGAATCCAGCATCAAGTATTGCTTCGAACCTTTTGGCTCTTGGGGGCGTTGGATGCCAACAGAAGCTTTCTTTGTCCGTTGCAATATGGCTTGATGACTTCCGTCGTAGGGACAGGCATCGGGCAATGGAGGTATTACGATGTTCCAGCGAGAGAGTAGCGAAGGTTTCGAAGGCCAACGAGTAGGCCGTATTCCGGCTCCGACGTTGCGATCACAACGAGTACGAATCAATATGACGAGTCCTCGAGCATTTGACGGACAATAAGAAGTCAGCAACAGAAACAAAATGGAAGTATCCGCTGCGGTTCATCATGGCCGGGTTCATCCACCGAGACTCGAGGGGCAGCAGCACAGAAAGAGAAGCATCTTGGAAGGAATTGTGTGGATCTATCATCTCATAGATAGCCCCGGATGCAACAGACTTAGATTCCGAGGCCCTTGTTGTAGTAGGATGATTGACTCATCTACGTGGCCGAGCAAACTGCACTGGAGGGGATCCAATGATGGAGACAGGTAAATTGGGCAGCAGCAATCCAAATTGACACCTGCTTGAATACAGGTATGGGGAGGTACGCACACAGCACACAAGGCATCGCAGCTGCTGCGAGATTGCATCAAGCCATGACACTTGAATTTGGGATAATCTTGCAGTGTTTGAAAAAACATTGATTACAGGGGCAATTGCCTTCGAACGATAGAAAGAATGCTTGACAAAGAAATCACCCTTGTTGTCGCCTTCCTTTGTTTACATTACATTAGGGGCATTGGGACAAGCGGCCGGTTTTTGTGGAAACATCAGCGGACCGTCTCCCAAGACCCGCTGTAGGCGCGCTGGACAGATGATGCACTATCCGTTAGTCTTTAGAAAAAAATGGGTGTCGCGATAGTTCACTAACAGCAGCCCTCTACAGCTGCCGCAGCTTTTTCCTGCCAGGAGTCATACATTTTTCCCACCTCGCAAACATCACGCTTCGGAGGCACAAAGGGAATGAATCATGGCAATCCTGAAGCGGGTTTCGGTTTGCTCGCCATCAGCTACTTCCCTTGGCGCTATTTGCACTAGCTTTCCCACTCCTGACTCCCCCGAGGAGACGAGAACATGGCGGCTACCTCTTCCCCTCCAAGCGAAATTGAAACCCTCTGTTCCCTTACCATTCCAACGCAGCGCCCATTCTGTTCTGCTCTTCGTTGCGCACGTTATTTGGCAGCATGCTCGGAGTCAGCGTCGTTCACCGCTTTGGGGTCTCTTGACGATGTTGCTCTCCGTGGATGTCGTCGCCAAAGTCAGCCTCTCAGCAACCGACCCGCACGCAGTGATGGGAGAGATTTCTTCTGGACTGAGGTCTTGGCGGGATCTACCGAATCTGGAGCCATTGACAGACATGTGCACTTGTCAGCAAGGAGGGCTTGACCTGAAGCCGGACCTGGTTCCAGCGCAGAAGAGCCGATATCGAGGGGGTCAAGGATGGTCAAGGCTTTGGAAGCAGTCAAGGCCAAAGAATGCGACTAGTGGTCTGGATGGTTGCTTGAAGCTTCGGTGATACTGCCATTTTCCACGGAGGTACCGGTGCTGTCGTCAAGACCGAAGTCGTTTGCCTAGATGTTGTCGTGGTCTCAGGCCAAGAGGTTCGGGTCGAGCATGGAGCTCGGAGGCACTTTAGTGTTGTTGAAGAGTCGAGTTGCGTCGTCGATACCACTTTCCTTGTTGTGGTCGATACAGACTGCCGACATACGATCTTGGCCGCGCTGAAGTGGCGGAAGGAATAAGCGCTCGCTGTACTCCGATGCGGACTTGCGCCCTGAAAACAGGGAGCGGTGGAGGGGGTCCGACCATGGGCAGGGGATTTCCTTGGTGTTGGAAGATGACATGTTGATGGGTTTTTATTGTTTCCTCAAGAGCCGTGGTCCTCGATCTTTTCCTGAGTCCAAGGCCGTAACGATATTCTGAAGAATGCTGCAACTTGGTAGGCAGTGTTGACTGCGGAAAATAACTAGTTGGGTACCTACCTACCTATGAATGGAGGAAGCTGGAGCATCAGGATCAGCCATCTTCTTTCAATAGCAAGCATCGTTCCGCACAAGATGCGAATGAATGACCTGGTTAACCTGACTGTCAGACGATCGGACGACATGATGGCGACTTGAAGGTTTTGAAGGGAGTTCTTGGACAAAGGCAGATATTCGGACGTAACCAATAGCCTGCATTCGGTGAATCCTTGATCTTCGGGCTGAACTCATGGTTGGGATGATGGGCAAAACTCAGGGTGCGTCGATATCTTTCAGACGCCGGGGTATCGTCGCGACAGTGAAGAAAATGTCGCATGGCTCTTGTTCTTTGGTTGTCTTTTCAAACAACATGGATGGGAAAGTGATCTTATAGCAAGAATACCTAGAAACATATGCAGACAGGTAAGAAAGCCTAGGTCGGGGACTGACTTTTGTTGAGAACGAACAATGAGATGTGTAGAGTACCTTACATGGGTTTTCTACCGGCGAGAAGGAACCTCCAGGCGCACGTGTAGAACCGTCGTAAAGGCAAGAATCACCCATCTTGAGATCAAACAACAAAACTAAGGCCAACACGAACCCAATCTTTTGCTTCTTGTTTCCCTGCTCATTGCTGTCATCGGTAATCAGATCATTCATGTTCTTCTTTTCTTTTTCACTTTTAAACAGAGATATCACTTTTCTTACCACCATCTATACCACAGTTCCTCCAGCAGCTGCTAGAAAAGAACGTCATGGAAACAAACAAGTCCTCCGGAAGTCAACGACCTGCTGAGAATTCGGACCAGAGTCCTTCAGAAGTTCACTACGTAAACTTTCCCACATTGGCTTCACACAAGTTGTCATGACCGCAAGCTAATATGTATATTCTTTCCAGCACCACACAACTCCAGGGCGAGCCGCAAACAATGGCTACGGCTTCAATAACGACCCGACTCCGAACTTGTCGGACGTTCCTGATCCTGGACCGTCTGATAACGTTATCACCGACGAAGAATACTGCGCCATACTGGAGAGATTGTTGCAGGAACCTTTGACGCCTGAGGAGTTGCAAGCAATAGAGAACGGCGCTCTTCCCGGAACCTACGAAGAGCTAGTCGCCCTTTCAAGCCAGTTCCCTAATATTCATGAGATGTTTAATCGAATAGTCATAGATCACAACCGTGGCTACGAGAACATTAGTGTTTCATCCATGTCAACTGCCTCTGCCTCCCACCAGGCTGTTGTCGCGCCTGAGGCCCTCGGTCCGGCGACAGTGGGTCATCTTTCGCAATCACTTGCCTCTCCTGCTGGTCATTCTATCGCTGAAAGCAATACTTTTAATCAATCCCCTCGCAGCGTTCAGGTTAAGCCTCCTATCGTTTCCCAGGACACATGCAATGGATTATATGGCAGGGGCGGCTGTAAGGCCCTCGTCTAGCAGCCGGGCGCGAAGCGCTGTTCGTCCCATATCGGCGGTTTTGGTATAGGCAAACCCAAAATCAAAGAGATTAACGCACTCCACGCGTTGGGGATCTGGTGCTGCACCCGTTGTCATACGGAGCATGTCAGCGGCCCTAGCCAACATTGTCAACGGTGTCGTCTTAAGGAAAAAATTCAACGAAAATCCACCAATGCCGCTCGAGTAAATGTTGTTGATGAGGCGCCAAAATCGAACAGTGTCGACAATGGAGGGGTCATGATCCATCCATACGATCCCAGCACTTCCCATTCCCATACTTTGGGTATCGGCAGTTCAAGTACTCCAGTCACAATGCCATCGATTCTGCAGATCCAGCCTTCGAGCAACATCGGCTCCGGCCCTAATGATTTTCAACCCTCTCACACGACTGGACACTCAATCAATGGTTCCTCCTTTGGGTCGGGAAATGGTGGTCCGCCCTTCAACTTTCAGGACAGTTTCTACAGCCCATCTCACTCGTTTGGCCATCAACCCGCACCCCTTCTAGCCCATGACCCTTCGGACAACGCATTTTCGAGTTCTGGCATTCCTGCCCACTCATCCAGTTCAGCACAACAAAGCGGGGGCCATGGTCAAGGGTACAACGACTTTAATAGAAATGGTTTACAGTAGAAAATGCAAGAGATACACGGACGTTTGGGGATCGCTCAAGTGAGGGAAGTGTGTGCACTGGACATGAACGAAGCGAGGAAAAAAAATCAAAAGAAGATACACGGCTTCAGGCGGAAGAAATGATTTACTCATTTCAGGAAACAAGCGAGAGCCTCAATAGCGTTTATGCTGAAAGACCCAAAGATGTAGTATACATGAACCCTCGTCAGCATCGACGGTAGAAACATCACACTCAAGCAACATTGTCTCTACAGATTTCGAATTCCCAAGTCTCAGAGGCTCAAACTCTAGAGGTATGTGAACATGTTCTTTCAACTGGTAAGATCCCGAGGACACCATATCAACCTGCAACTGAGTGTTCTGGATGCTGCTGGGGAGGTCTATCTTCTGGAGTAACCCTCCGCACACCCACCCCATTCCCTACATACACCCAAAACCCAAAAATTGTGGGACCATACAGCTGATGACACCTAACATCGTAAATCCCGTTTTCGAATTATTTCTTTCACGCTTTTTCACACGGTCAATCACACCCATCACCGCCAGCCATTTACACGTCGCATACCAATAACGTCGTATACTAACACTTATTACTATCCCTACCGTATCTAATCTCGCTCAAATTATTCCCCCTTTACTTTAAATTATCTATAGAAGGCTTTAACTACGTATAGAGAACCAGAAATCTAACCAAGGTCCCTAAGGTAACCTGCAATACGAGTAAGATTACACCCAAAACACGGTTATTTACATGCCAGCTGCCTTGGGGATTTTTGGGTGTATGTAGGGAATGGGGTGGGTGTGCGGAGGGTTACTCATCTTCTGTCCATCTTGCCTTATGCGGATGGAATCACCGAAGAGAAGGGCTTCTATGCTTCGAAGGCTTGTCGGCTTGGTGTAGGGCTTTTCATTCCCGGGGCTGTTAAGCATGTGACCGAGGGAGTTCCCCTGATGCCCATCCAAATGGAACCTTTTCTGGAAGTTGTAGTTCTGGACAACTGCGGGTCGGCAAGGAACTACTTGCCTTCCACCTATTGACATGTACTGCACATGTGAGTTCTGAACCTAACAAGGAAAGAGTGCGTAAACTTCAGATTTTGACCTTCCGATGCTGCGTGTCTTGCAGGAAAACGTATCGAGCAACAGGGATAGACTACTCTAGTAAGTCTAGTTGTCCACAAGACAAGTCGATATCTGCTTCCCCTGGAGAGAGGTATCTTGTTCGGACTCTGGACATCCCCGAACTCGACCAAGACATATGTCGCACTCAATCCGTTGGGATCTTCAGTTCTGGAATCGAGAACAACTCATCTGGGACAATAAGTCAAGCATCACAAACGGCGTCCAAGGTAGAAGGGTTCTCATTCGGTGATGTCACGTCACTTGCAAGGAAACAACAAACACTCGAGGCCACAGATAATGGAAGGAAGGGAGTTGCAACTGAGGAGGAAAAAGGGAAAGTATCTCTACAAACAAGGAGAGGAAGCCATGGCTGCTCTTGCCTCAGAACAATCAACCCCAGATCGTTCCATGTCTGCAATATCTGCCAACCTAGACTCCTAGAGGTACGTTCCTTTGCGGAGTCCATTTCCCAATCCTTCAGCGATTTTTCAATCCTCTGCATCCCATCCGCCCTGGCAAACCTTCTTCTTTACCTAATTCCCCCGATCAAGTTCTCTTATCTTTCTTCTCAAAACCAGACCCCCTGATGAGTTATCAAGCTGCTCTTGTCCGGAATCTCCGTCGAACTGCGAGGACGGAGGATTGAGCTGGAGAAGATAGCCGCTGTTGATGGGGCCATGACCACTTTTACTCCGGATCAACGCCCTGGATCTGTTTGGCGGCTTGACCATAACCGCCTCCAGCCTACAACTCCTGCTCCCCTAACAGACTCAGGGTACCCATCCACTGCGGATGGCCGTCCTGCCCTGACTCTTGGTCTCTTCAACCCAGGCAAGAACCGACGCCCAATATCTCGTCCAGTCCTCCACCGCTTCCTTGCCGCGCTTGTCACACGCGTGACAAATGGTGTTCGCAGTGCCAACCGGCGCGTCGTAGCGCCTGGTACAGACATAAAGACCTTGAGCTTGGAGGGATCCGATCCAATCCCGCTTGGCCCTGCTCAGTTTGGTGGGCAAATGTTCGAAGCACGTACGGGCCCCGGGCTGCTAGGCCAGGACCCTGCAGTCTTCGAGGTTACAAACGTCGCTACGCGTCCAAATGAGAGGTGGCACAGCGACCACTGGGTCGGTACCAGAGTTGTCACCCTCAGAAACGGGAAGCAGCACTAGCTGAATCGTCAGATGCGGAACCGCGGGAGTCGGAATCTGAGTCGACAGCGTCAACATCCGAAGAGGAGGAAGTGACGGAGTCAGATTCGACAGAAGACTCCATGTCCTGGGCCGATGACGTCGGGGATGGGACAGTGGGCGTATCCAGCATCCTCAGGGCATTGGCGGTGAGCCTCTGCGGAGGATTGGCCCATGCGGTGGCCTGGTGACGATGCGGAGTCGCTGACCGATGGTTGACTGGATGGGCTTGCTCAGGGGTGGGAGCAGCCAGGACTTCCATGTGCAGGTCGCAAAGGTGATGGGCGAAGCTGGCTTGCCGTCTGGTGGCGACGGCCCTGTCGACGGCGGGAGAGGCATGTTGATGCTCGATACGGTGATGGACCGAGCGAGGAAGAGGGCTTGGTGCCGTAGAGTGCGGGCAAGTGCCGGCGGGCTTTATGTTCTGGTAGGGTGCCATGGTAACGATCCTGATTGGCGTTGGAATGATGGAATCTACGGTTTCTCGTATGCGGTGATGATGCTCTGTCGTTTCAACATAAAGAGTCCGAAGATGCGATTTCGGTGGTAGGTACCTCTAAGCATGAGCGAAAGAAAATGTTGCATGTTTACCAGGAGAGGTAGAGGTATATTTTATAGGTAGGGTGCATTCCAGGTTCGTAGCCCCAACAAATCAGTCCATTGAGGAAAATGTGCTGTCGCCTTCACCCATTCACCCGCCAGGTTGTCCGGTCGACCTCGAACCTGGCAACCTCAAAACTCCACGCGGCAAAGACACCAAGAAGGTTCAAACTGAAGGGAGCCTAACTGAAGATAAACCTCATCAGCTAACCAAGATTATATCACGGGCGAAAGAACCACATTCGAAGACGGGATCTGTTCAAGGATGGGAGTTCGATCGTGGGGAAATCTGAGAACAAGCAGCTGCTGAACTTGAGCTAGCTACATGTGCCAAGTGACTCAAGGTCAGTTCGTTCTATCATGCTTCCTCTCGACCAAGGTGCTAGTAGGAAGAAAATCCCTGCGTGCAAACACCGCTGCTGACATTGAGGTTCCTGTTGTCATATACGCTCAGGTATAGATCGCTTAGATCTTCCGACAACTCCAGCGCTAGGCTGAGGGGCCCTTGATGTAGTTAAAGGTAGCTTTGAGACCGGAAAGATGGTGAGCAAATGTCTCTCTGGTGGGATTGCTCGCGTCCCTTCCAAGTACGGAGACGACGTGCGCAATGTCGGGTCTGCTACCAAGCGCGAAGTACCTCAGAAATCCGACAGCTGACTGGTACTTTGTCACTTTGACCTCGTTGACTTCCAATTCCAGAGCGGCCATAGCCTCAGCAGTGAAGACTGCACATGCCTGGAGGTGCCGCATCTGGTCCTCATCAGAAAGGCCCTGCGGAAATTGTAGCATGGACCGAGCCAAAGCGCAGTGATCTTTGAGGGCAATGGTCCTGAGAATGGCCCTATAAAGCTCTTGTCCCTCAAGCTGATGAGTGATCGGAGCGGTGAGATCGCTTTCAGCAGGAGGCTGGGGTTGATGTGGCTCCATGGCGCTGTGAGGGTCGAGTTAGGAATAAGGACATGTTTACTAGATTGTTCTTGAGATTACATACCCTAGGTAGGTAGGTAGAGGTAGGAAGCGCGACGCTTGAAAAATGCTCCAATCTCCGAAGTATTTCAAGACGCGGCTGAGAAGAGCACGAGGAGAGGTGGGAAACAGGTCCAGCGCCGCCCAGGGAGCACAGGAGAGGCGCCATTTATACAGTGCTCTACTACAATGTGACCCTTCAGGAAACCTGTTATCAAGATACTGCATTCCTCCACTGTCACATACACCCATTCACTCTCAGGTCGACTGGTTTTCCGGTCAACCTTGAAGTTTTGTTGTAGGTTCCCTTCATCCCAAGAGAACATTTGAGGCTGGCAGATGCCGGAGTGAGGTAAGAACAAAACGGACTGGATTGTTGGAGAAAAAAAATGGAGACAGAAGGTAGCAGAATTGGAGGGTGCACTATAGAATGGAAGGGAGGAAAATGTTAGGATCAAGATCTTGATTGAATCTATAGTAGGTAGACGGAAGACATGTCGAACTCCAGGCATCGGCTTAACAGGTACCTAGGCAGGGTATTTATACCTATCTTACCTAGAGGGATGATTGTTGTAAGACATCTCTGACCGAAGGTACATCGAGTAAATATTCCGCTATTCGTGGCTTGATACCTATTTGGCAGATTGCCCCTGTGTTTACTGAGAGAAAACGGACAACATGACGGATGGTCTTGAGTCTCCATAGGATCCTATTCTCCACGCAGGCAATATAAATGAGACAGAGCGCCGCGCAGAGACGGCTCGGAGTGTCCAAGTCGATGGAGAGGGTGAAAATGATGGTTCCAAGTGGGACTTGAACCTCCATGCAATGGTTATTCCACTAGCAACTTTCTATTCGGTACCTCTAAAGATGAGGGTGCCTCTACGTCTATGGCTCCCGATCTAGATAGCTCTTAGATGATGGGCTGTTTTCGAGCTATCTAGAGGTATGGAGACTTTATATCCACTGTAGCGTAGAGGTACAATTCTTGACAACCTCGTAACCGTTGTTGCGTTGATGCACACCAGACTTCACGTCCACTACGAGCTTCATCCTCGGTACAAGAACAATCCGCTGTTCAAGATGACAAGTGGAATACAGAAAAAGACGAAGAGACAAAAGAGCGTCAAGGGACAAAACCCCAAGGTTGAACACCCGTTCCATCAGACGGCATCATCACAAAGCAAACAAAGTTCCAAATATTCGTTCGTACAAGACACTTGGATGGCAGCTGAATCTCAATCGTGGGCCGCCGAGTATGAGTCCCAATAAGCAAGAGCGTACAACTACTCCGGGAGCTGGCTCGAGTGCTGGCTCCGGTCATCCTTCAACCTCCTACGAGGCCGAAGATGTCGAAGAAGATTGGATGGACTTCTTTGACTTTGACGCTTACGAACGTGACATCAATGGTCACTCACAAAGGTATGATATCGGTGGGTTCCCTTTGATGTGTGCTCGAAATGGGAAGAAATTGACGAATGGGGGACTTTGATATAGCAGTACTCCATCACTAGAAACAGCCATGCCGTCCCAGACTAGCACGTCGTTCAAACCGCCCACTGCTCCTTCCTTCTCCCTTCTCACTATCATTGAGCATGGAACTGCTCCTACCACTCCAGTTGACAACAGTCTCATTCCAGCCAGAAATAAAGATGTCCATCTCAAATTCGGAGTAAACAGCCTTGCCGGCCAGGAGCAAGAGAGTGGCGAAGACATAGAGGTAGAAATGGGTGAAGACGCTCAAACAAGCGATGATATTGAGCTGGAAGATGTTGCTAGCGCCGCAGACGTGCTATCGGCAGCTGTCTCAAGGACAGACACTCTCAGCCCTTTCGAGCCAACTCCCGCTGATTCACCTGGCGATGTTCCAACATTGAGTTCAATCAATAAACAAGGCGGACATTACTACAAGGATTCCCTAAGAGGAAGCGGCGATCTGGATGAGCCACGTAAACCAGTTGCAGAACCTCCCGAACGCGACCCTAGTATCTCTACGCCGCAAACTAAAGCCAGCTCAGAAGTTGTTTCCGGCTCCTCCGAATCTGCCTGTACCTCTTGTCCTTAGGAAGCAAGAGGGCCGGAGAGAGAAGCCGTGGGGGAGGATCCCAGCAAAGACACGACAGGACCCAAGTGGGAGGTCCACAGAATCCTAGCTTCTGCCATTCTCTCGGTTGGCCTACTGTACTATCGGGTGTCCTGGAAGGACTGGGGTAAACCCGACTATGGCATGCACGCACCCGGCACACAATTTCAGGGAATCCCCGGACCGTCTAGTATCCTTTCATTGCAGATATCCAAAGGAACCAGGACCTCCAATGCGACTGGATATCTGGAAGAGAGCTTTCGACAACGGCGAAGAGCTGGAGAAGCACGAAGACGATGATCTTCCGGTGGAGACAAGGAAAAGGATTAAGGGGATGCTAAGAGGGAGGGGAAAAGCCGTTGCAAGGAGATGATAAGAGGGAAGGCATTGCTCGTGATGGTAGCTGGAAGGAAGTTACGGAGGTCCTGGCTGGACAGGATGGGGAGTAAAACGGAAGGAACTTAGCAGCTGTGACAACATAGATTTACACTCACAGGTTATGCTTCTGGGCTTAGGCCTTCGTTGGATAGGTATCATCAGATAGTCGACATCGATATCTGTTTACAACGGCAACCTTGTGCTGTTCTATTCACGGAGTTAATGTTGAAAAACTGAAGACTTCTGCATGTATTGTGCAACGCCCAAACAAACTCCAGGTGAATCAGACACAATCAGCGAAGATCAGTGAGTAATCCAGGGGCAGCAACCAGTTTGTCTCAAACACTCTCGCGGGTATTTATACTGACCACATCCCCTTCCTCTTCCCACAAACTTACAACAGGGGAAGGTACCATCAAGCCAGCTCCGTCCTTCCAGGCAAATTTGCGTAGAGGAGAAGGATCAAGCCTTCCGCGTTTGCTCAACGGAAGCGGAAGCACAAGCAGCTCTTGGGCAAACTGTTTGGCCAAGAGTGACTTTCTCCTGGCCTCCTTCCTAGAACATCATGCCACGAAAGAAAGGAAACAAGGTAAGAAACCATCTGTCCCCCCATCAAAACCCGCGAGCAGCACCCGCTAAGAGACCGTCTATCACATAATAAGGGCCGCAAAGCCAACAAGAACCCTCCCCGCCCCCCTCCACTCTCACCAAAGCCCTTCCAACCCAACGCCGCCCCTGACAAGACCACCGAAGACGGCGAAGAACTCTGGGAGCTCAACGAAGTCGTAGCATCCCGCTTCATGTACGGAAAGCTCTACTACCAAGTCTCCTGGAAAGGCTGGAGCAAAGACGAGTACTGGTATCCCGCCAGCGACCTCAAGCGGTGCCCGCACTTGCTGGTTGAGTTCCACTCTGATAACCCGAAAGCTGCTGGGCCGCCGAGGAGGATCGATATCTGGGATAAGGCGTGGACTGAGTACACGGAGGAGGGGTTGGAGAAGCATGAGGAGGATGATTTGGTGATGACGGCCGCGCAGAAGAAGACGTGGTTGGAGGAGTTTGAGGACATGTTGTAGATAAGGGGATTGTTGGGGATGGGTGTGGGGAAGATGGATTGGTTAATACTAACATGGAAGGAGAGGAGAAGGAAGTGGAATGGAATACAATGACTCCTCTTATGCATGTGCTTTGTGCTTCGTGTCCAGTATGACAAGAACCTCGAGTATCTCCTGTTGACAATGCCAAGCGGATCTCTTTGTTTGAAGTCCAACGTCACCCACAAGGCAAGCAATGCGATATCGATGTCAAAACATCGGCTGGACTTCACGCCTCGACTGGAGTCACTGGAACAACCCTTACTAATCCCGTAAACATGTGGTTTTCTCGTATATGTGGAGGTGTGGCGGTACCTCTACGCCCTGTCTGCCTGAGATGGATTGCTATCACGACCCGTTAAATGAAAACTCGTCTGGCAGACCCTACGCCTTGTCTGATTTCACTTCCTAGACCCCCAAGATATCAGCCTTTCCATGACACAGACTAATCCGCTTCCCCAATCAATCCATTCCTTGGTCCTTCCTTGATTCCTTCCCCCTTCGTGTCTCGTGTCTGGCCGCAAACCCTGTGTTAAGAGTGGGCCTGTTCGACACTCATCTATGGGTGGAAGGTGCCTCTCTTGGGTACCTCCAGGTATCCGGGAAAAGACAAGGGCACATGTCATAAATGCTGAGCTCAGTCCCTGCCATGATAGACCTCTCCCTCCCTTTTGGTTTTGCAATTGGTCCGTCCGCCGAACCGAAGCCCATGCCGGCGCCTTCAATCGCCTTTGGATGTTGCAACTGCTTGTCGTCTTCCTTCTTTCCCGAGACACCTACGACCATCTGCCGATAAGACTCGCAAATGTGTTCGTCTTGCGGGAGTGTCTTTTGCATCTTTCCACATAACATCTTTACCGGTCAACATTAGTGATTCCCAGCTCCATTGGAGTATGATGCGGTGGACTAGGCTGGTTCGACTGCAGCTTGTCGTTCATCCCCTTGGGTTCCTTGTCCGCTGCCGCCCTGAGTTCACGCTGCCGCATGTGCCTCGGCAACCAGCTGAGCACGCCTTGCCCTTTGCGCCCTTCCCTTGTCGCCACACCTCCTGCAAAGTGTGTTTTTTCGTACCGCAATCCAGTAGCAACCGGTACAGGACCAGATGCCGCGCCGGTGACGCCGCTTAATCAGGTTGATCAGCCTCTGACTGACCTTGTTTCCCAGGTGGCCGAAGCACTTGCTCGTTCCTGGCTGCTAGACAGGGCACGGGCAGTGTAGTCGGAACCCGTTGATGGTCCTGATGACACTGCAGCGGCCTGAGAGCCGAATCGGCAACCGAAAGCAGGCAGGGACGGATGTTGTACTGCTTTCACTAGCAGCGGGCCTGTCAGAGCCGTCGTTGATGTCGAGTGAAGCGAGTCTCTGGCAGACTACTTCGACGCTGGGAGGTGCAACAGTGGATGGGTCGAATGGGGCAAAACTGCTGGCTTTGCTGATGAGGTTGCCCTCCTCGAGTGACTGCTGCGACTTCTTTGCCTCATGAGAATGGTGCGCAGCGGAGGTCAAAACAGGTTCGGGTAAGTCGGCAGCAGTCTCCAATGCGTGGTTGCTGTTGATGTTCGTGGGCGGGACATGAACAGAAAGGGGATTGTCCAGTCCCATGCTGGCGCCGTCCATGAAGGAACCAGAATCGTCTCGGGTGATCAGGTTGTTGTCTTGGGAATCAGCCCCAGACTCGGGAGAAGCGTTGGTGATATTGCGAATGGATGGCGTATATACCAGGTGCTGAGTGGCGGCGTTATGGGCGATGTCACTGACGTCCTCCGGGCAAGAGAAGGAAGAGTTTTCTATAGCGCCTGGCCCGTCTTCCTGAGGAAGGATGGGGTCAACAACGGGTTCCGACCTGGAGTTGTCCTGAATAGAGGCGTGATCGTCCTCGTCCACGCCCCACTCGTGGTCATGGCCAAAATGGTCTATCAGGTTGGTGTTGTTGTCATCGTCGCCGTAGAGAAGTTCAAAAGGCTCCTCGCGGGACCGGTTGGCAAAGATAGCCTCCTCAAAGAAGCTATGATGACTTTCGTCGGCCATTATCTTGGGTCTGTGAGGTTGCTGTCATTGCCGGAGTCTCAGGAAGTTGGGTGTGTCGACGTAAACTTTTTCTTTCCCGGATGACGTATAAAAGATTGCCCGTGGGCTCGATCACAAATCCTCCAAGGCCCTCTATCCTTAAGCCGGAGGCTGCCCCAAATCCTTCGTCTTCCGTTTAGGAGTTCCAGGCCTCTTTATTGGCTCCACCGTACTGTCGCTCGCTTTCTTGACCACGCGAGACTTCTTAGTGGCTCGTCCAGCAACGTCATCCGCCGAAGTACCACCCAAAGTCGAGGCTCCCCTCTTGCGTTCCGGTTGAGAGGTAGTAGATGGAGCCGACAAGTCAGCCGCCCCAGCTTCCACCTCTGCTTGACCGTCAACAGCCAGTGCGACCTCCCCATTCACCATGTTCTTCTGCTGAGCCTCGGACTGCCTGCGTTTGCCGCAACGGCCACCGCCGCACGCCTAGCCCTCCGTTTCTCACGGCACATCTCATCGAGGACATTGGGAGTCGATCCAGCCCCGATGTAACATCCTGTGCAAGAATGGAGGCCCCGCTACAGACGCCATGAAGCCACTCCTTTCATCCTCTTGCTGACCTTGTTCTTCAGGCACTTTAGGCACATGTTTACTCCCGGCTGCTAGACGAAGGACTCGCCGTCCAATTGGACGCCACTGATGAATCGAGATTTGTATATAATGTAGAACCTGCGTAGCCTTGCGAATCGCCGGTGCCACGAGGGTGACACTATGCTAGACGTGGATGGCTTCGTGGCCGAGGTTGGACGCTGGGTGTGTCGGAGTAGGTAGCCTTTCGCCGATAACACTTCCGGTACCTACCTAGGGTTATAACGTTATTGGAGGTTCGTTTCTGGCGTTCCTCAGATCTGATGATCCTGAATGAGGCGAGGCAGTGAGGTAGCGAAGAGGTAGTTATCAGGTGTCAAAGGGGAAACGTCCTATTGCATATATAGAGGTAGGCAGGGGTAGTCTTGCACATCAGCCAGTTTGTAAGGTCTAGGTGCCTCTAGGTAATTTCTGTCAACTTTGTGAACGCGCCCATTCCAACCCAACAGGTGAGTAGGTATGAAAAGGAAAGGGGTGTAGTGGTCTTATTTTCGATATCTGCCCCTGAGGGGGGGGATATAACACATCTGCCCCAGTCTACCCTACCGATGTCCATTCCAACTTCTACCCTCAATGGTCAAGCCATCTCCATATCTACCGACCATGATCAACAGGTGCTCAATTGTCCCCAGTCTCTTTATGTCGCTTCGCCTGTGGGCCTCTCTGCTAAACATAAACCCTCTGTATGTGATGAACCAGTCGAGAAGATCATCAGATATGCCTTCCCTTTCATGTATTGATCAATTTCCTCTCAAGCCTCCAAGCATCATTCTTGGAATGATTATGGGTTTGGGTTGGAGAAGAATACTCCATGCGATCGTTGTGATGAAGATTCCTGTTTAGTCGCCACAGCATTCATAGCTCAGCAGGAGGCTGCCCCCATCCTTTCATCTTCCTCTTGGGGCTTCCAGGCCTTTGAATCGGCTCCGAAGTCTCGTCAGCCACCTTTTTTGTGAGGCGGGCTTTCTTGGCCGTGCCTTCAACGACATCACTACCGCCCGCCATAGCCGAAGCGTCTCTCTTGGGCAAAGAAGGGGTGGACTGGGCCTCCGAGGCGGCGGTCCCAAATCCAGCTTCAACATCTTCTTGACCGCCACCAGGCACATAGATCTCGCCATTAGCCTCGGCGGCGACCCTTCTCCTTCGTTCCCTCTGCTTCTCGCGACACCTCTCATCCAAGACGTTCGGGATCGGTCCAGCACCGACATAACAGCCGGTGCATGAGTAAAGGCCCCGCTGCAGCCGCCAGAGGACTAGTTTCTTGAACTCCTGACTAGTCCTGTTAGCCAGGCACTCAAAGCACTTGCTGGTTCCCGGCTGCTAGACGGGATTCGGGCAAGCTACTTCGGTTAAGTCCAGGTCGACCACCTTAATCGTCTTGCACAAAGCCAATACAGGACTGATGGCTTTTCGGGGAGCAGGGATGATGAGCTCAACTTCGGCATAAGATACGTAGACTTGTGCCTCCGTGTCGTGAGAGTCGAAAGTCTGGGATTCCTGCACCGTGGCTGTGGTTGATGAAATGTTTCTGTACGCAGGTGTACCGGAAACGTGCGGGCCATGAAAGCCATGCTCAACTTCGTCGTCAGCGATCTCCAGCGGGTTCTGGATATCGGAACCAGGCGCTTCTGGCCTTGAACCCACTTCCAGGCCGTTGGAAGGAAGCTGGAAGTCAGAGGGCATATCAAGGAATTGTTCGTCGGCGAAATGATCGTATCCATCGGAAGGAACGCTAGCGAGGTTGTCTGGCTTGAGTTGCTGAGTGATCTCCTCACCGCCGATAGACAACTCGTTGTAATCGGCACCGAAGTTGCCGTTATCGGTGGGCACAAAGATTTCGTCATCATCGATGGTAATTCCGGTGTTAATGGTATTGCTGGTGCTAATGGTGTTGCTGATGTAAATGGTGCTGTTGGTGTTGATAGAGGTGGTGTTGTGCGTTTTGATGGTGTTGTCGGTGTTGAGGGCTCTGCCGGTGTTGAGGCTCGGTAAAGCGTAACCACCCCAAATGGAAACCAGTTCATCGACCAAAGAAACCCCGTCGAGAGATGCGTTGGAACCGTTGTTCTGATCGCTGCCCGTTGAGGTGCCAGTAACGGCACGCGCATGGTCAACATCTCCCTCACTCAACAGATATTGAACTAGATCACCATTGTCCTGGCCCGCATGAGGATCGTCATTCGGAGAAGCGATCTCGTCGTGACTAGAATAGCTGTGGTCGTTGGGGAGAACCTCAGAGGGGATACGAAGGCTACCTCCTTGGTCATTTAGGAAAGAATTACTCTGACTGAGAGACGGCGCGTGGGTGGTTTGGTCGCTGAAGCTCCCGCCGAAAAGGCCGCTGCCAGTATCACGACCGACGTTATCGAGCTCGAAGAGGAGATTGCTACCTTCGTCATATCCCCCATCTTCATAACTTCCTCGTTCGGAGCTTTCGGCGTCGTTGTGCGAAGCAGACCACGAGACTGTGACCGGCAACAAGCGCTCATCATCGGCTGTAAAGTCGGCCCAGTCTTTGGAAAAAGCCTCCATGTTGGTTGCTGCTTACCGGCCAGATGTGGAGAGACACCTCAAGGCTGTATGCAAAACTGGCAGCTTGCGGCGTACTATCACCTTCATGTCAGTTTGCGATCGCCAGCTTGTATCATGAGCAAGAAAGTGCGGGTGCCTTACCTGCTGATTACAGGCTCCGCTGATTAGAGCCTACGAGAGAAGGATGGCGAAAGCAGCTTGCCGTAAGCGAAAATGAAGTGCGTGGCTGGAGTGTGCTACAGCGCTACTAGCTGTCTCTTTTGAGACTTGACTTCTAGCCCTGGTCGTCAACAAGCTAGAATGCGCAAAGTGGACGTGTACTCCAGCCGGCGCGGCCTATACATAATCTCCAGTTGCCGTTTCCTCCTGATTGTCGCGTTCGCTTCAGTGGAGTAGCGCGACTGTTAAAAGAGTTATAGAAATGCGGTGCCTCTGGATGTAGCTGACGGCGCGGTTGGTAAGAATCGCGCGTTTTGTGCGAGGGAAAAAGGGAGCTGGAAAAAAACAGGAGAAATGGGGCCTCTGGCGAGAAGGGATGGGATCTTAATGTGGCGTGAGACAAACGTAGCACGACGCGTTTTCCGCTGGCAGTTGATAACTTCAGATCGAAGACCAGTCTCGCCAAAACCTACGATTTCCAGGGTTCGTCCAATATTGACAACGGATATCATAGCAACAAGAAGGTGGCGGGGTCTCGTATGGAGAGTACGTAACCTGACATGTCTGAATGCACGTTGTTGCGTCTTTTGCAGTATGTAACAGGCATTTGGATGTATTTATAGGAGTATCTTTAAGTCCCTCATCATCTGAACACAAGATGGGCAAAAAACATGATGCTATCGAGGTTTCCAGATGTCCGACTTACCTGCCTGCCAGCAGCGGCAGCGGCAGCCTTCCTCTTTCCATCCTCGTCCTGGTCTCGGCACTGCCTGCAAAGAGTCCGATTGATGAAGACGGCAGAGTTGCAACAGCTCGTACAGGTGTAGATGTCACAGGCGTGGCGCCACTCAATAAGGGCACGACGGTCGCGTCCGATCTTGTTTCCCAGGTGGTCAAAACATTTTCGAGTTCTGGGTTGCTAGACCAGAGACTTGCAGTTGACCACATTACCATTTTTGTCGGCGTTTCTGTCATCGCGTTTGCTCTTGGAGGCAATGGCGGTACGAAAAGGGAGACTTTTGGCGGAGACGTTATGAAGGGTGGCCTTCGGAGGAAGCTCAGGATGACGGGGGCTGCCCTTCTTCGAAATCCTGTGGTTGTTGCAATTCTTGGAGGTTCCGAGGACAACGGGGGAAAAGGTTGGTTTCATGCTGCGGCTGTATCCGCCACTGGCAGGATCGTTACGGTTTCGAGGGATACCGTGAGAACGGCTGGTAAACGGGGCTGTATTGTTCTCAGCCGAATACCCCCGAGGAGTGCTGGTCAACGCGGTGGTGCTCATGCCTTGGCCTTCAGTGCTCTTCATCCGGCCATGATTGCTCAAGTTTGACTCGAAGCCTAGGTCAAAATGCTCTGGAAACCCTGCCTGTTCCGCGGTGCGCAGCATTGTGGAAGCGTCCAGACCCAAAACCCAGTTCTGAAATTCTAAGAGACGGCGCAATTCTCTGTTACTTCTATGGTCGTCATGGATTCCAACGTCCCTTCGATTCTTGGCGTTACCAGGAGTACAGCCGAGATTCTCATGGCTTGATCCAGGATGGCGGCTCATGCTCTGGTCAGGATACGAGGGTAAATTACCCAAGTGGAAGTTGAAGCCATGGCCTTTATCGTTGAGGAATCCGCCCGCACCACTCTGCTTCATCTGGCCCTTTGTCTGGGTTAGGTGAGTGTAGCTGTAGCTGTGGGCAGGACAGGGTTTGCGGCAGGATTCGAAGTTGTTGATGTAACCGCTTGCACGACTCAAATCGACGTTCAGGGGTGGGAAGCCATTGGTGGCGGCGACAATGGAGAACTGACCTGTCAAGGAGCTGCCAATGGCTTTGTGACAAGTGCGACCAGTGCCAATCTTTTCTCTGGGGCGGGCGAAGAGATAGTTGTGCGGATGAGGGCAAGCAGGGATTCCGTGGGCCAAGGCACCTCCTATACGAATTGAGTGGTTGACATCCATGGGTTGATGACCGAGGAAAAGACCATTGTGTTGGCCCATGGCTATATTGCCGTCGAGCGAGGTGACATGGTTTTTTCGGCGATCATCCTTGTCGTCAAACTGGCCAAACTTAGTCGGGTTGCTGTAAGGGGACATGCTGTGGGGAGATGCTCCCTGGAAAGACGATGTATAGGGAGATCCGGCAACAGAAGCTGTACCAGTCGACGGTGTGGGACAAGCGGATGTCCCATATGGAGAGGTGTGAGGGGATAATGTGTGGTAAGAAGAGGTGCTACGAGGAGAGGTTTTGGAGGGAAACGTGGTGTAGACAGCGGCTTTTAGTCGGGTAACTTGGCACGGGTTCAAGGCCAGGCCATTGCCGGCATCAAATTCGTCATTTGTGTCAGTTTGACCCAAGCACGCGTTAATATATTCGTTCCAAAGCAAGTCCGAGCCGCCCCCAAAGTAGAATAAACTGGGTGGCACTGGATGGACAGCACGAGCTGAGTGGGCAATGAATGCCTCGTTGAAGAAGGACATATTTGTGTCAACAAGTGTTTGTTATCCGATTTATCGGGTATTCAAAGAGCTGAAAGGAGCAGACAAGTGGGCAAGGACGGGAGTTGAAAGTGCGACTGCGCACAAGACGTTGGGTGAAACCGAATCCGGGTACCGCTGTTTCGGCGAAGTCAGCAAAGGAAAGGTTGGCGGTTGCTTTGATCGCTTGTCCCAGACTTTAAAGGATTGATGGAAAGCGCAATGTAATGAACAGCAGCAGACCATGCAGTTGCTGAAGACAGCAAGTTATGCGCGATGGGCCGAGGTAGGTAGAGGAGCAAAAAAGAAAGAAAGAAAGAAAGAAAAAAAGAAAGGAAAAGAAGACAAGGGTGCGAGGCCCAATTTACGAGACGAATCCGAGTCTTAACGTACCTTACCTATGTAGTTCGTGCAGGGTGGGTACCACCGTTCTTGCTTCTGCAGTTGCCATGCTCGAGTTTCGCTGGAAACGCCAAGTCCGTGACCATCCAAAACAAGATGTTACCAAAGATACTATCCCCTTCTCTCGAAGCTGTGTAAACGACAGTGCTTCATATTGTGTTCCGTACAATACATACAATGAATTGTAACGCTTACTGCAGTTTCAACGTCATCCAAAAGCCAGGCATCATTGAGCAGGAGAAATAATCAAGAAAAACGGCTGCTGAAAATGCGAGCCTCTACCCCTCCACAAGTGAATTGTTCTCCTTTCGTTTGTTCAGCCGCTATTGTTTGGTCATGCCGCGGTATTGAGGGCCGATAATGTGGAGTCCGTAACGGCTCCGGGGCTGGCCGGGGCTGTCCCGGGCCCGAATGGTATGCCGAGACCCACACCGGCCACCGATGGACCAATCAAAGGAGGTGTTATGCTGGGGACCCTGATAGCTGGTGCAGACGCAAACGGTCCCTCATTGAAGACGGAAGGCGGACGCAGTGGGAAGGAACGAACGGAGGGAACGAAAGCAAATATTTTACCTAGCCGACTGGAATTATTTGGTGCGGCCGTCGTGGTTATTATCTACAGACGAATACTGAGCCCTAGCCCTACATTCGTCCTCTGTCAAGACTGGCAGCGACACTCCGGCTGTGTTGCTCCTGCTCCTCCATACCTAACAAATCGTGCATGTACGCTGCATAGTACCTACCATGCAATCTCAGTGGCGTCCAGTTTCATGCAATTTGCTCATGGATGCTTCGTTCAGTTGGCACCATGCCTCAATGTTCTCCCTTTCAACATGACAGCATGTGACGGATGACGTCTGTCTGTTCATTCCAACCTTTTGCTCTTGGTTGCTGGATTTATTGCTTTACACTCTCTACTCTACTTGGTCCTCAACTCCGTCGAGACCTTCGGCTTTGATGCCTTTAGTGACAAAGCTCCGCTACTTCCATCTCCTTCCGGACCATTTGCTGCCTCCGTTTGGCATCTCCAGTCGCCTCACCCCTGCGCCGCTTGTTCTTCTCCCTCGCATCTCTCGCGCAAGGTGTTGCACTGAGGCGCGCGACGCCAGATACATCCGGAGCAACACCAGACGCCTCGGGTATGGCGCCACTCGATCAGACGTCTCAAAATGGGGCTTGGGCGGGGAGACAAGTGGTCCATACACTTTCGGGCACCCGGCTGCTAGACGGTGGCCTTGCAAGAGCTCTGGATACCCGTCTTCTTGTTTCTGGGCCCTTTGCACGTGTCTTCTTTTTCAGAAGTAATGGAATTCGGCTGAGAGGGGTGCTGGACCTCGATATCGGCATGACCGGCCGGGATAGTCGTGTCTTTCACACTGATGCGGAGATGTAGGGAATTCCTGAAGGAAGAAAGTCCTTGAAGCACACGCTTGGCGCTGATGCTGGGCTTTTTTTGCGGGACATATGCGCAACAAAACGCTTGTTAGTGGACGCGACGAATGGTATAACGTCAATCGTACCAGTGGCAAGGTCGTCGTTGACATCAGTGTTGTCGGTGATGCCTTTGTCGTCCGGTGCGTGGGGCCACTTCGAAGCTGAGGCAACGTTGGAGAGCTTGACGTTTCCGTCAGGAAAGCCGGGATTTCCTCCGGGAGTAGGAATTGAAGTTTACAAGCCGCTCCCCGAACGGGACGTCTGACAGTTGAGGCGTTTCCAATGACTTTCATCTGGTGGCCCTGGACGGAAGTCCTTTTCGGGGAACCGTGAGTCTGGCCATGGCCTAGGAAATCTGCGACCGTGCGAGATCTGATCAACATGGAACATGGAGGTTGTGCCTCTGTCTGGAGCTCTCTCGCCAGTTAGAGGCCACAAATTATGAGGAGTTGAGACAACAGGAAGCGAAAACCGTGCCTTGTATTATACCTAGCGAGAAAGGATCAAAGAAGGAGTGGACTAACACGAACAAGATATCGACCCCCCGTACCAGCACGTTTGAGACCTCCACAAGCCCTAACGACCACATACCTGTGATATTCGATAGAGGTACCTGGTTCTTTGTTCCATTTCACCTCTCACTTTGACTCCTTCCTTTAACCGCAGCCACCTTTGACCTTCACTAGGCCTTGCTGGCACGCTTGCTTCCCTTGGACCACTTACCGCCCTGGGGCGGGTTGCCCGCTTCGCGGTTGGCCCTGGCAGTTCGGCCAACACCGCGGCACTTGTCACAGAGCCGCTGGGTATCCAGCCCGCCGCGGTAGCAGCGGCTGCATACGTAACAGCCCTTCAAGTTGGTGGCCTTGATGACCTCCTGGCGGGCTGGCTCAGAGGGGTACACTGAACCAGCAACCACCGGGCGGTCGGTATGGATGGTCTCGACTCCAGCCTCGAAAAAGGGGACAGGGATGTTGCCAGACAGAGGCATGGAGGGATGAGGAGTAGAGTTGATAATCGGGTTGTCGTTGGTGAAGAGGCTTGGTGTCGAGATATGACCAGGGGGACCTCGGGCAAAGCGTCTGTGTAGTTGCAGTCATCTCGGCGTTGTAGCATTTGCTACAACTGTGAAAGCCGCGAGCATAACGCTCACGTACAACTCGTTTTTGCCTCTTTGATAGGCGGTTTCTCAAATGGTTGAAGCAAGAGCTTACACCCGGCGCCTAGGGGAGTGCAGGACACTTTCTACATTTGTCTTCGACGATGATGGGGGTTCTGAGAGGCGACTTGATAAGGGGTGAGTTGATGGGGGCACTTGCTGAAGGTTGACTTGTTGAAGGGTGACTTGCTGCTGGCGCAGGGCGCTTCCTTCCCTTCGCCCCCTTCTGCCAGTCGGTGGAATGCGGGCCGCCCTTCTGGCCCTATTGGCCTGGCTGACAGCTACCTCTAGGTAATTCGGGCAAAGACCCGCGAACTCCAGACGCGGAGCGAATCACTTGGAACAGGAGTAATACCCCCTGCGATAACCCTCAAAAACTGCGGCCTGGCGGGCCATAGACGTATGGTTCTTTAAGTGCTTGAAGCAGAAGTCGGCGTCCGGGGACTAGACGGTTGCCTGACACTGACTAGCAGTGCACTGCTTGTGATGACTGCCATCCGGCGTCTCTACCGTGGTGTTAAAGGCGATAATGTAATTCCCTCTCGGCGACATTTGTGCCTGTGATAGTTTCCTGGTGCTCATCCGCCGCCTAAGTGGTTACGTCTTTCGTCGTATTGGTATGAATGGTATGATGGTTTATCGTTATTATTCCTGAATTAGAATGTTCCATGCAATGCATGTGCAAAAAGACAAAGTTTATATAGTGGAGGTACCTAACGGAGATCACACGGATTTAGAGAGTTGTAGTGGAAAATCCCTTGAATTGTATTCACAAAGAATCAAAAAGAAAGTAGAGTACCGCGAATTATCAAACTCCTATGCCAGCACGTTTAAGACCCCCCCAAGCCCTCACGACCACATGATGTTCAATACCTAGAGGTAGCTATCAGTTCCCTTTCACCTCTCACTCTGATTCCTTCCAAGCCTTCCAACCACTTCAGTCTAAGCCTGTTAGGCACGCTTGGTGCCCCTGGCCCATTCTCGTCCAGTCGGAGGAATTTCTGCGGCCCGTCTAGCCCTTCCGTCTCGGCCGACTTGGCGGCAGGCATTGCAGAGCCGAGGTTCCTCGAGCTCCTCGTTATAGCACTTCGAACAAGTGTAATAACCTCGAGCGTACCGCTCCGTAACCAGAGCTTGCCGGGCTCTGGAAAAGCGGTTGCCCAAGTGTCCGAAGCAGTAGCGCTTACCCGGCGACTTTTCGCACTTTCTAGTTGATGATACTAGAGGCAGGTGAGCGGTTAGCACCTACCTGAGAAAAAACATTTGTAGTTCTATAGAGACTCCGACTGTGGGGCGCTACAAGTTGAGACAGCACCACCCGCGGTGACAAGACCCGAACATGCGGAAATAGTAGGGCCAGCAACTGGTGCGGGGACAAGACCAGCAATTGCGGAGGTGGCAGGGCTAGCAACTTGGGCGCTCGAAGTTCCGACGTTGTGCGTTTGGGCGTTGATATAAGTGGTGTTAATCTCCATGTTGTTGTTAATAGGGAGGTTCCTGTACACGCCACTGTTGACGTTGGGCTGGGCAACGGCAGCATTCTAGGCCCTAGAAGGTGCACCTTGAGGGTAGTACCCGGCAACGGCGCCATAATAAGCCCCGTTCCAAGCAGGGTCATATTCAACGATGAGCTGAGAGATAGTGAAGAATGCCTTGTATTGGAGTAATTTTGGCCAACATGTGCTCAAAGCACTTAGAGGCGCCCAGTGCATAAGCGGGTTTGTAACATACTTCCATTATATTTAGTAGTGAAAATGATCGCAAAACATGCTTCATCCGCTCGACCACAGGGACGAATCATATGAAGAACAAACGAGGAATATATACCTATCAACAGTGACCATAGCATGGAAGTCAAAGACGGCTGGGCGACTATTCCATGGGCGACAAAGACGTAAGAAAGGAAAAGTCACAATGGCAGTATGGCAGGAGAGGAATTCAGGACAAGTACTCGCAAAAGAGCCCCTATGATGAAAGTGTATTAGAAAAGAAGGGAGTGGACTATCAGTGATTATCAAATACACCTTCTCAGCTCGTGAATAACTCCCTCCAATCCCTAACGACTGAAGAAGGCACTGAGGCCACCGACTCTACAGTTTCTTCCACTTTTAAATCTTGAAATCGTTTCCTCTCTCTTCGCGACCCTCAATTTCTAGGGCGCTTGACACCCTTGGCCCATTTTCCTCCCTTAGGAGGAATGCCAGCTTTTTTGTTGGCTTTGGTGTCGAGATTCGACCGGCGGCATCTCGGGCAGAGCTCCTGCTTTGCCATTGGGACCTTGTAGCACTTGCTACAACTGTAAAATCCGCTAGCGTAACGCTCACGGACAATCTGTCCACGCCTTCTCAAAGGGCGGTTTCCCAAATCCCGAGAACAGAAGCTTGCACCCGCCACCCGGCGTCTAGGCGAGGGCAGGACATTTGTGGCATTTGTCCTCTACTACGACAATCACCGAAGGGCGCTTTTAATCCCTTGACATTTGTCGCCCTCATTACCTCCTGGCGGGCCTTGGACGGTCGGTTGGCCAAGTCCTCGAAGCGAAAGCATCGAGGCACCGTCTCGGCCGACTTGGCGGCAGGTATCGCAGAGCCGTAGCTCCTCCAGCTCGGCTTAATAACACTTAGAGCAAGTGTAATACCCTCTGGTATATTGCTCCATAATAACGCCTTGTCTGGCGCGGGATAGGCGATTACCCAGGTGCGCAAAACAATACCTCTTACCCGGCGCCTAGGCAGGTAAAGGGCATTTCTAGCACTTGTCGGTAGATACAATAGGCGGGCGTTGAACGTGGTTGTTGCCTGGGCCTGGATGGGGAGGGATCGCTTCGTTGTAGTGGATTTCCGTGAATCCGGGAAGGAATACTACCTCTACTTAGAGGTACCCGGCGCCTAGGCGAGCGAGGGACATTTTTCACACGTTTCCAACGGGGATAACAGTTAGTATAATCGTTGTACATAGGTAGATACCTAGAAATCAATTAGAAGACTTAAGGATCATATAACACGTAGCGATTTATGCAATCGTCAAGGAACGAAGCCTTTAGTATAAGAATTGGGTAAAAAACCTTAGATGGCGGGAGGACTATGGTTGAGAAAGGGGACTGCCAGCAAACTAGTATCAGAGATCCTCCTGAGAACGTGAATGACCCCCCCAAGTCTTCAACGATGGAAAGGTACCTTCCGTCTACCAGTTACCTACTTTCTTTCTTCACTCTACTCCAAGTCTTTCTTTCAAATGCCGCCAGTCTTAGCCATCTTCTAAGTACCTAGACTGACCACCTTGGGCAACCTAAGGGCGCTTCCGGCCCCTGGACCACTTTCCGCCAGTCGGCGCAAGGCGCGCCGCCCTTCTAGCCCGGGTGGCACGGCCTGTCGCCAGGCAAAATGGGCAAAGGCCCGCGCGCTCCAAACCCGGAACGAAGCATTTGGAACAGGAGTAATAACCCCTGCGATAACCCTCAAAAACTTCCGCCTGGCGGGCCGTAGACGGACGGTTCTTTAAGTGTTTAAAGCAGTAGCCGGCGCCCGGGGACTAGACGGTCGCCTGGCACTGACTAGCAGTGCACTGCTTGTTGATGATAATGGGTGGGCGTTGATTGGTAGGCTCCGGGTTCGGGGCGCTAACAGTTGGGACCGCACCTCCCCCGGGGACAAGGCCAGCAACTGAGGCGGGGGCAAGGCCAGTAACCGGGGTGGGGGCAAGGCTAGTAACTGAGGAGATGGTAGGGCCAGCAACTGGGGAGATGGTAGTGCTAGTAATTGGGGCGGTGGCAGGGGCACCTTGAGCGTCGTACCCAGCAACGGCGCTATACTCAGCCCCGTTCCAAGCAGGGTCATGTGCAGCAAGGCCATCAGGCTGCCAATTGTTGTGATAGCCTGTTCCTACTGGCAAAGCATTGCTGTTGCCAAGATCCTGATACATATGTGTCAGTTCACGATCAAAAAGGATTGAGGGGTTTGAAGCTTCTTACCTGAATGGGATTTTGGAAAGAAAAGTTGGAGGCATTGACTGAAGCCATGGTAAAACCCTGGCCATTGTGAAGATTCTGTCACATTTTCGTCAGTTTGCGGTTAGAAGGGCGGAGGGGTTGTCGGTTTCTTACCTGAGCGGGATTCGCCAAGGTGAGATTGGAAGGATTGGCACGATTGGGGTCAACGTAATAGTTTGGATAATCCATCTTTGTTGTTTCGGTTTTCCCTAGGATGGTGTAGAAAGGTCCGTTTGTTCCCCTTTGTCGAGGTGAGGTGGTCTTTCAAGGTGATAATGCGATGATAGCGAGGCCCGTCAGTGATGTACCCGGATGATGTTTCCAGGGTCACCAACGTGCCGAGAGCGTGTCCGACGATTGCTCTGCGACTTATTAGAGGCAGACCAGGACTTGGGTTTTGCCGCTGCTTGGGAGTTTTGGGTTGGTAGTGTTTTTGGAAAAAGAGAAAAGGGCGGGGGGAGGACCTTAAATACCCTGGCAGGAAGGGACTAAATTCATGAAGAGCAAGTGAATGCTCATTCCTCGCACGCAGAGCGTATAGTGGAGCTAAACGACAGGCAGGCACGAAAGCCGGCCTATGAATTTCCGCGAACAGGAGCAGTATTCGTAGCCGGGGGAACGAACCTAAGGTCCTTCCTACCGTCACTTGAACACTGTGGAGACTAATTTCCCCAAGGGAACACTTTCTGCCAGCTGTCCGCTGCACGCGTTCTCAGTCTCTTGTTTATAGTAGGAGCCTCTGCCAGCCGACGGGCAGGCCGATTCCTCTGGACAACGCTGTTGATGTCAACCTTGATCACCTGACCACGCCGGTACGTACCCCCGTTGCCAGGCCTACCAGCACTCAGTAGAACCCTAAGTATAGCTGGGGTAGGGCCTCTCTAGCCTGCCGGTAGATAGAGATTGGTAGCCGGTGGCAGTCCCTGGGCCCCGGCTTCCTATGAGGGAGTGATGATAATTACCGCGGGGTCGTAATGCATTACCGTATTTTTCATCTGGGTCAAAGGACGCAGGACACTCTTTCATTTCTCCCCTATCGTATTAGAAGATCACTTGTTATGGACACAAATCCCTTTGTCCGCGACGTATACTTTTCTGTCTATAATTTTTTGAGTGTATGCAACGAATACCGTTCGCGTTTGGTCTGATCTTTGCTCCCCTCTGACTTCCGCCGTACCCTTGTTGCAATTAACATCATCTACGTTTTTCTCTCTAAGATAGGTACCCTCCCGACTGAGTGGAGATATGCCTCGTACTCGTGACCTTTCGTCATCATCAACTCATGAACCATAACGTGAAGTCATAACGCGAAGGTCCCTGGCGACCTCCTTAGCATTGCGCCACTTCTCTGTCCCATTATTGTCAACGACGCGAGGCAATGGATTCTGTGCACTGCGTGCTTTGACTAGGTGGGAAGCTTGGTACGGGCGCGGGCACGCAAGGACTTGATGGCGGTAACTTCGATCGTAGCACGCGTTCCAGACGGCACCAGGGACCTCGAGTGCAGCGGAGCCCGCACTTGACGCAAGGCTGGCACTTGGTGTTTGCGATTGGAGCTCCAATTCCGTCCGCATCCTTCTCCACGGTCGTTGGAATTCGATGAATTCCTGTCTTGTGGTATATATGGCAATTCAGGAGGGTGCCATTGACGCCAACCCCACCGTCAACCGCCCCCGGCCAGTCTTCCTACCAAGACCACATACATCCCCCTAGTTGGACGCGCCGATGGCCATGCACTGGCGCAAGTATGCTCATACGTGTGCCTACCGGCAGCTATCAACACGTGATACTCCCGCACCCTAGCGGCGGTGTAGACGACAGTGCTTTCATAGAGGTAAGAAGATTGGGCCATGTATGACAGTCCGATCCCCGCTTTTGAAGTTTTTCTAGAGCTTCAATGGGTAAAAGGACATGCCGGAGTCGAAGAGAACGATCAGGCAGATCGCATTACGAGAAGGGCTCGTCCAGAAGATGACGGGAGAGATCTTTTCGTAGCCAGCGGTAAGGATCTGGATGCGACCGCACTACCGCCCGCCATGCATCTTCAGTTTCAGACGACGTTGTGGCAAAGACAGCCCGCCAACGGCCATCACGACCCTGGGGCAGATAATATGATCATCGCAAGAGGAACAGCAGGAGGAATGATCGAAGACGTGGCAAACTCGCCTTAGTTGCTGACTATGAGAATCGTAGGCACGATGTGCAGGCAAGAATGATCAAGGAAAATCGTGCCAGGAAGCGCGAGCAGGGCAAGAGACTGGCGCAAAGTGCTGAAGTCAAGTTGTGGAAAAGTAATATTAGGCCGGAAATACCCATCAATCTTTTGTCTTTGCATCCCAACTCACAGATGGTAAACCATTTCCACGAACTAAAGTACTATGAAGCAATTCTTTGACTGAGACCCGCTTGTGACATTCTCTGTTTCTTCTGGGGGTTTATAGACAACGGGAGGAAACAGGTCCTAAAGCAAGAGACCCGGGCAGTTCCAATCGAAGACCCAAACGTAGGAGTAGCCCGCTTGGGAGAAGCAACTTCGGCGCGCTCTGCAATGGCGGGCGTAGTGGAAGCGAGGCCAGCTGGACCAGGTTCTCCAAATATGTCGAAAAAAGAAAAGTCCGCGAGAACTTCGTCGGCGGCAAAAAGATCAGGAGCCGGCTCTCGAGGGGTAGGGTTAGAATGGCCTTGTTCAGCAAAATGCGGCTGAGGGACGGCCAGACGAGGCTGTTGAAGTTCGAAGCGAGACAGAGAGGGCGGAAGCACAGCGGTATCAGGGGCAACTTGCTCATCACTAACCCACTCGTCGAAAGCCAGCTCAAAATGACCAGGCTCAGGAAGGGAAAAACCCCAGGGAACCGGGTCCTCGGCTATCAACTCCTCATTGTCCAGCTCAGAACGAGCCGGCTCAGGTAAAGAAGGCTCAGAGCGATTAGGAATGCCATAGAAAATGGGATTGCCTTGTTCATCCCAACCTCCGGGAGGCAGGGAGGGGAACGGTAAGTATACCTCGGAATCACGAGGCTGACTACCTCCTATAACAGCGTCGGGGGCAATGAGTTGGGAATTGTCGCGTGAAAGGGCGCGACCTATAGTTGAAAAGGCGATTCGTTCGGAAAGAGTCGATTGAGAGGGCACGACGGCGACTTCGCCAGCCTGTCCTTCTTGAGCTTCCTCAGCAGAAGGGTAGCCGCTAGGTTGGTTGATCGGGTCCAAACCATCAGGTCCGTAGACTACTTGGGATAGGCGGTTGAACAAACTCAACTCCCAATCGCTGAGGGTGGCACTACTACCGGTATAGTTGTTTGCGTGATGGAGACTGTCGGCAGGCAAGCGGGAATCGATGCCCGAGTCGGGAGAGATGCTTCCGGCAATATGTCTGATCGGGGCGCTGTCGGTTGCGACGTTGGCTAGGTGGATAGGAGATTGAATGTTTGTCTCGGTGATGCAGCATGGCGGAGTGTGCTCAAAAAGCTCGTCGAGACCAGTGGGTGTAACACCAAACTGCGCCTGCTGTGATGCTTCATCGTCAGCAAATAGCGTAGTACTGGGTTACTATAGGAAAGCGATAACCGTACCTGCGAATTGGGTACCGCCGAGCGGCCATGCGGCTGGTTCATGATGTAACAAGAGCGAGGAAGTCACACAAGGGCGTGCTTGGGTCCTGATCAACCCTTTGCAAATGTAGTAGCCTCGGGACAAGTGCTCGAGGATTAACCAACGAGTCCTCTGACTAACGTATGATATTAAGAGCGAATTACTTATACGTATGCAAGAGGATACAATGTACGGATCGATTTGTGGAATCAGTATCGTATTTAGTTATAAAGACCGAAACAACAGCCACCTAGTATGATTCCACGATTTGAATGTATGTTCATTGGCTCTAATGTGTAAATAGGGAAAAAATGAGCTACCAAGAACAGCAAGCCCGAAGACCCCAGATACTTTTCACCGTCTTGTTCACTGCCACAGCTGACCAAACCAGCATAGTCAAGCAATTCATCGTTGAAACAAAGACAAAGGCAAGCACATCCTTCAAACCAAGGCTTGATGATGACGTACTGCCGGATCGTATGGACGGGAAAAGCTTGAGATGCATGTGGAGGTCTCAGGCCGCTTTCTGGACCCTGCCGCCTAGAACGGCTCCGGCGGCTCCAGATCCCGGATCCTTTCAGTTGCCAACGCGCTTCTTGCGCGGTCCCGCATTTCCCTTCTTGGGGCCACCTCCGCCGGCACGCTTGGCCGGGATTCCCTCTCTACGACGCTTATTTTGCGCCTTGCTCCTCTTCATACATCTAACTTCGCAATACTTGCGAGGTACGGGCATTTCGGTTTTAAGACACCCCGTACAAGTGTGGTACCCGCGCGCGTGGCGTTCTTTCACCGTCCGTTGGATTTCGGCGCTAGGTGATACCCTAAGGTGCTCGAAGCAGAGGATGGCCGAGGTCTCCTAAGCCCTGGCATCGCATCCTGGAGCATGGCACTGGGTCTCAACGATGATGGGTGTCCGAATCCGCTCACTGGAGGCGGACTGAACAGAGGCTACGTTGGTAGAATTATGTCCAGAAGAAGTGACACCCATCGAGGCGCGCTCTGAAGACGTGGTGGATGTATGCTCGAGGTTGACAGCCATGGCATGCGCGGGCTCAACTAGAGCGGGCATGGGAACAGAGGGCGCAGGTATGATTAACTTCTCTGAAAACATCTCAGAGTATGTCGGACCAGGCTCTAGAAAATCCTCGTCACCGAAAAAATCCTGGAAAGACTTTGCTCCCTGGGTAGCCTCGGAAGAGATTGACTCGGCATGATCTTGCTCAGCAAAGATCTCCTCGAAGTCAGCAGGCTCAGCAAGTGCAGGTTGAAGAAGTGCAGACTGAGGAATAGGCTGAACATTAGGCTGGGGGATGACTGCCTCATCGGGGATTGCTTCAAAGTAAGAAGGTTGAGGAAGAGCAGGCCGAGACGAATTGTTGTCAAAAATTGGATTGCCTTGCTCGTCCCAGCCACCAGGTGGCAAAGAGGGAAAGGGTAAGCAGACTTCAAACTCCGAGTCAAGAGGTTCACTACCTCCGGCGACAGACTGCGGAGAAGGGTGTTGCAAAGCATCGTGAGAAACAGCCGAAGAAGTCGTAGGGAGAACCACCCCTTCACAGTGAGAAAGTTGGGTGGCGGTGGGAGCGACTTCTCCATCGTGTCCTCCTTCAGCAAGAACGGAGATACTACCACTCGGCTCTCCGTTGGGACCGGTATGGCCTTGTCCGTAGACGATTTGGGACAAGCGGTGAAAGAGACTCAATTCCCAGCCGCCAAGGATGGGACTACTACCTGTGTGATCGTCGTGCTGAGAAGAGAGATTGTCGGGAGGCGAGCTTAAATGGGTGTCGTGAACGGAAAGGATGTCTCCAGCGGCATGATCGATTGTTGTGTTTGATGCGGGGTTGTATGAGTGGATAGCTGACTCGTTGATGTTGTCGAGTGTGATGTGACCGCAACGTGCGTCGCGACGGGCAGGCGGGCCTCCGAACTCCAGGGCCTGTCATGCTTTCATGTCAGTAGGTGTTTCCAGCCAGTGCTGGGTTTCTATAGGGGGGCGATCGTACCTGAAGATCAGGGCGCGCCGAGCGGCTGTTGGACTCATCCATGATGCGTGGCTACCAGTGGTACGAGAAAAGGCAAGCAGAGAAAGATATTGGGCAACGACGGCGATGTATTGCTTGGACTTCGGAAGCGAGGGAAGTGGCAAGGGAGTTCGACCGAATGGTCGAATCTGGAGGGGGAAAGTGTGAGTCGCGAACTTGATAGATTGTAGTGTGTTCTCTCGATGGGAAGCTTGATGGTTCTGCAACGCGAGGTGCGAGGGGGGCTTCGATGGCACTTACTAGGTAGGTAGTTGACCGCAGGAGCGAGTTGCGGCTGGTTGAGCTTGTGCTTCGGCAGGAAGCGCTGTAAGCAATGGCTCTGCTTGCAGCTAATGCAACGAATGACTTTTGGCGGAAAAAACGGCAGCGCCCTGCTATGAGGAATCGATGAGTGGTGCGCGAGTCGGCTTGAGCGAGCGCGGACCGAGCGCGACTGCTCGATTCGCCTACGTCCACCGGACGGTCACAAGTTCCTTGCGTCGAGGATCAAACGCGCAGTCTTTTGCGATTCGCCGATGGAAGGCCTGATGGTTAATGCCTCGTGCTGGGCAGCGTTCGAAATTAGGATGGCGGGTGTGGAGAGAGGATGAGGCGGATGCAGGTGGGAGAATTGGGCCAGTTTGGGGACCAACGGGAAGAAAAGAGATGCAGGAGAGACGACAGGCGGTAGAGACGTACTTTCACCCAGGCCGCAGCGCCAAGCGTCCCAACGTGAATACGGGGTCAAAAAGGATATCTCCGACTCCCTACTTTACGCGCGCCTTGCCTCGATATGTATGCCAGTCACTATCCTGTATAAGCAACTACTGAATGGAATAGACGGTATTCCCGGTGTCGAAGCAGAAAACGGGTTCGTCAAAACATAATCTTCCGATGTCCTGTCAGTGCGAGACACCGTTCATAGAGTATGTATGAAGAAATTCAGTCAACTGCCGGGCGACTGCCCAAATTCTCGGAAAATGTACTCACTCACGAGGTGAGAACGTACAATACATATACAAGAGAAGAGTCTTGAGGAGCAGTGACGTGTTACTAAATCTGCTATTTAGGAAGAAAAGAGTGCTATGACTGACCCGGCTCGTTCATCGAAAGCAGCTATATAATGTAGCCATCTTACTCAACTTCGAGGTCGCGGTATAAAACACAAGGCAGTGTACTCGCCGGCTATCCTGCTCCAGTTCTCCCCTACCGGTCAAGGTCCTATAATAATTACAATATAATATTACACTTGACTTCGACGACACTCCGAATGAGCGCGTACGTGGACTGGCACGGATGTAGTCGGTCAAGCAGCTTTTTGAACACGGCCGCTCAAAACCCCCCCGGCAGCACCGGGAGGTCCTCCTCCTCTTCCATTGCCATCCCTCTTCTTCCTACTTTCCACGTCTCCTTTCTTAGACCCTCCACCCCCAGCACGCTTTGCCGGGATACCCTACTTACGCCTGTTGCGCTGCCTGACCCCCTTAGGTCTGCACCTTTCGCAATACCTACCTTCTACTGGCATTTCGGTTCGTATGCAGCCAGTGCAAGTATGATATCCGCGAGAATAACGCTCCTCAACAATGCGACGAGTTTCGTCGCTTGACGAAACCTCCAAATGACCCCAACAGAGGCGAGCTGTGGTTGCCTAAGCCAAAGCGCCGCAGTAGTTGCAGGTAGCGGTTATAAGAACGGGAGGACGAGGTGCATCAGGTTGGGCCGACTGAGCTGCGGGAATTTGTACGGGCTCAACAGGCTCAGCTGGGGCTTGCTCGACTGGAGCTGGCTCGACTGGAGTAGGCCCAATGGGAGCGGTCTGATTGGGAATGGAAATTGGTTCATCCCGGCGAGCAGGCTCGGGAAAAGTGAATCCATCAGGACGCGGCTCAAGAACTTCTTGGATGGAGATATAACTGTTCATCCTCCTCTGCAAACAGATTAGCAAATGCAGTGGTTACTTGATAGCCTCGTTCCGGAACAACGATATCTTGTAGAGGGGGATCACTTGGAATGAGCTCCGGAAACAGCGGATCCAGAGTGATGGGATGTAAGAAGAGATATCTGGGGAGAACTGGATCGGGGAGAGAAGGCTCTGCGAGGTCTGGCTCGGGACGGGAAGCTTTATGGTCGTGAGGTGCAGAAATTATGGGTGCGGGGAGTACGAGAAGTATGGATTGGGGTAGAAGCCTCGAAGTAGGCGAGGGTAAGGGAGGAATCGGGCGGACATCAAGCAAAGTGTCGTTGGTTCGGTTCGACTCGAGCCCATCACTGGGGAATTGGATAGGATGTTCATCAACTGGTCAAGACTCTTCGACGTTGATGGGTGTATTGAACGGAGTAGTCAACAAAGTAGATTGACGGTCGGGATTACGAGTTCTGTCCTTGGAGTGGTCGATAGGAGTTTCTTCGATCGTTGGAGTCGCGTGAGGGTCGGCGACTTCAAGAGCCGGCTCGCCGGTGGTGGTGACCATGATTGGCTGTGAGGGCTCGTCGTCCCGAGGACGCATATTGGTAGCTCGGCCGTGTGTTCGCTGTCATCACTTTGTGTTAGCAATTCCGTGCGTAGTTCGCCTGTGAAAGAAGACATGTCCTACCTGCAGGTTAGGGAGACGCCGAGTAATTCGTCGGCTCGCTTATAATGTAGAGCAGGGATAACAAAGCGAGGCGGGAGAGTGATGGCTTCTGAGTTTTGACCACGTCTTGCTGCCCAGAAGGCTATGGCTGTGGTAAGACAAAGGAAGTGTAACCAAGACGAATTTGGCGTGGCGTGAGTAGCGAGCTTGTTGCTTGTTTGGTGTCTTCGACAATGATGTTGTTGGCTCTGTACCGCGTACGCCAATGAGATTCTCCCTGAGACTTGCAGGCCGATGACGGGGACGTGGCTTGTATGGCGACTTTCGTAGTTGCAAGCGTTCGGATGAGCTATTGGACCGTGGCACGTTCGGCGATGATGATTTGCGTAAAGAAGTCGCTGCGGATAGTGATTCGAGGTTGCTTAACGGCGAGATTTGTACCTGAGGAGTGACAATGATACGCAGCTGCGTCGTGTAGGGCGAAAGTCTCGTGGCCACAGATGCGCAGCACCGGGGGGATTCTACCGCGCTTCTCGAGAAAGATGTTCAGTACGCTGCTCGTCGGCGCTTCGTGTTTTGCCCGTCGGAGAGACCGTCGGGAGCCAAAAAGGGGACAAGGGTAACAAAGACAATGTTTCTGGGTTACGGTAACAAAGAAAACGGATATTACCGCGGGAGAAAAGGCATGCAGGGAAGAATAGCAGGCGGCCGGGACGTACTTTCCACAGTCCGCAGCGCTAAGCATTTGGAGCTGGCAGGAGCCGCAGCTCGGAAAACTCCGATATTCCTCTCATATGTCTCGCGCTTTCCCGAGCCAAGGGTCGCGCTTGCCGCGCTTAAGCAAGTCAAACCAACGCCTGTTGCCCGGGCAGCTAGCTCTACCTGAGCAAACAACGCCGGCAGAACCCGCTCTCCGTACCTGCTTCCACCTCGCCAAGAGATACCGCCTTTGTCCTCCTCCGTAGGGTGCCCAGCGCCATGCTTCGGTTCGAGAAATTCCTAGCGCGATGCGGGCACAACGATCAAGCTCAAGCTCACAGCAACGCAAAGTCTAGGGGTCGTAAGTAGCCGAGAAGCGTAAAATATGCAACGACGAGAAGCTGATCAGCAAAAAAGGACGGCAGTTCTTCCCATTTAGGATCACCGAGTCTTGCCGTCGCTACCCCAAGCACTACCTCTAGGTACCATACCCCGTCAAGGCTGCGCAAGAACGATCGAGATGGATATACGAGTATTTCCACATGGGAAGTGGCGAGAAGACGATGCCAAGATTTATCTCCCTCGCTAATGGCTTCGTGAAGCGGTGCCCACAAGAACATTCCGCCACGCTACCATCGTGTTCGGGTGGGCTGACACTTGCCGACGGCACGATGATCATGGATTCTCTAGATCTTCCGATAAGTAGAACGAAGCAACCTGTACCGTTCATTCCCCTCTTTGGAACGCGATCGCTAACTGCTTCCACATATGACAAGCCAGGAAAACCAACAAGAAATTCTCCTCGAACGCCGAACGATGCCCTCTTCCTCTACCCCGAGGTAACATACCTACCGCTCCGCCGACCGAGGCTACGCGAAGTCCGATACGCTCCGCTGCCGTCATACATTCGAACGCGCAACGACGATCAAATACGACCTGCATACTTCTCGTCCCTCTTCCCCTACCACCCCGCCCGAGGCAATATACCTGCAGCTCCACCGACCGAGCCTACTAGAGCCTGACACACTCTTCCGCCGTTACATTCTGAATCGAACCGTGTCTACGATACCGTTGCCCGTGGCCTAGTCTGGTCCTGACCGATAGAATTAATAGACCTTTCGAGCTTGAAGGAAGACGTCCGACCACCCAAAGCCCATTTTGAGCTGTAGCCCTTACTATGGCTCGTTGAGGCATACCCAAAGGGGTAGTAACAGAGTGAACAAAGCAAGCGAGCCGTCGGCGCTTGAAGAAGTATAGAGAATTCGGACAAAGGGGGGTGAGGAGGACGGGAGGAAGTGCGGAAGAGGTGGACCAATGTACCTCTATCTGATCATCGGGGAGGGGCAGCGAGCCGGGAGTTGCCTTGTATCATATAGCTGCCCAGGGCTGGTCTTGCCATATGGATGGAACCGTGAGAGTCACCTATCCAGATGACGCCAACAAAGCCATCAAGCGTCATCAGCAGTCAGCGTTCTAGACCGACACAACTAATTACTGAAGGATATAATGACGAGCAAGGCGATCTCTGTTATGAGTTCACAAGGCCAATCCACTCGGTCATGGTTCGCTGCCCTGAGCAAGACGGAAGTCGCTTCTCCATATGAAAGTGGGCGGCCCATCCCGAGAAATGACGACGGCAGAAGACGGGCACGCAATTAGGCTGTCGACTAGGGAAGAAACAATAATCGGCTTAACTCTAGAGAAGTTTGTTTGGATCGAGTATGGAACAGCGTAGGGGCATCTTCGTTGTCACTGCCACTACATGTGTCTTGTGATCGATGACTGTGGGTAATTGCAGCTGCAGCGGCAAGCAGGAAACGCATGGACAGACTCGAACATAGGATTCAACAGAGGAAGAAAGTAGCTATCAATACAAGAGATGACGATATGAAAAGTAGTGACTCTTAGCACAGTCATCATGACTCGTCCAGAGATTGTTGTCTTGAGTCACACTTTGTATCCCAACACTGCGACCGACGCCTTATAATCCATTTAACGCCAAAAAATGACCAACGACCTCATTATTCCTCTAAACCTTCAAATTACCGTCCAATCCTCCGCGCTCCTTTTCCACGTCATGCCCATAGCACTCACGTCCGCCGTATGTCCAGAGACTACAAGACCTGTAAGCCGTCCGGAAGGACAGCAATAACCCCGTCTGCAGTCATTGCTTGTAACTTCCTGACATGGACAGTCATCTTCGCCAGATGTTTCTGGGCTCGTCCATCTCCTTTCCAGCTTGTTGTGCGACGCAACATCCACAAAGTTGTGGGACTGGTCTTCTTCCCTCGTAACGCTGACTTCTTCTCTCCCTTTTCCTCTTCGCATCCGTATCTCTGTCCTCCTTCCGTGCTTCTGTCAGGTGGCGGCATATCGTAGCTTTTGCGCCATGGCGGTTGTCTCCTTGCATGGTTCCGTGCAGTTCTGCAGCAGTTAGCGTCCTCACTCCTCGTCGTTGGAAGAGGTAGTTTATGGCATGACGTTAAGGCCTCGGCAGTTGATTACCTATAGCGGACTGCTACCGCTTGACGTGGGATCTTGCCACTCGAGGCAGGATCGAATGACTGCCTTTTGACGTCAATCAACGTCCGCCCTACGTTGGACCACCAGCCTTGATGTCTCACAACCGTCGCTTGACGCCTAATTAAGGCTCCCTCCACCTGGCAGCCTTGATCTGACCTTCATGGAGGTTTTCCAACGACGATTTGTTCAATATGCAATGACGACGGGCAGGTTCTTCGAAGACGAGGCGTAGTCATGACAGGCCCTTAGCCTGAGCTCCTGCGGGAGCAGCCGCGCTGAGGCTGTTGATCCCCCTGATTCTCGTCGCAGAGCTGTGGAGCTGGTTTGAACGCCCAGAAGCCCAGGCTCAAGCACCCCTTGCTGCACGACGTCTCTGCTGTATCGGTATCCAGATCCCTTCTCACCACGCCTTCCGGTCTCGCCGGAAGAGGACTCCCAATGTCGCTAGACGTCAAGGATGCCGTCGCCGTCTTTTGTTCGTCACCGCAACCGAGGAAGCACGGTGGTAAGGCTATGACCGGTTGTCGTCGAGCGTCGGATCGGTCGGGGCTCAGGGGTGGAACACTAGTGGCTGCGGATCCGAATCCGAGCGCCTTCAGTGAAAGGCAACGAGCATCGGCGGTGGTTGTAGGTAGGAACGGTCGGTTGGTACGAATAGTCGGATGCCGAGGAACGAAACGGCGGTGGTCAAGGCGCCAAGCGGTGATACCGAATACCGGGACCGAGGAAGAGAGACAATGATGGGAGGCCTGTGACAACGCTATGTAATAACCGTGGGTGTAAGTAAGGTAACGGACGACAGTACCTGGATAGCCAGGCTCAAGGCTCAGATGCTGTGTTGAAACCTCCTTCTCTCCGTACTTGGAGCGGCGAGTTTGTCGGGTCTTCACGCTCCCTGTGTCTCTCCAACTCTTGTTGGTCCTTGCTATGAGCAGCCTTGTATCATTCTGACCGTCTTAATCGACGTTGACGTAACTAGCAAACGGCCTGCACCATGGAAATGGTTCGTCGTCGTCGTGGTTGAGATCTGGAGAAAGAGTAGTTGTTAGTCTGGGCCGACTTATACGGATGTGCAGCGATACCTCATCCGCGGTGGTTCGTGGAGGTACACGTCCGCATCCATGTCTGAAAATGCCGAAACGCCGTCCATCGTTGTAAACTCCATATGTCGTAAGTCCTTGTGGAAGGAGTCAACTGTCCCCGGAAAAACTTTCATTCAGTAGAAGTCCACGTCTGGAACTCTGTGCTCGTTCAGAATCTTGCGAGAGGTCAAACATTTGTTCGACTTATACGGTTGGAAACCTTCAACAGCAGGTTTCGGAATACCAGTCAAACTGCTATGGCGATGAAGCTGCGAATAGTCAGATGTTGCTCTCTTCTTCTTTACTTCTTGGGCTTTTGGTACAACTACTTACCTGTCCTTCCCCCAGCTTGACGGCTATCGATTTGGGATTGCAATTTCCAGTAGCTGGGTACGTACTCTTCATAGTATTGTCCCCCCCTATACGATTCGTAACGGTCGTTTCAATCGTGGTCGGCAGGAAGTGTCCCACACCTGCGCATCCATTGATTTTGCTCTTCGAAACTATGGTCGAAATCGCTCCGACGCCTCAATAGTCGACAGCTCGGTATGTATCACGCCCTCTTGCATGCAACCCATGCCTTAAATTCCAGACCGAGCCCGATCTCGTGTGCATCGACTCTCTCTATAGCCCCTCTTCCATTGCGCCTTCTTGGTTATCTTGGTCGTTTGTTAGTCGTCTAATACGGCTACAACTGTTTGCATCTAGGTCGCAGCGTTTCCTTTGGGAACAGTAGTTTGTCTCGCTGGTGTCGCTTTAGTCGTAGCGGTCACGAGCATAGCTTCAATTGTTATCGTTGGGATCGCTCGGATGGGATCGTATCGGCCGCGTCGATCGTGTATCAGTTGTCGAGTTTTGATCCTTCTCTTTCCTGCGATCCATGCCCAGATCGCTAGACTGAGCCCAGTCTGGTGTGTGTCTACCCTCACTCGGTTTAGGTTCCTTCGCTAACTCTTCTAATAGTCTCGTGAATTGCCCTTCGTCGGTCGGCATCGAGCGTATCCTTCGCGTCATTAAAAGATCGGTCGTGTATCAGCTGTCGAGGACTCTTCGTTGCATTTTTTGCTCCAGCACAGAAGTCTTCGCCCGAAGGCTTTCTCAACTGGTCGGTCCACCCGACGGCTCACTAAGGAGTTTTGGCCATAAGCCCGCCATCCCTTGGGGCGTATAGGGTACTCCCTAGCACGTGTAGAATCTTCTTAGATACCGACCGGCAGGGCATAAGCCCTTACTGGCACGGGCTGAGGTGGTTCGTGAAGTTATCGACGACACCCCGGCAGACCGTAGGGTGCCATGCGATAACAACACTGCATGCAATGGAGCTGGGTTTCCTTCGAGCTCACCGCGGGAAGGTGCCCAGGCCACAGCCCAGACAACCCTCCCGCAGAAGGTACTTTGTCGGCAAAAATCCTCACTGAATGGCCCTTCCAGGCGAGGTATGGGTCCATTCCTGGACTGTGGGACATCCCAGCCCAGGCTTTATCCACCCTCGGTCCATTTAGGCCCCTCTTCGAACATCACCGTCCGCGACAATCACCTTCTCTTTCGGGAATATCCTTGCCTGGACCTTGGGTGGATTCTATCCAGCCAAACCCCCTGGCGTATATATTCCTCCTTTTACCTCATTTGTGGATGAGTAACTCCCAACACTTGTTTCTGTCGCCTCGGCGCGGGCCTTGGGAGGAACCGCGGGCTTGAACGGGCTCGGAGTAAAAACGCTCAATGTTGAGGTGTATCGGCTTGGTCTCGGATGAACGGTAATGGTCGCGCCCTCCGCATGGCGAGGTTGGAGAGTGCTCCTTCTTTGGTTACGGTCGCGATCGCATTTTCCCTGAATCGAGCGATGAAGGGAGGGAGGGTACGGCAACCGAACGGTCGGCTTGGACGCCGATGGGGAATATGCTTCCCTGTTATTGTTTGTCGAGGTATGACCGAGGACACCACGGTTGGCTACGGAAATGCTCGCGCTATCGGGGGTGATCGATCGGGGGGTCTCGCCGTTTGTTCTTCACTACGGCCTCAAGGACGGTCTCGGGTTGGAGGAGTGTACGGAGCGGGAGTGCGGGACTCGAACGATAGGCGCGAACGGTTGAGGAAAAAATCTTCATGCTTGGCAAGGTATGGTCGAAAGGCCATGGTTGGCAACGGTCTTGTTTCGCAGAAGCGCGGTTGGGGGATCGGTGCCAATGTATCTCCTGGATGCTGTCGCGGCACGCTCCGTTCAGAATGAACCGATATAGCGAGCATCATTTCGCTGCCCAAACGATGAGCTCGAATATTTACGGAGAGAAGGGTTTATCATTTTGCAATGTATGGTCGGGGATGCCTGCGCTGGCCATGGACTGGCTCGCGATTGCGATGGCAACCGATGGATTGGGACGGGTCATGGCCATTCGAGGCTGCTATGGTCGTGACATCTTCAGCAGGGAGCGGTAGTAGGCACGGTGGCGCGAGGGTGCAGGCTCTCTAGTCAGGCATGTGTTTGTTAGCCTTCGGGGCAGCAAAGGAAATGCCAACAATGAAAGGGATAGCAGTGGCTTGGCCGCCGCCACGGCACTTTTGGTGATTGCTTCACCTGTGGCTGGCAATGGGTGTCCGAGGACAGAGGGAACCGATGAATGTGGTGGGAACACCCTGCGTGGTGCATGGGAGCCGGGGGAAAACATGGGGTTATCTGGGGAACGCGCACGCGTACCTGACGCGCTCTCCATGGTGAGTGAGGATGATGACAAACACCTTGTGGACGAGAGATGGCTGGTGCTGCCTTTCCCTCCAACTCTCACTGCTACCCAGGTTGGGATGCGGCGGGCTCGATGGGAGGGTGGACACCTTGCTGCCGTTGGGGTAAACAAACCGACAGTCGCTGGCCATTTTTGTGCGCTTGCACAACCTCTCCTCCTACAAGTGACAGGGATGGGTTGGCCAAGGTCATGAGGGAACGTTCATCGGTGACTTCCGACGGCGTAGTGGGTCCTCGACGCGTGCAGCAATTCCCTTCGCGCATAGGCTGTTTGTGCACAGCGGGCAGAAGTGAACAAGTGAAGCAGCAGTCCATGAAAGTTACGCAGGATAGGTACGTTGTACACGTCAACAAAGACTTAACATGTCACAAGGGCATTCTTTGATGTTGGCGAGGGATCAAGGGAACCGGCGGAGACAGGAACAAAGCAGGCGAGCATGGGCGGTAGGAGTCTTTCAGCGGGCTATGAAAGCACGGGACTGGCCACTGGGGGTAGGAGAAGGGACAGCTCCAGAAACAAGCCAGTGACAGCCTAGGTCCTCGCCCATAAGGGCATAGCGCCTTCCCTTGCTGTTGGCTGAGCAACTATCTCGTTATTATCTGTGAAGGAGCGACACAGTGAACGAGCAGGCGTAATCCTATTCAGAGCGATCGTTCCTATTGTGCTACTGTGCCAACGGGGGGCGGCTCCACTTGGTTCCATCCATATCCCTGTACTTGCAGCTTAAGATCCCTACCACCTTCCGAATTCAATTGACCGGAGAACCTTGATTGGCTGCACCAATAGGAGGCTCTTTCCTAACAACTTAATCTCAACGACTGTCATCCAATGTGTGCCTGGTGCTAGACTGCGGAACGAACTTGCATCGTATGCAAACGGCGGATTTATTTTATTTTATCTTTCTTTGCGGGTGGGACTGGCCTGAGATATACCTTTGCCATAGACGGAGTAGGGGAATCCAGGGTTTGTCTGTATATATCAATAATAACCCCTCTAGGCGACCAAAAACCTGTCCTTCTGGTCGTCCAAGCTGAAGAGCCGCTATGCGCTCCACTCGGTTAGTCCCAACCAGCGCTCGTCGCTGGCGCTACCCTCACAACATCAGACGAAAGCCTGTGATTAGCACAGCTGTAATGGTTTCACTCGTTAGGTAGCCCTCGTTCGCCCCAAGACTGACTGTAATGTGAACAGTCCCACTGCGCGGGCCTTTCGGGCTGATGTGGATAGCGACCGTCCAAGTGGGTTAGTGTAGTGAAATTGCTCTTTGCTTTCTTTGATGTCGGTTTCCTTGATGCACTTTCTTTCAACTTTAGAAGCAAGTCAACACCGCCGCCCCAAAACATTTACTCAAGACACTGCAAACAAAAGAGAGACCGCGACAATATGCCTGTTGTCAAAGATCCCCAGGCCTTTGACCGCCACGCGAATCACGCTGCATCAGGTATGCGAAATCATCCCAATCAACGTGCAGTGCATAATGTAGAGCTTTCCACTACATCCATTCAAAGCCAGAAGGCTAACTAGGGTATGTACTACTTGCCTTCCAGGTCCGATTGCCCTGAAGACTAGCTTCGGCGGCTCTGATGAGCCTTATCCCCTCGCCGTCCTGGAGGATACCGCCTGCGATGCGGCCGATGCCATCCGCCATTCAGCCATCGATTCGGCTCATTACGACCATACCACTCACCCCGTCGTCCACGAAAACACCGCCCCCGTTCACTCCTGCAACGATTCCGACACCCAGCGTGCCGATGCACACGACAGCGGATGGTACCGCGTGATCACGGACGACTTGATTGATCCGATCCTGCTTGCTTGGGAGGAGGATCACAAGATCGCATATTTTGCTCGTCGGATGGCTGCCTTCCAGCACACGACCGGCCATACGGATAGCGACATCGTTCTCAAGACCTCTGTCAACTTCATGTTAAATACCATCACAAACGCTCCGATCACTGGCCATTATGCCTCTACCACGTGCAACTTGCCCAATCTGGCAACCACATTCTTTGCCCCCAACCAGAATCCGACCGGAAATCAGAATCCTGGTACCTTCAACCCCAACTTGGTCAATTCCGATTCTGTCTCATCCAACACGGCGAGCAATGACTCCATCCAACCCGCCCCCGGCACTCATCACATCGCCAACCCCAGCGTACCCAACGTACAGGTCGCTCCCGCCGCCGGGTCTAGTACCCCCGTTAGGTGTCGGGAGTGCAAAGTTGGCACCGCCTAGCAGGCCGGTGCCTACAAGTGCAAGGCCTGTTTGAAGAACCAGCCAGGCGAAGCTGGCTGGCAGCAAATCGAGCGATGGGCCGCCCGGGGAACTCTAACTTGTACTGACTGCATGCGCCGGCCCCAGCGCGCCCAGGGCAAGCTCTGCAATCACTGCTTTGCGGGTGGCCGCGAGTGAACGTCTTCCTATAGCCAAAACATGGGCCAAAGGCGCTCATCTCACTCCCTGCGCCGGCATCACAACCAATAGGAGAGAAGGGACGACCGTATAGCGGAGGGGCGGATTGTGAGAAGGGCGTTGGGGGGTTATCAAGACATGGTTTGGGGCTTAGGAGGGAAGGAACGATGCGTAGCTAGAAGCTCCTGCGCATGAGAGTGCAGTATAGCAGATATAGCAATAGCACGTCGAGGGAACTTCATAAACGCTTCTTCTAGTATTGAATGTCGTGAACTGTACTCTCGTCAATCCCAGTCGCGATTCTTCACCCATACCAGATGGACTCATGTCTAGAAATATATAAAATACTGGTCCCTACAAATACTGACAGCATGTTGTGAACTGCCGACCATGAACAACTTTACTTTTCTATGCCATACGCACGACTCGACTTAACCATTCTTTTTCCTGTAATGGAGGTTCTGAATGAAGCAGCCCCCATCCAGCCTTCCGCGCACATGTTCCCGTTGGGACCAACTCCTCCATACTCCGGCTCCGAGGTGTTGGGACTCCTGAACGAGCGGATGAACTTCCGGCCCAATCTTCAATTCCTCAACCAAGCCATTGTCTCTCTGAACCAACCTGGCTTTCTGGGTATGCTAGATGACGGCGTCCAGCACCCTAATGTCGACATCCAGAACCCAAACATCAGCGTCCACCAGCCTGACATAGCGTCTCAACAGGTTAACGTCGCCGTCCAACACCCTAACATCGCCACTCAACAGCCCAATAATGCGTCAGGCCATGGAGAAAAATCGGCTCAACGGGCTCAGAACGTGCTCGGCCAGCACTGCCAATGGTGCTTCAAGAATACCCATGGCATTGCGAACCCCCCTGAGGAGGGTGAATCATTCGAGTAGAATAAGCGCGGAGGACAGATGACTTGGGGTGAACCTACTGAGAAGGAACGAGACACGGGAAGTAGCGACTTGTTTGTGAGAAGGATTGGAGGAAGGGGTGACCCAGTCACATGGACTTTGATTTCTAGCGGGGGACGTGAGTAAGAAAGGGATCAATGAGGGGAATGCAGAAACTGGGCATTCAAGTAGCAGAGCCGATGCATGCTCGCCCGACATCACGATGCGCGAGCGGGAATATGGATAGCATCGCTAGGCTGCATTGAAGATAGCAATTTCGTTACCGAGTCATCTCTAGCACAACATCACGTAAACTAATGAGAATGCTTCTTTATATATATTTACTGTCTACCAACGTTACTCGTCATCAACACGAGCTTCATCTAGCCTTCCAACCAAGGCCGACCAAACCATGCTTTCGATGCCAATCGCGTCCAGTTTAGCAAACTGGCGTCAGATTGTGTTTTGAATGCCTCGAAAATGGTCCTGGCGCGCGAAAGCGGGCTGCTATTGAGAGAAACCGTCTCATGGGGTTGAGGACATGCTCGAATTGCATGTACCGACCACAGAGGGCCCCGGGTCGCCATTGCCAGCATTGTTTCAATGCGACACATGGCATCGAAAACCCTGCCGAGGAGGATGGAATGGAGGGGGATGAAGAGGATATGGAGTGATAGTAATGGATGGGAAAGGTGCGAGGAGGAAAAGTGAGGCGCATAGCGATGGAGGAAGGAGGTGAAGAAGTCGCTCATTTGCGACAGCTGTTAAAGGCAGAAACAATCTGGTCATGACGCTTGATGGAGGTGTCGGCAGCTTGGCGCAGGATGCAGGTGGGTCTTGGCCAAATCAGGCTGGAACACTGCACTCAGAGATCTAGACATGGAAGCCGCACAAGCACTCAGCAAAGCAACGACAGCGCATGGCTGCTCGGCAGGGACCAGCGAGGGGGAATGAGGTTGGCAATGTTCAGGATTGAGGGGTACATTCTCTGGGATCAACATTGTCACTCTAGCAGTTTTACGTATCATATATTCCGACGAAACATTGCTGTCCTCTCTGTCTTTGCCATATACAACTCCCAAATATACTCTCCATTTCGTTAATAATCTTTGCGTCACATGGTGGGGAAAGATCTCTTCTTCCACCAGCTACATTCAACATGAGATGGAAGTCCGAGAGATAATGAATTCACCTCACCCCTCGCAACTTGTACTTATTAGAACTGTTCTCAATCACATTTCCAATCTGGTTAATTCACAGGTGAATGTGGTCCCCAGTTCCCACTGACTTGTGTGGAGTGCGACCTTATAATGCCCCAAGTACCTACTAAAATACGCCCTCCCTTCCGTGCAAACTCGGAGAGTATAAACTGACATCCCGGACCTGAAATGTCGATCAAGTAAATTCCACTCCACATTTATCCTACCACACCTCAGTCATAGGAAGTGCCATCAGTCCTCACGTGCATCCACGGACAAAAGTCAAAACGAGTTCGACATGGACCACTCGAACATTGACAATGTAAATGCGAGGGCGCTTGAAGATGCCCGTCTCCCAGTTCGTATTAATCTTTCCCACCAGGGGCACTCTGAAGATGAGAGAGGTCAGTCGTATCCCGACCCAAAATTGGTTACAGCCGAGGACTAACGAGAAGATTGCATACAGCCCAGATGATGCAGCAACTTCATCCAAGCGCGAACGTGGCCTTTGGTGAAGACAATCAAGAAGATGCTGGCGCCGATGGAAGTAAGATCACCTCATCGGGTGGTTCTACCAACCGCCATCCGCTTCAACAAGATCGGCCCCAGCAGGTCGATAACTTTAGCATTCAGGATCCTGGTCACTCCGGCGAACTAAAGGTAGACGAATTCAACAACACCAATCACCTTGAAGCATTTGAGTTCTGGGTCCGGAGTGGGGAGTGGAAGAAATTCTTTCCTTTTGGAGAGTTGGTCCCCATCAACAGTGAGGAGGTCAACAACTTTGGTCGTCCTACCGAATCTCGCGCGACCAGTGATGCGCAAATGGGCCGCTCTCGTTCCCTCCCCAACTTCAACACGGCCAGATTCAACCAGGGTCAGGCCCTCACTACCCAGGACTACGACATTCCAGGTCCGACCCATCACCCCGGGATGCTCAACGGCTTTCCTCCGGCTCACGACTCCGGAACCGTCCACAGCTCTGACCCGGTAAACAACAACGGAATGGTCGACGGATTTGCTCACACCAGCAACGCAGCCGTCGTCCAGGCCAATCCACATGCCGGCCCCGCCGGTGTTCAGGAACAGGTACCCCTACCCTCGTGCAGCGAGTGCAAGTCGCACCCCGTCTAGCAGACGGGTGCGAGGAAGTGCCGCGAATGCTTGAAGAACAAGGCAGGAAAGAGAAAGCTGGAGGCCCAGAGGCGCAATGCCGCGATGGGTCTGAGCACATGCACGAATTGCCTCTGGCGCCCACAGAGGGGACCGGGTCTTTTCTGTCTGCACTGCTATAGCCAGCAGCAGGATTAGTAAGCCTTTAGGGACCGGGACGTCTTTGAGTCTGGGGAGGATGGTAGGGGATTGACGTGGTGACGAATCCAGATCAGAAGGGAAAATCGGGGAAAGTGGACACATCATAGTGGACAATGGAAAAAACGAAGGCGCGACGCGATAGAAATGGGACGTGATTTCGAGAGGACATGACGGTGGACGTATAAGAGCGTCGGAAGATACATACCATCTTTGCTTTCTAGACGCGTACCGAAGAAGGGTCTGTCGAATGCATACCTATGCTGCGGATAGGTGCCAGCCAGGGAAGATGGAATGCTAGGTAATATTTTGCTCAAAAAGTGACATGTTTGATTCCCAGTATTTGACCCGCCGTGATCTCTAAAATCCTTTTTTTGTATATGAGCACAGGCAAATCGGCGTTTCATCTGTAGTTTAACTGCGGCCAAGACATTTCAAGGGGGAAGTAGGAGGAAGGAAGGAGGACGGGACTTTCACCACGCGGGGTCAGCAGAGTGCTAAAAGCGAGTGTACATGTAGCTGAGGTGTCTAGGATGCAGGAGAAAAGGTGGCATAATCTGCGAGTGAAATTCGAAGGTGGGAAGGATGGAAGATGGTGTAGGCAAGAGGTGGGGTAGGAGCAGAGTGAGTGGAGCAGCACACACACAATGAAGCCGAATCCAGCATCGAGACATGTCAAATCAAAATGAAATTTGTTTGGTTTCTACGCATGGTGAAGTCTATCGCGAATATGGGGTTTCTCGAGAGTCGTGCAAAGAGCGTGTTTAGCCCCAGTTCGACCGACGTCCCAGTTCTGCCAAAGTCACCGGTTGTTCCTGTCAGGCTCGGGGTATCGGCATCGAAAATGTCTCAAAAACTCAACTTGCCCATTTCCCTGTGCTATCGACATGTACCTGCCTCGGAACCCTTACCTCCATGTCAAGTCGTCGCGAAATCAAAGCATGCAGACCCGGGACAAGTTTGATGAAACCACGAGCACATAGCGCCTCGTGCCAGTAGGGCGTGCCTGCAGTTTGTCAAAACCCGCCTATTGATTGGAAATCAGACATGATGTAATGCTTGTTTGGTTGCTGACATGTGATAACCATCCCCTCGGGAGGTCCAAGGTGGTTATTCTCCCCAAATTCTAAAACACAAACTTTGTCTTGCTTCCTCCTCCCTCAAACACCGTTATTAGCATCATCGCCCTTTTGACTTCAACCACTTAACCGAGTACAGCATCACCTTCCCGAGAACGGACCTGTCCTTCTTTTCAAACATTTTGTCACATATAACGAGAGCGAATCGAGAGTCGACCGTACCTCACCGACGAAAGGACATGGCGATCCTGAAAACGACCATGCACCTTGAATCATATCCCCGACAACCGGCGAGAGCTGAAGCGATCCTTGATCAGATTATATTCACGTTGGTCAAGCGAGCAAGCGAGCAAGCGGACATACCAAACCCATTGCTAGTTATTGTGATGAACTGACCTAAACTGCCCGTGGAACCAGTCCAAGGATGCCTGAGCTAGGGTATTCATGCTAACACAAATCGAGGGCAACCCATATTCCCAAAACCAGTTTGACCGCATGTCTTGTCCCAGGAAGCCTCCAAAGGATACATAGAGATTCGTTCGATAATACCTGCTACCCCTTGTCGTGAATTCATTCCCATGCAGATCCCTGCTAATTGCCTCTCTCTGCCACAGCCGCGTCCAAGTTGAGCCTCCTCCCAAGTTTCTACAAGTCCACCGTCTTGAAGACCTCGGTCGATCCTCAAAATCTTCATGGCTGTTGATTCCCCTCTCGCATCAAGTGCCTCCGAGGAAACCAGTGCAATATTCGCCACACATGGACTCACTAGTGGCATGGGATTCCGTGTCCATGGCCGCGACGGACACTGTCTTCCGGAGGCTCAACGACTTAGGTCGTACTCGGCTCAGTTGCCCAAACCGTCATCGATCGATGCCTGCGCAAACTGCACAGCAAGACGTCTAACGACGCCCCTGTCCTTGCAAGTAGGACAATGCTCGTAAACCTCCACGGGCATTTCAGCATAACATCCGCTACAGGTGCCCTGGCCACGGCTTTGTCTCATAAGGATGATCACCTTCAGATACAGGCCTGGTCTGTTGCCCAGGTGGTCCAAGCACTTGAAGGAGCGGCCGCGCGCCTTCTAAGCGCGAGCAGTGCATCCGGGGTGGCTGCATGCTTTGGGATGGTTTGCGTGGAGGACTTCCGCCGCTGCTCGGATGGTATCCTCGACTTCCTCCTTCGCCGTGAGCTGCGTTACCGCGAAAAGCGCCCGCACGGCCGGATGCTGTTCCTGGGCGTGGTTGATCGCCACAGGCTGGTTGACTGCAACAGGCTGGTTGACTGGAAAAGCGTGATTGACCGCCAGGGGATGGTTAATGACGGGAGGCTGGTTGGCCGCGTGATGATGGTTGATTGCAAAAGCATTGGCCGCAAAGGGTTGGTTCACGGCAGGGGGAGGGTTGGCTTCCAAATGTTGGTTGACGCCAGGGGCATGGTTAGCTGCGAGAGAATTTGTGGCCGCAGAAGGCTGATTGAAGCTGAGAGAGTTGTTGAAACCGACAGGCTGACTTCCGTTGTTCAGGTGGACCGCTGAGAATGCGGCTTGAGCCTGGTGGCCACCGAAGTTGCCTTGGACTCCACCCACTTGATGGAAGTTGAAGTTTGGGCCCTGACTCAAAATGGAGGCGTTTCCTTGATGGCCATCTGCCTGCGCCTGAGCAACATGGCTGGTATTGTTGAAGTGCGGATAGTGAGGAGTCGCGTGCTGCGCCAGATGGACAGGAATGGCCTGGTTGAATTGGCTGTTGACAGCGGCAGCTGCATTCTGGTTGAATGAAGAGTGCGATGCGCTCGCGGTGGCTTGAAGCTGCAAACCCGGGCTGGGAGAGCCGGCCTCAGAGCTGTCCGAATCCATAGGTGGTTTTTCGACTGTTCAATGATTTTCGGGTTCCTGCTTGACGTCGGCACGCTTCGAGATGGTCCCCACGAATTGGCCAGTGGAGGAATGGGAATAAGGCGAAGAAGAAGGGCAGTGCAGGTGAATGTGCAAGGCACAAACCAAACGAGGTAGGTACCCCAATCACAAAAGACGGCGAAATTGACTGGATGAGAGGGCGCGATGACTGAGAAAGATGGAAAGGAATGATGGAGGGGAACGGCATTCTTTTGATGGAGTTAGGAAATTGGGAATCCAACTGTCTCAGTCAACGTTGTGTGTTTGCGCCGACTGACCGAGGATGATGCGAGGCACTGGCGAAGTCTGTTAAGAGGAACGTGCAGGCCGCGGGGTAAATACCAGGCCAAGGCGGAGGTGCTTGGCACAAAAGGGATCCACTGGTACGCGGCAGGTAAGAGAGGCAAGGAAGCCGTCAACAACGGAATGGCCGTGGCTGGGGCTGTTGGGTCATTTTACCAGTCGGAGATCCCGTACCTCGACCGACACCAGACCATCACGATGATTATGTACCTATTTCAAGATAGGAGGAATCGCCACCGTACGGGACAATGGACATTCCATGCCCGACACTCAGCTTTTTCGTATAGTATGTATCAGAAGACCGCCCGTTACGCCATACAAGTCCCGAGAGCTTGAATGATATCTCTATATAGAGGCAGTACAACCTCGCGGACAAGGGATTTTAGGGTCTCGACGGCATCCGTCCCATTATGGACAGAACTTGAGTCTCGATAATTTGTGGAGATTTGATTGAAATATTGACGTGGATAAACAATCGACTTTTGAAGTTATATCTAAATCCCTAACGGCGGCAGTGGATATGGACATGTTACAATCATCGTGACGAAGTCGGGAATAAGGTAAGATATGGACAATCCTCATATTATGGAGGTATGATCTCCGCCCGGCAGGTCATGATGCTTGGATACTAATACATGTACCCATGCGGATAGCACGAAATGCAACCCATGGTCCTGGTGTCCAAAGGACTTTCCCCAAGAAAGTTCCAGACACAGGTACTGGTCGAGTTTCTTACTCCCACAGTAAGTGCCTTCAATTCCCTCCACATACGCCCCCATCTCATGCCTTTCGTCGTCCTTGACCTCGATACCTCGATCGCTGTACCGAGAACTGATTGTAAATCTCCCTCAGGGTTGATTCTACTCACTCTGCCTCATCAGCGGCTTGGGCATGTTGTAACGCAAGACGTCTCGCAATACCTCTGGCCCTGCAAACACCACAATGCTCGCCGGTCTCAACCGGCATGAACGCGTAGCAATTGCTACACGTTCCCTGTCCGCGGGACAGGCGGATCAGAATTTCCACCTTTGCTGCCAACCCGGGCCGATTGCCCAAATGCTCGAGGCACGATCGACTGCGCGGCCCTGCCTTCTAGGCGCGGGCGTTGCAGCCAGCGCGGCCACACTGCTTTTGGTGGTGGGCGTGAAGCACAGCTGCCGCTTCCCTGATCATGTGTTGAATTTCGTCTGTCTCAGTGTCCGGAGTTATGGTCAAGAGAGCGACCACCGCTGGATGCAAAAAGTCAGGGTGGGGAACCGGCTGCTGGTGAGGGGCCACATGGTGTTGAGGATCAATTTGTTGATGGGGAGGAGCCGGCTGCTGATGAAGAGGAGCCACCTGGTGGTGAAGAGGCGCCGGATGCTGATTAGAGGTAAGAAGGCCCGGATTTTGTTGATGGGCAGGAGCCGGCTGCTGATGAAGAGGCGCCGGATGCTGGTGTGGAGCAGTGTGATGAGGAGCCATCTGCTGCGACTGGGGCTGGTTATTCAGAAGCATCTGGTGAAGTGTTCCCTGGTTTTGCGGGATCAACGTGCCACTGCTGAGATTACCCTGATTGGGTTGGGGCTGCTGTGGAAAGTCAGCAATGCTCTGCATGTTTGGAGGTATCTCACGCTGGGTTGAGTACTAACATCAAACTGATTGAGAGCGCCAAGACTCGGATCCACGCCGGAGGGTTGATCCACGTCAGCGAGGTTACTGCCTTGGACGCCATTGACGAGGCCTGCTCCGGGGTTTATCATGGAAACACCTGACTGGTGATTGACTCCTTGAGAATGCACATGAGCAACGAAAACCCCGTATTGGCCGCTATTATAGCCTGCCCAATCCATGGTCGCTGGTCGTTGGCGTCCCCGCCCGGTTTAGATGTGATGGTAGACGCACAGGATCGTGTCTGGTGATTGTGGGGTGGAGGTTGAAGATTTGAAGAGGGAGATTGGGGAAGATCAAAGCAAATGAACGGACACCGAGTTCCCTGCTAGGTCGGGGAAAGTGTTGAGAGCACACCAAACCCGTTCTAGTCAAATGTGGACGCTTTGCGATCGGGTGTTGACTGGACCCGAAAGGTACTGTAGTGTACGGTGCAGGAAGGTGGTCGGTCGAGAGAGTCGTCCAGACCAGACGAGGAAATACTACCGCGGGGGACGGACCACTTCGGCGCCAGGAATCCACTACTGCAATGCGGTGAATGCACAAGAGCAAACGGAAAGATACCTCTATAGAACGCCACTAGCTGGTATGCTTATAGGTGGAAGGGAGGAAGCCTGAGTGGCTAGCTCGGCACCACGGAAGGGCGATGAATATTGCAAGGTTTGGAGGATACGCCACTATACGATGATACAGTGGGGATTCCACGCCCAATATTTGGGTTTCTGGTCTCATCTGTATCAGAAAGAACATCTGTTTTTGCCTTTCACCGAAGAGCGTGGGAGCGGGTGAGTGCTGCTATGGCGGTACGGATGATGCCAGGACAAGAGCCCTCCTGGCTCCAGCACGTACCTCGAGAGGCAGCCCAAAAGTGCCACTCAGTTCGGTGAATCGTGGGCGAACTCGGGATAGTCTCGCGAAGGACTGCCGTCGCGGCTAAGGCTGATCATAAGCGCTGGCGCGACACTGCGCGATGCCGACACGCTTAACGGCTTCTTTAATAGCGATCTCTTGGATCCTTTTTGTCTGGGAGAAAGCTTCAACGTGAACGAGTGGAGGAAAAGAAGCTTGAGATCTTGGCGTCGTCTTGATCTATCCTAGGTCGCTACCTAGAGGTATGTATGTACCACTTACGCCCCCTATTACCTGTCTATATCAAGTTTCCGCGAGATCGATGAACTACCCTCTCACTGGAATTTTACACCGTCCCATCTCAGTAGGAAGCCTGACAACTCCGGTACCATTTGGACAAGAGGAAAACCGTCATGTCAGGAACGGCTTTGGTCACCCCTCACCATTATCTGAATCAGCCCCCAAAAGCTTTTCGTTCCAGACTTCCCTGCATCGCTAGGGGATACGAGCCTCATTTATCTAATGATGCCTTGAGGTAGAAGGATACTTGAACCCCGTTCAACCCGATCTCGGCCTTGCAGGTCCGAGTATGCTCTGTCACCAAGGGGAGGGACCGATTCCAGCCACATCCAAATCACTTGGCTGACCATAATTGTCGGCCATCGCAATAGCTGCCTCGGCAGTAGCCTCAGCAGCCGCCGCTGCTTCTACCTCCTGAAGTAGGCCCGCCGCCTCGCGCCTCTCCGCGGCCCTTTCCCTGCATAGCTCGCATAGAGTGCCCGTTTCCCTGGCCATCCAGCGATACTCGCCAGAGCATGAGACCTCCCCGTGGGCAAACCGTTCAAGGAGGGTGATCTTTGTCTCCGAAGAGATCTTGTTGAGCAGATGATCGAGGCAGTACTCGATCCGCCTCCCCGCCCACTGCCTTCTACATTGCAAGTATAGGCCAGGCGGTACACGTACCTATCTCTGGGTAGTACTCGATAGACCGGAAGTTCGAGGTATTTGTAAAAGAGAAAAGGCGAAGCTTTGCCACACAACCGCTACCTCAGTCAAGGAAACAGATTTGAGATCAAAGGAGCAGATTGGAGGGCATCACAAACGTCTTTATCATTCTTTGAAAGCAAAAGCTTAGTGGCTATAAAGTCGATCTTGGTTATAGTTACAGCTATATACAAGTGTTGTCCGACCCTTAGAAGGACCGGCGTGCTGTTTTTTTGGTCTTTTCTGCTTCTTGTCTTGGCTTTTACCTTCCAGCTCCACATCTGTTTTATGGGCGGTCTGAGAGAAGAAATAGGCTCTTTGCGGTAATTTGTCAAAGTTCATCCAGTCAACTTCAGACCATCTACCCTGAACGAACGTGTTCGTTCACCCCCTCTACTGGAAGACATTGCCCTCCGCCATCCAACCTTCCTGGCCTTGTACTCCAGGAACCATTGCGGCAGCGTTTGCGGCTGCCGCTGCCCGCCTGGCATCAGCCCTCGCCTTGCAGCGAGGGCAAAGGGTGCCAGTCTCCCGTTCCATGAGACGGTAGTCCCCGGAACACGTGCCATAACCTCTGGCAAGGCGTCGCAGAATGCGGACCTTCATGTCGGCGCCGATTCTATTAACGAGATGGTGAAGACAAAACTTGATGCGGCGCCCAGCCTTCTAAGCATGGCCCGTGCACTGATGTTCCACGTCATCCTCTACCCACTTGTGCTGGCACTGTCGATGGTCTGCATGGAGGACACTGGCTGCAGCATCGATAATTTCGTTGATGTCTTGGTCCGGATCAATGTCTTCTAAAGCGAGTACGGCAGGGTGGTTGGCCTGCGGATGAGGTGGTCCAGGAGTGATGGGATTATGCTGATCTTGGGGGATACCAAGGTCAAGAGGATCGATGTCAGCGACCGGGATGGGCTGCACCATGTCCATGGGCTGGGGCTGCTGCGAAAGTTGCATGTGATGCTGTTCGGGTGGGACGAGTTGGAAACCAGTCTGATGAGCAGCTGCAACGTTGGTGTGATAAGCAGCTGGAAAGCTGTTCGGATGAGCAGCTGGAAAGCTGTTCGCATGAGCAGCTGGGGTGTTGTTCAGATGAGCAGCTGGAACGCCTTGCGCCATGTTCATACCGGGTTGTGGCTGCCGAGACAGTTGATAATGTTGAGCTGGGATGAACTGGAAACCATTTGAATGAGCAGCCGAGACATTGTTGGGATATGCAGACTGGAAGTTATTCGGCTGAGAAGCCGCATTGCCTTGCAAAATGCCCATGCGCTGGGGTTGCTGAGGATTCTGATACTGCATGTGCTGGACTGGGACACCTTGGAAATAGTTCGGACCTTGAGAAACCGGGAGGGCTTGAACACTGCCCATGTACTGAAGCTCTTCAGCATACGCGTAGTGTTGAACTGCAACTCCCTTAAAGTTGTTCGCGGCATGTTGGTTCAAATGACTGAACCCCGACGCCATGGGGATGTTTCCATAGTTGGCACTCTGCGATGCATTGGCTGGCTGGTGGAGAGCAGACTGAGCAGATTGCTGATAATGCGGGGCTCCCGCAACATTAGGAACAGTGTTGGAACCATAACCGTTAGGAAGAGAAACCTGGTTGGGCGCTCCATAATGATGAGAGGCTCCCGCCACATTTGTATGAAAGGCGTAGCCATCGAGAGGGTTGGCGATGGGGTGTTGGTTTTGCTCTTGGTCGTTTTGCTCTTGGTCGTTTTGCTCTTGATAGTTTTGCTGTTGATGATTTTGCTGTCCATGGTGATGCCGATGAGGGGCTCCGGCAATATGAGAATGGACATGGACGTTGTGCTCACTGAAAGGATCGGGCAAGGGGTGTTGGTTGTTATGGGAAACACTGAATGAAGGTACGTGCTGAGTGCCTGTGTTCAAGTTGTTGACAGGGCTTAGATGGGAAACATCGGGCAACCTTGCCCCTGGCGAAACCAGATACTGGGAATGCTGCGCCGTAACGGCGTGATGCTGCTGAGAGGATCCAGGTGGAACTGGATTGTTATTTCCCAAGTCGCCGGTGTCCTTTTTGTTGGCGATGGGGCTCTACATGAAGATATTAGCGGGCGCTACGTCTCAACTTGTGGTTGCTTTGGGGCTATACCTCTGCGTTCTCACCCTGGCTGAGGTGGGAGGGGACCGAGGCATGACCCGGATGATTCACCTTTCGGACCTCCTTGCGGGACTTCTGTTTGTCTTGAGCCATCTTGCAGCTGCATGTGGCTTCCAACGCGCAGCTCACAGTGACAAAGAGGCCCGCTTTGGTGTTCCAACGTGTTCTAACGATACAGGCAATTGATTGACGTTTGGACGTGTCAATTAATTCGATGCCTTGTTCGGTTTATTGTGGAGGGAGAAATGGTCAGGAACAGTCGAGGAGAACCGCCTTAAATGGTGCGGAAGGATCCGGTGAATTGAAAATGATCAGCCCTAAGGAAACCTGATGTGGCTGATCCAGGTTAGAAACCTTTACTGAAACACCTTGGCCACTGCCTGCCCCTGTGGCTGAGCTGGCAGGAAAGAGCGACGCTCAAAATACCTACTTACGTTGTAGGAGGGCGGTAGAGCGCGAGTGTCATGCTCCAGAGGTCACCGGTACACTGCCGTGGACATTCATTCACCCACCCATGCAGCGTCCACGGACAATGAGATAATCTTTGAGATCTTTGATCCGTGACGACTAGAACCTTCCACTTCCATCTTCAACTTCGCTACCTTGAGGTACTTGGGATATTCCGAACCAACGTCCTATAAATCATATCACACAGACAGCGCGTATGATGTCTCGGACAGTTCGCAACTTGCAATCCAAACACAAATTGTTCCCGTTATGTCCTAGGCCGGAGCCACTGCGGAATAGTTCCACCTCTAGAGTATACAGGATTATCGGCTCATGAAAAATGCCCCTTAACAGTTGATATATCACTTGTTTACCTAAGTAGGTACCGTAACAATGCCTGTTATGATCAATGGTGTTTATGTTACTAGAAGTAAGGTATCTATACCTAGAATCATCCCACATCTAGGTATTCTCTGTACCGGTATGCTACGGTGTCGGGTGTTCCCTTTCAAATCCTATGAAAAAATGTCCATCCATGTCTCCCGCCCTGAAGCAAAGTTTCTGGTCGAAGATTACGGGCCGATTACCTGGAAAGCTCGAGGTAGCATCTTGCAAACTCCGTCCTACCTAACCTAAGCAACGTCCACAAAGCTTGCCGTCGTCGTAGGGTGTTGGGGCGTAGCAGCCCGAGCAAGTCCCCTCACCGCGGGACTTGCGCATTAAAATTGCAATCTGGGCAACAAGTGACAGACGGTTGCCGAGATGTTGGAGGCACGAACGACCGCGAAGTGCCTTCTAGGAACTCGCGGTGCAATGCACCTCGACTCCATCATGGCCCAAATCATCCTGCGGCATTGGGGATGGCCCCCAAAGAGAACCGCAGCTGCGGCCCTAATGAGCTACCTAATCACCTCTGCATCCAGATCCTCTCCAACGTCGTGGAGAGCGACTATAGCGGGATGATTAGCCTCTGGGTGAGGTGTCGGTGGGCCATGGTCGCCCGCTGGGCCCGTGGCGCCGGGAACAGGAACCGGAACAGGCACTTCCGGGACCTGGTGTTGGACCGGGGCTGGATATTGAACAGCGAGCTGATGGTGATGGAGAGCTGGATGCGGGACAGGCATTTGCTGGTTGATAGAGGTCTGGTGTTGGGGGTGAGCTTGATGCTGAAGGTGAGCCTGATGCTGGTGGTGGGCTTGGTGCTGTAGATAGGCCAGGTACTGGATGAAGGCCTGTTACTGGATGTTGGGCTGATGTTGAATTTGGCTTTGATGTTGGATAATAACTTTGTTCTCGACAGCAGCTTGGTGCGAGACATCTGGAAAACAGTTACTGTTTTCTAAACATTGATTGTCCGTTAGACAACGCTTGTTGCTACTCAAGGTTTCCCGCTTCGGCACCATTTTCGTTGGGTAAATATCGCTGGCACTGCCCGTGTCCGGCGTACAGCACGTCTGCTGCCTCCCTGATGATGTGTCTGACATCGTCTTCCGCCATGTTGACCGTGATGGTTCCGAGGGTTAGGACGGCCGGATGCTTTGCCTGGGGATGGGGCGTAGGGGGGTCATCAACAGGTAAGTCCACTTACTGGTGGTTAACAGCTGGGTGGTGCTGGTCTAGAGCTTGCTGGGTTACACCTTGCTGGTTCAAAGCTTGCTGGTTTGGAGCGTCCTGGCTCAAAGCTAGCTGGCTGGATCCCATCGGATGGCCGCCCAAGGGGTAGGTCTGGGCCTGATGAAAAGTAACAGGGTGGTTCATCATCTCTTGAGGTTGGTTTGCTCCAGCAGGCGATGAAGCGAAGTTGGGGTCTAAAGGCAAATTGGCGAATGACAGCTCACCCTGCTGAAGAAACGGTTCTTGTTCCGAATGAAGGTTTCCGTCGAATGCGTTGCTTGGAATGAAGTGCTCGCCGAAGTCGACGTTGTGACCCGGAAACGGACCATTGAAATTGGGAGGCATGAAAGGATGGATATTGTGGTACATGTTCTGGTGATTAGGATTGTGGGCATGGTGCAGAGGCTGGTGGTGCATGGAGGGGACAGAGGGGGTATTACTGATGATAGGGATGGAGTGGCCATTATGACCAGGGGCAGGCAGGTGCTGGTTAGAGGTAGGGTTGTTGCTTTGAGGGGTAGAGGGGATGGCCGGGAGTTGGTCACTCTCTGGGCCCTGATTGTGCCCATGATTTTCGCTATTTCTATGTCAGCAGTGCACTAGTTGGGGTTAAAGTCCTGTAGTGGCAGGATGAAGCGAGGCTGACCTGAGGAGAGATAGGTTGGGTCCGTTGCCCATCACGTTGCTCGCAACTGCGTGGTTGCCTTGACCTTGGCTCTGGGGAAGGGAACCCTGCCTCGCGCCGGCAGCCTGGCGATTCTTCTTGTTCTTACCTCTAGACATTGCTGCTTGGGAGGCGCCCGACAAACGATGTCGGATGCCGATACGCTTTCTTTCTACCGAGACACCACCTCTTTGCGCGCAATATCTGGCAATTCTGGGACTGAAATGACTCGAAGACGAATGCGTTGCAGGTTTGAAGTTTCAGGACTTACGGAGAAAAGTGGAAAGAGCAGGTTGAAAGGTTGGGCCGTTGCAAAGCTGGATTCAAGGTCCATCCCAAGGTCCAAAATGGCAGGCGTGCCGGCCCGGATGGATATTGCCGGCAAGGTCAATTGGCTCCACTTCCTATTACATGTCACTTTCAAAGTCAGGTTGGCCTGCCGCGGGAGATAGAGCTACTATAGCAGCACCAACCGCAGGTGATTATAACCCATTCCTAACGGCTTATAGGGGGAAAGAAGGACCGTGCCCTACACAATAGGGCTGAGCTTGCGCTTATCGCGGCTTATCGTGTCTCCGTTGTCGTCGACCAGGCAACCGACGCCGCAGACAGTGTCGCTCCACACAAGGATAACGATATATACGACCAGGACAAGAGACGGATTGTCAATGACATTACGGACTTCATTAAAGAAATGGTATTTCAAGTGCGAGGAATAGAATGAAGTTGTAAACGACTCAAACTAGGAGCGAAATCACAGCGAGCGGACGAGTCACGAGAAGGAATCATAATGTTGTAGAGAAAACCTAATGTTGAGATTTGCACAAATAGGGTGAGGTCACGAACAAAGGGATTCAAATAATATCAACGCTACTTCTACCTACTGCAGTAAGTTCACCTAGACGTAGTAATCACGTAGAACGAGTTCACGAGGGCAGAATGGCAGTAGCAAAGATGTTTTGAGCAAGTTGGCTCATTTCAAGCTATCTGAATGTTTTTTATCTGACATAACCCTTATTTTCCTTGCTCATAGACCTGATTTGATCAGCTGGTTTCCCTTGTACTTTCAACAAAATAATCTGAAGAAGTCTACTTCTCAATTTAGGGACAATCTGTTGGTGTCCTATATCATCATCCAATGTTAGTTCATGTCGATGCCTCAAAGATGATGTGGTAAGGGATGAAGGTACTTACAATCTTGGTATCGGTCTCTGTGTATGAGGTCTGATGATTCAGATATGGAGGTTGGCAATCGCTTCTCCCGACATCATCGAGTCATCAGTAGAGGTAGCCTGGCTGGTGTCGGCTCCGTCCTCCTGAGATTGCTGAGCAGGCTGTGCTGCCGCGGCCGCCGCCGCGCGGTTCTCCATCCGGTTCCTCTTCATCTCGACGCACCGGTCGCACCGCTTCCCGGTCTCCTTGGGCATCCAGGCGAAGTCCGTAGAGCAAGTGCCGTATCCTAGAGCCTTGCGACGATAGATTTCCAGGATGGTATCCTTGCCAGGCCGATTCCCGAGGTGGGTGAGGCAGTACATCGCGTTCCGCCTCTAGCAGAAGCGAGTGCACTGCACACCCTTGGTTCTACGGGTGCAACGGCCGTAGGCGCTGTCGAGGACAGCTGCGGCCGCGTCAATGGCTCCTTGGAGGTTGCCGATTGTGTTGATGGGGTTGAAAATGTTACGAACGGCGGGATGGCCGGCATATTCGAAATTGAGTGGCGATTGAAAGTCGACAGGGTAGTCGTCGAACACGTCCTCGAGGGTCTTGATGTGGGCCAGATGCTGGTAGTGGATCGGGTTAAAAGGGTCGTCGAGGTAAGAAGGGGGAGCCATGTTGATGTCCTGGCCCTGGTGATGAATGTTTTGGACGTGCATGCCTCTGTGATGGTTGTCAGTTACTTGACATCTTACATGCATCATGTTGCTAGAAGTTTGGGTGACTTACCTGTCAATTGGAGTGTTGAAGTTGAAGACGCTGTTCGGGGGATGGATGACTGGTGAGAGTTGTCGGCGCTTTGCTCCTGAATGTTCTGGGCAATGGGTGTAGCGGGGACAGTTCCGTTGTGGTAGTTGCCCATATTGATGTTATTAGAAGCGTTGTCAGACATGATGAAGTCTTGGAGTGGTTGGGTGTGTGATGTGTTTTGGTGTGTGTGGATGCTTGTGGTTGGTTGACGTTGGGTCGAGGTTGTTGGTGGTGATGAAGCAGGAAGAGAAAAAATTTCCCAAGAGGAAGTTCCGAGCTGCCCTTTATGCTATGGGAATTGCGACACTCTAGGCCGGTTCTCAGATCCACTGCCTTGCGAGTCTGAGGGTGAACAGCCATGAACAGAGGAAGCATACCACACATAGAATGCCCAACTCCGGTTGACCGGCGTAGCTCACCGAACACCAAGGTTGTTCGGCTGCTCATGCATGAGAGAACAGCGAACAATTTAATGTCTCATAAGATGAGCAGAGAAATTATCCTTCTTGTACACTGTACAGCTGCGGTCAAGCAATACTGCCCACCGAACACTGACCTTGTCCACATGTCGGTGTATATAAGATCAGCGTGCAATACCACAGCGAAAGAAGATGAACATAGGAACCATACCACGCACAGACTGTTCGACTCGGATAAACCGGTATAGCCCACTGAACAACGACGGTCTCCACATGCTGACAGAATGTAAACAAGAACAGCGCCGAACAGGACCATCCTGTGTCCAAGGCTCTGCGTCAACATTCATAGTCCACTAGCAGTGTTCAAGACACCTACCTTTAGTGGGCGACCTGATTAACTAGACGTGAACAGTGATGGTATGCGGTCGTGAACAGCCGGACCGGGTGAAATCAATCTCTCAGATTTCGCCTCACAAGAGATATGACCAGTAATCATCAGTGAAAACCGAACTGGCAGGTAGGAATGTTGACAGTGTGAGTGAGTCTGAGCACGTATGCCGTTTTGGTTCACGGGATGAAGTCAAGAATGCCGTCTCCAGGTCTTTTCCTGCGTTCTAAAATCTTCCATGTCGATTGCTGGTTCCATGTTGTTGATGTCTTTGCCGATACATTCGATCATATCGGCATGCCGAGGGACAGACATGGACGCCTTGGCGCTCGATTTCGTTGCCTGCGTTGCGGGTTAGCACGAAATCCAGAGGCGAAAACAGCCAAAAAGCCCGTGGTTTGTCGTTTTTGGCGTATTCTGACGTACGGTTTGGGCTCATGTGAGAATATGATCGATTGTGGAGGATGGCCGCTCCCGCGTCGCCGACGGGAATAGCGGTTGCTGTATACGACTACGCCGGGCGGCGGAAGAATCATGAAGGAGCTGTGGAAAGAGAAAAGATCAAGTACGCGGAAGTAATGGCGAGCTGCGATGAACTTTGTAATCGAGAACAGAATTTGCTGCGATTGAACGGTGGCTCATTAATGAAAGCGTCGGTCGTTGCGAGGAAAGCGCTACGGCCATGCATGCCCCTGCAGCCAGTATTCCACAGCAAGTGCAAATGGACCGCGGTTGCCCAGGGACACTCGTGGATTTGACACCCTTTCCATTTCGCAAAATCTCTGCTAGCTCATGGAGCTAGGTATCGAGGGATTCCCTATTGTCTTAAGGAATTCCAAGTATTTCATTCAACATCTCGCTCTTAAACAATAATGCGAGCTGGAGGTCAAGTTCGCTGTGGTGGTCTCTGCGTGGAGACTTCACTCACTAACAGCGGCTGCCCTAAATCCCCCCTGCAAGACCGCTGAATCAACAAAAAGCGTTAGCGCAAAAGACTCTATGCACCGCTCAGGGTCAAGTAAACAATCCCGACAACTAGCTTTCATTCCAAATTCCCGTCGATTGCCACATGGCAAGATCACGTTTTTCCTCTTGAAATGCCAATCAACGGCCTACGGACAACCACAGAGATATAAGGCCTGAGATGGGGTGGGCGCATCGGACCCATCACAAAGGTCCTATTCGCAACAAAGAAACACGCCGCTGAGTGGACAATGAGCGAAGGACCGATGAAAGACGAGGATTATAGAAAAAATGGGACAATGACATGGAGTGCCACAAAGGAGTGAGGGATTCTTTTATGTTCACGCTAACAGGGCTGACTCGCTCTTTCCTAGCAAGATGACTCGATCCTGGTTGAGTCTATCGTCCTCTTCCTGCCGGTGAGCCAACCGGGTGATCAAGCTCACGTCTTCATTGGTCCAAACTTGACGCATTCAATTGTTTACCAACTATCCCCATCAACTTCTTACATCCCTGCTCTTTCCCGCCGGAGGGCATCCTTCCTCCTACATCCGTCGCAGATTCTCCCATCTTCCCTCTCCTTCCAGGCATAGTCGCCTGAGAATGTCCCGTAGCCTTCCATCTGCCTCATCAGGATCTTGAGCTGCGTCTCCACTGAAAGATGCCTCTTGAGGTGGCTCATGCATTTTCGCGCACCCGCCTTCCACCTTCGAGCTGGACACTGCTCGCCAGTGACCTCGTCCACATGGCGGCACCGGCCATTGCGTGCGTGGAGCACCCTGGCGACATCGGCGATGATGGCCCGCAAGAGCTCCGGTTCAACGGTCCGCATGTCAACTGGGGGGTTGGTGTTGGCTATCTCGACGAGGGCAGCCCGGATTTCATCGCTCAGAAGAGGTATTTCTGGTTCGATGTCATCATCATCCTGCTGTGGCTGAACAATGACGGCCTGGTTGAGCGCGCCGCCGGGCTGTAGGCCAATGACGTTGTTGTTATTGGGTAAGTGGTTGTTAGGTTGTTGGTTTGCTTGGTTATTACTAGCAGACTGTTGTTCAGACGGTGTCAGAGGCCATGGAACAAGTTTGCGATCAGCGATGATGAGGACTAGAGTTGACTCACTTGAGCGGCGACGGCCTCACTTCCCAGAAAATGGTGTTGGTCATTCCCCTCGATGCCTTGATACGCGTTCTGGTTCTCCATCTTTCTGACTGTTCCTGCAGTTGGTGACGTGTGGTGATCAAGATGCGTCGATCCTTGTTCGGCTATGCTTGACCGGAGGGGAGGGGACGGATGTTTGGTGATTGTAAAAAACGACAGATAGAGGTAAATAGAAGCACGTATATAGGACTGTAAAGGGACTCTCCTCTCCCTGGAAATATCCTCCCCGTCCTGACACCGCGGACGAGTCAAGGGACCTGGACCCACCGGTCTCCTACCTCTATTGTCAGCATCAGGCCTTATCGCCTGGATAGAGGTAGAACTCGAGCCCCACGGGGCTGAACCAGGTCAACCAACCTTGAAGCTAGCAGGGAAGTAGGCGTATATAGTTCGACAAGGACCAATGAGGAAGCGTCATAGCTCGCTGATACTTGGAATAGACAAGTAAGAAGACATCTCCCACTATTCTACCCTCACCGCAATGATGAGATGAGAGCCAACATGTGAATGACTCGATATCAGGCGTTACCTCCTTCACTGGTGTATTTTTTACGGTCGCAAAGCAGCCTATGCGCTCCACTGAGCCCAACCGTTCTTATGCGTCAAACTCGGACGTACCTCTGTTTAAAGCCATCCTCTACCTCCCTTGTGTAGCGCATCACCACACACAAGTACTTGCGCTGGTGCAGCGATTCTCGACAAGTACAAAAGGCAGACCGCAAGCATCAAAGCATTATGGATCCCAACGACCCTTTGGGTCTGGGGTTCCCGGACGAAGACGATTGGGTCCATTCCGGACCTGTTGCTGAGAATGGCTCTGCCACTGAGCCGGTCGAGGTATGTAAACTGCCCCTATGCTTATTGTCAGTGGCCAATTTAGAAGTCAAATCCCCTGCTGACGTACCTGTCAAGTCTTCCGAAGATGAACAACCGAACATTTCGTACTTCTTCGAGCAAGCTATTGGCATTCAAGATCCCCACGATGTTAGGGGTATCAGGCGACACACAAAGCGCCCTCTGAGATCCTACAACCGTCACAAGTGGAAACTTGATTACACCGTTGGGGAACATAGCGCATGTATATGGCGCCAAAGACGATAGCAACGAGGTTTGTGTCTTGATGATCCGTGTGTGAGACTGCTCGACTAACTCAACGGTGATCAGCTCCTTCCAGTCAACAACGATGACAGCCAACAGTCAATCACATTCACCTCAAGTCCCTCTTCGGTCAACGCCGCCAACCCTTGGCCTACCTGCAAAGGTTACCTCAAACGCGGCAGCCGTCATCCATGCAAGAACGCATCCGCACACCGGGCCTCGAAGAAAAGTGCCACTCAATGCTTGGAGTGTTAGGCGAACGCGCGCAACGCGGGGCTTAGAGCCAGTATGGCGAGGAGAGTCGCCGTCGGTAGCTATCGACCTTTCTTCAAAGTGTTACTGAAACGATGCTCGTCCGGGGGGCAGCCTTTGCCAAGGAAGCGTGGATATGGGCAGGAGCAACCCGGAACAGAGGAAGGAGTGAAGGGGCAAGAGGAAGCATCGCATTCGAGGGGAATACTCGAAGGGGTGGTGGGTGAGAATGGCAGTTGTTGCCAACTTCACAGACTTGTCAAAGGAGGTTACGATGTTGAGGGGTGTGCGGCTAATGTACATGCTATAAGGGAGGCGCTATCCGGCTTTGTATGCCCCTGCCCCCCCGCAGCGACGATTTCCACAGGCTATAGAACGGACCCACTCCAGCCAAGCCGCCCGCTGAAGGGACACTAAACAATTTGGCAGTCTCAATATACTCAAGATTGAACATGAAATGAACTGTTTGTAATTGAGAAGGAGTACTTAGTTTTGACCGAGATTTTAATTCATTTCAAGTTTTGCGTCTGGGTTTGCGATGCAGTGGCCTCAGTGAGCAAGCTCGCTCCAAGGGTTCATGCATAGAGACGTAATGCGCTAACAGCGCAAGCCCCTAGGAGCGCCCTGTAACTCCGCTATGAAAAATCCGCCATGTTAGCGGACAGAAGGACAGAACAAAGAGACGATTTATAGTCGGGCAACTTTAGCACCGTCTTAAGCTACGACAGGAACCTGTAGATAGAGAAAAACTCCATTAATGTGACTTATTCTTCAGTGTAGACGTCGTCTTCATGTAGCACGAACATGTATGACACTACGATCGATCGCAAAGCTTGTTAATAAGAGTCACGAACGTTAGCCAAATGGAACAGTCATGATCGCGGTAGATGAGTCAATTCAGGAACTTCCATAGGAGCATCAAACTTGAGAGCTACCGACTTCAGTTAGGCACCAGAGGTATATAGGGCGAAGACGGTTATGTCAAAGTGTCTATATCTACAATGCCTCCTTGGTTCATGATCGTTGATCTAATTCCCTAGGGCAGCAAGCAGCCGCCAAAGTCCGGCCACGATCTCTTGCGACCAACCAATCACCTCGCGGATCTTGCGGCGCTCGGTGCGCAAGAAACTCTTGTACCAACATTCGAAGCAGAGCATACCTCTCTCTGCGTCCTGCAACACATAACATCCAGAACAAGTTCCGTGGCCACGGACCTGGCGCATCAGGATGTCGACTCGAAGGTTGATCCCGGGACAGTTGTGCAGATGAGCGAAGCAAAGCCTTGCTCCCACCTTCTAGGCGTGAGCAGTGCAGCGTTCGCCCGTCGCTTTGTCGATATGGATGCATTGGGTGTGATTATGGTGCAGAAAGGTAACGGTCGCGGTGATGATGGCTTCGACAATCTCCACGTCGATACAGACCGCTTCCGCAGGAAGGTTCGTGGCGGACAGAACTTCCAGAGCCGCGACGAGCTCTGCCCGTGACATCGTGTCCACGGCGAGAATGTCTCGGGGAAGATTGGGATGAACACCAACGGCGCCGGGGTTTCCCTCAATAACAGGGCCTTGGACGTTGGCTAATTGCTCGCCGACGTCTGCGATATTGTGGAAGACATTGTTGTCATCATTTTCGACGTTATGAGAATGCTGCGCGGACGAGAGGGTGTTTTGCACTTGGTTCCCGGACTGCCTCTGATTCTTGATATCGCATTAGAGGCGCGATGAATAAGAACACGCTCGCGACATCGACGAATTATTTACTCACATCAGAGACCAGGAAATCACTGTTGGCATTAGAGCCGTCGGCGGTTTGGTTGTCCGCCATAACAAGGAATGCGAGCTGGGATTGGAATGAAGATAATGGGTATCTTCAGTGTAGGCGGGTACCTGGAAGTCCTTCGATGGAAAGAGCAAATTCGATAGGGTCGTATATAAAGGTAAGAGCAGGTAAAACTAACCCTGAAGTATGGAATGGCGGGCTACATCAAGTTGGAAAATTGAGTGGAAAGTCAAGACGAAACGGGATCCACTACTTCTGCTATTGAGGGACTGTATAGGGATTAATAGCCACAATAGCAACCAAGCCACGCGTGCCTGCTTGAACTGACCAAGTGTCCGAGCTATTAGGAGAGCCGGCCAATAAGGAAGCGCCAAGATGTCTATGCCGAGTAAGAGCGAAGATGAGAGGGAGACTCGAGGGCTTGGGGAAGGCACGACTCCAACCACCTTGTGTTCGCCTTTTACTATTGTTTTTTTCAAGGTCTCAAAGTAGGCCCGTGCATTCCAGTTAGCTCCCTGTGCCTTCCCTGAACAAACGGCCACTGTCCCTCCACCTTGTATTTACCAATCTCCCACATCAAGGTCCAGTGGCTGTGGAGATCCGAATTAGCGTTCTTTTACTTTCGTCCATTCAACATAACATAAAAGGTCCCCTCTTCGTTTTTACCCTAGTTCAGGCCAAGACGTCCTCTTGTCGTGGGAAAAAGACCACGATCACATCGAGGATTCCCTTTAGACGGAGCGGGCGAAAAAATTGGTAGTCAAAAGTATCAGAAGACGGCGTCTCGATTAAACGAGTCGTTCGTGTCTCCTAACGAGTTGAAGGCAGCATCGAGTTGCTGCCAGTGAAGGCGCGCCGTATCGTCAACTAGCCAAAGGTATAAACACCGACTCATTATTAATTCATTCGGTGCGTAACTGACCACTGGATCCTAGCATTGTTGGCGTGCCGGTTCAACGCCATGGCGGGTAAACCACCTACCGGCGCTGGCAATGGCGCCCAAAACGCGGTTGAGACGCATGAGAACGGAGAAGAGGGCAACAAAGAGCATTCTTCGCGGCTTCAAGGCGACATCGTCATCCAAGAACTGGTCGACAACGTCGCCAACATAAACCTGGACGTCGAAAATGCCATCTTTGCTGGATCTCATGGAGCAGGATCGTCAGCGTAGAATGCCCACCTTCCACTCCGCGAGCCAATCCAAGTACCATTAGTGGTAACTGCTGACCCTACCCCAGCAGGTGGTGGACACTTCCAGAATGCGATGAGCACTGTCCAGCCTGGCACTGTTCTCAACAGTCACCCTATCACCACCAATTCCCCCAACCACAGCAACTATTATCCCAGCCCTGGTGATAGTAGTTACCTCAATGGGGGAGGTAACCACTTCTACAACACCTTCAACGGCTATGCAACCGGAATATCTAATCCCAACACTAGCAACCATCTTAGCAACATCAATTATGCCTCTGACAGCAATAACCCAGGCATTTCCAACGGGTATCCCACCCACAATCAGCCCAACGGAAGCAACCATTTCACCGACAGTACCTCTAATTATCCTGCTGAGTATCTCACCAACGGTATCATCAGCGGCGCTCATTATGGCCACAGCCAGAATCGTCAGGTACACACCAATTACCACCAGGGTCCGACATGGGACGGTCCGAACGTCGGTCTTATCAACGCACCACTCCCCATCACACCCCGGCCTGCGGCCTTGCCTGCGGCCTTGCCTGCCCCGGTCATCTCTCAGCCCCCCACCGTCACTGCTGGTGCCAGACGAGTGCGGCTGTGTCAAGGATCAAGAAAGAAGGGAGTGCCCTGTATCCACAACCCTCCCAAAAGGGCGTGGAAACAGACTGGCAAGGCACGGCAGTGCACCAATTGTCTTGCCAACCCACCTGCCAAAGCCGTTCGCGACGGCATGGATGCACGCTTGGACGCTGGAAGAGTGCCCTGCTCAAAATGTTTTCGCAAGGACGCCCGTGACGGGGGCGGACTTTGCAATACCTGCCTCAACATGGGCAAGTCCAACAAAGCTCTACGGAAAAAGGGACAAGGGAAACGGTCCAAAAAGGCGACCAGGAACGACGATTCGGGATCCAATCCTAGGGGTGGCCCGAGTGGTGGCCCTCCCAAGGGTGGTGGCAACGGTGGACAGGGTCCGCCCCCCAGTGCCGGTGCCGTTGGGGCCGTCCTTAGCGAGAGCGTTCAGTGGGCGTATTGAGGTGCAGTTATGGGAACGATGAAGATCGAGCGGTTGGAATGGGAACAGCGTAAATAAAGCAGGGAATGAGGGAAAGGAGGCAAGGAAAGAAAACAAAAAACAATTACAAAAAAAAAGCACGCCACATTCTCAGCACAACAGCTTGAATGTGGACATTCAACAATTATTTTACAAATAAAGAAAATACTTATAGGATGCAGGCGACGCGTGGCTATTAGTAGGAAATAAAAAACCGAGTTAGTGGGAAAGAGATAGATATAGCTAGCATGCAGGATTGCATTCAAGATGCGTGCACCGCAAGGACAGCGGCGAATCCCCACAGGTAACCTGGACTCCTGGACCAATGAGAAGTGAAATTCGTCTGATTTATTTGACGGTCATATGGGAGCGACAAACGACAAGGGATAGCCAATCCGTTCTAGCGCTTACATTCTAAGAAGGCATAGGAGATGAGGACCACACTACCTTATGCAGGGACGGTGTTACTTCTACTCAACACCGTGCAGCCACATCCTCCTTCACTGGTAATGCCCTCCAAGTTTCCAATTTTGGACTTCAAAACGGCACACCAGCGAGCTCCATCCCTTTCCTCCATCAAGTCCTCACACTTGATTTCCACATCAGAGCTGTACGCTTCGTGAGGCACCTCGGTACCTCTGACCACCCAACAACTGCAAAACACTTCAAATTTACCACACACTTCAGTGGTACTCTTGATAGACGAAGTCGTGGGAGTGCAATTTGATATTAGTTAGTGATGGACCCTAAAAGCCCACTGGGTCTGGGCCACCCGACACCCAGTTTCACCGATCTGCGGGTTGATGCCCGTACGACTGACGATGCCTCTACGTCAAGCGAGGTAAGCCCTCTCGTAAACCTGTCCGCGTGTGCAATGCTAACACGTCTTCTTCGACCTGCCTCAGATGAGCAAGGAGGAGATATCATACTTCTTCAACGAAGCATTGGGAATCCAGGATCCCGAGGACATGCTCAAGCGCAATCGACAGCCCTACGAGCACCGTGCTTAGGAGGCGGGTGGCTCTTTCCATGTCGCTGAGCGTCGCAACGTCCTAAATGGGTGCATGACCGCCCTTCCCATCAGCTCTCAACTTGAAATAACTCATTCTGCCCGCCCCACCGAGTATCATAGCTACTCTTGGGAAACTTTGAATGACCCTTCGACCTTTGCCGCCGTCGACAAAATTTTTAATGCTACGTCAACCACCAGCACCGGCTGCACCGATGACAGACCTACGAAGATCAGGCGTCTATCCAGCGCCATGAAAAGTTCGAACACGAAGGATGCGAACTTCATCGAAACTTCAAACATCACTCGCGCTTCCAACACTAGCCCGCAACTCTGTCATTCAACCATTTGCACGTCTTGCAAGAAGCCCAGACGCTCATCCGGTCATGGACATCGTCTTCCAGTTGTCCCCTCACCAATCAACGGTCCCTCTAGACATGGAGACACTGTTCAAAACCTCCAACACAGTGATACGGCTCGTCCCAAGCTTGTAGCCCTGGCGACCAAGCCGACCCAGAACATCTCACTCCCCTATTCCTCTGCCCGCAGCGTTCCCATTCCCAGCCAAGGAGTCCCGAATGGGTCCCCTAGCCCCGTCATGACCAGCAGCATGAAAGAATCTCATACAGGGCACGGTAACCCACTTTCAACTGCGACCCCTATCGCCAGAGTTGCCAACAACATCAACATATCTGCCACAGTTAATAACAGCCGATGCTCGTCTGCACCCCCAATCCCAAGGGGTAGCAGGGCCAGCACCACGGACCAATCTTTCGCGTTCAAAGGCAACCGGTCTTCAACCGCGATGCCCATCCCCCACATGGCCAGCAACATGGCCCCATCTGCCACAGTCAACACAATGCCACCCTCGCCCCCCATCCCGAGCATGGCCAACAACGGGAGTCAACATGCCACAGTCAACCCCATCGTACCTGCACCCCCCATCCCCAGTTTAAGCATGGCCAACAATGTCACTCAAGCCGCCACCACTTGGCCCCGTTGTCGGGGCAGCACTAGGCAACAGGTTTATCATCCGTGCAAACACTCACCGGCTCACTTGGCGTGGAAGCGCACAGCCACGCAGTGTATGGACTGCCTAGCCAATGCGCCCAGGGGCAACAAGAGAACCAATGTCGAGGCTCGCGTTGCAGCTGGCCATAATCCTTGCTCAAAGTGTTTTGTCGAGGATGCCCGTCCGGGCGGTGGGCTTTGCGAGGATTGTGTGGCGATGGGCAGGAACAACCTCGCCTTGAGAAACGCGGGCAATGGCAAGCGCAAGCATGCGAATGCGAACTAGCGGTTTCTAGTTTGAAGGCGTGGGGGCACGGAGGTTGGGAGTGGAAGGAGTTGCTGTGGGTTTGAAGCGCGGTTGCCTTGGACTGGACTTTTTAGTCGGTTGGTTCTTGCTAATTCCAAGTATTCTTTATATAATCAGTCAGGGAAGGTAAAGGCGGATTTCTTGGCTATATGTACCTCTAAAGACCTAGGGGAGACAGACTTCCCTTGTTCGAAGAAGGTACGTTAACGTACCTCCAGCAATCGGGTCTTAACGATGGACTGGATACGACTCTATCCACTCAAGGATAGCATAAAACTTGAACTTGAAGAGCGGGAACACATATCTACCTATATATTGCTGGCAACATATACGTTAGTAACCATTATGTTAGTAGTCAGTTGCGAGGCCACGAGTCGGGAAGCCCCCAGTCCGGAAGCTACCAATGCGGAAGCTACCAGTACGGAAGTACTAATGCGGAAGCTACTAGTACGGAAGCTACTAATGCGGAAGCTACTATTACGGAAGCCACGACAGCCAGTTCCTTGAAGATGGGATATCAAGGTTAAAAGTTGAGAAAGTGTCCGTGCTCGCAGCGGAGCCGGCTAATTAGGCAGTATCAAAACTCGACAATTGGCGCGAACAAGTTCCAGAGTAAGAGCAAAGATGAGGGGACGACCTAACCCGAGAATTTGTAATAGGCCCTGCCCCAGCTACATTGGGTTCTTCCAGGTCCTGTCACCGTGAAGTGTTTCCAAGGTTAGAGAGTAGAGGTAGTAGGTAGTATCTAGAGGTACCTAGGCCCCTAGCGTTCCAGTTAGCTCCCTGTGCCGACCATCTTTTCTAGAGGTAGAGGTACATAGAGGTACCTAGGTACCGCTATACGAAATAAAAAAAGCGGCTACTTTCATCCTATTATCTTTAGGCTTCCTTGACAAACCTTTCATTTCCAGGTCGCTTGTGGGGCCTTAAAGTATTGCAACCCCTCTTCATCCAGAGGGGAAGTATTTATACCTCCATGCTTATTGCCCATCCACAAAAAAATCTCTTTTCTGCTTTATATCCTGCCCTCGTCCTCCCTCGCACATCTCTGCTCAGGGACTACAAGTATCTTCGTAGGTCAAGATAACATCCTTAGCTCATCAAAGATTTGCGTATCTAGACATTTGTGAGCAGCACCGTTTCGCCAGTGTCAGGTTGATGCGACCTGATTTACCCGACGCATTGTGGTGAACCTACTTCTAGAGGTAAAAGCCCACATTCATTGCTGAGAGGTTGGACGAATAGCTGACAACCCGAATCAAGTGCGATAGGCCGCGCCGTGAATCGCCATGGCCGAAAAGGCGCATTCCACCGCTAATGATGGCGGGAGCAACGATGTGGCAGCCCCAACGGTTGAAGGAGCTCAGAGAACGAGAGGACTTGCCTAGAACGCAGACTCTCGTACCTTTGTACAAGCCGCTTCAACCCAAAGTTACACCGCTGAAGGCACCTATTACCCCAATGCGGCCCATTACCCGGTCAATACCACTACGTACCCCGTCAACACTAGTAATCATCCGGTCAACACCACTAATCCACACGTCAACACCTCTAATCAACCCGTCAACACCACTTATAACCCCGTCAGGACCATCTACCCCAACAGAGCCAACCACACTGTAGGAAGCAACGGCCCAAACGGACCTGGAAGTATCATTCCACTCAACAGCACCAACATAGTCAACAACAATCAGCCACCCGGAAACCTCTATCCAACCAGAAACCCACCCGTCGCTTCGGTTCCCAATGTGGCACAGCACTTTCTTCCTGGAGGTCAAGGCATGAATTCCCACCATCACCTTGCCGGCACTCCCAACCTTGCGCCTAGCCACAACCCTGTCCCTAACTATCCTCGTCCTCCGGCTCTCGATGTGGCACCGCACTTTTCTAGAGGTCAAGGCATGAATTCCGACCATCACCTTGCCGGCACTACCAGCCTTGCGCCTAGCCACAACCCTGTCCCCAACTATCCTCATCCTCCGGCTCTCGATGTAGCACCACACTTTTCTGGAGATCGAGGCCTGAATTCCCACCATCACCTGACCGGCAATACCAACCTAAGCCACAACCCTGTCCCCAACCATGCTCATCTTCCGGCTCGCGATGTGGCACCGAACAACTTTTCTGGTGGTCAAGCCATGGCTTCCCCTTATCATCCCAGTACCCAACACCTAGCCGGCAATCCCTATCCCAACTTTGAACAAAACCCCATACCCAACCCTCCCCATCCCCCAGCTCCATCAGCCCAGGCCACCACTCACGTCCCCGCTGTCGCGAGACCTCCTGTCATAAGACCAGCTGTTCCAAGCGGACAAACCCGCGTCTGCAAAGGATCGAGAAGGCAAGGCATCCACTACCCTTGCGTCAAGAATCCTCCCAACAGGGTCTGGAAGACGAAGGGCCACGCCAGGAAGTGCCGTGACTGCTTGGCAAACAAGCCGTCCGAGCGAGCATGTAGGCTCATCGACGCCTTGGAAGCGGCTGGATTGGAGCCTTGCTCCAACTGCTACGTCAAGGCAGCAAGGGGCGACGGTGACGGTGGTTTGTGTCCTGACTGCCTGGCTGATAAGCAGGCCAATGCTAAGCTGAGGAAGGAAGGCAAAGGTAAGGGACGGAAGAAGGGTAACGGCGATGATGTACCGAGGGGTGGCCCTGGCGGTGGTCCGCCCAAGGGAGATGGCGGCGGTGGTGGTGGGTCTGGTCCGGCTCCAGGTGCGGTTGGTGTCGTCCTTAGCGGCATCGATCAAATGGCCTACTAGCCAGGACGGAAGGAGAGGAGGGATGAACTTAAGGAGTGGGCGAGAACGCTAGATCAAACCTGTCTGAGTACCTACACACTCTCGGTAGATGGTTTAGAAAGAGACGAAAAGAGAAAGACAAAAACAAAGTCTAAAACCAATATGCACTTCCGAGATCCACGTTACAACTGGTAGACCGACAACAACCGAATATAAACTAGAAAAACAAGTCGAATCACTCCAGAAGCTCTGACGTCGGCAACTGAGGAGATGCTTGACAGTGACTGTGGACGGCGGTGAGCTATAGAAGGTGAAATTTTACGTTCAATTTGGGCTGTGTGAAAGGAAACGTGCTCAAGTAATGAAATACGGTCCTTTCTTCCAACTGTTAGGCGTGGATGGGCAAAACGCACTAATACCTCTACACTGTAATTTCCAAGTGTCTCGGACCCCCCGGAGGGGGCATTCTTCCGGATTAAGGTCTATTAAGGTTGACGACGACGCTAGTCAGGTTAGTAACCTTATAGATAAGATCATGTGAGAGCGGCACCTATCTATTTCGTCCATACAACCACCTATTGTTGGTTTCCTGTTCAAGGTCGAATGTGGAGACTGTTAACCTGACAACCTGGATCCAGGCCAACGCGGACTGAATTCCCCCTTCACCTACCACCTACCTACCCACCCTTGATGCTCTTGGAAAACAGAGTTCCCTTTTACTTCTATTTGAAGCGGTCTCACATCCTCATCCTACCACGAACACCATCCCGGACCCAGACACCCCAAGGCCCTACACGAACACCTCTCAGCGTTGGGAAAATCGGGCACTTCCAAACAATACGAGCAAGGGCGATTGTCGTAAGACTCTAGCCAGCAATCGTGGGGAGTAGCGATCATCAGCTCGCGTACCAGGCCTGATCAGTCCAAGAACATTGTTTGTTTGAGAATGACCAAGGTGGGCGGACATCTAGACCTTGCTTCCATGCCAACCACCACACAAGCTGATGTCCGACTAACGACTTTAATGCTTAGCACCAGAGTCGCGACAAAGACGCGACAATGAAAAAACGCCGTGCGGTTGCCGGAAATGCCGCAAACCAAAATGCCAACTCACAAGATGGCGGCGGCATGGTGCCATCATTGGCCCATCTGGAGAGTGCACAGCCAAACCCGCCAATGGGCGCTAGCAACTTGCCCCAGCAAGCTCTTGGTTCCGTCGCTGGCGGACTGAGGAGATCTACTTAGGTGGTAGACTCCCGCAGTCACCAGTCCGGAAGCTACCAATACGGCAGCTACTACTATGGCGGCAATGTCAACCACAGTGGCCACACCGATTCTATTGAGCAGCAGCCGGTCGGTCGTCCGAACGTGACATGGAGCCACAGCAGCCCATCGGTCGACCATGATGCCTTTCCACCTCTCCCTCCCGGCGGCAGTTTTTCTGCTGCCGTCCCCGTTAACCCGGCTCCTGCGTATCAGGATCAAAATGCCAACCGCATTAACCAAAATGCATATACCGCGGACACCAACTCATTCAACTACGACAATCTCGGCACAGAGGCCTTATCCCATCATCCAGGCCAAGATTTCCATACTGCCACTCCGCCCAACCCGACTCTTGTCCATCAGGATGCCAACTCCATTAACCAAAATACATATACCACGAACACCAACTCATTCAACTACGGCAACCGCGGTCCAGAGGCCTTATCCCATCATCCAGGCCAAAACTTCCATGATGCCATTCCGACCAACGCGACTCCTCTCCATCAGGATGCCAACCCTATTAACCAAAATACATATACCCCCAACGCCAACTCTTTCAACTACGGCAACCTCGGTCCAGAGGCCTTATCCCATCTTCCAGCCCACCACGTCCCTACTGCCATCCCCATCACTCCGGCTCCTGTTCATCAGGGTGTCAACCCCCTCAACCCCCAAACCCCCAACATCAACTCTTTCAACTACGGCAACATCGGTACAGAGGCCTTCCAGTATAATCCAGCCCACAATTACCCTACTGCCCCTCTCACTGCCCACCCTCCTGTTCACCAGAGTGTCAATCCCATTAACCCCAATACATATACCCCGAACACCAACTCAGTCAACCAAAGCACCCTCGGTAGAACGGTCTTACCCTATCATCCAGCCCCAAACTTCCCAACTGCCAGTCCCACCAACCCGACTCCTGTCCATCAGGATGTCAACCCCCTTAACCACAATACCGCCAACACCAACTCATTCAATCACCCCAATCTCGCCAACGAGGGTCACACAGCCGCGGCAGCCCCTCATCAACACAATCCCCTGGTACCTCCGATCCCACAGCCCCGACTCCCGACCGCGCCAGCTGGAGTCCGTCGATGCAAAGGCAGGCGCCAAAACGGTATCTGTCGACCCTGTCTGAGTAACCCCCCCAACAGGGTGTGGAAAACTAGAGGAAACGTCCGCCAATGCCACGATTGCTTGGCCAATAAGCCGTCAGAGTACGCTCGCCGATGTGTGGCCGCTCTAGAAGCTGCAGGATTGGAGCCTTGCTCCAACTGTTACCGCAAGGAGGCAAGGCCTAGCGGTGGCTTGTGCGAGGCCTGCTTTGCAGATAAGCAAGCCAATGCCAAACTGAGGAAACAGGGAAACGGTAAGGGGGGCAAGGGTAAGAAGGGTGATGATATCCCGAGGGGCGGTCCGGGCGGTGGTCCTCCCAAGGGAAATGGAGGCGGTCGTGGTGGAGGGTCTGGCCCGGCTCCTGGCGCTGGGGCTGTCGGTGTCGTCTTGAGCGGCATCGATCAGATGGCTTATTAGCCGGATAGGATAAGACAAGATGCCAGGATGCTTGATATCTATTAGTCTTTGTGATGAGGACAAGGGCATCATTCCTATCTTCGACAATCTCCTCGAGCACCGAGATGGTAGACGATGGACGCTACCTGTACTACGCAAGGTACAGAAAGGGAGGTAATTACCTCAGTATGTCCAAAATCAAAGAAGGGAGCCATGGGTACTTCGGGGTCTGATGACGTCTCACTTGAGAATGAAACAAATTATTGGAAGGGATCAACTTGAGGTTTGGGGGAGAAAGCCACATCATATCGGCCTTATCACATTGCAGAGAGACAGTTCGGAAAACGATACAAATAACAATGAAAAAAAAATTGAAAACCCATATACGTCGAGCTACAATATTCGTGTGTTAGCTGGTATACAACGGTAGAAAGGCAACCAAATATTAACCAGAATAGAATTTAAATCACACCAGAAGCCCTAATGTCCAAGACCAAGGGGATATTTAACGGTATCCCTTAAATGAAGGGTCGTTCTATCCGACAGTGCCTTGACTGCTTGGCCAACAAGCCGTCTGGGGAAGACCGCAAGCATATCGCCGCCCTAGAAGCTGCGGGATTAGAGCCTTGTTCAAACTGTCACCGTAACTAGGCAAGGGCTAACGGTGGCTTGTGTGAGGATCTGCGAAGGAAAGGTCAAGGAAAGGGTCGGAAGAGCAAGAAGAGAGGAGGCGGTCCTAACGATGTTCCGAGGGGCGGTCCGGGCGGTGGCCCCCCGAAGGGCAATGGCGGTGGTGGTGGATCGGGCCCGGCTCCTGGCGCTGGGGCTGTCGGTGTCGTGTTTAGCGGCATCGATCAGATGGCGTATTAGCAGAAATAGGATGTCTGTACGAGTAGATTCGAGGTAGAAATGAATTAGGAAGTCCAGAACATAAAGAACAAAAAAAAGTTGAAAATCGATGTGCCGTTCCAATATTCGCGTGAGACTGTCAAGTTCCCGGTGACTGCAAATATTACCTACCATGACGTGCTCATGGCAAGATATGAAGTGTTCCAGGCAGGAAATATCGGTAGATGGCATCCCACGTTGGCAGGTCCGATACATGCAGGTGCATCCCACTAGCCCACATGACAAGTGTATATTCCCCAATATCTGCTTCTTTATACCCGAGCCGTCATATCCTGTCAATCCCTCGGATGATATATTCCGTCGCTTTAACCTCAACCTCCCTCAGGATGTGGACATAACTTAATATGTCATGGACGGTCGCTGCTCCGTAGACGATGCTATATTCTCTCTGGACGATTGATTGTACAGCTGGGCTAAGCGTTGAGGTGTTGAACCATGAGGCGCTAGAAAGCGCACAGACCCTCTACATATGCAGGTTTTTCCAGCAACTAGGAAAGTGGTTAGTAGGTGTTGGAGACTGAGAGATTTGGAAGAGGAGGGACCAAGAGCTCTACCTACGGCGCAGAAACAAGTAGAACTTTTGTGTTGGTGACTAGGCGGACAGCGAAAGGCAGCTGAGGGTTGATGGAACGTCGGCATTGTGGAAGAAGACCGAATTGGTGGTGGACAAGTGCGCTGGCTGGCTGCTGCAATTCGAGACATTCCAAGAAAGAAGCAAGGACGTTAGCAACATTGCGGGGACAGGAGAAGAATTCCGGCGCCACTTAGCTCCTTTCATTCACCTCTTGCTTCGTGAGGCTTGTCCTCCCTCGAGTTTAGCCTGGCGAACACAAGGAAAGGAGCGAATTCCCTCTCACTCGTTTTCACAACTTGCTCCCTTTCAGGTGCCAAGGATTGTCGGTCTTCGACAATAGCGTTGCCCAGTCTTGCCCCGATTTGCTCTTGCCGGGCTTGTGCTGATACTCGCGGCATCATCATGGCTTTTGACCCCCTTGAGTCTCCCGCATCGATCCTCTCAGTCAGTCGCCGTCTCTGTTCATTGCAGGCTCGAGTCGTGCCTTGGTTGTTTTCGATGTGCTGCGGCATCCGTGTTTCGAACAGGCTCTTCCCGTCCCTCCAGCAAGTGGGGTGTCCTCCCAGCTGTTAGTAGTCATACACTATAATCCAGTATTTAGTGAGACGCACTACCACTCCCACATCGCCTGCTCTGAAAGCGAGCTGCTGTTTTACAGCGAAACGGCGAACGACACCCACTGCGAATGACAACGTCTGTAACCAAGATCGAAGTTATTGGCCAACAACACTCGGGCAGTTGTTACCATAACTGTCCTTTAGGTGCAAATCCAATGCTTTCAAGGGGAGAAACCGTTATCGATGCGGATATCACCAAATTTCCTCTCTCCGCAAACCAAAGCCGCGACCAAATAGGAGGTGGGCGCGAGTGAGATGAAGCGACAATTCCTGGGCGTGGTCTGACTCCTTGTCATCACCACAATCCTGTTGTTTTTTTGTCAGCTTCAGTATTCTGATGGAATGAGAAAACACATGTTATAAGGAGGAAGTAGGAATGCAACAACACAATGAGTAAAAGATAATTGCGACTACAAAAGGGAACGAAAATAAAAAGAATGATGGTGTTGAACTGAGGATCAGAAGATATTGGAGGAAGATAACCACTAATCGATATTCTTTAAGGCAAACTGGGCCAGGAATCAAGCCACCCACGAAACTAATTGCTTAATCCTAACCGCTGGAACGCTTGATGTAGGGATATACTCTACGTTGTCTCTCCAGCCCAAGCTCTGCGACTTTACCGGGCTTTCTTGTAAGAGCAACGCACGTGGGCAACAAAAGCACTTGCTTGCTTTCGGTAATGTCTACCATGCCACCTAGGGCGAACGTACGCCGTCGATTCATCGAGAAAAACACAGTGTTATGCCCGACGCCTGGTTACTTTTTGACCATGGGCCCTCTTTCTCACCGCTTGTGTTCTTCGTGAGTGTCGCTCCTCGATTTCTCCCCTCTGTATCGTCGTATGTTAGGTAGTCCATCCGCCGGACCTCGCCCTGTTATCAATGGGACTTGTAACGTTTCTCGTGATTGCTGACATCGCCCGCTGTCTAGCCGAATAATCTTCCTTTGGTTATCGCCGATAAAGTTTGTCAGACTGCCGTAGATAGCATCTCTTTTCTGATACATCATCGTGCTGTTGGCCACTCCTCATCGGCAATGTCGAGCTTTGACTCCTCTCATATTTCCAAGCTGTTGAGGTCGGCTGTCCACATGACCCCGTGGTGCACGGCTGATCATTCCGACAGCAGAGCCGTGAGTACCTCAATTCCTGCCCAACCCCTTCTTGATTGAGGCAATCTTGGCCTTGCGGCTGGCCTCTGATGCGCCTTTGGGCTTGGTAGACCTTTCCTTCCTGACCCCACCCTTCTGGACGTACCCTGGGACCCAAGTTTGTCCCGCGGCCCTTCTTTGCCTGGCCCGATCATTCTTTGCAACCTGGCGTTGGCTGCATAGTAGGCAGTGCTTTCCAGCACCGTTGTCAGCCTCGCCATAGCAATTCGAGCAAGACCAAATACCAAGAAGTGCCCTGGCGATGACAGCTTGTCGTTTTCTGGAGCTGGGCGAGTTGCCCAGGCAGTCGAAGCAGCGCGCCGCTCCGGGCTGCCAGATTGATTCCTCCTTGCATTCTTCGCAAGGAACGCCGTAATCAATCGGAGCCAGAAGCGGCTGGTTGGAAGCTTGGTTTTGAGACTCCGCGCTGCGATGACCGTTCGGTAGAGCCACCGGATGAACGATGTGAGAGTCGGGATGGATGGTATGAGCGGCAGTTGTGTGGTCGGGGGCCATATGACCATGATAATTCACTGGTTCGACAACTTGGGTGAGACCGATGGGGATAACGTTTTTGGTAGGTACCTGTTTAGCCTCATGCGTGTTACTCGAACTGACCTCAAGCGCTTGCGAATTGTTTGGGGCACTTGACAGTTTGGGCCAGTTCTACTTACGCTAGTGGTAGCGGTGGTGAGGGTGGTACTACGCACCTCGGGTTCTTCAGATTGAACACCGGCAGGGCGATCAGTCGATCTGTCAGTAGGCGTAATGTGGGTCGCGTTAGTCTGATTGTAGGCTTCGTCAATCGGCTTATACGTCTCGTCGGTCGGCTTGGAAACCACGTTGGTCGGCTTGAAGGTTGCGTCGATCGGCTTGTGGGTTGTATCGATCGGTGTATATGTTGCGTGGGTCAGCTTGTAGAGCGCGTCGATTGGCTTCTTTGCTGTGGCGACCAGAGATTTGTCGACGATAGACGAGTCCTCTATCGCGTGGTCGCCCTGATCTTGCTCCGCGTCCTTGGAATAATCCTCCTCGCCGAAGGGGCAGGCGGGAGGCATGTCAAAATCGTCGGGCTCGCTCAGCAAGGCGTCCAGCCAGTCACGCTCCGCCATGATGGATAGAACGGACTGCACTGTGCCTGCTTCGACTTGTGTTGCTCTTCGCGTCATTTTCCTCTATCTGCGGTCGGTAGCGGCGTTGCGCTTGTTGCAAGATCACTCACTGTTGACCGTGAGGTAAATGTGAGTTGCAAAGCGGTGCGAAGGAGCGAAGGGGTGAGGAAGTTGAGTAATGGAAAAGGATTCAAGAAGTGTCGGCAAAAAGGCGGAATACCAAAACGGCTGCGACCAATAAAAATGGCTCGCGCTCCTTCCCTCTTGACTACAAAACCGGTCAGCTATTGTAACGAACGTATTGATAATTTCGGACCGCTCCTGCCATACCAGCGTGCGACCTGGACCGAGTGGGGACTTGACCCGTTTGTTCATCCCATTTCATATTTTCCCCTCGGTGGCATTTACTCTGCTCGTCTTTGAACGGACCTGAAATCGATCACAAGACAATGAGGGCGATGTCCTTGACATCTGGATAATAATTTGGATGTCATACCACGAAGGAAGGCAATCACAAAGAAGCAAATAGGGAAGATGAAAAGGTGTAAATACCACAAGCATATGCGCGGTACTGGAGGCTTGACGTTGCCGGCCAAATCCTTTGAAGGCAGAAGGATATTACTACTTACTAGGAGCTACGATTCTAGTGAATCAAATCCTCCCTATTATATTTCTTAGTAAAGTATCTAGTAAGGTTGAAATTTGGACTGAGCATTATGTGGGAGTTCACCCTCCTGCCTCGCCAAAGAGGTCTCCTCATTAGTAGAGAAGACATACGGCCCTGGAATATCTTCCTCGGTGGCAGTAGCACGCGTTGAGCCTAACGCGATATTGCCATATCGGCGAGTGTTAAAGTAGGCGAATGTCTGGAAGATTCGCACCCAGTTATCGGTATAGTAGCCGCTATACAAAACGACGCCGTTTTCTTCAGTACGTCTCGGGAAGCGCGGTGTACCTTGGTGTTTCGGGCGTATCGTACAACGATGGAGCGCAATGAAGAGAGTCGCACAGATCGATTCGGTAAGTATAACCTCGTTCAGCTTTTTCTCGTCAGTTGTACCAAGTAATGCCAAATCTCCGCGCCTGACGGCCACGGCGTGAAGCGGAAGGGAGGATGTTTCGGCCTTCTCGATAGCGCGCATGATGTGAGCATGTCGAGAGGAATCGCAGAGCGAATCGATGCACTTCTTCCAGATAACGTGCATATCGTTGAATTTGACGCCCAGCCAACCCCGAGAGTGACACGGCTTCTTGATATGGCCAGCGCAGAATGATAAACAACAGGCTTCTCGGGGAATTGAGGTTGACCAGACCACTGACTTTGGTTGGGACTGAGAATGATTGGTGACACGGAAGAAGGAGGCAAAAAGTAAAGAGGGACAAATGGATGGTCTTATTACCGATGGACGGCAACTTCCATTAAGAAAAAAACGACGAAGGGAAAGTCGATGGGCTTTGGTGGAAGTTGCGATTCGGTGGTTTTGGCGGGGAGGCATGTGGGGACCGGGGATCAATGCCAAGACCGGAAGGCCTCACGAAGTCCAGAAGGTCGGGTGTTGACTCGGCAGCCCTGGGTCGGCTGAGGGGATGAAGACATCAGCATTGTTTTAGGGGGACGGTCTTTAGAGTAATCATCATCTAGTACTGCCCACTGGGGCATTTTATTGAAGTATTATCTGATCTGAAATGAAGCCGTCGGATCAATTGTTTGACGCGTCGGCTTGACGATCCGTAGTATATACCGAAAACGACTTGACGTCGAAGCACGTATACGAGCCATACACCCCATGACTGAATATTCTCTGGAGGACGATCGGGATTGCATACATCCGCTGTCAATTTCATCGACGGATATATACCAGATGGGAGATCTTGTTCTAGACGTGGAAGCCTGGCTGCCCGCAACTCTTCTTCCCGAGGAGCTCACGTGTAGATAATGGACGTGTAGACAAAGGGAACTCAACAATTTCGACGAAAGAATGTGACTGACACGATATTGATGTGTTTATATGTAGGACCTGATACTGTCAGAACAAACTGTTGTTCTAAGACAGTGAACAAAGGGAATGCTTGAACAGCAATGGCGAAGCCAAACAGGACACAACAATCCTAGCGCTTGCTAGAAGTAAACATGCCGCTGTGCATACTTGCAGAGCGTTTGAAGAGTTCTGTCTAACAGTCCTTCCACTGAAGCCTAAGGCCGAATTTCTCTTCCAAACCAGAGCGCGTGTTATGGTGACAACTTTGCTCATCCGCAACTGTTTTCTGACCTTGTCCCCTATGCTTATTTGCCACCAGTCTGCGGTTCAACTTCCGTCGAAACTTCTTTGCTTTCTCAAACTTCGTATGAAGCTACCTGCTCTTGGTACTTGGAAAAGGCTTGCCATCCGTTGAGCAAGACACTTCCGAATCATGCATAGAGGTCAACGTCTGGCGGGCGGGCAACCTGAAGTTCGATTGCCGAAGTTCCCACTGCTGGTATTAGGTAGCTACGGCTGGAATGTCCAGCGTCTCCACGCCCGGCGCCTGGACAGATGGAGTTGCAACACCTGGAGATTCTACAGCTGGCTCAGGAGCGACAGCTTGAGGTTGACTAGCCGAGTCGAAGGCAATTCCCAGTCCCTTGAAGATGGCTTCAGCGGCCTCCCGCGCCTTTCTGGCTCTCTGTTTGGCCTTGTGCCTCTGGTTCTTGCCCTTCTGGCGTCCGTAGCAGACGGTGCAAAGCTTGTTATCTCCTCTATCGGCCTCGCCATAACAAGTGCTACAACTATCAATACCGCGAGCAGCGCGTTCGATAACAGCGGCAATCTTTTTGGGGCCTGGCTTATTTCTGCAACAGCCAAAGCAGCGGTCTACTGTCTTTTTCCACACAAAGTTGGTGCGGCAGATTGAGCAGACCTTGCCAGGGTAAGGCACCTGAAGAGGGGGGCGAGTAGTAGCCGGCACAGATGCCACAGATGCGGCAGTGGGGGTGGCGGCGTGCTGCAGCAATCGAGAATGACTTGGAGGTGCGGTATAGGAAGGTGCGATGGGATGGGAAGGGGTAGCATGCCCTTGCTCCGAATGGTGATTGTAGGGGATGGGGGAAGGAATGGGGGCAACCTGTGTCTGTGGCTGTTTGTGGGGGACGGTGGTACTGGGATAAGATGCGACGGGCCACTGCTGCTCATAGTGGGTGGGATGAGGGAACGAAGGGAGAGGCTTCGCGACTCGCGGGTCATCGTGCTTGTCCTGGGGCAGAGGAAACAAATCATTGCCGAGACCCAAGCCATCCACTTCCCAGCTATCCTGCGCGGGATCAGTCAAAAACATGTCTGGCGCCTGTACCCGATCTGAGAGGTGTCCTTGATCGAAGCAGGACAAGTGCTGATTGGCTGATACGCTTTGGCTGCGGGAATTTTGCGATGCAAGCCTCTCATTGGTTTCGGGAGCATGATTTTGGGTGCCCATAATGAGCGACGTTGAATAGAACTTCAACTCTCAAACGTCTCTAAAGCTGTGGCTGTCAGTTTGACGACCTGGCTGAGGTGATGCTAGCCATTGAAGACTCGTCAGTTGACATGGTTGCGGTCTTTTGGAAAGATGTACCTACTACTTGATGTGACTAGATGGTAAGTCCGCCAGGGTGGGCGGCTCTGACGAAACAGTTGGGTGATCAAGTCGACTCGCTGATCGCTGACTGAACGTGATGCTCTCGTTCAGTAAAATAATCAACTCCCACTTTGTTTGTAGGCCCTCAAGATTTTGCTTTTAGGTTTGGATGTGGCAAGAATTGGGCGCTTTGCAGGACACGCGAAATGTTGAATGGCTGCTGACCCGTGACTGTCGGTTTGCGAGAAGAAAAGGAGAGGGTCAGAAAGTAAATGAATGAAAAGGAAAAGGTTGCGGACCTAGAGGTACCTTGGTGGAAGCAGCGACTTTGGAAGTCAGAAGGGAGCGTGCGTGGACTTGAAAAGACTGCGAGCGATGAGTTTATACTATCGTATGAGGGTTATTTTCGAAGGAGCAGCGACTTGAGCTGTCAAGAATGGCTGCAGAACCAGATAACGCGACTGGGAATAAGCTGCAAGCTGGTTAACACAAAATCAGAGAAACAAAAACAAAGACAAAAATAGCAGTGAAAACGAGTGTGAGTGACCTTAACGATAATGTACTGTACCTAAATCGTTCGAAACGTTGATGGGGATGCAAGATGTGTGCGGGCTGGAAATTCTGATACAGTCAATGGGTACCTACAAGTACCTACCTAAGTAGGTATGCACCGCGCAGGTCTGTGCATCGGACAGCGCCGGGGGCTCGAGGGCCTGCTCATAGTACCTAGCAGATACCTGGGCTCTAGACTGTAAGACCTCTGGCTTTGGTGTAGGTTATATCATGTGTTAAGCTTTATTGCGGGAGGTACATGAGGTCAGCAGCAAAAGGGGTGGTGTGATAAGTACCTCTCCCAACGGAACCTACCTAATCATTCCTCGTTCACACTACCAAGCGCGCACCCGCTGTAAGTGGCTTTCTTTCAGCGGTGATCTGGGCCACGATAGGCGGGAGCGCCCCCCAGCTCACAGTGCCAATGATGGGGCCATTGCCCGCACAGCACATACCCGCACTCGCTGCCGTGCACTTGCTGCCACTTGGATGGCCTCTCCACCTCTTTCTCGGCCCAAACGCTTCCTCACTTTTCCGCATCACCGTCCAGCGTGGAAAAAGCCCTGAGGCCATATTCTACTTAACAACCCAGAAATCTCCGGTCGTCAGGACGCCGCATGTGCTGTCAAGCATGAGTAGCGCGCAGCGACAAACACTAGCAAGAAACTGGACTTCCCGTCACTGTTCCGGGCAGCGACACCGCGGAAGATATACCGATAAAGCAACTCCGAACCACTGCAAAGAAGACTCGAGTAAGGACCAAGATAATATGCAGTGAAACAGGCTCTTACCTGCTGTTCTCTTATGTGGCGCGCTGACCGATCGGGTAAAGTCCCAGATCACAGATGGTTCCATCGACGAGAGTAACACCTCTAAGCACGTACCGCGAGGCATTCGAGCCGGCCGCTTTTGCGAATTCGATCGAAGCATAACCATCTGTCCATTAGTCGAGTTATCAACGAAGGAGCCACGATCACCAAGGATATACTCCATGATGCCCCGCCGGCCAGTGCTGCGAAGGTGCTCAAGTTCCACCGAAAGCCCTGCTGCCACCGCCCTGGGAACACCTGTGCGCCGCGGGGCCACATCGTTGCGTCGTAGGGCGACGATACATGCACGCAGAATATTCACACACATGAAGTGTCAGATCGGGCCGACCCGACCCGGATAATTCCACAGAACTCCGGCAATTTCTTTCTGAAGCCGCCAGACCACGTCTATATCTGCGGTTGAATACACGGCTTGGCTTCCGTGGCGCCAGAGATACGATGGTACGCCAGACATTGTGATGTGGCGATGATTTTGAGGAAGGCGGACCTAGGATATGGGCGGGAGAAGGAGAGGTAACAGATCTCGTCGTGGCCAGATGTCAACAAGCGCACATGGTTCTCCGTCTCCGACGTCGTGGGAATACGACGTACGATCCGGCCCTGAACACGAGAGTCGACGGCACGAAGATGGCGAGGATATGGGAAAAGGTGCAAGATGAACGGGAAATGGCGCTGATGGAGGTCAAGGGGCAACCCGTACAACCTCGCGTCTTATGGTCCAAGAAAGCAGCGGCTTCTGCAGCACATGGTGACCTGCGCAGGCTTGTCACGAACCGATCCGGACACAAAGTCAGTGTTGATACCCCTACTATGGGTGATGTGGTGAGGATGACTACGGCTTCGCTGTCAGAGGAGAAAGAGACTCAGTGGTTTGGCCTCTCGTTGCTCATAATCATGGAGGTATGCTTGCTGATATGACTCGTTAGCTTGACGCAAAAACAGTCACGGAAAACATTCCTTCAAATGGACGAAACAAGGTATAAGGTCGCGCTGATAGATATCCCACCCGGCTTATCGAAAGGGCCACAACGACCGCTACTTTGAATTGGAGCACTTTCCACCATCGAAGAATACAGCTCTCCAGGTCGCGAGCTACAGCCTTTTGGTGTAGGCTTTTGGGCCGTCTGGAAGCGCGGGTTGATGTACAAAACGTTGCCAATACGTAAAGTCTGGGTCGTAAGAGATGTTGGGTTCGTGTGGGAAGGTCATCTGCCAGAGATGAACAGCGCGAAATCTTTCCGGGAGATCTCTGAAACGGGTCGATTCTGTCGACATTTGCATCAAAGGCCAAGAGGCGGAACAAGGACCGGTACATGACAGCAAGTTCAGCCGTCACAGAACAACACAACGAAGAGCTCGCAAATGAGAGGGCGCTGAAGAAGCAGTTGGCGAACTGGACAAGGCAAGTTGATGAGATTACACGATGTCGATCAAGAGCAAGAGCAAAGAGGCGAAGCAGTTTGTCGGGACGAGAAAAGGGGAGAATGATGGGGGGAGACGGCACTTGACTGATCTACGCCATGCGCATGGATTTAGGGCGAGGGAAATGACCCCAAGCACATGTGCATAACGGCTCAGTCGGCTGCCTCGGCGATTCTAGCAGCATTACCGAAGCAAAGCGGTGAGCAGGAACCCCTCACTGCGAGCGGGGGGAACAGTAGTAGAAGGTGATATCGAGCAAGGAAGTAACAACCAAGCAGCAGTGGGAACATAACCATTTCACTCCGGCATTTGGAAAGTACGATGAATGGTATTTGATACGACGCCAAGTTGCGGTGCGATGCCCTCTGGAGTGTCGCAACTCTTGTTCGTACCAGTTGCGCACGACTCGACAACCGGATATCATATCAACTTGGAGGGAAACGCGGGAGTACCTTTAGGCAGGTGAGCATTAACGATCCCAATACTCCCCAGAGACTGTGCTTCCTTCATTATTCTGATAGCCGATCGTCGTCCTCCCGCCCGACAAACATAACCTTTTGGGGTCAATTGATGGCACTCATGGCACGTCGTCTACAGTGGGGAAGGCACCATGGAGGCTCGGCGTATTGTTTTCGGCACCAACCCTGTCACACTTTCCCTTTCTGTCAGGTTGATTCCATCTCATTGGCCGCATTTTTATTCACTGGCAGGGGTTCCCTGCTCATGGAGCCTGATCCTTGACAACAAGAGGGCAGACGCGACTCGAGTGACGACGAAATCACTCCAGAGGGTAGGAGCGAAGGAGGATTTGCGAAGTAAGGCAGAGAAACTCGAAATCATCGCATTAACGGAGAGAAAGGAACCTTTTCGCGAGAACACACTTGTAAGTGTTGTAGTCGCTACCGGTTTCCGTCGATTGCCAAGATCTCTACAGAAAATGTCAACGGATACGCTAACACGGCCCGTCCACAGATCACATCTTGTCAGGTAGTAGACTCGGGCAAATCCATTCGATGGAACCCGCAAATCTAACAATGACCAGCGGAACGGAAACTGAACCCCTGATCTTCCTGGTCTGGCTGTCCTGGTGACCGTAGGCCAGGCAGGATTTGCACTCGAAGATGCGGCGCGACTGCTTCGTGTCCTCCAAAAAAAAAAAAAAAAAAATATCAAGGCACCTCATGCACATATTCAAGTGCAGCAGATGCGTCTTCGAGACCGATACAATTGAGCTCTTTCCGTTTGAGTTTCGCGAATTTCTCACATTTCCAGCCATTCCACTAAAAGCTGTGCTTATTCTTCTCATCCGCTCTCACATTCACCACCACCTCAGTTTCGAACTTGATTTTCGGATGACAACGGACGATACGTCATCCAGCACGAGCTGAAGGTTTCCGGACATCTTCTAGATTTTCAGTGCGTTCATTGCTAACTACGTGCGCATCCATCTGACTGCCATTTTCCAGTATACCGATATCTGAGCCTCACTGCCGTTTCATGATGTTTTTACACTCCTTCGCCTTCCTCGTCTGCTCATCGCTTTCCATTCAGACCAATCCACTAAACCTTAAGTTAAACCTTCGCGAACGTGATCTGTGCGCAATCCGATCACACTGAAGCGGTGCAGGACAAACGGATCGGCACACGTCTGCCATATCTCCAATACGTCTCAACCTTACCAAGATCCCTCCACTCGAGCTTAAGGTACTATCGAAGCCTACGGCGACAGCATATCAGCTCGCGAATGTTTCTAGCTAGGGGCGCTGCCTGTTCTCTCGGCCGCGCACACTTGTTGGACGTTCCAATCTCCGGTGAACTTGATGATTTCTCACTTTTTCAAGCTTTATCTCTTCAGTTATTTCTATATCATGTCTCAAAATTTTTCATTGCACACGGCTCCGTTTCGACCAAACGAGATTCAGGTTCACTTCAGTATGGACTCGGGAACAAAGTGGAAGGCGTGGAGTTGAGTCCCATGAATTCATCCGGACTACTATTCAGCATTTTCATGACCCGATGTATTTCGGATACTATCTCCACCAGCAGCCATTCACCACAAGACTTGGCAATGGATTTGTCGTCCGAATTCAACCTCGCACCAGGTTCAAATCACAGAAATTAATTATTTGTCACTAAAATGGTACAAAATCCCCTTGAAACCCACCACATTTCCCCTTTGTCTTGTTACAAACTCTGAGGTGCAAGTTCGTGGACCAGCGGACATTGGACTCGTCGGCCAGAAAGCAACATCCAGCTTCGCGGAACGACTTCTTTTTGCTGTTGCACTACATTCAAGATGAGTAACTCGTGCCCTGCCTCCACGCAGAGCAGCATGCCACCAAGCCATAACGGCTCGATGGTAGGAAGCAGCAAAAAGCGAAAACTCGCCGACTACTTCGACGTTGACAGTCCAGTATATGAGGAACACCTTCATCTCCAGAGCCTTCGCAGCCAGAAGCCCTTGCCTAAGAGTGGCCTTTCTCAACAAACTGACAACAGACTCAACCATCATTCGCCACTGGCCATAAACGTCCCATCATCTCAGAGTAACTTGGCCCAGCAGTATTCGCAGCCGAACGACAGATTTGAAGCTAGCGCCCACTTACTGAGCTCTCAATCTCCCAAACCCCAACAACATATTGGCGGTGCCTTGTCCTCCAATGGGACTCTTCAAGACCATCCGCGACAAGACCGATTAAACGATCCGATCTTTGCTCAATCTAACACGCCGGCGGCCATCGAGGACCATGTCCCGCAAAATCTATTCATCACACCGGCTTATCCCCAACTAAATCAGCCTTCCATCCTGAACCACCATGTTCCGCAAACCTCATTTATCAGACCGGGCCATCATCAACAAAACCAATCTTCCACCCTAAACCACCGTGTGTCGCAAAATTCATTCATTACTCCGGGCCACCTCCGACAGCACGAACCTCCCATTCCGGACCATCTTCCACAGAATCTATTCAACCAAACTGTTCGCCCTCAAGGAAACAACCACTCGGTCCTCAACGATGTAGTTCCGCAAAATTCATTCATTCCGCCTCTTCTTTTCCCAGAAGACATGCCTCTGGCCCCCAACGGTCACAGTGGTCCGGAAGATCTGTTTATGCCGCCAATTCCCGTTTCGGGAAACGAGCATTTGGCCTTCACCAACAATTTTCAGCAAGATCTTCTCATAAATATGCCTCTAGTACCTGACAACCAGGTATTTCAGTTTGACAACATGCATCTGCCCCAGAACAATCAGGACATCCAGTGGGACAATCATCACCTCCAGAATAGCATGGGCCAGGGCTTGGACGTCCAACAGGAGGTCCCTTTAGGTGGGATGATTCCAGCGCCTCAAACTCCGGTGCTTGAAGCAAATGAACCGCTTGGCCCTCAATCCCCACCCGTCGTCGTCCCGAACGCACATCAATATATGTGCAAGATTCCAGGCTGTGACCAGCCTACACTCGCTCAAACCAAGCGGTCGAGCAAGTGCCGGGATCACTTGGAAAACCCTCCTCCTCGGTCTCGCGAGACAGACCTTTCTGAAGCTGTTGCAACCGGACAAGGATACTGCAGCGGCTGCAACGGGCTCCGCCCTCGCCGTGCTCCCAACAAGACTTGCTGGGAATGCTTTTGTAAAGGACGGCGCCAGAGATGGGGAGTTTGTGACGGGTGCCCGGCTTCGTGGTGCCCCAATCGGGTCGTTCAGGAGGATTGAGTCCGGATAAACTGAGACACCATCAACCGAAGCGGGCTCACCGACAACTCGCCGAATATAGTGGCTAGTGAGGAGATTTTGGGTTGGGAGTGGGCCTCTGGTGTGCGCGGTTCCCCGACAGACGGACATGGGATTTTGGCAATATGGTTACACGTGCAGGTAAAACTTTACCTAGCCTTCATGGTACCTCCACGAACTTGACCTAGTGCTCAGTTCTCTTTATTACTAAGTTCTCGGGTTATTTCAATTCTTTACCTTTCAGTTGTGTGTTCTGCATTTCTCTGCATTCTTTGTCTTGTATACGTGAATAATGATGGTGAATTATCTGGTTTCTACCCTATATACAATAATAGTTGTTGTTGTATCAGGGCGCCATTACCTCTTGTAACGCCATTTCGAGGCATCACTCGGAAGGAATGCCACCCTCGGCCCGTCTGCCAATATTCTTTCCTTTCTACCCCTAGAACAAACTTTCTCTCGACATTCCCCTCCTTGCTGTTACAAACCTCCTGTTGTTGTGGTTAGAAAGTTTAAAATTCAGATTCTTCTACCTCCTTCAGCATCCGTACTGACATTAAGGAAATAACTACCTAGGTAGCAAGTTCAAATCATCTCATCATCCATTCCCCCCTGCGACATGAACCCTATCTGATCAACACGCTCCACGATCAGCCGCCACAATGCACTGAGATTCAAGGGGACCGTCTGCAATACCAAAATATCTCTATTGACGAAGACTACACCTTTCAGAACTGGGAGCTTCCCCATTTGCCGGATGGCGAAGTTCCGCGGCAACAATTATGGAATGATGATATTCCCATTAATGATCGACCTTTCAACGGCTTGCTTGACATTGCCCGCGGGCTTGATTGGAATACGCTAGACGAGGATATATGTCGTGAAAACTAGTCTGAAGACGACCAGTCAGACGAGGACCAGTCGGTTGGGCACCTGTCTGAGGACGACCTCTCCCAGGACGGCGACGACGACGACAGGCTTGAAGACGACGATTTCGAAGGCCTCCAGCGCGGCATGAAGGTGTTGAACAGCAACCCTTCTATGCCCCTATATACGACCCCGAAATGAAAATCTGTGACGAGCATGAGTGCGGTGAACCAACTTTCTTCCAAACGTGAAGGGCAAGAAAGTGCAGGTTCCACCTCGAGAACCCGCCGCCTCAAACCCGGTGGGAGGATCTCGACCACGCTGCCACGGCCGATCCGGATTCTTGTTCCGGATGCAACGGCCTCCGCCCGCGAAGGGCACCCGGCAAAACCTGGTGGGAATGCCTCTGCAAGAATCGGCGGCAGAGGTTTGGTGTTTGCGACGGGTGCCCTGCTTCTTGGTGCCCGAATCGGGTTGTCGAGAGAGCTTAGGTCGGGAGCTCGAATTTCGGTATTTGGAGCCACATTGGGTAAATGAGCGAATGGGAGAGTTGCTATTGCGCCTGAAGGAAACGTCGAAGACAGCATCTCAAGGAATACAGGAAACGCAGGAGACACCATGTCAGTAGTTCTCAAGTGAGGGAGCGAGGCGTGCACGGTAGCAAGGGATATCGGATGGATCAGGTCTTTGGGGACATCTATATCACAGTAAGTCCTACTATTTTTCTAACGGCTGGGTATGTGTGGTCGTCGGTGGGCCATGGAGATTAGGCAAGGTACCTAATCGGAGCCCGGGTTAGAGGTTTGCAAGATGCTTTCCTTGAGCTGCGATCGTGGTCACTTCAATATCTTATCTCTCGTTATCTCTTTTGGTCCCTGATGTGCAAGTTGCACCAAGTGACAGATCCCGCCACAAGGTCGCTTAAGGGTGTGGTCGAGAATGCCAGATGCTCCACGGGTATCTCTTTCGCCTCAAAGAATCAGGCTACTCGTGGTCAACGACCTAGCTCCGCAAAATCTATTTATCCCCTCTCCCCTTCCTCAGAAAAACATGCCCCCGGCCTCTTGGATTAAAACTTAGAAAGCAAGCTCTTCCACTGCCAGAAACGGGATGTTTACCAAGCTGAGCTTCTGCTCCATCACCGGGCCTACAGTTACCGTGCTCTAATCTACGGGCACATCAACGACGTTCTCCCACACGGAGCGTTGAAGCCACCTCCTCCGGCTTATTGGTCTTGACATAACTACATCATGTCAGAGAAGTGATGAAAGGAGGATGGAGTAACAACCTTCGGAACTCAGATTCAAACCTTGATTAAACCTTCACCCCGCCCATCCCACCTGGTAGACTGTTACCACAGAGACGTATTCACCGGAAAAGCTGCATCGAATCCTTAGTTCGGCCCTCGCCCCCAAAAATGCAAACAGTCCTGAAAACTGACACTGTGTGGTTTAAATCTTGCTCAAAACCACTCGCCCAGTCTCTCTTCTCGATTTGGTTTTTGTTCAACACTACCAGAGCAAACCTCTCCACCCTGATAACCGGAAGGTAAAAGTAAGGTAGGTATTGGTTAAAACTCAAATATCATCCTCAAACAACCAACTTCCTTTCTTATTTCGACATCAAGATGGAGTTCACGCGCTCCGATAGTGACGGAGCGTCCCAAAGTCGAAAAAGAAAGAGGGTCGACGAAGTCGTCACGGACGGAGGTCGTCGCCGAAATGTTTCTCCTCTGCGCCCTCTTCCTACCCATTCCCCTCTGCAGCTCAGTTCCTTCAACAAAGGCCCTCCCTTGAACAACAACACTTTCTTAGATCAACCTCTTCGCTCACCTCAAATGGCCTCGACGGGGTATCAGGACATCCTCCGTCCTACAGGTACCTCCAGTAATCATCTTCAGACTGGCATGTACTCTCCCAGTCCCCATGACTACATTCATCGGTTACAGAGACCCGTTGCACTTTCTAAGGGTTCGATTAATGGCGACAATTCTCCTGTAAGCTTCCCTGGCCGCCAACGCCAAAATTCTTCGACGCTTTATCAGGACATTGTCGTTCCTGGTAACCAAGCCCCGAGTCGGATTCCCTCTCTCAGCGACCATAACTACAGTTACCCGCCAAGGAATCCCGCTACACTCTCAAAAGGTTCTTTTCAACGCGATGGTTCTGCCTTGGGTTGGTCTCCACATCATCCTCGCCAATCTTCTGCGTTGCATATAGATACCTCTATCCTCCGTCAGGGAAACTTTGCACAGAGTGGTGCTCATCCTTCCAAGAATGGCGGACTCAGTCACAGCGACGTGTCGCAAGAACCCGGCACAGACACATTCAACAACGGTTCTCTTGTAGGTGACAACGCCTATCTCGATCGGCCTCTTCATGAACCTCAGCAAACTCATGCGTTGCAATCATCTTTACCTCAATTTGGCAACAATTCTCCGTGGGATATCCCTTTTTACCAAGATCACGAATACAAACAACAACAGGACCACCAGCTTAAGGCCTACTCACCTCTTCATGATACAAATCAGCCAAATCAACAGCATCCGGTCCTGGACCCTGCCCCCCAAAGGAATATGCTACAGGTTCGCGACAGGGTCTCTCAAGATCTCAAGTTCGACAACTTGCCTTTGCTGGGGGACAACTCCCAATCTTTTGCGTCTGGTTCGCCTGGTGACATGTGGAACATGTCAATGACACCAGAGGATTTACCTCCCAGACAAAACCTTCCGTCTCCCAGTCAACCCCTATCGTCAAACTATCAGTTCGGCCACGGCAATTGGGCAGAGTTCATGGGTGTGGAGATGGAGGATGCTACTATCCGCAACAATCTTGAATTTGCGGATAGTCCGGTCATCCCAGATAGGCTGCGCTTTCAAGGTGTCAAGTCGCTGGAAGAGCAAGCCCATGTCCAGGGACAGCTGGTCCAAATGGCCCAACAGGCTGTAAACTCTTTTCAAAATAACATTCCCATCTCAAACCATTTGGAACACCTGATGAGTTCCAATGGCGATCCCTGGCAGGTTTTAAGTCCATCATCAATCCATCAGGAGATCCAGCCTCAGCAGACCCAGTCATATCAGATGCAGCCTCAACAGATGCAGCCTCAACAGAGCCAATCACATCAAATCCAGCCCCAGCAGATTGAGTCATATCAGATCCAGCCATGGCAGATCCAGGCTGAGGAAATCCAGCCTGAGCAGATCCAGCCGGCGCAGATCGAGCCTGAGCAAGTAGCCGCGGCCGCAACCCCTCAACCCGCGCCCAACCCTACCGCTAATCAAAATCAGCCAATCAAGATGTGTAAAGAGCCCGGCTGCAACCAGCCAAGACTGTTCCAGACATCGAGGGCCAGAAAGTGCCAAGAGCACTTGGAAAACCCGCTGCCCGAGTCTCGTTTGCATGCCCTAGACCAGGGCGCCACGGCCGGCCAAGACATGTGCAGCGGCTGCAATGGGCTTCGCCCTCGCCGCGCTCCTAACAAGACCTGCTGGGAGTGTTTCTGCAAGGGACGACGCCAACGGTGGGGGGTCTGCGATGGCTGTCCAGCTTTTTGGTGCCCGAAGCGGGTTGTGGAGGAGGCCTGAGTCTTGGTACCTGAGAGTACCTAGGAGAGGAACGGGATGGGTGGACGGGGTGGGAATTTGGTTGGCATTACAATTACCGCAACCGAAATGGTAGAGACACGAGCGATTATTGGACGCCGAGAGTTGGGAATAGGAGAAGGTATTGCGATGGGACTTTAGGTAGATAATAGGTAGAGGTATCATTAAAGGGAGCGAAGGAGATACTAAAAGGGTCAGCAACTAGCGGATACGTCCACACTATTTCATAACTCTACGGATGCCTTCCCTATCTCAATTCCTTCCACATAGGATAATATATCCCCTTGCCTCAAGGTCGCGAGCGTTGAAACCAGCAAAACGTGTCCACCCCAATGATGTTCACGGTGTTCTTTACATGTACATACAAACTACTACTCCTTTCTCCAGCTGCTATCGCTTTTACAGCAAGACAAGTTTACCTCGCGGCCTCCCGACCCGGCCTCGGCCCCGGCCTTGAAGCCCTAAAATTACCCCGGTTGCACTCACTCCGTAAACCATGCTGACCCGAGGGTCAAGAAATGTGAATCCCATCTGGTGAGCACGGTTGGTCCCTGTCAGGCTGCCAGGATGGCCGCATGCCGCACCGCGGGCCTTGACCCCTGCCGCGGCTGCACTTCGGGTCGGCCCCAGAGAGTTGCAGGAAGCTTGTGCTGGAAATGTCACCACACACGTCTCGACAAGCGACCTGGTGGATGTCCCGGCTGTCTCTGGGAGGCCTGGCCTCGCTATCCGGGCCAGCTCTAAATTGAAGTACCTGCTTCGATTGCTTTTAGTCTTTTACCCCCAACCATTGCTTCCATGGTACTGTAAAGGGCTTGTATCTACCTAGGGTACCTATTTCATCGCCAGTGGAACTTAAGTGAAAGGAAGTGGCTATAGGTGTTATATCTCCCGTGTTTAACACACGTGGGGTTATAGTATAGGTACTTGAAGTGGACGACGGACATGAATCGGGAACATGAAGTGCAAACACTCGTACACAAAGGAGGTGGAACAAAGGAAAGCTTTGGAGAGGTTTGTAATAGTTAGAGGTACAATGCAGCAGTGGCCTTTCAGGTACGTTTCATCTGTCAATGTCTTTGTTCTCTTGCTGTGAGTCTTCCCGTAACGTGCCGATGTGCCCTTCCAGCTGCTTTGATATACCGTTTGTGTTGACTTTGCTGTCCCCCTTTCTTGCGCCTCCATAGGTACTCCCGTTGATAACGTCTCTCCACGTCAAACACATGTTCTGCTCGGGATGAACTTTAAGCGATGTAGAGGTAGGTAGGTACCTATTCTGTGTACGCGGTGTCGTGTAAAGAGCTGCTTTTCACTTTCCCTTCCCCTTTGCGGCTTTGCCCTCCCAGCCTGCTCCGCAACTGCCTTCTCGGCCCTTGCCACCCTCTTGACAACCCGCTAGGCAAATGCCCCGATTCAAATCTAGTTTTATTTCCACTGTCACGTCCAGATCAAGTTCCAGTTGCCGTTCCCGTTCTAGCTAGGCCCAGATCGAGCTTCAAACCCAGAGTGAGCCTGGAACCCACTCCAATTATGACCTATTCTCTCCATGCTCGCCTTCATCCTCATCGTACTCATCCTCGTCTCCGTCTTCATCACCTTCTTTATTGTCTTCGTATCCGTCGTCGTCCTCCTCCTGCTCCGTGTCATAATTGTGGTGCGGAAAGACTTCCCATACATCATAATCCAAGTCAAAGTGACCACGCTTCCTATTTGGACATTGTGTCCAAAGACAACCACGGCAGCAGTAGCCCTTTCCTTGTTCCTTCGACTGTAGACAAAACTTCCTATGCCAACCCCTCCATCTGTCGTCTTCACTGTCATTTCTCTCGTCGCTGTTGGCTTCTTCCGTATCGTCGTCTTTGTTATCGATTTGGTCATCGTTGTCCTCCTCATTGCTCCTTTTCTCATTATCGGCCTCCTCACCGCTCTCCTCCTTATCGACGCTCTCCTTGACGGCATGCTCCTCATTGCTGTTTTCCTCATCGTTGCTTTCCTCATCATAGCTCTCTCGATCGTCATTCTCGACATCGTCCTCCTGAGTCACCTCATTATTGCCCACCTGGACCTCCTCATCACTCTCCGAATAAAGCCTTTCCTTCCGATGATTCTCTCGACCCAACTGCCTATTCGGGCACTCCTTATAAAGACACCCAGGACAAATACCATCCAACCCGTTCCTACTCAATCTGTCGACCCCTCTCATGTGGAAACACTTCCAACAATACTTGTTCGGCCCACGGCCAGCCACTCCCTTATCACACCCCGTACAGGGCGTTCGGCGAGCGGCCTCTGTCTCCCGCCTCTTCCTGTCCGCTTCTGAGTTGGGTCTGTACCGCGCCTTGTTCTTCAAATGATTTGCGCACTTTCGGCCTCTACGCTGGTGCACTCTGGCGCTACAGCCCTTTTCCTAGCATGTATCAAAAGTCTCAGGACTATTGGATGTGCTGGCTGGTGGAGGGGGCAAGGCCGGGGTTAGGGGAGAACGGTACCGTCGGTTGGCTGGCTTGTGAGGGTCAGTTGGAGGCGTCGCGGAGCGTCTGCGGGGGTAGTTGGGGTTGGGCTGTCGAGAGGAGAAGGATGCGGAGGGCTGAGAGGGGTGAGGAGCGAGTTTACGGGGCCGTAAGGACTCGGGAAGGAGAGCAGAAGATGCTTGGACATGGCCTAATGACGGAGGTCTTTAATGAATATTGGAGGTTGACGAAGGTATCCGTTGAGAACTGGAGGTTGACGGAGGTATCCATTGAGAATTGGAGGTTGGCAAAAGTGTCTATTAAGAATTGGAGGTCGGCAAAGGTGTCCGTTGAGAACTAATGGTTGAAGGTGGCCGAGAAAGCAAGTGGTTGGCTGCGCGGTTACCTGACTGAGTCGTATCATGAGAAGACAAAGATAATCGACGGGCTTCTAGCGCAAGTAACGCCTCACGTAATGTATTTGCAGGAAATATGGAGCCAGAGGTTTGTCTGCTTGAACTACCCTGTGCCGTCGGCCGAGTATTGAGTGCTGAGGCAGAGCTATCGACTCTCCGCTGCGTCTATTCCATGGACCGTCTTGATTGTTGTTCGATGCGTCCATTAGTTAACGGGGCATTCAAGCTGTGAAACAGCATTGTGCGGTCAGAGACCTCGTTCGGCAACGCTTCATCGCGAGGGCTTGGACGGCTCGGCTTTTGTTGCGGCAACTTCATTGCCAACTACCTCCAGTGATTGGCTTGATATTACCTCTACACGTCCGGGTTCGGCAGTTGTATGGTGAGTGGGAGTGAGTCGGAAGCTTGAGTCTACGAGTTGGGAAAGTAGATCTTATTAGTACAGAACTAGGTGGGTGTGAGAAGAGGGAGAAAAGCTTCAACTTACGTCTACTTCTAGACTGTTCCTGGTAGCCCAGCCGCTGAAAGTGGATGGATCAATAACAGAAAAGTCTAAAGCGCAGAGATCCGTGTAGAGCGACATAACGCAGCTTTTATCTACAGGAGATGCGGCGCAGTTACCGATCAATCCGGCAATATCTTTTATCACAGTCCTTAATCAACATATAGATGAAGGGACCACTAGGCCAAAGGAAAGACAACAACAAACACAACGGAACGTAGAGGAGCGTAAGCCAATCTAGCAAAGACTAGAACGACTTTGTCAAAGAGCAATAACGTAGAGGTCGCAATCTTGCCGTAGGTCTCCGACCTTCGCAGTCTTCCAAAGCCAGCGGTAACTGACCACCAGCTAGATCACCGAGGCTCGCTCCAGAGCAAACAGTGAAATACCAAACCCTCCGTGCCTCCCCAAAGCTTTCACACCGGGCAGCCCGTGTATTCATAAATGTCGACATTATCGCTTCCTTGTGAAATAGAGTCTCTAATCATTCCGATCTGATGAGCATTTGTTCGTTGGACAATCTGTCGGCCTCTGTCCATTGTCTTGTTGCAGTTGCTTGGTTCGGCATTTTCTTGGATTCGATATGAACAGTCGATTGTGGCCCGCGGCGGCGGAGCTTTCCGTCCTACTGCAGGATGTTGTCTTCCTGGTGTGAGGAGATGCCCCGTGCTGTCTTCGTAGATCGCTTCGAGTCCCGCGAAGTAAGTTGTCCTCCTGGTTCTTTACGCCACTGAGTTGCCTGCCTCCTACAAAGATGATTGGCGCAAAGATTCGTTGCCGCAGCTACAAGAAAACACTCGAATTCCCTTTTCTATGAGACCGCTGTGATGCTTGCTGTGGTGCGACGTTGATGGTGGGAGACTGAATGAGGTCCTTGAAGTCAACCGAACCCTTCAAGCCTCAAAGGCGCTGTGTGACTCTCGATTGGCGATCAGGGACGTGTCTGCGGCTACAGCAACAAGCACTGCGTCCAACGCAGTTGCGAACGTCTCCTGAGCTTGTTCAAGCAGTAGGTTTAGGCTCCTCCGGAGGCCAGCCACCTCTCTCATAAGCCTGCAACGAGCACATCGCTCTCCTGGGTGCGCGGCTTCCCGTATGTTGCAACGGCTACAATAGAACCCCCCGTTGTGCAGAATCTCATTCATGCGGCGCCGCATGAGTCCTGGTCTGCTGTCCAAGCAATCCAGACATGTTCTAGCTTGAGGCAAATGTACGTGTCTTACTCCACGTTTGTGATACAACGGGAGTGTCTCGAGATATTCAAGCCATCCAGCTGGCTGATCGTCGAAGGGGTGAGCCTTTCAGCGGGAACAGGAGATGTAAGACCGCCGTAAGGCGTACTATCTCTCGATGCCGTTGACGGTTGCTCTGAAAGAGAGTATGCCATGAGACAGTCAACTAGGGTGCGCGGAATAAGTCGAGCTGAACTCCTTTTTTGCTGTGTTCAACCCTTTTGCTGGGCAATTCTGGAGCTCCGCCGGAATGCTGACGCACAAATCCGCTAGGAAGACATGGACCTGCCCGCCAAGCAGACTTGAAAACGTAAATCACCAACAGCCCCTGTACATGCTCAGGATTTTGGGTCTGCTTGGGAGTTTGTCCAGGCGGAAGGGACGAGTTGCCTGTTAGGCGGAGTATATTCGAACTGGCCCACGCATCCCACGGAACATATCGGGCGTACGCATGTCTGTTATATTGAACTGGGACCGACTTGAGAAGCGGAATTGGAGTAAAGTTGCTGTGACTGACTGCAGATGTTAGGCCTCAGCTGTCCACCTGCGGAAGCAGGTTGTATTGCTGGCTCAGGAAATGCTCGTTCACGAATAGTATATCATCGTGGTAATTCTCAACGTCGTCCTTCTGCTCAAGTACAGCATCAATGGCGAGGTTGTCGTCGTCAAGGAATAGGTCGTCGAGGTAATAACAGTTTGGTTGGCGTTATTCAGGCGCAGCACGTGGATCGAAGCTGAGGCCGAGGTCGTGAAGAATTAGATCGGCCTCATCCGGCTGGTTATCGCTGGGTTGGTCTGGAATAGAGTGCCAAAGGGTTAGGCCGTAAACTGTCTCATGGCTCTCCGGCTGTTCAGGGGATTGAGGCGGAATAAGATTGTTGGCTTCCCCCAGCGAACCGTCCAAAAAGTGCCGATGATCACCCTGATACTGGTTTGTGATGGCTGCCTCTGAGACTCTTGGGGAGGTTGAGGCGGATTAATTGGGATGTTGTTGTCGCTTTCCGCGGGCTTCTCCACTTGGTGATCACAGTCGCTGTGGTGATGATGGTGGGAGACGTCGGCCTGAAAGTGTTGAGGGGTTCGAGGCGAAATCAAATTACTGTTCTGTCCCAACGAATCCCCGACGTGGTGCTGATGATCTCAGATCACAAGCTAAAGAGCCATATCGCTTAGGAAAGGCTCTCCCATCTCACAGATCACAGTACGAGGAGGAAAGTGCTTTAGATCACTGACAGGGGATCAAGGAAAGAAGATTAGAAGGGAAAATAGGAAACCATACACAAACTATGTAGGTATTCTAAGGTAACGAACGATGGGAACAGCTTTGTTCTCCAGCCGCAGTGTAGTAAAAGAGAACTCAAAGTCATATAATACTCCGTTCGAGTATACCCCAAAGCCAACCAACGCCTAACTATAGGCTCCCCAGGTAGGAGCAACTGAACCACCGACGGCCGTATCTCTCTCAGATACGATGGAAGATGTACTATATTCCGAACCACAGCAAATCTCAACTATTGATCGAGTCGAGGTACATCCAGCCCGGTAAGTATTTCGCCTCCTCCCCCGATCCAAACAGTCCGCAACTCCTGTGGTGGCGTCTCAAACTATCATGCTGACTCCCTAGATGATACCGCTCTCGAAGAAACAAGCGGATCACCACTCAACTGTCCACCTATATAGGGGATTGTACTGCTGGTTCTGGTACTACGGGTTGAATAGAATGTCGTCCGGGTCAGGTTCATCATTGTCGTTTGTCTCACTAGGCGCAATCGGCGGAGCGATGTTGTCCCCGTGCATCAAGAGATTGTCCCCATGCTGAGGGTTTTGGTCGGGGTGTTGAGACATAAGTTCAGGAACGGCGTCATCCGGAATATCGTCGTGGAAGAGGTTGGCCGGATGCAGCTGATCCTCGCTATGTACTTGAGAAGCAGCTGACTGAAGGTTCCACTTGGCAATACTGTCGTTTTGCTGAGCGGCGTCGTAATTCTCATTCTGCATAGCATGGCCATCGTTATGATGAAGGGCTGGGGCTTGAGAGGAGTTGTCACCATGTTGAATAGAATGGTTCTGCGCATCTTGCTGCAGCGGTGTCGACGGCAAGAAGTCGTCGATGTTGGATAAAGCTTGTAAAAAGGCCTGACTCAAATTGCCCTGTTCTAGCCAAGCACTGGCGGCGGAAACAAAGGTATCCTTTGCCCAACCTCTGACATCCCGGTACAGCTCCACGATGCTAAGCATATTCGGTGTAACGGCGTCTGCCTTCGCCGCATCGAGCTCAGCCATATCGTCCAAGATCTCTTGCGCGGTTTGAAGAATATCGTAGACGATGGGTATCATGGTGACGGCCTTCATAGCATGTTCGATGGCGACGAGAAGGCTGTTTGCGTTGCCAGCAGACTCCACCGCGTTGTTCACCATCTCCAGCCTTCTCATTACTGCTGCCAGCAAGACATTTAGCTTCCGTTGAAGCTTATTCGCTGCTCTGGAGTTGGCGCATCGCGGGCACGAAAATCCAAGCTCGGGGGCCTCACGGATGTAGCAAGTGCTACAGTAAATGCCTCCCTCATGCACAATCCGATACATGGCCCTCTTTCGTAGGGGAC